ATTAATTAATCTTATTATTTCATATTTTTTCTTCATTTTTTATTTCTAATTAACTATTTAATGATATATTTTTTCTTCAATATTTAAAAAGTAACAATTAAATTGGTGCAATGGGTGCATCAGGCTTAGGTTCTGGTTTAGCAAATTGCATTAATCTCTCAAATTTGACACTTTATCTTAGGTAAAAACAGTTTATTTGTTTTGGATTGTGATATTTTAAATTATAAAAACTAATTAAAAACAATAAAGCTCTTTTTTCTTTTTCTTTTTATTGTGCTTGCTTTTTTTTTGTTCTTTCTTTGTTAATTTAGCTCATCATTTTATTTTCAACTTTTGCTTTTATTATTAATTAATTAATTATTTCATATTTTTTCTTCATTTTTTATTTCTAATTAACTATTTAATGATATATTTTTTCTTCAATATTTAAAAAGTAGCAATTAAATTGGTGATGAAGGTGCATCAGGCTTAGGTTCTGGTTTAGCAAATTGCATTAATCTCTCAAATTTGACACTTAACCTTTTGTAAAAACAGTTTATTTGTTTTGGATTGTGATATTTTAAATTATAAAAACTAATTAAAAACAATAAAGCTCTTTTTTCTTTTTCTTTTTATTGTGCTTGCTTTTTTTTTGTTCTTTCTTTGTTAATTTAGCTCATCATTTTATTTTCAACTTTTGCTTTTATTATTAATTAATTAATCTTATTATTTCATATTTTTTCTTCATTTTTTATTTCTAATTAACTATTTAATGATATATTTTTTCTTCAATATTTAAAAAGTCTGAATAAAATTGGTGATGAAGGTGCATCAGGCTTAGGTTCTGGTTTAGCAAATTGCATTAATCTCTCAAATTTGACACTTGATCTTAGGTAAAAACAGTTTATTTGTTTTGGATTGTGATATTTTAAATTATAAAAACTAATTAAAAACAATAAAGCTTTTTGAATTTATTTGATAGCTTTTATTTGATTTATTTTTTTATCTTTTTTATTCCGCACTAATATTATTTTATTTATTAATTTAAAGAATAATTTTTAATTTAAAAGTTTATTCTATTTTAATATTTATTTAAAATTTACACAAATTTATTATAAAAGTTTTAGCTCAATGAATGAATCATAAAAATTCAAAGTATTAAGCAAGTATCTTAAATCAAAAAGATTAGTTGTCTTTAATTTTTAATGATAAACAACTGGTGAAAAAAGGATGAATAAATATAAAATGTTAGAATAATATTATATATTTTATTATTTAATATTTTGAAAAAGTGTTTTTAACCTTAAATATAAATAGATAGATATATTGATTTTATTATTGATTTTATATTTATATTTATCATTCATATTTTTGTAAGTAAATAAAAAAATTAAAAAATTAAATTTACTTAAATAAATTAAATCCTCTTAAGCAAACTCACCGGTTTCTCGAAAAACAATCAAATAATTTGAAACTTTTAGTGTTATATTAAATCTTATTAAATTATATAAATGATAAGCTTTTATATGCCAGTTATATTTTAATCTTAAATATTATTCATCAATCTTATTTCTATCCTTTTTTTATTTATCATGATTAATTTATTAGATACCATGATTTAAATAAAATCTCATGGAGAAATTAAATTTTACTTTTTATTTTAATTTTTGTGGTAAAGTTATTTTATTTTAATATTATAATTTAATTAATTAACAGATTTCCATAAAAAGTGAGGGTAAATAAGAAATTTTTTATTTTTTTTTATCTTAGTTATTATTTGTTATTAGAAGGGAACTAACTATTTTTTCGAATAAAATCTTCACTTTTCAATAATTAAGACATATTTTTAAGTTCTTTAAATAGTTATTATTTTTAAGACTGAATTTGAATGAAAAATAATTTTTTATATTTCCATTACGAAAACTCAACTTCGATTTTGAATTATCTTAATTTTTGGTTGCTTTGTTCTAAAACTCTTTATTTATAAGAAAGAGATTTTAAATTAGTTATTATGTTTAATTTTTTTTGCATTATAAGTAAATATGTACAACAGCAGTAATTATTTTATGAATTTTATAATTAAATTAAATTTAATATCCATAGAATTAACATATTTTTTATTCTTAAATAGATTTTCAGCATTTTTTGTAACAAAATTCTTTTGTAAAATAAAAATAATTTAAAATATTTAGCAAAACCCTTCAATTACTTCAAGTAGATTTTTTTGCAAACAAATTTTGTAAGACAGATACAACTTGAAATATCATTTAAAATAGATGAAAATTTATACTTATCAAACAAAAATTAACTAAAAAAGTATGTTTTAACAAATAAATATTTGAAAGATTAAATTAAAAACATATTTATGAATAATTATTTGCTTCTTTTCGAAAACATATTTTTATTAGTTTAAAAATAGTTTTGTGAATTTAAATTTAATCCTTAAAATTTATTTAAAAAAACAATTTTTTACAGAAAATTAAATTGACGCATTAGCTATTACATAAATCTTAAACATATTTATTAAAAAGCAAATAGATTTTTATTTATATTGATGATTTTTAAATTTATTCCATCCTATTTAAAGCAATATTTTAAATCAGATATTACATTAATATACAAAGGTAATCAGAAATTCAGTCATAAATAAGTTAAAAATTAATTAAATTAATTTTTTTTAATTTAATTATTAAATTCAAAAAAAATTCTAATAAGATTTAAAACAAAAGAGAATACAAAAAATGATGATTGGATCAAAAATATTCTTTATTATGTAAGTTCTACTAAGCATATAAATTGCTTTTACCTTTACTTAGCACCAATGCAGACATGATTAAGATGAAAAAATTTTGTAAATGTAACTTTCTATTTAAAAAAATTTTAAATAAAATAAATAAATTTGGCAAAATGATAAAAACAGAATTTTAGAAATAATTAATTTATAGCCAATTCAAATATCTAGTGACTTTAGCCAGTTTGAATAATAAAATGGAGACATAACAAATAATTAGAAAGATTATTTGATTTCTGTCTCAAACACTGTTATTAAATTTGTTTAGAATTTTATTAAGGTGCAGCCTAACCTTATGAATAATATTTTTGATCCTGAACAGTCTTCAGATGGTACCTGTCTTGGGTTTTAAGTGCCTATCTAAGACTAAATTGACGGGATTCCGAACTCTGACCTACACTTATATTTTGTATACGTTAATAATTCTACTTTAAGATATCTTGCAAGTGCTGGTTTCTGCAATTTGCAAGAGACATATAACTATATAAGACCAAGCTTTGGACTAGTTGAATTTAATATTGCTAATTTAGTCAATGAAGGATTTAATTTGTAGTAGTACCAAAAAGATGTCTAAATTACTTTGCATGAAATAATACATGTGCTAGGGTTTTCTTATCCTGCAATAATAAACTGGTACAACAAAACTTCGCACTCTTTATTAGGATAAGATGCAGCTAGTAGTTATATTACTAATTAAATTTTAAGATAATTTCCTACAAATATTTTAGGATCTCCTAATGTTTAAGCAACAGCCAGAAAGTATTACGATTGTCCTACTTTAATGGGTTAATAGCTAGAAAATTAAGTATTTTAATTTCGAATAGCAATTTTTATAAGAAACTAAATTGGAGTTTTAATTTTTTTAAAAGGGAAGTACTGGTTCAATAAACTCTCATTGGGAAAGAACAGTAATAAGAACAGAATTGATGACAGCATCTATGTTAACAGAAGGATTACATTTAACAGTTTTTACTGTTGCGCTTTTAAAAGACACTGGTTATTGGGATGATGTAAATGAAAACTTAACTCATTCAATATTTTGGGGATAGGGTAAAGGATGCGATTTTTTCTTAAATGCATGTCAAAGTAGTACTTAAAAATATTAAGAATTTGCAATTTAAAATAGTTTTGCATGCTCATTTTGGGGCGATGGATAAGGCTATAGTTCTAATTAAGATCCATTTGGAGATTTTTGTTATTATATTGAAATTTAAGAGGATCAATTATGTGATGACATCAATAATTAATACCAACTTACACTCCCTGCCTCACTTTATGCTGATACACTTAATGATTTTTCATATAATTCGAAATGCTTTGTTTCTAATATTTAAAACCCCTATTCACTAAACACATATTAAAATTAATTACTAAGATGCCATTTTACTTAATGTACACCTGATTAAACTCAAATTACATTAACCTTCTCTTAAATATAGAATTTTTCAGTAACTTGTTCAATTAACGACTAAGGTAAATAAGTAGACGCAGTTTATAATCAAATTATTCTTGGGTAAATTACTTGTCCTTAAGATATCAAAAAATTTTGTCAAAATAAGCAATGTGCTAATTTTTGTGCATACAATGGAATTTGTATTAAAGGGATGTGTTTATGTAATTAAGGATTCGGTGGAATCGATTGCAGTATTAAATGTGTAGGCTATATAGATTCTAGTGGGTTATGCGTTGATAAGTGTTCACCTAATACATTTGCAAACTTAGATAACGTAATTAATTATTTTAAGATTCTATCATCATTTATGATTTGATATTTTTCCTAAAATTTATTTTTCAAATTTTTTTAATTTAAAAAATGTATTTAGCTTTAAATAAAAATATTTATTACAGTAGTATTAAAGTGTTTAGTTTTTACTAATTTAGCTTATATTTTAAAAATATTTTGAATATAAATTAGGTGTGCAGATAAACTTGCCCTGATGGAACTTATCCTGATTAAAATGAGCTAGTATGCTAATAATGTGATTTCTCTTGTTCAAAATGCTTAGGTCCTAACAAAAACTAATGTACTAGTTGCTAATTTTTAACTTATTTATTTCAAAACACTTGTGTACTTACTTGCCCTTAGAAAACATTTGCTGATGAGCAATCTAAAATGTGCTAACCCTGTCCTTAAGGGTGCAGCTTATGCAATAGTGCTAATTTTTGTAGTTAATGTGATATTGGATTTAATAAATTAGGAAATATCTGCATAAGTACAAATTGCACTTATCCTTGTGCAACATGTAGCTCTGGTCCCTAGAATTGTTAGAGTTGCTTAGATAACCTATATTTTTTTAAGAATAATTGTTTTTCTAATTGTCCAATAGGCTTTTTTAAAAACAATTCAACTCTATCTTGCTCTAGTTGTTCTGTTGGATGTATTTCTTGTTTAGATGCGTCTACATGTATTAAATGTGACACTTAAAACAATTATAGACTATAAGGAAGTAGCTGCACACAATGCATTTTTCCTTGTGCGACCTGCTCATAAAATGACTTAACTTATTGTTTGTCATGTGAAAATAATAATTATTTATTTAATAACACTTGCACAGAAGCTTGCCCAAGTAATTTTTATAAAGGAAATAATTTGGTTTGTTCTTAATGCTAAAGTGGATGTTAAACATGTTTGAATTTTAACCAATGCATAGACTGCTTACAAGATTATTAACTTTATTCTTAGAACTACAATCAAATTTGTATAAATTCGAATGACTGTTAATATCCTTGCTCTAGTTGTGCTAATTAATAGCCAAATGCTTGCATTTCTTGTAATCCAAATTATTTTTTATATAATTTTACTTGTTTAAAAACGTGCAACTAAGGATTCTACGCAGAAGACTCTACTAAATAATGCATTTAGTGTTCTCCTAATTGCAGTACATGTTAAGGTTCCCCGAGTAATTGCACATCTTGTGATTATAGCAGTGTAAGTCAAATATTATTTTAATTAATTATATCTTAAATTTTTTAAAATTAAAGTACCTCTTAGAGAACTAATGTTACTCAAAGTGTCCTTCTGGATATACTTACTCTAATTATCTTTGTATCCTAACAAGATCTCTAAAAATTAAATTTATTATTTATTTAGTCATTCTAAATATTTTATTTTGAGCCTGTTTTCAAAATATTATTAAGTAAATAATTGAAGTTTCACTAAATAAATATGAAATATCTTTTAATTTGTAAAAAAGTTTGATCCATTTAATACTATGATGGAAAATAATTAAATTATTTGTTTTATAACTAAAAATAGTTTGGTAATAATTTATAAATATTAATAAATAAATTAGGGCAATACATTTCATAATTTAGATTTTAAATTCTTATTCATTTATTTTTTTTGTAATAATATAAAATTAATTTTAAACATTAAAACTACACTTAGAGAATGGATAATTGGTGATTCAGGATAGTATAGTCTTATATATATTGTCAATTATTTATATAAATCTATCTAAACAATATAAAAAGGATTAGTATTTAAATATAAAATTTATTTAAAAAAAACCAAAATTTTAATTTTAATTGTCTTTTAATTTTTTTTTTTGTGTTTTAAAATGTACTGATTTATGTGAGTATCTTTCTGGATTTTGTCTAAAATTTACTTATATAAATTGATATTATTATTAAGTGAATTGCATAAATAGTTATAAAATCTAAATATAAAATTAACAAATGATATATTAATTTTAGTTAAAATAATTTCATATTATTTTGTATATATAGTATGTTTTAAAAAAACAAAATATTTTTCTTATTAAATCTGTTATGTGTTATTTAACTTTCTATATTATTTTTAACATCAGAATTTATCTTTTTTAAATTTCTGATTAAATTTCAAAAATAAATAGAAAGATAAGATAAAGATTCAAATAACACATATAAATTGATTTAGTTTTAATGGACTAAATTCAAACAAATTAGGGATTTATGTGCCTCCTTCATCCATGTAATGAAGTAATTTATTTGCAAGTAAATGAGATTTGCTAGGATCAAATAGCTTTCTATTGCGAAACCTGTATCAGTAGCGATTATGATTTTAAACCTTCAAATTGTATCAGAATTAAGCAATTATTAGAATCTTCATAAGATCAAATTATTTTTAGTTGGCCGCCTTTAAACGATAGAAATCTATAAAAGAAAGTTAATGATTTCTAAATAACTTAGAGCGAATATGCTCAATAAATGCAGATGAAAATTATAGCAGACTTTGATGAATTGAAATAGTAGATTTTATAAAAATTAAAAGATTTAGAAAAATAGGCTCTTCAATAAGTAGAAAAGGTTTATTCCTTTGAGAGTTAGATAATATAAAAGTATAAAGAAGTATCGCAAATTGATTATCTAAAAAAAATTCTTTAAGATTATATCAATTATAAAGGTGAAATGAAAAATTGGCTCAAATAATTTATTAAATATTATTAATAACAAAAGGATAACCATTCAAGAATATTTTAATAGTTATTTGATTAATAAGCTATAGAAATAAATAAATTAAGTGACAGCAATTTTTAAGAAATGAAAGAAAAAATTGTTGATTTTTTAGATAAAATTTAATACTTCAAATAAAATGTTTAACAAGTCTCAATAAAAAAAAGTTTATTGCCTGAAATTTAGTTTATAAAATCAACTTATGCAGAGTAATTTAATGAATTAAATATATGTAAAGACTCTTTTCTAAATGCAGTTATATTTTAGCAAGATTTCAAATTCAATTAAAACACAAGTGAGTAATATTATTCTAATTTTATTCTAGATCCAAATAAAAAGTACTCTTTTTAATTCAGGAGTGTAAATAAATAATTGCAAGAATATTAGGGCATATTTATTATTGGTTTAGTGAGAGATGAATTTAAAAATACACAATAATTTACTAATGATAATTTGTGTTGTGGAATTTTATTTAGTAATAACTAAATATACCTAGATTCATATACCAACGGAATTAGCTAAATTGTAAAAGGTGATTTCGACTTCTTAAGTAGCTAAACATAATTTTAGTTTGTTGTTCAATAAAGCCAAAACATTCTTTATATTACTGATCTTCCTGAAAATAAACACAAAGCTATTCTCATGGATCAATATTAAATTAACTTATAAACCTATTAGAATCTTAGATTGTGTATAAAATTATATGATAATATTTCAATAGTATTAACTTCAGCAATAGTTGAATGAATTACTTTAACATCATTTATTATATTAAAATTCTTGTAGGTTTTATTTATGAATCGTTATTATTATTGATTATTAAATTATTTATTTATTTTCAACATTTTTATTAATTTAAGCAAAAAAAATGAATTTAAAATTGTATTTATTTATAAGAAATAAAAAAAAATAACATTAAATGAAATTATATAATTTGATTTGTATTTTTTGATAATTAAATTATAAAATAATTTTTGTCTCAATTAATAATTTACCAACATTTATTAAAATATAAAAGATTATTTATTCAATTTTTCAAAATATTTGTTAGCTTAATATAAAATAAATAAAGATAATATTAATTTAATCAAAAAATAAAGAAATGAACAAAGGATTGTGCTTATAAAAAAAAATAACATTAAATCAAATTAATTTGATTTGTATTTTTGATAATTAAATTGTTAAATAATTTTTTATCCCAATTAATAATTTACAAACATTTATTAAAATATAAAAAAGGATTTATTGAATTTTTAAGTTAGTTCAATATTAAATTAATAATAAATATAAAATTAATTCAAACAAACAAAAAATGAATTTAAAATTGTATTTATTTAAGTAAGAAAAATAACATTGAACGAAATTGTTTAATTTGATTTGTATTTTTTTAATTAAATTATTAAATAATTTTTGTCTCAATTAATAATTTACAAAACATTTATTAAAATATAAAAGATTATTTATTCAATTTTTAAAAATATTTATTTGTTTAATATAAATTATTAATAAAGATAATATTAATTTAATCAAAGAAATGAACTCAAAATTGTATTTATATAAGAAAGAAAAATAACATTTAATGAAATTATATAATTTTTATAAGTATTTTTTGATAATTAAATTATTAAATAATTTTATCTCAATTAATAATTTACAAACATTTATTAAAATATAAAAAAGGATTTATTGAATTTTTAAGTTAGCTCAATATTAAATTAATAATAAAGATAAAATTAATTCAAACAAACAAAAAATGAATTTAAAATTGTATTTATTTAAGTAAGAAAAATAACATTAAATGAAAGTGTTTAATTTGATTTGTATTTTTTTAATTAAATTATTAAATAATTTTTGTCTCAATTAATAATTTACAAAACATTTATTAAAACGTAAAAGCTACTTTCTTTATTCAATTTTTTAGAATATTTGTTGATCTATTTTAGATATATTTTAAGAAAAATGGATTTTCATATAACAGGTTTATGTGGAAAAGAGTGAAAATATTTTTGACCTTAGAAAATTAATTATCTAAATATTTATATAAGTAAATCCATCCTACTCCAAAAGTAAGCAAAATTATTAACATTTGAAAGTAAAATAGTAAGGTAAACTAAGACTAAATATTTTCATTAAAATCTAATGACTAATTATTTTAAAATATCCTCACTGCATTAACTGTATCAACTATCATTTTATAGAATGTATTTAGTTATATTATTGAATATTTTCCAATAAAATTAATAAATGCACTATCAAAATTATCTTGAGGGGTTTAATAAACGTCATTTAAAATATTGAAAGTTTCAAAAGCTGTTTTAAAGGAAAGGATTAAGCCTCTTTAAAGAATTCCATTTAATAAAGAGCTGCATTAGTCATATGTAATATTTAAACTGAAATAATTAGGATACTTTTGTCTAACATAGCAGATGTCACCATTCATAATATTTCTATATATCTAATCAAACCTTTGCTAATTATACCTTTTTATGTCTATTTGATTTTACAAATCTAATAATTTTTATACTTTTGCTTCATTTTATTGAGTAATGTTTTATAAATAGTCAAAGTAGTAGCTCTCTGTAGCTGTATAATTATATATTGCAAACATGTAAATGTTTGAATAATGAGCTGAAAGATTTTCAATCATTTACCCATTAATGTCAATAAGAAAAATTCTTTCGTTTACCATAGTGTTTGCTTCTTTAAGGTAAGGCTACGATATTATGATATTTAAAACAGGCTATATTAAGAGGACTACAAAAGCTAAAATTCCAGAAAGGACAATCAACCAATTTATTTTTTATAGAGAATTGAATGATGCTATAGATCTGTTTCTTTTATTAGGAAGCCTAATTATGAATTTGTTTTACAATTTTTATTTAATATTATTTGGTGAAGCTTCATTTGATAAATATTCTTGCACGTCATTCAACTCTTCCATTTGTTCAATAATATTTCTCAATTAAATATTTTTATTTTTGAGTGTTCCTGAACCATTCTTTGAGTTATTTAAATGATTTTAATCTTCTTGAATTACTTCCAATTTTAACAAACTTAGCTCAATTATTTAAATGTATTTTTCAAGGTTTTTAGGTTAGAATGAACCAGTTAGTTTGAGTATATTTTCTTTTGATCTCTCAATAAATAAACTCAAAACAATAATTATTATACATAAAATGAAATTAGTAGCAAAAAAAATAATTAATATCTATTTTTGAATATTTTCTATATTATCAAATTATATTTGAATCACTTCCTCTACAATCTTCTATAAATTCTTCATTTTTTCACTGAAAAGAGTCAAATTTTCCCAAATGAAGTTATCTTCTGTAGAAGTAAATTAAATTATATACTAAACGATAGCATAAAAATACTCCATAATAGTGTACTAAAGATTCTAAGACATAACTGAACTTGTTATGTCACTATCAGGAAACTTAACTGTAAACTTAGTTACATTGAATTTCTAATCAAAAAGTTTTTCTTTGATTTGTTCTTATCTTGATTTAATTACTAAATTTTTAAAATTTGATCTATAATCTTCTCTTGCTTTACTAAATTCTAACTAATTTATAATATTGTTTTCCACATCAATTTCATCTTGCGAGCCAAAGTGATATTTAGTTGAAAAAATAATGCTTTAATAATTAGATAAAGCTAGAACTTGCACGACATCTACATACAAATATTATGCTTCATCAATCTAAGTAAAAGAGCTTTGATAATTTTATAAGCTATCAATAATAATTTTTTCCATAAAAAAACAAATCAAACTCAATACTAAAAAAGAAATGACACCCAAATAGATCATTACATTTTATCCTCCATTCAATTTATTGTTTTTTATTTTTTTTATTATTTGACGCTTGATAAGTTCTTATGAGCTAAATTTACTAGAATTTACACTAGCAATTTCATTTATTTGATCTTCTTTTAAATTTTCATCTTCACTTTAATTTCTTCTCTTCAATTTCTATTTGTTACTTGATTGATTTAAACGATCTTGATTGTTGCTATTCATAAAAGAGGAATTATCTTCTAGACAGTTAAATAAAGTTTAAATTTAAGTTTTATCAGTTCCTGAGTAATTTTACTTTTACGTCATATCAATTCTATCAGGAATTTATTTATTTTCAAATGTATTTTATTTATCAGCATTTTTTCGATGATATGTTTATAAAATATTTAGCTTCTTTGGACTTTCTAAATTGTTTTATGAACAAAAATTGCGATCTGATAAATTTGCAAAAACACTTTAAAAGTTTTCCTAGAAATCACTTCTTGAATTATTTTAATCAAAAAGTCTTTAGCTTTCGTAAGCATTCTTAGTTGATGATAAATCTATTGTACAACTTTCTATATTTTGCAATTAAATTAAAGAAAACTTTGATGTTTCTTTCTTGTTATTCCTTTAAAAGTTATTGTAAAATAAATTAATTTATTCTTATGAATCTTCCAAATTGTATTCTTAGATCTTTATTTTATCCTTGTCTTCATAATTTAAAAATGAATTATTATTTTTTTTTTAATCAATAATTTTCATTTTATTTATTTCATTAATTATTTAAATTTTCTTTGCTTCATCTTCTTCTTTTTCATATGAATGTATTTCTATAAAATTAATATTTTAGTTAATTTCAGTCTATATTCTACCTACTATGAAATATATTAAAAAAAATCTATCTTTTAAGCTATATTTATTCATTCTATTTGTATTGATCGAAGTTTAAGTTGTACTATTTTTTTATTTTTGAGAAATTTAGTAATTTTATTTTTAAATTAAAAGAGGACAACAAAATTGTGTTTGGTAGCATCCCCCTTAGATTATGCTATCTATCTATGGGATGATTTAATTGACTTAAATTTCAAAATCTATTTAAAAATTAAAACATATTTTAAAATTTTGTAAATTCAAAGATATTTTTTTAATAAAAAAATTTCAGAATATTTGATTAGAAATTAATTAATATTACCTTGTTAGTTAAATTTAGTTGTTTAAAACAAATCTACAAAAATTTTCTTTGAAAAATCAGTGATGGTACCATCATCAGTGAAAAGAATGTATTGTTTCTTTTATTTTATTTTTTAAATGAGAGCACAAACTCCGAAATCATCTTCAAGATGATCAAATTTAAGCTTTATAGTGAGTGGAAAAACAAAACCCTTTTCATCAACGCCAAAAGAAAATCTTTCTCCTTTAAAAAAATGATCTTTAAAATAAGAATAAATAAAATATTAAAAATTACTTTATTATTATAACTTGATTGGATTATATTTGATACAGTAGTCTATTATTTCACTGTGTGTTTCTTTGATAATTCTTGGAAGTATAATGCTTAAAGGTTTTCCTGTTACTTAATTATTACTGTATTTAAAAATGCTTTAAAATTTAGCAGACACTTTATTTATTTTATAGTTACTATCAATCAAAGAACAATAAACCATGCATGAATTTTCATCAAAAAAATCATTTTAACCAAGTAATTATGAATAATTTTTGTGTATTGATGCTTTTTATTTAACTAAAGAAAGAGCATGTTATTAGAAATTAGATACTTTTCTATTTTGTATGTCAAGCACTTATACAAAAATCGAAGTTAAATATTGTAGATCTATATTATATGGATTAATTTAGAAAAGATTGATTATGGTTTATTCTACTTCTAGTAAGCTTGAGTGTAACGCGACAGATCTAATTTATATTTAATTTAAATTTATATAGTCACTTTACAAGTAGTCATAGAAAATCCCTGTGGCTATAAGCTAATTTTTGAGCTTCTATTTAAGAGTAGCCATCTACTCATCAAATAAAATAACTCCAATTAACATGGAATTTTTATTCAATTATTATTTTTATCCTTAATTATTTTCATCAAGCTTAGCATTTATTTTATCTTTTAGTCTGTAAAAATAAAATTTCTGGAGCCAATTCATTTTTGAATGGTAAATTGAGTAAAGTTTGTTTATTTCAATATTGATTTTTATAGGATCATTAAGAACTTCAAAGACAAAATGGATCAAATAAAATTATAAAGAAATTATTTATGAAGTTGATAATTTTTTTTCAGATTTTATGTGATAGTTAGTAATTAGTGTAAATACAACATTTTAAACTTAATCTTTTCTTTAATGCAATTCAGAAACTTCTTCAATATAATTTAAACTATTTTATTTCTTTATAGGAAAAGTAAATGAATTATACATTCATTCATTAATCAATATTACATATTTTAAAAATTAATGTTTATTTTCTTTTAATAAATAGAAAAAAATATTTCTTGTAATTATAAAAACTTACATTGTTTTTTTTTAATGAGCAAAAGCAGGCATGAGAATTAAGATGGCAGATTGATTTGTGTAAATTAATCAAATTTTCGTATAATAACCCTTAATCTTTCTATAAGTAATGGCTTTAAAAATTATTTAACTTTTCAATTATTGATCTTATGGTATTTGTTAATTAACTCAAGGAACAGTTTGAAATGCAATTTGTCTAAAATGAGTAATTAAGGTTTTTTTGGTTCTAGTCATTTTTAATTTTGTAAGCTAATTTAATTTAAATAGGGATTGTTACAATTACAAGTATAATAAGGTCTGAATGCAATCTTAAAACCATCTAAGTGCAAATTAAAATGACTACTAAAAATTAACAAAAGCCCATTACAAAGCTAAAGTTATTTATTGTTCTAGATATATATTGATCATATTTATAATCTATTATAATCTGCGTAAGAGAATAAATAACAGAGAAAACCACAAAACCTTTATAGTTGATGAGATAGGAAAGAAACATGTAAATAACAATTAGATTAAATCTTATAATGTTAGTAATAGAGTGATCTTTAGAAATTTGGTTATTACCAATTAAGCTATAAGAAAAATCATGGATCTCGTTTAAAAACCCTAAATAATATAAAAAAAATTATTATTTTGAAAAATAATTAATGATAAAAAATTAATTAATTAATTTTATGGAATTTCAGATTAATTTTACCTAAGGATTGCGTAATTAATTGTAATTAAAATTTGTGGTTTTATCTGAACAATTTTATAAATTCAATAAAAATAAATATTAATATCTAAAATTATTACCAATAATAATAGTCAGAGCAAGGTTAACGTAGTAAACCGAAACAATTTTATCAGTCTACTCATTATCATTTTATTACTTTAGCAGATGCAAAGAAAACCCGATAATAATTTAAAGCAGCCCATGATTATAAATAGCTAAAACTAATTTAACAGGATGGTTCCAAAAATGATTGGAATATTTATTTTTGGCTAAATAATAAAGAAATTCAATAATAAAGGAAGCGAGAATATAGGAATTTATTAGCAGAAACAGTATACTGAATGTTATTTTAAAATCAATATTTTAGAAATTGTCTTAAAAGTAGTAGACTACACTTGTCTCTCTTAAATATTTAACTAATATTTCTATCCTTTATTAGTGTTTACTTGTATTTTAGATTGTAACTACTTAAATAATATTTTAATTAACCAAAAAGGATAATTCTATAAATTTGCTCATAAATATTAAGAAAATAGCAGGTTTTAGTGATAAGTTAGCTGGCTAGATTAATTTCGTAATGCTTCTAAAGTAAAAATTCAATATCAATTGTCTAGATTCTTATTTTTATGATCTATCTGTTTTTAAGTTTAATTTATTTTATCTCATATTTTTTTTAATTTTATCAATCTTTTTTGTCTAATTATTAATAATAATTATTGTTGTTATTCGATGTGATAAAATTAATAATTTTTTTAGCCAATCAATATTAATATTTGATTTACTCAATTAAATTGTGATTACAATTAAAAAAAGGTAAATAAATCTATTTGATTAATTTACAATGAGTAAAATTAAGAAAAAAAGAAAGATATTTTTCACTACCTATTTTTTACATCTATTTATAAAAGTATTGGTAATTTGATTATTTATAACCAAAATATTCATTCATACATAGCTGCTAGCTTAATTGCTCAAAAATCTAAAAAGTCATAAAAAAAACCATTTGTTTTCTAATAATTTAATAAAGAAATAATTAATATTATCTATCACTATTAGCCTATATTTAAAAAAATTTTATCATGAATATAACAAAAAATTAAATTTATTTAAAATATAAAAACAAATATAATTTTATCTTAAAATTTCAAAACAATTTAATCTTTTGATAATATCCAAAAACAAATTAATTTTTATAAAATCAAAAATAAATTAATTTTTATAAAATCAAATACAAATTAATTTTATCAAATAATATAAAGAGAAATTAATCATTTGGTAATATCCAAAAACAAATTAATCTTTTGATAATAACCAAAAACAAATTAATTTTATATTTAAAAACAATTTAATAATTTGATTATAAACAAATTAATTTTATCATGGAATATAAAACAAATTAATCAGCTAATTCTATTAAATGGAATGAATATACATACATTTGATAATATCCAAAAACAAATTGATTATATCATAGATTATAAAAGCAAATTAATCTTTTGATTTATCTAAAAACAAATTAATTTTTTTATAAAATCAAAAACAAATTAACTTTATTATAAAATAATTTTAAATAAAAAAATATTTTTGATATATTTTTGGAATACATACAACATAAAATTCGAACAATAGTTCATTTTTAAAATATATTTGTAGTTCTTTTTTAGATATATTTTAAAAAAAACTAATTTTCATACAATAAATTTATATGGAAAAGGGTAAATATAGTTTTGACTTCGGAAAGCTGACTGTCTAAATATCTAAATAAATAACTCCATCCGAAACCAAAAATAATCAAAATTATGGTTAATTAGTAATAATATAAGATACTAAACTGAGTTTAAATGTGCTGATAAAAATCTTAAGATTAATTATCTTAAAATAATCTGACGGCATTCACTGTTTCACTTATAATTTTACAGAACGTATTCAATTAAATTAGTGTATACTTTTCTAAAAAATTGTAAAAGGAATCATCGAAATTATCTTCAGGAGAGTCATAGATATCCACTAACATATTCAAAGTTTCAAAGACGGTTTTAAATGAAATAATCAAACCTCTTTAAAGAATTCCATTAAATAGAGTACTGCAAAATTCATCTGTAACATTTGAGTTGAAAAAGTTAGGGTATGCTTTCCTTACTTAACAGATGTCACCATTCATAATATTTCTATATAAATAATCAAATCTTTACTAGTTGTACCTTTTTATGTCTATAGAATTTTAAAAGTCAGATAATTTTTCTACTTTGTTTTAATTTTAATCTGTAATATTAACCAAATATTAATAGTAATAACTATCCGATGGATTGAAATCGTCTACAGTAAACATGTACATATTTGAGTAGTGAGCTGAAAGATTTTCAATCATTTACCCATTAATATCAATAAGGAAAATTCTTTCTTTCACCATAGTATTAGCTTCTTTAAGATAAGGCTAAGAAATTATAATATTTAAAACTGGCTAAATTAAGAGGATTACAAACGCTAAAACGCTAGTAAGAACAATTAACCAATTTATTTTTTAAAGAGAATTAAATGATGCTATGGATCTGTTTCTTTTATTAGGAAGCCTAATTATGAATTTACTTTAAACTTGTTACTAAATAATATTAGATTAAGATTTATTTGATAGCTATTCTTACACTTAATTTATTTCTTCTATTTACTCAATAATATTTCTCAATTAAATCTTTTTATGTTGATTTTTTTGTGTATCTTAGGCCATTTAATAATAATTAAAATTTTCATAATCTTTTGAATTCTAAATGGCTTCCAACTTTAACAGACTTAGCTCAATAATTTAGACTTGTTTTTCTAGGCATTTAGGTTAGAACGAGCCAGTAAGTTTTAGTATATTTTCTTTAGATTTATTAATAACTAAACTCAAAATGATAATTATCAATCCTAGAATAAAATTCGTTGCAGAAAAAATAATCAAAATTAATTTCTGGATATTTTCCATGTTGTCAAATTGTATTTAGATCACATTTTCAACAGCTCTTTGCAAATTTGTCATTTTTTCTCTGAATAGATTCAAGTTCTCCCATATAAAATTTTCTTCGGTAGGTGTATATTCAATGATATATTAAACTATGGCATAAAAATATTCTGTTACTGTGTATTCTAGGTTCTATATCATCACAGTATTACTCAAGTCCTCATCAGGAAATTAAACAGAATATTTTGTTATATTAAATTAATCATTGAATAATCTATGATAAATCTCCTTTGAATTTATTTTCAAAATTAAATTTTTGAAATTTTTTCTATAATCTTCTCGGACATTGTTGTACTCATATTCTTTAATGCTATTCTTCTCTTTTTTAATATCTTTCTTAGAGCCAAAATGGTATTTTTTAGATGATAAAACACTTTTATAATTGGATAGACTGAGAATTTAGATAACATCAGTATATAAATTTTGTGCTTCATCAATCTTTGAAAAAGAGTTTTAATAGTTTTATAAGCTTTGAATATTTATGTAATGCATTAGCATTGTTATAAAAGTTAATATTAGAAAAGAAGCAATACCTAAAAAAATCATGATTCTTTATCCTCCATTTATTTTATTATTTGTTATTCTTTTTATTATTTAACGTTTCACAAGCTCATCTGAGCTATACTTACTAGAATTTACACTCGCTATTTCATTTATCTGATCTTCTTTTATATTTTCATCTTCACTTTGCTCTTTAATTATTTATTTTTTACTTGATTGATTTCCTAGATAATTATTATTGCTGTTCATGAAGGAAGTATTATCCTCAAAATAATTGAAAAACGTTTAAATTTAAATTTAAGTTGAATCAGTTCTTCTTTAAATTTATTTTTAAATTATATCATTTTTATCAGTTAAACATGTATTTTCAAGAACATTTTCAGAATTTACTTAAGAATTATTGTTTTTTTGAAGCTGAATATGTTAAATATTTAATTTTTTAGGGCTATCATAGTTATTTAGTGAGCAAAGATTACGATCAGATAAATTAGCAAAAACACTTTAAAAGTTTTCTTGAAAGTCGCTTCTAGAACTATTTTAGTCAATGAACCTTTGACTTTCTTATGCATGTTTTGTTGAAGATAAATCTATTGTGTAACTATCTTATTTTTGTAACTATATTAAAGAAAATTTTACTGTTCCTTTCTTCTCTCTTCTCTGAAAATTTTTTTATAATGAGATATTTTACACTTAAGCGTCTTCAAAATAAGAATCTTTATCAAATATTTTTTTTTTGTCAAAATCTTCAAAATTTAAAAATTAATTTTCAAGCTATTTTTTCTCAAAAGTTCTGATTTTGTTTAAATCATTAATAATTTAAATTTTCTTTTTCTCATCATCTTCTTTTTCATATTAATAAATTTCTACAAAATTGATATTTGTTTTCAGTTCAGTTTTTATTCTTCCTACAACAAAATAGATAATAAATATACTATCTTTAAAGCTATATTATCTCTGAATATGTGTGTTAATTAAAGCGTTTTTTATAGTGCTTTGTTCAAAACTCTAGTTATTAGTTTTTAAAAATATTAATGGGCAGCAGAATTAAGTCTAGAAGAGACCACCTTGGATGATATTATTTATCTGTGGAATGATATCATCTATTTTAAATTAGAAATCTATTTTTATTATTTAAATTTAAATTTTTAAAATATTTTTTTATGCTTCAACTTTATTAAATATAAATTTTTATAAAATATTTTAAAATAGATAACAAAAAATATTAAGGATAAGATTTCTTTGTTTTGATTGATAAAGATTATTTTTGAAATAAATTAATCGAAACTAGTCCTATTAATTATTTATTTTATTGGTAATAGATTTTATTAATAAAAAGAAAATTTTTTAATTTACCTTGTTTATTATATTTTTTTGTTTGAAATAAGTCCACAAAAATTTTCTTTGAAAAGTCTGTGATTGTCCCATCATCTGTGAAAAGAATATACTGTTTTTATTGCTTTATTTTTGATACAAGAGCACAAGCACCAAAGTCGTTATCATGACTGTCAAATTTAAGTCTTATTGTGAGCGGAAAAACAAAACCCTTCTCATCTAAACCAAAAGAAAACCTCTCTCCTTAAAAAAGAAATAAATTTAATAATTAAAATTAATAAATTCAATAATTTATTTACTTTATGATTATAATTTATTTGAGTTATATTTAATACAAAAGTCTACTATTTCACTATGTGATTCTTTAACAATTTTTGGAAGTATTAAGCTTAAAGGTTTTCCTATTACTTAATCCTTATTGAATTTAAATATACTTTAAAATTTGGCAGATACTTTATTTATTTTATAGCTACTGTCAATCAGAGAGCAGTAGACCATGCAAGAATCTTCTTCAAAAAAATCTTTATGCAATCCAAAAAACTACTCTTGAATTTTCTTATTTATTGAAATTTTTTATTTGGTTCTAGAAAGAGCTTGCTTTATGAAATCAGATACTTTTCTATTTTGTATGTCAAGCACTTAAACAAAAATAGAAGTTAAATATTGTAGATCTATATTTTGTGGATTAATTTAGAAAAGATCAATTATGATTTTTTCTAATTCTAATAGGTTTTTGTGCAAATTAATAGATTATATCTAGATTTAATTTAAATTTATATAATCGCTTTGCAAGTAGTCGTAGAAGATTCCTGTGGCTAAAAGTTAATTTTTGAGCTTTAATTTGAGAGTAGCCATCTATTCATCAAATAAAATAACTCCAATCATATTTATATTCTACTATTATTATCCTAAATTATTTTCATTCAACTTTTAATTTATTTCTTCTTTTAGCTTGAAAAAATAAAATTTGTGGAGCCAGCTCATCTTTGAATTATAAATTGAATAAAGTTTATTTATTTCAATATTTATTTTGATAGGTTCATTGAGAATTTCAAAGACAAAATGAATCAAGTAAAAGTGTAAAGAAATCATTTAAGAAGCTGATAATTTTTTTTCAGGCTATTAGAAATACTATCTAATAAGTGCAAATAAAACATTTTAAACCTATTCTCTTCTCTCATGCAATTCAGAAACTTCTTCAACATAAAGCAAATCATTTGTTTTCTTATTAAAAAAAATAAATAAGATTTTATTAAAATTTGAAATAAAGCTTTTTATTCTCAACAAAAAAATAAATTGATGTTAAAAATTTACATTCTTTTTTTAAAGCTGACAAAAGCATGTTTGAGAATCAATAATGCAATTTTATCTGTGTAAATTGATCAAATTTTCATATAAGACTCCTTAAGCCTTATATAAGTAATGGCTTTAAAAATTATTTAATTCCTCAATTATTGATCTTATGGTGCTGATTAGCTGACTAAAAGAGCAGTTAGAAATGTAATTTGTTTAAAAAAAATCATAGAAATTTTTTTGGTACTAGTCATTTTTAATTTTGTAAGCTAATTTAATTGAAATAGGCATCGCTAAAATCACAAGTATAATTAAGTCTGAACGTAATCTCAAAAACAATTATGCACAAATCAAAATCGCAATAGAAAAATAAGCAAAGCAAAAAGCAAAACTAATTTTGTTGATAGTACTTGATATATATTGATCAAATTTATAAACCATTATAAGCTATATTACAGAATATATTACAGAAAAACCAATTAAGGTTTAATAGCCGCAAAAATGGGAAAGAAATATGTAAATAATGAGCAGAGTAAATCTTACTATATTTGTAAATGAAGGTATTTTAAATAATTTGCTATTACCAATAAAACTGTAAGAAAAATCATGGGCTTCACTCAAAAGGCCTAAATAATAAAAGAAATATGGTCAATAATTAATAAAATGAATAAATTTATCCAAATCTTAATAAGAGGAATATCTTATCCCTATTAAAATATGATTTTAGTAGAATTATTTTTGTTCAAAAGTAAAAATCTAACAAATATAGGAATTAAAACCCTAAAGAAGAAATATTTGGCTAAGTTTATACCAAGAAATATCAATATTAAATTAATGTGGAATTATTATTATATTTAATTGGAATAAAAATATCATTTATTTTGTGTAAAAAAAGGATTGTAATTTAATTTTACCTATTATTATAGCCAAAATAATGTTGAAGTAGTTAACTGAAGTTAATTTATCAGCTTGGTTATCTTTTTTATCTGTTAAAAGATCTAATGAAAGTCTGATAATAACCTAACACAATCCATAGTTGTAAATAGTAAAAACAAATTTGAAAGGATAATTCCATATATTTTTAGAATATTTTCTTTTGGCTATATAATAAAGAAATTCAAAGATCAAGCAGGTAATTAGATAGCTATTAATTATAAGAAATGAGATAGCAAATATTCTATTAAAATTTGTATTCTAGAAATTGTCTGAAAAGTAATAGACAACAGAGGTCTGTCTTATGTATTTAGCAAACATTTCTATTCTTTATTAGTATTCATTTTAGACTTTGTTAGGGTTTAGCTCTATTGAGTCTTACTTAAGTAAAAAGGATAATTCAATTAATTTACAAATTATAACTAAGAATGCAGCAGGTTTTAAAGATAAGTGAAATGGCTAGATTAATTTTGTAATGCTTGTAACATAGAAATCCAAAATGGTTTGTTTAAGCTTAGAATTTTTCTCTCTATTTGTATTTTAGACTACCTTTTTCTATCTCATTTTGTTGTTCTGATTAATATTTAATTTTTGTTTTTGATTTATATTAATTTAGATTATTATTGTTAGGATCTTAAATTAATTAATTAATTGATTAATTTACCTGTAAGACAACTTTAAGATTATTTTCGATTACTAAATTTTTAATGATTATTTTTATTCAAGATTAAAACTATAAAGAAAGATTTGTAAATTTTTAAATAGAACCAGCTTACCCAACAGATAAATAATACCCTTTTATAAAAGATTAAAAAGAAAGTATGCAATTTATTTTCGTTAAATATGCTTGCTAGAGTGTTAAACAGATTTCAGTAATAAAGGAAGTCAAAAACAAAATTACAAATCCAACTCATTTATAGTTTCAAATTAAATTATTTTTCTACTTTATTTAAAAAAATGATATTTATGTCAGAGCCATTATTGAATTTTATTAAGAATTAAAATCTTGATTAATTAATTAATTTACCTGTATGACAACTTTAAGATTGCTTTTGATTCCTAAATTTTGATTGATTATTTTTATTTTGATTAATAGTAAAAAAGAAAATTTTCTAAAATTTCAATCACAACCAGCTTATCCAACAAGTGATACACTTTTATATAAGACTAAAAAGTGTCTGATTATTTAAATAAACATTTTTATTATAAAAACTAAATTTCAGAATTTAAGAAAGCCAACAAAATTATAAATTAATTAGATTTTTAGTTTTATTCAAAATCATATTATTCCTGAATATATAAATAATATCACTAAAAAACTATATTTCTGTTTAAGCGAGTTAGTTTTATATTTTATTAAAAATAAAATACTAATTTGTTTAACAATAAAAAGTATATCATTCTTTATTTTAAAATAAATTTTATTAAAAATAAAAAATTACATTTTATTTTATGAAAAATATATATTAAAGTACATTATAATTAATAAAAATAGATTATACTAACTAAATTAATATTTTATTTTATTTTTTAGCAATTTAGAAATAGATATCTGCTTAAATTTATTAATAATAAATTGAGTTATGCTAATTTTTAATTAGAAATACTTAAATCAAAACTTATTTTTTTTTTAAATATTCTTTTCTTTGTTTTATTTAAATCTAAAAAATTAAAAAAATATTGGCAACTGTGAGATTCGAACTCACGCGGATTACATCCAGGCGATCTTAAGTCGTCCCCCTTAACCAACTCGGGCAAATTGCCTTGATGCAAATAGTGGTTATCATCATAAGATATTCTTAAACTCATCTATTTATCCTTAACAAATTTTATTTTTCTAAAATATTTCTATTTGAATTTAAAAATTAAACCATTTTTAAATGAATTTATTTGATTGATGAATTGATTAATTTGGTTTTAAAAATTATATTTTTTATTAATGATTTAGAAAAATAATTCTAAAAAAAAAAAACAATAAATTTTTTAGCTTTTTATTTAGAAATATTGATTGACTTTCTCTAGTTATTAAATTTCATATTTTTTATTAACTGAAAAAATTTAAATGGAGTATTTTAATTTATCTTTTTTACTTTTATATGGTGAATGCATGGTTTATTACGTTTACAGATAAAGATATTTATGATTTTAAGTTAACAATCAAACTAATGATTTCCTGATATATCATAAATTATTGAGTAAGAAAGATCTTATTAAAATTTCTAAAAACTATTTAATCTTATGACATCAAAATATTCTACTTACCTTTAATTTGTTTTTTTTCTCTCTTTTTCTCAAATAGGAGTAATCCAATATTTTTTTTCAAATAATTAATTATATTATAGCTACAAAAAGCAGTAAAAAATGAATGAGTTATTTTAATATTTTATTATTCTGTAAATCATTTGAAAAAAAAATATACATTAAATACTCATTTCATAGTAATAAAAAAGAAAGATTATTTGTAAATAAACGCTCGAATTAAAAAATAAGAAAAAACCTAATAAGAATAAACTAAAATTTTAATATTTGAAACCTTTCTTCTTACCTAACTTTTTTTAATATATGTTTAGTGGTATTTTTGATATCTGATGCTAAATAAAAATAAAATAGATAGAAACAATTGCTTAGTTTGAAAAAATCAGCACAAAAATTATTTATTAATTGATTATGATTAATTTATTTGCATTTAAAAAAAGAAATGACCTAAATATCTGGTTATTCATTCTTACTTAATACATATTTATTTATTTATATTTTAAAATAATTCAGATAAAAAAAATAAAGAGTATTCAGAAGAGCAAAACTCTTAAATGTAATTAATATTAAAACCAAATTTTATCGAAAAAAATACATTATTTTCCAAATTAAAATAGGTGGAAAATTTAACAATTTAAAATATATTGATTTCTTTAAAATTATATATATACCAATCAAAAAAAAACTTTATTGAAAATGGTGTAAATACTCAGTTTTATTACTAAAGATCTATTTTCAATCGCATAGAAAATAAAATTGAATTGAGAAATAAGATAATAATAAAGCATTTTGTTATGATTAAATTTCCAATAAAAATGAATGTATTTCAAATGAAAAGAAAATCTAAATCAAAAAATAATTAATAATTTTTTATTTGAGTTGAGTTGAGCGAATCCTTAGTTAGATCCTTAATGAATAGATATTATTTGTTTAAGATTGTAAAATATTACAAATCAAAAGGAAAATAGATGAGAAATTTAAAAAACAAAATATATAAAGAACGGTATGAAGTTAATGAATATTTTACATTAAGTAAGTTTTTTTATTTATAGTTAGTTTGAATGTTTATTAATCAGAAGGAATTTAAAATAGAAAGAGAGAGGATATATTCTGAAAGAAGTTCGAACAATTTTTAATGAAAAGTAATCGTAATCAAGAAAAAAGTCAATTCAGTGTTAGAGTACATATACTCAGTTTTTCAAACAATAAATTAATTAATAATTAATAAATTAAAAAAAAAAGTCTTAATCAATAAATAACAAAAAACAACTAAAAAAGACAGAAAAATAAATAGCTTAATAATATGAGCTCAAACCAACAATTACCTTCTTCTAATTTATAAGAATCTGTTTATGAGTACTGTGTGGTAGGTGCTGGTCCTGCAGGTATCTGTGCTATTGCCAAAATCTTGGAGAGAAAGGTAGATCCTAAAAAGATTTTATGGGTTGACCCTCAATTCTAAGTAGGAGCTTTTGGCAGAGAATGGGCTGGTGTACCAGGAAACACCTCTGTAGAGAGCTACATTAAAGTCAACTAGGAGATCTTTAAGATACTAAACAAATTAACTAATGAAAGTATCCCTAAATTTGATATAGATACTATGCCTTTGAAAGCAACATGTGCTCTAGAAGTTGCAGCTGAGCCTATGTAATATATTACAGACCGTTTTTTGAAGATTGTTTCTTCTTAGAGGAGCATTGTAAAAAAAATTTCGCGCACTAATCTTGGGTGGGCTCTTTTACTTGACAATGGTGACAATGCTTTTTCAAACAGAATTATCTTGAGTGTGGGTGTAAAATCAAGAACAGTTGATTTGCCTAAGAAGGAAAGCTAGCATATTAAAATAGTTCCAGTAGAAGATATTGTAGACGACTAGCGCTTAAAAAAGGTTTCAAAAGGAATGAAGAGAGTGGCTGTAATCGGCTCTTCACACACAGCTGCTTTAGCCACTATGCATTTGCTATAAGCTGGCTTAACTGTTTGCTAGTTCATAAATGCTCCTTATAAATATGCACAACCTATAACTTTAAATAACTAACAAAGCACCCTATTTGATAATACTGGTTTAAAAGGTTAGGTTGCAGAATTTACTAAAAAACTCACTACTGATTTAGTAGAGGAAAAGTATAAAAAGACTATACGCTTTTTTAAATCAGATGAACAAAATCTAAAAAAAATCCTCCCAAAATGCTCACATCTTGTTTTCGCTATTGGATTTGAACCTAACAACAAAATTGAGATTGAAGACTATTTTGATTAAAACTTAACTCATGACCCCCTTACTTCTATTCTTCGTGATGGAATATTTGGAATTGGTATCAGCTATCCCCTTTAATAGCTTAACTGCGGAATCCTAGAATATTAAGTAGGATATGGCAAATTCTGGAATACAATCAATGATTACATCATTAACATCTGGGCAAGCTATCCTATAGTTTCTGCTATGTAATTTTAATAATTAGCCCAAAGGCCTATGAAATAGATTTCTCAGACATAAATAGCTTAAAATACAAAAACTCCAATTCCTAGACTTTGAAAAAACAAACAAACAAACAACTCATAATTTATATATCACAAATAACTCTAAACATATAAATCGTACTTTATTAATTTATAAATTATATATAGCAATTTAACCCAACAATGTTTACTTATTTACCATTAATCAATCAAGTATTATTTAATTTCTTTTTTATTTGTTTTTTCTTATAAAAATTTAAAAGTAATCTATATTAATGATTTACTGATTATGATAATTAAAAAGATAAATTTTTTGAGTTTTTGTTATAAAGGGAATTTAAAAATTTTAAATGAAAATTTGCAATTTATTTCGTTTATTTACAGAATTAATCTGTAATTAATAATAATATATTCTGATTTTATTTTTGTAAATAGAAAGTGTCATAAATAAATTTTAAAAACAACAATAGATGATACTTACTTACTTATTTACTAAATTAATTAAATTTTTACAAGATTTTAAATAAACTGAAAGGCAAAAAAAAATATTTATAAAGATTATTACAATATAAATTTGATTATTAACTTTTTTACAATTAAATAATTTATTTTCTTAAAATTTAAAACTTCTTGATAAAATTTTATTTAAAAATTTAAAATTGAAATACATTTTATTATGGCAAATAATTTTTTAAGCTCAATTATAAAATTTATTCAATCTTAAAAAGAAAAATGAGTTTCAGTTAACCTCTGCATTTCTAACTATTTTAAAGTATTTAAATGAGAAAAGTCTTTTGTTTCTTATTCGCTTGATTATTTTGTTTTTTAATTGTAGCCAAATTTTATTGAGGACTGTCTTAATTGATTGTTTTCAGTTGTTTGATTTATTTCTTGATGCTTTACTTGATTAAATGAATTTATTTTTTCATTGTTTTAAATTGAAGAATTTTCACCAATAGAAGATTTAGATTATGTATAAAAACTAGTAGCAGCAAGATTATTATTTTTATTTAAAATAATTAGTTTATTCTAATCTTAATTTGGTTAAGAAGCACTATGCTTGATTGGAGACCCATAAGCAAAACTGCATTATGATTAGCTCTTATTCATTTAGTTAGGAGAAATTAGTGTGTCTTTGTTACTCTCTGCTTAAATATTAGAATTACTTGAGATATTGTTTAAAGCGTTTGTTTCTATTTCTCTTTAGCTTTATTATTAGCTTTTCTTTGGGGTTTGGAAAATAGTTTTTTAAGTTTATTATGCTTATTTAGAATTCATCTAAGAGTCTTATGAGTTTTTACTCTTTGGAGAATTGCAGATTATTTTTTTTATATATAAAGTGTTATAGAGCTATTCATTAAATTCTTAGTCATTAATAGTATTAAAACTTACTAAGTTATTTTTGCTCTTATTTCTTAATTTATTAAATGATTATTTTCTCTCTGAATACTACTTAAATTGAGCATTCTGCCTCTCTTAATCCTATTAATGATCTATTGTTACCATTTTTATTTCAATTTAACCAGGATTTACTTTTATTTATTTTACTTATTAATTATTTTATTAGTTTATTTAGCTCCTCTCTTATGGAGGTTAGCTTAATGAAAATATATTTTTTTCAGTGTTTGATTATGCCATGCTCAAGCTATTATTCCTTGTTTTTTCTATCTTCCTCAAGTTAGCAGATTTTTATCTCATAACTCTTTCTTCTTAGTTGTAATTGTCTTAATAAATTTATAAATGTTTATTAAAATCTGCAACCTAAAACCTGTGCTGCACTTCATTCGATCTTATATACTGCCTTTTCAGCTTCTTTTAGATGTAAGCTTTGTGTTTGAGAATTTCAGGTAATTTGCTTAATTTTTTTTTAGTTTAGTGAATAACTGGATGATCTTCGTATATTATTGAAGATTAATCTAATAAAGACTGTTCAGTTTTCATATTTTCTTTGGTAAAATTATTTGAAGGACTAACGCTTGTTTTCACTCTTTTACTTAGAAAGCTATGATTAGATTTAATATCCAATACTTCAGTCACATTCAATCTATTTCGAGATTTATTTTCTGCTTCTTCAATAGTGAGTGATCTATTTTTCTAGTTAGAAGACAGTTAATTATTAGGGTAATTCATTTTATCCATTAATGGCATAGTGGTCTGGTGATTTAAAACTTAAGAAGTGCTTCTCTACTCAAAAAGAATTAATTAGTCTATCGTATTACAATAAGTTGAAGGTGGATTTGGTGTTAATGTTTCTGAGTATTTTTTGGTCTCTAGTGTTTAAATGGTCTATCCTTTAGTATTAGCACTCCGATGAAACTCTAGTGTTTGATGAATTTTTTTATTATTGTAAACAGAGATAGGCTAAGTACTCATTTTATCTTTTATTAACTTTGATTCACCATTAATTATAAAAATTTACTGATTTTGCATTTATTTTTAATGAGATAGATTCATGTTAGCTTAATTGTTATTTTGAACTTCTTTTTGTTTCTCCCTAGGAATATTTTACTCAGTTTTAAGTTACTTTTATTCATTTGTCTATGATTTAGAAAGTAAAGATATTCCACATTAGTCTATATTTCTCAGTTCAGAAGATTATCTAAGCAAGTCACTATCTTATTTTTTGCTTGTTAAATATTTTAATTAATTTCTTTTTTTACCCATTTTAATAAGATTGTAAGAACCTAACTAAGAATCATATTAATTTTATTCAATATCTTAACTAAGATTATCTGATTAAAGTTATGTATTTTATATCTTTTAATCTTTAATCTATTTTTATTGCATATTTTTTAATGTTTCATTCTAAAAATTAATTTCTAAATCTAATAAATTCTATTCAGTATATTTATTAGTCAGGAGAGGAGTAATTGCTCTCATTTGCTCAGTTATATTCAAAGATATCTCCGTCTTAGCTCTTCTATTGCTAGAGTCTTCAACAGGAGCAGGCTATTCCTAATATTTACTTCTTTCCATTTAAAACTAAATATCAAGGGGTAAAACAGATTATTTTGTTTTGCTGTTCGTTAAAATTCTAAATATATTTTTAAAATAGTCTTAATATTAATAAATTTAATTATTTTCCTTTAAAATTTGTAAATTTAAAACTAAAAAGCCAATATTGGCTTCTGTAAATTAAATAGATATTTTATCAATTAAATTATCATTCATAATGTTTTATTATATTTGATAACATTTTTAAAGATATTTATTGTATTCCTGTTTTTAACAATCTAAAATTATCTTCTCAATTAAAAATTTATTAAAAATATAAAATGAATAATCTTAAAAATAAGTAAATAATTATTTTTAATTTTAAATATGATTACAGTTTATTAGAATTTACGTTTTCTATTGAGTGATGTCTTTATTTTATCTTTCTCAGTCTGCTCTGGATGATGTAATTTATTGAGTCTTTGTTTTTAACCCTCTAGGGTGATGGGGATTTTTTCTTTCTTAGCATAGCTTACTTTACTTTTTCCTGTATTTCTTTGAAATTTTCTTGCTGACTGAGATCTTATAAGAAGCTTGAGTTATTTTTTAGTGAGTTAGCAACAGGTTTAACGAATTCATTTGATATTTTTTTATGAGTTTCAAGTGCTTTTTATATGATTAATTATGTATCTTTACTTTCAAAAGAGGTTACTGATAGACTGCCTTTCTAATTTAAAAGTAATATTTCATCTAAGGCCATTTATGCTTCTTTTATTTTTTCATTGGAAAATTTAGCATTTTCTTCTAAAGCAATAGTATTAGGTGTGGGATCTCTTCTTTTTTTGTCTTCTACTGAATGCTGATTGCAAGAAATAGAAGGCAATGTTAAGTTTTCTTTTTTTTTTTGAATTCCAAATCCGAATTTATATTTCTTATATTTATCTCCGTTTGAAACTACTCTAGAAGGCTAATTATCTGAATTAATTGTTTATTGATCATTAGCAATTTAATCACTAATTTCACTCTCTAAATAAATATCATTTTAGTCTTATTTTAATCTTTAAGGGCTTTTAGAATTATTTAACCTCACTGGGCTTCTGCTTTCTTTTTTATCACTCTAAATTTAAAATGCTTTCTTTTCTTAAACAGGCTAAGTATTTACTTATCCTTAAATTATTATTTATTTATTAACATCGTTTGAAAAATTTCCTTCTTAAAATTCAAACTTGCTCACTTAAAGGTTTTAATATTTTTTTTTGCCTGAATTAAGTTAAATGGATAATTTCAATTTAGCAGGGTCTGTTGAAGTAAGACTAAGCTTTTTATCTTTTTCAACTTCTTAATTTTTTTCAATTTTACTAATAATGTCTTCTTTTTAGTAAGACTTTGACATAAGAACATAAAACAGTCTATTTATTTTTTCATCTCCTTTAGCACTAATTTGAGAAAAGAAAACTTTGTTCTCAATCAGCTCGAAAAAGAGTTATTTTTCAATCGAATAAAGGAAAGTATCATCTGAGCAACTAACTGCCTGATAGCTTCTTTCATAAATGAAATTCTCATAACCGAACATATCATTTTACAATAAAAGAGTAAGTCTTTTAAATTAATTTCCACTTTGCATACATAGCTCAACTTCTCCTCCACCAACAACATAAATTTTTTCAGTGTTTTCTTTGCTTGTAAAGACTAATTTGCCTTTTTTAAAAATATGCTTCTCAAAAAATTGGCAAATTAAACGTAAATCATTCTGAAAAATATTCCCAAAATTATTTTAAAAGGCAGATGAAATAATATTAAACTTATTTGGGAGTGCTAAAGTATTAATATAATCAATAGGTATTTAAGCTACAACCACTTTAGTTTAAGATACAGCAGTTATATTGCTAATATGTTCCTAAGCACTAACCAAACCATTTTCAGTTTGAATTTCCCCTACCATCTACCCTGTATTTAGAGTTAAAACTCTCTTTAAAGGAAATATATTAATATTCGTTAAGTATTCCTCTTCGAAATTAGGAAATGACCGAACATAAATAGGATCATTATATTATTTTTCATTTCTATCTACTAATTTAAATGCGTTCTTCAGCTTAATCTCAGCCTTTTTTAGTAAAACTTTATTTTCACTCTCAAATTGTTACGCATAATCGTATTTATTTTTAGTTTCTTCGAAATGTACTCTCAATTATTTCTCATAATCCAACTCCACCTTTTATTTTTTAACGAAAATAGATATCTAGCCACTCAGTATAAAATAGATGTAATACAAAGGTTCGTTATGATTGATCAATATCCTGTATTATTCCATTTTCTTTATTTTCGAGTTTTTTACTATTTCACTGATCAGACGCTCTGATTAAGAAATGTCTTTGAAGAATGGGTGATCAGCTATAAACAGTCTAAGCTTCTCTTCCATTCTTCCTAAATTCCTTCTACTTTAATAAATTAAACGTTTAAAACAAAAGGATTCCTTACTAAATAATTTAATAATTTCTTAATTAATTAATTAATAAATAATTAATCATAAATATTTTTATGAATAAAATTGTTAATAGAATTTCATAATACTATGATATTAATTTAATTCCAAGTTTATATGTTTTTCCATATACCTATTATTCGATTTCTTCCTTTTCTTTTGATAGAGTAAACAATCTTTAAATGATCATTTATTTTTATAGCTTACAACTCATTTAATTTTTATAAAATACTCCTATCCCACTTTTCTTAAATGTTTTTAAAACAAATATTAAAATTGCAAAATAAAAATATAAATAAATAAATATAATAGAATTTAAATTTCTATTATTTAAAGCAAATTTTTTGATATCAAGATTATAATTTTGTGTTTAATCCTTAAAAGTATTTTGAGTTTATTTAAAAAATGTAAAATTGAAAAATTTATTTTCTTTTTTAATTTATCAAAAGTTCCAAATATTTATGAATAATTATTCTGATACGAAATTTTTTAAATTCAAATTGATTTTTATGATAAAATTATTTTTAAATAAAGTTTAAAGCAATGGCTTTGATAAAATTAGTTTTAAATGGCTTTAAATATAAAATAATCAATATAAAATGTATTACTTTTTAAACATAATAAATAAATATTCTAACTTAAATTAATTAGTAAATATTTTAATTTAAATCTTTTGATCTCTTTAAAATTATTAAAAATTTTATAAAAAATCTAATATTTAAATTCTAAAATTTTCTATCAGTATAAAAATAAATGATTAATAGTATATATACTTATATATTTCCTAATATTTTCAAGAAAACCAAAGTAATTAGAAAAAGATTAATCATATATAAATTTTACATATAAATTAGATTTATTTATTTATTAATTGAAACATCTCTTTTAATTTAATTAATAATTTATTTAAAAAGAGTTATTTTTGATATATTTGTTATTTAGAAATATTTTTCAAGATCTTTTAAAAAACTCTTGAAATTTCTAATTTTTTTATAGTAAGCATAGAATTTATTTATTTTTTAGATTTAAATCAATATTTCTGTACCTTCCCTTTTTGTTTTCTAATATCACTTAACTTATTTTAGTCCATATTTGATCTCCACGATTATTTTTCATTATTTCTTTTTTTATATTGCTCTTATTTATCTAAATATTTATCGATTTCCTATTTATTGATATTTATTGTTTTAATTTAATTAATTTTAATTTATTATATCTTACTTGAAGTTCTTAAAATACATCTTAACTCTCGACTCTTGATAACTGTTTCATTTTGTCATACTCATCAGGTTTTTAAAATGGAATGATAAATTATTTCTTTTGTTTATTTTAATTCTATAAGACAGTATCGTAATGCTTTTTGACCTAAGATTTAAATTTTTTTAAAATACCATCATAAAAATAAATAATATAATTACTTCTGCTGTTTAAATGGATATCTTATCTTTGTAATTATCTTTAAAATCAAGTTTTGTAGGATTTGTTGAACCTTATTTAAAAGAAACCAACATTTCACCACTCGGATTCCAAAGCTTTACTAACTTATCAAGACCAACAGTTAAATATGTCATTTCTTTAGTTTCGTTTATTTTTTAAATAACTTTAATTTATTCTGAATGGGCTTTCCATTATAAAACCTATTTTGATATTCTTTAAATATATCATAAATGTATTATTTAAATTTACTTATTTAGCCTTCTTTTCTTGCAAAAGAGGTTTTTCATCCTTTTACAATATTTCTTGATCCAAATCTGAAAAAATATACTTTAATATAAATAAGCAATTAACTTTAGCATATTAAAAAATTGATTTTAAATATAAAAATGATTAATTACATCAATTGCTCTCTTTAAGTTCCTGTTTTCTTCAGGAGAATTAAATGGCTTAATCTAGAATTCATTTAATAGTTCATTTAAGTTTAAGAATCTTATGTATCCGATTTCATCACCAAGGATGAGATCAAGTTTGACTTAATTGTCTTTGACAATTACTTAGTGATCCATTGAAGTAATTACAGCTGCCTTCTATATTGTAAACATGTTTTTCCATTTTATTAGAAGCTTTCCGTTATAATAATCAGATTGCTTTAAACCCCAAACATAGATAAACCCACTGCTATCTGCACCTGCAATCAAGGGGAAAGGATCTAAAATTTTTATCATAACTATTTCATTGACACTCTAAGGAATAATTATCTTATATAAAAAATTCCCTTTTTCAAAGTCCCAAATACGAATGCAATTGTCTCTTGATACTGTAGCTATTTAAAGTAAATTCTCACTAAAAACTGCAGCCGATATATCACTTTTAGAAACATTTTTTATGGCTCTAAGACATGCTTTTTTAAATTTAAATTAACAAAATAAATTCAATTTGAAATTAAGTTAAAATTTATGAATTTACGCTTTTCTTCATTTTTTTCAACTCTCTCGTCACAAAAAACTCTTATTGTTTGGTCCCATCCTGCTGAAATCAACAGTCTAAAATAATAAATATTATAAAATAGTTTATTAATTAATATAATTACGAGTTTTTAGTGCTCATAGTCAAGAAGCATATCTCTTTTAAATGGAAGTTAAGGTCTTTGATTTTGAATCCTGTTAAACAATCAATGCACCTTTTTAATAAAGAAATATATAAATTTTTCATAATGAAAAATTAAAGAAATATCCTAAATTACCTAATTTTACCGTCATGCTATCCTAAATATAATTTTCTTTGATTAGCATCAAGGGCCATGCTTGTTATGTCTGATTCGGTGATGCTCTTGTAGACTCTTTGAACTGTTCCTTTTCTAAAATTCCAAACTCTGACATTCTTTCCAGCTCCAGTATAGAATTCACAATTATAAGGCGAATATGCCAAACATAAAATTTATTTATCATCAGCTAATTAAGGATCAAAGCTTGTATCAAATTCATAAAAGCTGAGTTTCTTTGAACCTAAAATTAGCTTTTAAAAAATTTATTAAACACTCAATAAAAAATATTGGACATTTAATTTACTTTATTTTCATTTTCCCTAAAAACTGCTACTTTATAGTGGAAAGTTCCTTATTTTTTATACATATTTTTAGTCTTTTCAGTGTCCTATGGATATGTGGCTTAATTTTTTTTTGCTTTTTTTTCTTACAATCTATATTAATCTTCTTCTGCATTAATTGTTTAGATTTCTTAAAATGCTTAAATATTCCATAGTTTTACCACTCCTCTGGCATCTACAGATATTACAATATTTGCAAAAGATTCTGGTGTAATCACTGTAATTAAAGGAGCATCATGACCACTCAACCTATTGAGACAAAAAACATTATATTAAAATTCAATCATTTTTTTGAATATACTTACTTAGCTACTGGATGCTCTAAGTAGGCATTCCAAACAAGGACATCGAAATCAAATGAGCAACTGACGATATATTTATTTGCTTCGTTATAACAAATGCCTTTTATTCCTTTAATATGACCACAGAGTAATTTAAATGTTGTTTTTAATTCTTTTGAATCGCTCTCATCCATTTGGTTGTCATAAAGTCTGATATTTGTATCATTAGACCCTGTTGCTAATACTCCCAAGCTCTCAATGTTTAACATGCAGGTTACATCTAATTATTCACGGCTTTTTAATAGAATAAATATTAAATAAGAGTCATTAAATTTGTTAATTCAAATATTTTTTATTGTTTTATAATAAAATGCATACATTGGATCTTATTTAAGAGCTTTTTCAAATGATTTTTTATTGATATATTAAGATTCAAACAACTTCGAAAATATCTTTTCTACATTCCAACAGCAAATAATACCTTAAGAGTTTGCTGTATAGAGAGTGTTTTTTTCTTCGCTGTATTCGATGTGGATCTGAGCATCTGGAACTGGGAATTTTCTTACAATCTTTTTATTTTCAATATCATAGAAACTTATGTTTTTATCGTTAGAGCATAAGGCAAGGCAGTTTTTAAATTTAACATAGATAGCACAAGTAAAAGTCGAGCTTTCGAATTCTATTTCTTACTCTTGCACTAATGTTTTAGCATTAATTAACTTCAAATATTTCATATTTGCTTCTAAGAACCCAAAAAACTAAGTTCCTTTAAAGGTGTATATTTTTTCTATAGGGTTATGCTCATAGCCTTCTATGTTTTCACATAGATTTAGCTTAGTTTCGTAGAGATTTTCATCTCTATTAAGGAGTTCAGGTATTTCTATGATAAATTATGTAAGCTCTTTGAAGCTTATTTTACCACGATTTTTCACATCAATGAGATTAAAAACTTCCACAAAACAGACTAAATATTCATCCAAATCTATATTATACTCTGAAGACTTAAGCACTACATTGCACATCATTACTACAAACTACATTATAATAATTTTTTATCTTAAAAAATATATGCTTTCCTTATTTATTTATTTTGATTATACAACATACATAATTCATTTTAGATTTTATAAATTTGTTTTAAAATAGTAGAATACTTGCTTCACGTTCATCTCTAGATCCTCGTAGATTTCAAACTCTTTTTTGATATCAATGAATTCATTAGGTGATATCGATTGCAAAATTTCATATTTTTTATAATGTTCAGGAGTCTAAGTGTGAACAGAAAATGCCTCAGAATCAAAATCCTCAGAGCCAAATATTTTATACTTTTTATAATTTTCATTGTCTAATCCCTTTTCCTCTTCGCTATCTTCTCTATCACTGTCATCTTCAGAGCTTTCATCATATTTATTCTTCTTTTCTTTCTTTTTCTGTTATTAATTATATCATTTTATTTAGTTTTTATAATATCAAAAATATATTTTTTAACAAAGTCAAAAATGATAAAATATTTACCCTTTAAACAGGATAAATATCATTTGCTTTAAGAATATATGCGTGCTTGCTGAACTCATTTAAAAGATGATTAAACACTCCTTTTTGCTTCATTTTACTTTTGTAATTTAGCTTAATAACTCTTTAAAATTAAATATAGGTGATTGATTTATAAAAAACACAATAAATATTGAGTTTACAAATTTACAAATTAATTTGAATTATTATGAATGAATCTATAGATTCCAATAGATATTGAATCTATTTTTTGATCATTCATTCACTCATTCAATCAAGCAAAAAATATACCTTGTTTTTCACACTAGATTTTAAACAGACAAAATTCATTAAATTTAATATGTGGAAACTATTTTTCAACAGAAAATATAGTTTTTGAGAGATCATCAAAAATAAAAACTCACTATGATATTTGATTATTCTTTTTTGATTTATTGACTTTCTAATGATAATCAATAAAAACCCAATAGCCTATTCTCTAGTAAAAATTTCCTATTATCTCCTTAAAGATAAAGAAAAAGGAAAAAATAGAAAGAAAAAAATCATTTTTATGGATTAAATTGACAAATCTAAAAAACATAATGAAGTATTCTGAAAATATAAAAAAAGGCAATCAAATTATTGTTTTTGCTTTTAGAATTCTTTTATCTTAGTATAAAAACTTTCCATTTTTCAATATCAGAATCTTGAATTATCAATTTTATAATTATCTAAAATTTTCTAAAATTTTTTGAAAAATTTTCAGTGAGTAAAGTATTTGTTTGCAAATGAAAAGTTAAAGGTTTGAAATAACATTATATGATGAACTCCACCATAATAAATTTAAGAAATATAAATAGAAGGGAATTTTAAAAAAGCATGGCTTAAGTTATTATTAATAACTTACAATAACAAAAAATATGAATACATAACAATAAAATAATTAGATTTTGAAATAGTATTATTTTTCAAGGTATTTAACTTTTATTATTATTTCAGACCTTCTTTCCAACGGTAGCGAGGACCTTGTTGGCAAGAACAACGTATTAGGCCTTAGCATCGTTTTAAGAAACACCCTTCTTCTTGTTCCAAGCTTCCCATTTGGCCTTACCCTTGAAGTCCAACATACCAGGCTTAGCGGTAGTGTTGTCACCAGTGGTACCTTACTTGTATAAGGCGTATAATTCTAACTTGTTGTCATCGGAGGTATCACCTTTATTCTTGAAGAAGTTAGCGATTTCTTCAGCAGCTAATTCGAAATTTTCGGCCATTTCTTAATTCTTTGTTTTCTTACTTTATTTATTTATTTTTACTTTAATTATTTGTTTTGATAAATATTATTAATTTTGAAATTTACCAGCGGTTTTTAAAGAACACTCAGGCATATCTAGAATAACAGATACCAGTTTATGATTAATCACATTTGGAAAAAATATATATGATTTGCTCATTAATTAATGAATGAATGAATTGAAAGACCACCTCATAATATTAAAATATAAATTTTATAAATAAATATAAATAGATATTTTTGGGCATTGATTTTCTTTTATATAAGGCTCGTCATTTAGTATCGTGGAAAATAAATGAATAACTATTCTAATTTTCTTATCAACATACGTCATCTCTAACTCTTTATTTACCTTATAAAAGATATATTAATATCAAAAAATCACGATTCCAAAACCTGGCCTAAATAAAACATCATAATATCTTTTCTCCAAACAAGTAGCTCTTAACTTTTATATGCAATATTATTTGAAGAAATATGTAAATATGTCTTTTTTAAATAATATTAATTTATTAATAGTAGAATTTAAAAAAGCACCAAGCTGCCCAATAGCAAATTCCAATATAAATTTATTAGTTTTCTTTTGTCAGTATAAAAATTAGATATGCATTTCTGCTCTTGAGTATTTTGAATTATCAAAAAATAAATAAATAAATAAAATAATATCAATGATACTTATAGTGAAATATTATAATTCTTATCAACTTTCTTTATTTTGCTTTCAATGTTCAATATAAATTATTTAAATTATATCTTTTAAAAAACTATTTCATTTTATTATCACTTCCATTGTGTTTTAGTCGGATTTGTAATTTAAAGCCAAAAAAAGGTGAAAGATATTGGTAATTGTTGCTTTTTACTTTAATTAAGCAAAGAGTGATCAAAAACAGAATAGCAAAACCTTAAAACTGAATATCTTTTCCTTAATTCCAAATCGTCCTGATCACAAAAAGATTTATTTTTTGAAAATAAATACAATTTTCATAATACATACCAACTTTTAAGGTGGATAGTAAGTAATTGATATCTAAAATAAATCATTATTTTTGGTTAATATTTAGCTTATTTTTTAAATACATTTTAAATTTCTAAGAAAAATGAGAATAAGAATAGATCAACAAGAAATAAAACTATTATTTTGAGCACTGATTTTTTCATTTTCGAGAAATTAATTAATACATTTTCTCAATTTATGATGAATAGATGTTTGGAATTTTGTAAGATTTGACCTATAAAATTTACATGCCAGTTTAAATAAAACCAAAAAATTAAAACATATTAGCTAATAGCTTAAAGATTACTTGCAACAAAATATAGATTTATTAAACATGTAAGTAGATATGAATAATTATATAGAAAAATACTTTCAAAATTGGGCAGATATAAAGAAGAATTTTATCTTATTTTTTTCTAAATTAAGTAACAAAAAATTAATTTGAGAGAGTGACCTATTAAAAATATTGTAGAAGTATTATAACATAGGAAATATTATGCTAATTTAAAAAAATACTTAATATTATCATATTTGCATATCATTATTACTAAAAAAGTTGCGTAATAAGTTTTAAAGTGGTGATGCATATCAAATATTAAATAAAAATCTTTTTTATAGAACAAAAATATCAATTCATGGTTATACGAGAGTATATAGCAAGGAAGATATGAATGAATAGTAATTTTTTAAAATATAAGAAAGAAAATTGTGTTGAAAGATATTATTAATCTTTTATTGTTTTGTAAATTCTTTTACTATTTAGATATTTATGACATCATTAAATTTAATATTAAAAATTAAATTACTTCCATTCTAACAACTTCTATTTATCTATATAGTAAGGTAAAATATAAGTTAATATTATAATATAATATTTTTAACTACAAAATCAACTTTTTTAAGATCAAATAAATTGTTTGTTAAAAGCTGAATATATTTAAAATTCATATAAATAAATATTGCAAATTTAAATAAATAAAATGAATTTTAAAAAATTTAACTATTTCTATTATTAATTAAATTAATTATTTTAATTGAATAAATTAATCATTTTTGATAAATTAAATTAATTATTTATTTATTCATTAATTTTTAATTTTTATTGCTTAGTAATACTGCTTGCTATATGAAATTAATTAGTTTTAAAAAATTAAAAAATATTTTCTAATTTTAAAAAAATAATAAAAGATATTAATGAATATTTTAACTTAAATATTATTTTATAAATTTTCTTTCTATTAAATTAACTTTTCACTGCAAGAAATTATATTTGAATATCTTATTTATTTTTAAATAAGAATATTGACATACTTTCTATGTTTATTGCTAATATGAAATGAATTAAGTTTTAATAATATTAAATAACATACATTATGAGTGTTTAGAATATTTTTTTTAATTTTCAGTAATTTAATAAATTATAAATAGCAAAATTAATATTAAAAGTTTTTTAAATAAAATAATTAATCATAAAGAAATAAACTCAATAAAATCTTTAGATAAATAATTTAATTTAATTTTTATATTTAAATTTAAAATGATATTGATTAATAGGATGGTTTAGCTATAATATACATATATAAATTTAAGATAATTGGTCCTGAAAAATATATTCTAATTAAAATAATTATTTAGATTGAAAAATATTTTAAATGGAGAGTTTACTTTCATTAGAATTTTATTGTTTCAACAACTACTTTTAACTATATAAATTAAATGTAGATTCAATTTGTATGTATATTTATTTGCATTCAAACTAATAACAGAAGTTTAAATTTTCAAATATCACCTTTTGTTTGATTTAAGTAAGACTAATTTGTAGCAATCTAATCAGGATTATATTTAATATTTTTTTATTTAGCTTTTATTGAACTTTCATACATTTCTTTATCATCATACAAAAATCCAAGCCACTAATCAACTTCTTTAGTGTCTGGGTACATCTTTTTTACTTTCTTATAGCATTAGATGGCAAGATTAGTTTGCTTATTTTTATAATACAAATGTCCTAGCAAGAGATATCCCTTATGAGAAGAGAAAGTTTTTAATTCTAAAAATTTTTTAATACTTTGAATCCCTTCTGGAATTAGGTCGTCATCATAATAGCATAATGCAATATTGTAATGTGCATTCTAATACTTTGGATTGACATTTAAGGCTTTCTGATACCATTATATAGAGAGTTCATTCTCTTTTAGTTCATAATATATTAACCCTAAATTATATAAAAGATCACACTAGTTAGGATTTATTTTATAGCCTTTTTCAAATACCTCAATTGCTTCATTGTACATGTGCAATAGCTAATATGTTATACCTAAATTATAAAGTGCATTTTCATCATCAGGTAATAAATCTACTAGTTTTAAGTAAATTTTAAGAGCTTTTTCATTGTTATCCAATTTGGAAAATATCTATCCTAAAAACTTATACGTATCTATACATTTTGGGTCAATTTCAATAGCTTTTTCAGACCAATAGATGCATTATTCTGAATCATTGAGCTTATCATAAGTTATACTTGTGTTATAGCAAGCATCGGCAAACTTTGAATCTAGCTCGAATGATTTTTTGTACATTTAAATAGCTTCTTCATAATTTTGTTCCTCATAGTAGACAATTCCCAAATTAAAGTAAGCGTCACAATAATTTGGGTTTAGCTGAATAGATTTTAAATACCACTTTTTAGCCTCTTCTAATTCTTTTCTGTAATAATAAGTAATACCTAAGTTGTAGCTTAAATCCGATTAATTAGGTTTTAATTCATCAGCAATTAGATACTCTCTGATTGCCTCATCATAATTTTTCTGTTTGTAGTAGCATAGACCTAAATTAAAGTGAGCATCCTCTAAACTAGGATTTTTTTCAATTGCTTACTTAAAAAATTGCATTGCTTCATCTAATTTCAGTTCTTTAAATTTAATAACTCCCAAATAAAAATACTAAACCTCATTTTTCTCAGCTAAGCCAATCCCTTTAGTCAGGAATTCTATTGCTTCTTCTTATCTTCCTTCCTTTACATAAATGTCTATCAGCCTTTTGAAGGGATCCATGTAGAGAGGGTCTAGTTTTATAGCTCTTTTATACCAATCTAAAGCTTCCGGGTATTTATTTAGTTTCTCGTACGAAAGTCCTGTACTATAGCAGATATCAACAAAATCAGGATTTAAGTCATAGGCTTAAGAGTAGTATTTGAGTGATTCTTCGTACTAACCTAAATCATAATAAGTAACACCTAAATTATAGATTGCATTATTGTAGTTAGCTTTAATTTTGATAGCATTTTTATAGGACTAAATGGCTTCATCATATTACTATAAAGAGTGGTAGGCTATTCCCATATTATAGTATGCATCATAGGAGGAAGGTTTTACATCTATCGCTATTTAGTATTATTCTATGGATTCCTTCATTAATTTTTTATCATAGTAAATAAGAGCTAAATTATAGTGTGCATCGCTAAAGTTAGGATCTACCTCAATAGCTTTCTAGTATTGTTGAATAGCTTCATCTTATTGGTTTAAATTTTAATAACACAGTCCTTAATTTACATATGCATTGACAAGATTTTTACTTTTTTCAGCAGATTTCTAAAAATACCACAAAGCTTAATCAAATTGTTTCTAGTTATAATATTATAGTCCTAAATTATTATAATTATCACCAAAGTTAGGGTTTAATTATATTGCTTTATCATACCATATTATAGCATCTTCTTGTTTTTGTTAGTAATTGTAAATATTTCCAATCATATTATATGCTTGCTCATAATATGGATTGATTTTTATAGCTTACTTAAAGTAATTAATAGCGATATCATCTTCTCCTTTTTCATAATAAATGTAACCAATTTTAAAATGAGAATCTGCATCATATTTATTAAGCTTTATTGACTATTTGAGGTTCAGTATAGCTTGCTCTTATTTTCCCTACATGAAATACTCGCATCCCAAATAATAATAAGCTCTTGAGTAATTTTTGTTTAACTCAATGCTTTTTTTAAATGACTCTTCAGAGTTAATTGTATCCCCTATTATGTAATAGCAATATCCAATAGATGAGTAAGTTTCGTATGAATTAGGATTTATTTCTATTACTTTTTTAAATTTCTCAATAGCTTCGCTTTCTTTTTTTTAGTCAAAAAAGCTATAGGCTTCATCAAGCAAATCTTCAATTTATTAATTAAAATCTTCTAAATCAAATTCCCAAGTATTTTCTAATTACTAAATTTAGAATTAGTCGAGATTTTTTTAAGCTTTATCAAAAGAATCTATTTGCTTAAGAATATCTGGTCTTTTTATCTGATCAAACTAAAAAAAATCTAAGAGAATATAATTGATATCGATATCAATGCTCTTTTAAAATTAGTAATACATAGTCCCATAACTTAATTCCTTTAAATAGTATAGCAGGTTCTTTGCTTAAGCCATAGAATATAAACACATTCCAATACACCATAAATCTGCTTATTAATTCCATATTTACTAAATGGACTGTGATTCTGCATCAACTGAATTATCTAAAAACTCAGGTGGTAAGTAGAATTAAATATTTTACATAATTTACATGTCAAAGAACTGAGTTGAGTTTGAAGGATTGATTTCTTTTGCTTCTCCAAACAATTAAATCTTTATATTCTAATTTTACAAAAAGATGTTTCTAGGGGCAAAGTTATATAGAACCAATCCTTTAGAATGAATAAAAGAGGCTGCATCTAATATTTATTTTGAAAGCATTATAAAAGTTTGTCTATCTATTTTTTTTCTCCTATTTTCAAGAATCCAGTCCTAGAGAGTCTAACCACAGTACTCCATTTAAACCAAATAAAAATGCTAAATCTGAAAATGGCTTATGCATTTTATGATATTTTCATGAAGTGACTCTGAAATATCTTTAGCTAACTTTTGAGCATCAGCTAATTTATTTTAGCAGACTACTCCTAGCTCTTCAAAATCAGATTAAAGATTGATTATTTTGAGTAAATACTAAAAATTTGATTATTTTATATAAACAATATCTGAGAGTCCTTCTTCGTATTTTTTAGAATCAATAATTTAAATGTTTTAAAATTTTAATAGGTCCTTTTCTATTATTTTAATATGAGATTGGTTTTATGATGTATTTAAGATGAAGGTTTAATGAAGCATATTAAAGTCTTTTTTAATAGTAAGTAAGTAATTAATTAATAATTTTTTTGATAAAAAATTATAGAAAAAATATTACTAAAGATAAATATAATGAATGATTCCTTTTATTTTCTTTTCTATATAAAATAAATCAATATATATTAGAAATATATTAGAAATCGGAATCGAAAGAAAAATTATTCAATTTTTTAACCAATTTTAAAACCAAATATTACTTATTATGAATTTATTATATCTTTTCAACATCAATGAGTATTAATGGTATATAAAAATATTTATTTAGTTATTAATTTAATACATAATATATAAATTCTATAAAATTGCTAAATAAAATATCATTTCAAATTTTGATAATAGACTAAATAATTAATAAATTTTATATTTTTCTTATTGATAAATATAAATTTACAGATTCAATATTTGAAAGTAAAATATTATTAATAAAATGTATTAAATCTATCTTCATTTTTCTACTAAAGCTTCATCTTTTATTAATTATTTCTTGATGTTCAATTTTTTCATTTTAGAGTTCTATTGAATATTTATTTAGTATTTATTTCTTCAAAACAATTTTCTTTAATATTTTAAGTATTTTTATTAAAATTTATTTGTTTATAAAAATTGATGTTAATTTCTTCATAATAATTTTAAGACTTTCAAAAAATTGAGTGAAAGAAAAATAATTTTAAAATTAGTATATTAATTAGTACTTATAATTAAACAATTAAAATCACTTTAATGAAACATTATTTACTTTCACTCTTTTTTATCTTTATTTATTTTAAAAACTTAGAATAAATTTAATCTTTAAAAATGTTTAAAGAGTAAAAATTAGGTATAATGTTTTCATAATTACAAAACTTCAAAAAATATTTCTGGTGAAAATAAATGAATAATCAAATAAATTATTAATATAAAACAACTATAATAATCCTTATTAATAATCATAAATAAAATCAAAAATTATTTGCTATCTCTTTTATCATCTTTGTTTATAGTATGATCATATTTTTAAAAACAATTTTTTTAAATTTTCTAGGTATTAAAGCTAAAAAATAAACAAATATAAATAATATTATCATTGCATTTTAAAAAGCTAGAAATTTTATTAAAAAAACAACTTTTTTAAAAATATAAAAAACAAAATTTCTTTTAAAAATGTTTTAATTTTCAAATTTGTCTAATAAAATACTATCAAAAGTAAGTAGATATATAAACAAAGTAATTTGAAAAAAATTAAGCAGAGAAAATTTTTGCATAATCAATTAAGCTTCAAAATTTAGTAATGCCAACATCAATCATAATGAGTTTATTTTCTTTATAAATTATAAAATAAAAAAATATTATATAAAATAACAAGTTATATTCAATTTACAATAATTGATTGAAATATTTATTTTATAAATTTACATAAATTTCGTTTTATCGGAACTGTATGTGTTATTGATTTCACTCATTTATATATTTATTCATTAATTCATTCATTTATTTATTAATCTTAAAATAAAAGGTTAAGAAAATTTGAAAGTTCTTTTTAAATAGAGAAGGAACAATCAATTAAAATAAAAGATTATTAAAAAATAATAAAGGACTATTATATTTATATTAATTAGCAAGTAACTTAATCAATTAAAAAATATCTCAATAAAAGCATTATTTAAGAAAATGTCTCGTTATCCAAGAGAATCATTAGTTTAATATGAACCTGAAACAGCCATTCATAAGAATAGCGATATTGCAAGAATTTCAAGTTTAGGTAATAAAAAAAAGCATTAACTTCCTCCTCTTGAGTCTAAGCCTTCTACTGATGATATATTGAATGCTATTTTACCTCCTAGAGAATGGGATCACGAAGGAACCCATTACATTTAATATGTTTCTCACAATCCTGCTTCAAGAGAAGATGTTGCTAATTTATAAAAGACTTTGGATGAAAAATTATTGGCTAGACAAGCAAGGTAATAATTAATTAGTTTTAGCATATTTGTCTTTTAAATTATTTGAATGTTTAAAATAGCACATTTTTTAATTTTTAATCATCAAAAAACTTTTAAATTCAAAAATTAGAGATTCTGGTATTTGCCCTATAAGAGAAGAACTCCATAGTTAGTGTTTTGATGAAATTATTAGACAAGTTACAATTGACTGCCCAGAAAGAGGTAAATTGATATTGTTCTTAACAAATAACATAAAGCAGTTAATAAAAAAATTAATACTACAATATGCAACTGTCTAAATTAGTAAATTTATAAGTGAATTCAGTTGAAAGAAAGGTTTAATAAGTTTTTAATGAATAATTTAATCTAAAATTTGTTTCAAAGTATTAATTTGGATGTCTTAAAATTTTAGTAGATATATTGAGTTATTTAATATTGAGAAATGCTAGTTATTACAAATTATTATGATGATTTTTATTAAAGAAAATGAACTGCTTTAAATTAAACATCAAAAACCTATTAAAATTTAATTGATATATTAATAATAAATATAAATAATAAAAGGTATATTATTGTTGAGAGTTAGAGATGAATTAAAAATGACTATTGCTGCATACCAAACTTTATATCAATCATCTGTTACATTTGGTATGAGAAAGTAATTATAGTCTGAATAAGGTAAAGCTGACACAGAATTAAAAATATCTGAACTAGAAAAGAAGAAAGCAAAATTAGAAGAAAGAGTAATTATTTAGTTTTTCAATCTTCGTTTTTAATCGGCTTTTTTTGATAATTTAAATTTAGAGAGTAGAACTGCTAAACAAGAAAGAAGCTATAGAGAAAAGAAATAAAGAAAGAAGAGATATCGAAGAATAAAAGAGAAAGTAAGAAATTGAATTCTTAAAATATCAAAGTTAACATTTAGAATAGTTCCTTAAATCTGTTACTCCTGATCTTAAATGAGGCTATATTAAAAATTGATTTAAAATAATATTTATCATATTATTATCGATATATACATACACACATCCATACTTATAACTGTTGTCAATTTTCTAATTAATCAGTTTAATTTAAAAATGAATTATTTTTCATTTATTGTAAAAAATAAAACAAATAAATTTCTAAAAATTAAAATTTAAAAAAAATTATGATTTGAAAAAATAAAATTTTATGGAAATTATTTTAAAAAATATTTTTTTTAAAAAATAAAATTGCAGTTATCAATCATAATCTGCTTAAAATATGAATGAAACTAGTTGTTAAATAAGACAAATTAATATTTTAATTTAATTAAATTGCTTGGTTATTTTTTAAATGAAAAAAATGAAAGTTTATTTGTTATCACTAATTTATTTTTTGGTTTTACTTCTTTGTGAGGAAATCAATTATTTAATTAATTCATTAATTATACAAAGACTTCTTCACTAATATTTATCAACATAAAAGTCAATATAATTTGTATTTATATAAATCTTATATAAGTTTTCTTGAGAAATATCCTCTTCGAAATAAATTTATAATATTATTATTAAGAGGATTGGTTAAGCACATCATAGAATCAAGATAATTTTATAAAAAGCCAGAATAATAAATGAACATAACTAATTAAGTTTAGAATCCTCTTTTGATTTAATAAAGGGATATGAGATAACCACTTTAAAAATAGTTTAATTAGTAGAATAGTTAATTAGTAAATTACTCAACGGCTAGTAAATAATCTTAAGTATCTAGCCCTAAAGAAATTATAAAAAATAATGAAGACACTAAATAAAAATGTTTGTCTGGAGAGGAATGCTTTCGATAGAGAAGAATTTAAATTTAAAATTAGCAGCTTTTGAATTAGCAGAAAAACATCTTAGACGAATTTATAAAATACAATTAAAATATTTAAAAGACTTCTGATGAGTATATAAGCTAGCGTAAGCAGTGGAATAAATCTTTCGATCTCTCTAAGAATAAGAAAATTATTAGTATTAAAGGATAAGAGGAAGAATAAAATATTATAACTATTGCTTAGTATATGGTAAATAATTCAAATAAATCATTTGAAGAGCAACTAAATAATTCTATTCATCCTTCTCTAAGATCATCTCCAAAAAATGAAAATAGTAAATAGAAAGAAAATTAGAATCCTATTTCTCAATAAGTAATTCAGTTACCTTAAGATAAAAAATAAACTGAGCCAGAATAAATGTAGAAATAAAATACACCACTAAAAATATATAAAAATAACAAAATATATAAAAATTAGTATGCTTAAAAAATTCAAAATGAAGGTAGTATTATGCAGTAAAGTTTGTAAATTAGCTATGAAAAATCTACTCCTAAAGCAATACAAGATGGACAAGATAATTTTAAAATCAAGTATATACAAACTGATTTAAACACGTATAAACTAACTCCTTAAACTGCAGTGTAAAATAATAAGCTGCTAAATAAAGGAAGGTATGATGGTAATGATAAAAGATAAAGGGCCTCTTCTGTGACAAATAAAAGAACTAATTCCTAATTGGGATAGCCAATAAGAGGATCTAAAAAGTAAAGCATAAAGTCAAGACTTAATAGTGATTCTTATGAGATTCAAACTGAGAATAGCAACAAGCTGCCTGAAATATTTTAATTCGAGGAAGTTCCTTAAATCGCTTAAAATTAAATTAATACTCCTAAATCTATTTCTAGTAATATTGCATCTTCAAAGCCTATAGAGTCGCTATAAGATACAGGTGTCAAGCTTTCAACTTATAACTAAAATTATTCCACCAAATCTTCTTATAGATAAAAAGATTCTGCTGACTCAATGTGCCAAACAGAGCCAAATGATTAATACAAAATCACAAAATTAAACGAAAATTAAAACCACTCCACTGAACCTGATTCTTCATTTTTATTGACAGAGTACAAGGTTTATAACTCTAAATCTTAATATAAAAATCATGGAAGAAGATTTCGTTCTTAATCAAGAGCTTCTTCATAGATGTCTGAAAATATAGCATAGACTAATTAAGTGAGTCCAACCTCTTTAGGAATAGAAAATTAAAAGTAAATGGAACATCTAATAAAAACAGAAGATGTTTCTATAGGCTCAGGCTAAAAAAATTAATATAAATAAAACATAGTATAACCATAGCAAAATTAAACTTAACTTATTTCAGTTCAAAACAACTAATTTTACTAATATTATTATGATAGAGGAAATAATTTAAATCAAACTCAATTATTACACAACAAATTAGACAATAGCTAAGAATAAAATAAAAAATATTTAATAGGCAGTATAATAAGAAAAGAGTAAGAAAATCAAGTATAAAAAGCATAAAACAACACTGATTAATCTAAATTGATGAGTACAAACAATTAATCGTCTTTAAATCCTAATTTATAAAATGAAAATAATTCTAGTCAGCCGATATAAATTGAAACAGATTTAGCAGCATATCAATACATAGAAAAGTTAAAAAGAGAAAAAAGACTGAGACAAGAGGAGGATTACAAGAAGTTTTTAGCTGAAAAGTAAAAAATGAATGATTAATTTAATGAGTTTTGCATCAAAAAATAGTTGACAAATTCAATCATTAATCAGTCTGTTGTAAATAACGAAAGCTAAGCAATGACAAATCCCAGTTAAATTTATTAGTATAAAAACTAGTAAAGAATGATAGAAATTTCTAATAAATGTTAATAAATTTATGAAGAGTGTTTATCCTAATTGCAAATCTCTCCTTAAGTTTTTCAGCCGTAATAATTAAACTAGCAATAACAAGCATAATAAAATGTAGTATTTTAGAAGAATAATATTTAAGATTCTCATCCTCCAAAAAACATTTAAATTGATCCCGTTGCTATTACTTTGCCAAGACTTTCACCCATAAATTCTACAACTAATAACTCTACTAAATTTCAAAACGAAGAGTAAAGAAGTATAAGCTACTAGAGAGCAGTCAATCCAACTTTAAACAGTGTTTTTTAAAGCTAAACTAAATCAACGAGATCAAATTCTAACTAACCTTCAATGATTAAACCTAACAACAGTAAACCTATAACAATATCTATGTAGAAATTTCTAAATGATAGTTCAAAGGGGATAAGCGATAAATAATATTTTCCCTCCAAGAAAAAGCTAGAGTCATCATCATCAAGAGCTTCATCATAATTGGAAAGTTCAATTATAATTAACTAAATCGATGAGCAGATAAAACACTAAAGTCCTTAAAAGCTAACTAACGAAAGTATTAAATTTTAGTCTTCGAAAAAGAAAGTCATCAAAATAAAAAATCACTCTACTTTATTAGAGAATAAAGATTCTCTATCTTCATAAAAAAAATAAAATACCATTAAAGCAAATAATTCATTAGATGTAGTTCAAGGAGAAAAATCAAATAAAACTGAAAATCAAAACAAAATTTTAAAGAATAATCAGAAAGATCCTAAAGATGATCCTTAGTTTGCAACCAAAATAGATTTAAATCTAAATCAACCACTGTAAAAAAATAAAAATTTAGAATCAATAAACATCCAATAAAATAATTAAACACCTACAAAAAATATTTTATCTCCTAAATCAATTTTGAAATCACCAAAGAATTATTGTGAAAGCTCAAGCATAAAAAATATCAAAGAGCCTTAAGACTTCACTCTAGGTTACGACAGTTAAATTCAATTCTTTGATCAAACTTAAATGCCTGCTTCTTAACCTACAATTTATTCAAACTTGAATAAGAGAAAAAATACTAAAAACGATTTATCTCCTACAAATTAAAATGTTATTTAAGCACATTCACATAAATAAATTTTACCAAAAACTCAATTTCTAAGAGAAGAAGAATTAAATTAGCAGATTTATCAAAAATTCTCATAGTTGTAGGAAACAGATGCTTTTTATCGTGTTCAAACAAACTCAGTTGATAATTCTATTAAATATAGCTAGGATTTCGGTTAAATTTTAAGTTTAAATGAAAGCAATAATGAAGACAGCAAAAATTAATTAAGCCCAATTTCAAACAAATATTCTGTTTAAATTAATTAAATTACAGAAGTTTCCAATACTGAAGATGAGTTATCTTAATAAAATACAAGGAATCTAATTAAAGGATGTAATTAAGGATCTAAATTCACATTCTTAAATTGCAGTTCGCCAGATATTTAAGACCATGCAAAGGAAGGTTTAACTAGCTTTTCTTAAAAAATATTACAACCTATGCAGATTATGCATTAAAGTAAAATATTATAAGATAGCTAATCTCCCTCTTAAATCAGATAAAATTTAATAGATTAGTTATCAAATCTCAATCAAAAAAGTAGCCTTTAAAATTTAAATGTAAGTTAAAAACTGGTTAAAACGAATGATGAAAATAAAAATTTCAGTGAAAAAACAAATGATTTTTAAATTCAAGAAAATTAAATACTTTCACCAAAAACAAAAAACTAAGTTGATAATTAGTAAAATGATACTAATTAAATGAATGATAAAAAAAACAATACTGATAGTAGTAATAAATTATAAACAGAGTAAACTAAAATATCTAAGCAATCTATTTATGAAAAATTAATAGAAAAAAATCAAAATAAGTTCGAACAAATTTAATAAAATTATGAAAAACAAAGCTAATAAAATCTCTTGGAATAATCTCAAAATGATTAAAAAACTAAATAACTTATTTAAGAACCCTAAGAAAAGTAATTTGTGGAAATAATAAACACTAAAAGCGGACAGCAAGATATACAAGAAGCAGAAAGTAGCTAAAAATCTTAAAAATAAAATAAAGTTAATGAAGGAGCAAAACAGAACTAAATTAAATAAAATCCTGAATAAATTGATATAGTAAAATCTAAATCAAATTTATAATAAGAAACAAATCATGTAAATATTAATAATGATAATCTAAATTAAAAGCAATGTAATTTAAAAGAAAGCTAAGAAATCGATATCTAAAGAAGCAACAATTTGCAAAGTATAATAAATTAAAAAATTTTAAAAAATAGAAATAAAAATTTAGTTAATGAATAATATTAACATTTAGAAAGTAAAAGGCAAAATGTTGAATAAAATAAATAAAAATATATAGAAGAATCATAATTTGTTATTGAATTGGATAATGATACCAATTCAAATAGGGCTTAATCTCCAAAATAAATTGAGGACTAATAAACCAATAATCAATTAAATGAATAAAAGGTAAATATATACTTAAACAGTAGAGATGTACCTTTAATAATAAATTCTTCATTCTACTGAAAGTAAATCCAAAGTTGAATTAATCAAAAATTAGTCATGTTATAAAAACTCCAATTTTTTGAATAGTTTTAAATTTGTAATTTAATGCTTTTTTCACTATATTTCTCAACTTATTCTTTTGAAAATAATTATTTAATATTGTGAAAAAAGATAAATAGATAGATTATTAGATATTATATATTAGAAACTAAGATAATTTTTCTTTTTATTCTTCTAAAAATACATAAAAATTTTATTGTACTCCTTATTAAAATCATATTTATTGAAAGAAAATCAATTTATATAAACTCTACAAAATATTTGTTAATTTTATTAAATTCTAGTTATTTAAGTTCAAAAATAATTTATATAAACACAAAAACGAAGCTAAAAACCAAAATAATTTAAAAGTTTAGTTTTTCCTTTAAGTCTATTTTTATTAACTAGACTGATCTTAATAGTAATTAATGTATAGTATTTTCATGAATTAAAATATATCTTTGTTAATTTCTAATAAAATAAAAAAAACTAATTTTACGGATTAATTTATTCATAAATAAAATTAATATTACTAATACAAAATTCTATTAAAATTATCTTAATTTTATTCTACTCTTTATTGCAATAATATTTATTGAAATAAAATGAACTTTTATTGATGCTATAAAAAATTTATTAAGTTTATCAATTTCTATTTATTAAATTCAAAAGTGATTTATATAAAAATACTATGACCAAGCTAAAAATAACAAAATAATTTAAAAATTTAGTTAAGCACATTAAGTCCTTTTTTATTAACTAGACTCTTCTAAACCATAAATAAAAGTAAAGTATTTTAATGAGTTAAAATATATCTTTGTTAATTTCTAATATAAAAATTAAACTCTTGTTTTTACAGATTAATTTATTTATAAACGAATTAATAGTATTAATACACTAAAAATATCCATAAAGATTCTATCAATTTTTGATATATTTACTTTATATTTATTTCAATGTGTTTTTATAAAAATTTGAAAGGTGAGCTAAAAAGATCAAATATTTTTCTTGATTAACTTTCATTATGTTATAATTGTAAATTATTAATTTATTTACATACATCAATCAATTAGTTAAGAAAAAATAATATAACTCAATATTAATTACAATTTAAATATATTTTTACAACAATAGAAAGATAAATAAATAATTTAGAGTTATTATAAGAGCGTAGGAATGTATAGTGATTACACTGATTTCATTTATAAAGTAGAGGTTTTATTAATTTTATTAAAGCATGTTTAAACTATCGTATTTTAAGTATTAAATTTATTTATAATTTTTACATTTTAATTGACAACTAATAATTGATTGTTTTTATCTTATTTTACAAAACCATCAATATATCAAAGAAAATGTAATTTAAGTTGGATTTTTTGACAAATAAAATCAAATAATTTAATTAAATTATTGGTTTCTTAAATCTTGGGGGAAGTTCTAATTATTAAATTAATTGCTCACTTTAAAAGAGTGAAAGAGAATCTGAACTGTATTTTTAAGATTTATTGAATATGGAAATTGAGAAAATTTGATATCAAACATCTTAATTTCTCTTATTAAATAAAGATAAGTTACTACCATAAAAATTAAATATCCTTTTGATTTATCTAAAAAATTTTTTTCAATGAATTGTACTTTTCAACATTTTTTATGATTTAAAGGAAATAAAAAGATTTTAATGATTAAAAAAGCTCAATAATAATCGCATATATTTTTTATTTAATTTAAATAAAATTTTCCTAGATTGATAATAAGGGAATTTACTAATTTTTATTCCTTTCATATCTAATCAAAAGAAATTCTTCTTATTTACTTCTTTATATTTTCCATAAATCAAATTTTATTCATTTAAAGGAATACATTTTATTTTTCAATTTAAACAAAATTCTATCAAAACGTAATAAAGTTTTATAATTTATTCAATAATATTTTTTATTTTATTTGTATAAAAAAATAATAAAAAAAATAAGCTAAAATGGTAACCAATCAAATAAACCTAATAAATAAAACATACTTTTTCAGGTCAAGTGCAAGCTAAACGTAGAGGGGAAATGAATTATCTAATTAAAAAGGGATTACAATATTTTCTCTAATAAATAAATAAAATACTATCTAATGAGTGATGATTATTAAATGACTTATTTGATAATAAACTAATAAAATCAACAAATTTTTTACCACAAGATTTTTATTTAAAATATGGTAAAAAGGAAAATAGAAAAAATAATAATTATAATAATTAATTCAAATTTTTGTAGCTAAAAGAAAGAAATAAATTTCTCAAATGCTAAAAACCTAGTCAGTGCAACCACAGAGTTTTTCTGAAAATCAAATCAGAAAAAACAATTTCTCTTTCAAGAAATGGATAACAGCCACTTTGATATGCTTGATTATCCTTTCTGGAACTTGCTCACTAATTTTTTAAGGTGAAAAGGAATAGCTAAAATCCAGATTATAACCCAGAATTCTCTCTAAGGACCAACAAATTTTCTAATTCAAATATGATCTGACGATCTCTCCTTAATTGAAGTAAGTAAATGGAAAGTAAATAAAGGAGTATTTCAAATTTTAGTCTGAGTAAGAAATTTAGAGATATCAATTAAACCTAGAAGAGCAGTCTATTCTAATTTCTTTTAAAACGCTTAAGTAATTAAGCGTACCATCAAATGAAGACTAATAGAAGGAAATTATTGATTTAATGTCTGGTAAAGAAAATTTGGTTTTTAAAGCTAAGATTAATAAAGATGGAAATTTCATCGAATTTAACTCTATTGATGGAAATTAGTTTGAAGTTGCTCAAGCGCTCGCAAAGCGTATCATCTCTCAATCCTTGAAAATATTCAGCAAGAGTAACTTACCACATATATAGAGCAAAAGAATGTTGTTTTCCTCAACTATGGTATACTCAGAAGTAGATTTTCTTAATTTTGCTTAAGACCAGTTGCAATAAGAAGAAGAAATTGTTCGCACATAACTCCAAGCTATTGAAGAATATAGTGACTATCGTGAATTCTATAAGAATAATTAAATTAATGAAGATGAAAATTAATCAGAAACTATTTATGAAGAAGAAAAACAAAATGATAAGGAAGAGTAAATTGATAATACTTCTAATTCCAAAAATTAATAAGATGGATATATTGACAAAAATTAGTAATAGAATAATTAAACCACTTAAGTTGAATAAGTTAATTTAGATATATTTGAACATGGTAGCTCTTAATTTTAATAGTTCGACAATATTACTCATGATTAATTTGATCACGATAACTCAAACTTTTAACAAGACTATTAATATTAACAAAACAGTAATGATGATAACAATCTCAAATCTAGTTAATTGAGATTAACCTAAGAAAACTAAAATTCATCAGTTACTGATGAAAACTGGGGTCATGATGGTTCAAACTTCTAATAAGATTCTTTAATCAACAAGTTTATTGAGAAAAGACTAAACAATTCAACCATTTTCAAATTAAAAAGCGATAATTATAATATTACTCATGATTAATTTGATCACGATGGTTCAAACTTTTAACAAGATTCTTCAATTAAACAGTTTATTGAAAAAAAACTAAAAGATAGAGCCGATTTCAAATTAAAATTCCAAAGTGATAACAAGAATATTACTCATAGTTAATTTGATCACTATCGTTAAAACTTTAAAAAAAACTATTCAAATTAATAACAAAGTAGTAATTATAATAACAATCAAACATCTATCTAATTGAGAATAACCTAAGAAAACTAAAATTCAACAGTTACTGATGAAAACTGGGGTCATGATGGTTCAAACTTCTAATAAGATTCTTTACTTAACCAATTTATTGAGAAAAGACTAAACAATCCAGCCATTTTCAAATTAAAAAGCGATAATGAGAACATTACTCATGATTAATTTGATCACGATGGTTCAAACTTTTAACAAGATTCTTCAATTAAACAGTTTATTGAAAAAAAACTAAAAGATAGAGCCGATTTCAAATTAAAATTCCAAAGTGATAACAAGAATATTACTCATGGTTAATTTGATCACTATCGTTAAAACTTTAAAAAAAACTATTCAAATTAATAACAAAGTAGTAATTATAATAACAATCAAACATCTATCTAATTGAGAATAACCTAAGAAAACTAAAATTCAACAGTTACTGATGAAAACTGGGGTCATGATGGTTCAAACTTCTAATAAGATTCTTTACTTAACCAAGTTTATTGAGAAAAGACTAAACAATCCAGCCATTTTCAAATTAAAAAGCGATAATGAGAACATTACTCATGATTAATTTGATCACGATGGTTCAAACTTTTAACAAGATTTTTCAATTAAACAGTTGATCGAGAAAAAACTAAAAGATAGAGCAAATTTAAAATTAAAATTCCTAAGCAATAATAAGAATATTACTCATGGTTAATTTGATCACTATCGTTAAAACTTTAAAAAAAACTATTCAAATTAATAACAAAGTAGTAATTATAATAACAATCAAACATCTATCTAATTGAGAATAACCTAAGAAAACTAAAATTCAACAGTCACTGATGAAAACTGGGGTCATGATGGTTCAAACTTCTAATAAGATTCTTTACTTAACCAATTTATTGAGAAAAGACTAAAAAATGCAGCCATTTTCAAATTAAAAAGCGATAATGAGAACATTACTCATGATTAATTTGATCACGATGGTTCAAACTTTTAACAAGATTCTTCAATTAAACAGTTTATTGAGAAAAAACTAAAAGATAGAGCCAATTTAAAATTAAAATTCCTAAGCGATAATAAGAATAATACTCATGATTAATTTGATCACAATGGTTCAAACTTTAAACAAGATTTTTATAAAGTCAATTTATAAAAGCAAAAGAATGAAAATTAAACTATCACAAATGATAATTGGAATCATGATGGTTAAAACTTTTAACACTATTCTTTAGATAAATAAAAAAATTATTTTGAAAACCATAAAAAAAATATTTTAACAATTGCTTCTTAGCCAGAAGATGGAAAGAATTTGCCTTATTTATCTAAAGAAGTTACCATTTACAAAAACAAAATTTTCTCTTAAATTATAGAATTAAGAATAGCCTAAAACATTTATCAGGAATATACTAAATTTATTTACAATTTGTATATAAATAATTAGTAACATTCACAAATCCATGAAATTGTTATGAATACCAATTCAATATTATCTTGTACTGCTTAGTCACAACCTCAAAAACAACAAGCAATACAAAAAAATATTGAAATAATTAATTCAGTTTTTGGTATTTTGAACATTCCACTAAAATATGAATTCAACTTTTTGATAGATCATTCTTATGAAATCATTCCTTAAGATTCAAAATGTGATATCTCTTTCTTAACTTAGGTGAAAGTTTAGGTTGACTCTCATGAAGGATTGCAAATTATAGGTCAAAATGAAAATGGTTTCAGAGTAAATGGTTTATTAATAAACGAAATTTGCCTATTTAATTTCACTGTAGATACATAATAGCTTTCGATTTCTAGCGAAATCAACAAATAACAAGGAGAAATCAGATATTCAGTAGGTTAGTATTACAGAAAATAAATATGTGATCAAAAGTTTTCTTCTATTCAAATTCAAGATGTCACGAAATAACTAAGAAAAAGTTTACAAACTCCATTTGAAACAAAATGTCATTTGTCTGATATGCAGGATGATGAATAAAATCAAACAACTTTTGTGAATAAAGGACAAGATGAAAGTGCAATTAATTTAACTAAATAAATTGATTTTATCAAATTCAACTGATCAAAGATTATAAATAAATATTAATTAAGTAAAGATTTAAAAGAAAAAATTTATTTTTTTTATATTATTTTCTATATAGTAAACTATCCAACAATTCAATATTTTTTACTTATTAAATTTTATAATTTTTTTTATATAATTATATTATATTTAAAATCAATATAAAAATTATTATACGAAATAAATAAAGCAATTACAGTAATTATTGATTAAACTAAATATTAAATTAAAATTTTTATCATTTTTATGTGATTAATCTATTAAAAAATCCTCCTTCTATTTATCTTAGTTAATCATAGTTACCCACTTCTACAATTCTCCCAGAATCAAGCACAACGATTCTATCAAATTTATGAATATTTTCTAGCCTATGAGTTATTACTAGAAGTGTTTTTCCTTCACTTAACTCAAATAATTTCTCATGAATTAATTCGTCTGTTTTTGGATCCATATTAGAAGTGGCTTCATCCAAGCAAATTATTTCTGTCTACCTCAAAGCCACTCTAATAAAATTAATTATTTACTTTTATCCATTTGATAAATTCTTTCCACCTTCTTAGATTTCGAAATCTAACTCTTAGAAGCAGTCACTAATTTTATTAAAGTTATTAAATTTTTAAAAAAATTATTGAAATGTAAAAAATTATTTTACTTTGAATTTAATTGACCCTCTTCTTGAATTGATTGTATACATCTTTGAATTTCTTCTTCAGATATTTCATTTACAGGATCTATATTATCTCTAAGAGTGGCATTGTATAAAAAGCCAAACTAAGGAATGATAGCCATTTTTTTTCTAAGCTCCTTCAAACTCATGCTTAGAATATCAGTATTATCTATGAAGATTTACCCTTTTTGGTAATCATATAATCTAAACAAACAATTAAGGATAGAGGTTTTACCAGAGCCTGTTCTTCCACAGAAAGCAACTTTCTCTCCTTTTCTAATTTTAAGATTAAAGTTTTTGAGAGCATATTGTACATGATCAGTATTATGCTCGTTCAGTTCATCGTATGTAATAGACAAATCTTTGAAGATTATAGAGAAATTCTGATTAATATCAGAAGGACTTAAGGTCTATTCAACAGATTGTAATTTTTAAGTAGAATTATCAACGTTATCAAGATTCTCTTGTGGATTGTCAAAGTACTGTCTTACTCTCTCAACACTGATTAACTCTTACTCAGTTAAGCATATAAAGTACATGACATCACATATCGATCCACTAAATAAGATTCCATATGATAAGCATAAAACGATAACATTAATATCTACAGAAAATTCAATTGTAATGATCATAATAGCTGTTATTACAACCAAAAGCTGAATTATATTTGAAATTAAAAGCAACCTTACAATCATCCATTATTATAGTGATAATGATAGTAAAAATGTATTAACATTGTTTTTTAATCTTTCGACATATAACTAACTCATATAAAGCTGTTTTTGTAATGATCTGACAGTTACTAAACCTTTACAAGACTCTGATATATGACTGAGCAGTTATCCTTTATTTAAAGAATTTAATCTTTTAATTTCTCTATTAGCCATTCTGTACATTTTAGAGATAAAATATGTTATTACTATAGCTATAACAAAAAAAGCACTCATCCAAGGAAACTAAATTGAAATGCCAACAGGATATCTATTTATAATATTGAAAATTATTAATTAAAGAATAAAAATAAGCATACCCTATAGCATAAGTCATAAGTTCTAATGTGACTTCAATATTTAAAGGAAGATCATCATCAATAGAATTCATATCATCAGAGAGTCTATTCATAATTCTTCCAACAGGATTTTTATCAAAAAAGACCATTTTGCTTGACATTATTGAGCTATTTAGTTTATTAAAAAGTCTGTAGCAACTTAATAATGAAACCAGAACATAAAAAACAGAGCTTAAAATCATTAAAAACAATTAAAGCATAGTCAAAAAAAGGAATGTATCTTTAAAGCTGGAAAATAGTTTATTTATAAAGACAAAGGCAGAATCCTCTTCATTTGAATACATCAACTTATCTCTTAACCAAAAATCAATAAGTAGAGTTGCTGCTTCCACTAAAGAAAAAAACAATATGAGTAATATTAGAAAAATAACTCCTTAGCTTTTCATATATAATTTTAAAGTATCCCACTTTATCGAACCTTTTTCTCTAAATTCTTCGTTTTCTCCTTCACCTTCTACTAAATCTTCATCTTTATCCTATTTATAAAAATATTACTATTAAATTTTTAAAAATTAAAATGATAAATTTACCTTAAAATTCTACTTTTTAGAGTTTTCTTTTCTCAATGCTAATTTAGTTTCGCTACTTGTAGAATTTTTCTTTTAAAGCATCAAGTGGTCTTATTCACTATCTACTTTTCTTTAGATTAATTATTAGTTAGTCTCAGAGTTTTCAACCTTATTTTCTTCTACTTCTTGATCTTATAAATCATCTTCTTATTCATTTAAGAAATTAAAATCTTTAGTTTTAGAATCTTATTAAGAATTCTGAATATAACTATAAATTTATTTTTAGTCATGAATAATTTCTCCGTTCTTTAAGTAAATGATATTAGAAATATTATCATTTGTTATAAATCCATAGTGACTTGTAACTAGAATGACTGTTTTATTTTTTTATTTAATTAAATAATCTAAAATGGCATTTTTATAGATATGCTCAGCAACATGAGCATCCAAAGAGCTAAATATATCATCTAATAAATAAATATCATTATCTTAGTACAGTGCTCTGCACAAAGAAATTCTTTATCTCTAACCTCCACTCAGATTATTACCGTCTGAAGATATAACCTTTTAATCACCCTTATAAAAATGAGATAAATCAATCTTCAATTAGCATAAATCCAGACACTTTTGATAAAGTTCTTAATCATAAATTTTTCCAAAAAGAATATTATCTCTTATTGTCTTGGTTTATAGCCAATGATTTTAGCTTACATATCCTATACTCCCATTTACAACTATTTTATTATCAAAGTTAGTCATTTTTAAGGCATCTATTTGTTGAGAATTGTTATTAATAATTGATGGATCAGATTGGTGTTATTTTTTTTCCATCTCATTCAAAATCGAAAGCAAAAAAGCAGTTTTTCCACAACCTTTTAAAATTTTTAAATAAAATTTAGTAAAATTATTAACAATCTTGTCTTAATTATCAAAAGACAAAATATTTTGGCTTAACTGTATTTTTATACATATTTCTAGTTATAAAATTTTTTAAGTATAACTTAAATTCTGTAATATAATTTTTAGAATTTTTTTAACATTTTTGTTTTTTTAAATTATGTAAAATTATATTTTACATTAAATTTATTTCTATCAATTTTAATGAATTAAAGAGTTAATTGTTTAAAATAAGTAATAAAATTGAAAGATATCTTACCTATTTTACCAATAACAAAATTCAAGGTGCCTTTCTATATTATCATTTCATCAATATATAAAGTAAATTCAGAGCTAATTTTAGAATCTTAGATACTTTAATCATCTAGTTAATTAAGCTATCCTGAAGACTTTATATTATTTGATTTTTCAGAAACTCTCTCTTCATTTTATTCTTCATTTATCTCTTTGTTTGGCCAGCTGAACTTGAGTTGATTCATAACAATTGCGTTTTATACATCTTAATTAATTTCATCATTATCTACCTTTATGACTAATAAAAAGAATATATTAATTTTTAAAAATTAAAAAAAATAACTTACCATCTGATTCATTTATTTCTTCAATATTCAAAAAGCCTTTAATTCTTAAGAAAGAGATTCTAGCTTTGGAGATACATTTAGTAGTGAAAGGAATCATGCCTATTGGGAAAGCTAAATTACCAAAAAGAGCAATTATTGTGAATACATTTGAATCTTATAGGTCATTTCCATCATTAACATATGAAACAATAAAAATATAAAGTAACAAATATCCTAAGCTTAGCATGAAGGTACTGAAGAATCCATCAATAATTCTCATAACAGATATTTAGAAAAACTCTTTTCTTCTCAAATCTTTTATTTTATTTGAAAATATAGTTTCCCATCCTAAATATTTAATGCTCTTCATTCCTTCAATAACATCCTTACTTAGTGAGATTCTATTGTCTTTACATCCATAAATTTTATCATAGAAGATCTGTTGAATATTTAAATGAAAATTAAACAAATAAATTTTTAGTAAAATGAATAAATTTTACATTCATTATGTAGCCTGAGAGGAAACCTATTAACATAGCTCCAGCCATTAAATATAATCCGTTAAACATGGACTTTCCAATTTTATAGAAGAGGAAAATTAGAGTAATAATTATAACAGCTATACTGTCAACTAGTTAAGTAATACCCCAAAAAAGCTGCATCGATTCTTCAATATCAACAGTCAATAAGTTGTTTATATCAGGATTTCTTTTTTAAAAAGATGTAATTTCCTCTTCTCCTTCTGTTTCATCATTCTCTTATTTTTGATTATCCTCCTTTTTTTGTTCAGCCACTAAGTTGCTCTACTTAGAGTAGTTTTTGACTTTTAGTGATTTTTTATAAATTAAATATTAAAGAGTTGTTTTACACAAAGCTTGCCATTTGTAATCCAACCAATAATATTTCCCCTAAATAATATTTTTGACAGTATAGTTCACAACTATTCCAATAAGAATAAACGATATGATAAGCTTTTCATTGGACTCTCCATTAAACTACTTGAGTTTATCAGTAACATAATCAAGTAAAAATATGCCTGAGGCAGATAAAACTTCATTCATAACTGAAAGGAAAATACCTTTACCTAGTGTAAATCCAGTCATTTAAACGTAAATTTTATATAAATTAAAATTGTTTGGTTAAAAGTGCTATTAATTATCACTCATGAATTTTTCTAATTTATTGATTTAAACATCTACGCTGGTGCTTTGGGCTATAAATGGCTAGGTTTACTGATTAGATATGTATTGACCATCATTTAAAAACTTAATTTACTTTATAAATGAAGTTAATCTTGTAAAGAAAATGTTATGAGCCTTGAAAGTATACTAACTACTTTGATCTGAAGATTACTCTACAAGAAGTGGTTACTTTATATCCATTTATAATTTATTTAATATAGATACTTTAATTATGTTAATTATTATATTTGTATATCTAAGTATTAATTAAAGTTTTTAAAAAAGGTACAAAAATTTACATTTAAATAATTTGAATTAATAATATATAAAAATATACATGTATCAAAGTAACAAAATATTTACTAATTACTTTATGCTTCTAACAATTATAAAATATATGTAAAATTTTGCTTAGTTCTACTTAGTATATATAGGTACTATAAGAAAATATGAGAAAAGCAAACTTCCTTAGGTTAAAAGCTGTAAAGTGATATAAACTACTTAATTAAATCTTATAATCTATTCTTTTCCGAATTTATCAATTTTTTAATAATAGATATTCTTTTATTTTTCTAATATATAGTAATCTTATTTGAATTTTAAAGTTTTAATTTTTAATGTTTACAATTATAAAATAGATGGAAATGTAGACATTATAATTTTAAAGATATTCTTATCATTTCTGTTTAAATAATAAAATAAATTCTTTAGTTTATTTAATTTTGATTAGAAAAATTTAAGAAAAAATTTCTCTTTTTTCTTACAGTAAAGATCTTTTGAAATTTTACTATAATAAACAAATAAAAATACTCTATTGAAAGAATCATTTTATTTACTTTTAAAAAAATATTTTGTTCAAACATGAAAAAAAATTCTTAATTTTGAGGATTATCTTTCAAACTCTATCAAAATAATAAAAAGAAATTTTATAAATTGAAGACAAATTCTTTTTATTTTGCATTAATTAAATTTTTAAGAGAGGTGTTTAAATCAGCAAAGTCAAAAAATATTACAATGAAATACTAAATCCTTTATAATGTGCATGATTAATTTCAATAATAACTAGTTGAAAAAACTTCATTTCTTTTTCATTTTTATGAGATTAATCTATTAAAAAATCCTCCTTCTTTTTACCTTAGTTACTCATAATTTCCTTCTTCGACAATTTTTCCAGAATCTAACACTACTATCCTATCAAATTTATGTATATTTTCTAATCTGTGAGTTATCACTAGAAGTGTTTTTCCTTCACTTAATTCAAATAACTTTTTGTGAATCAATTCGTCTGTTTTTGGATCCATGTTAGAAGTAGCTTCATCCAAGCAAATTATTTCTGTCTACCTCAGAGCCACTCTAATAAAGTTTATAATTTACTTTTGTCCATTTGATAAATTCTTCCCACCTTCTTGGATTTCAAAATCTAATTCTTAGAAGCAGTCACTAATTATTGAAGTTTTTGAATTTATTTAAAAATTATTGATATGTTAAAAATTATTTTACTTTTAATTCAACTGACCATCTTCTTGAATTGATTGAATGCATCTTTAAATATTTTCATCAGGTATTTCATTGATTGGATCTATGTTATCTCTAAGAGTTGCATTATATAAAAATCCAAATTAAGGAATGATAGCCATTTTATTTCTTAACTCCTTCAAGCTCATATCTTGAATATCTTTATTATCTATTAAGATTTATCCTTTTTGGTAATCATATAATCTAAACAAACAATTAAGGATCGAGGTTTTACCAGAACCTGTTCTTCCACAAAATGCAATTTTCTCTCCTTTTTTGATTTGAAGATTAAAGTCTTTTAGAGCATACTATACAAGATCAGAATTTTATTCATTCAATTCATCATAAGTGATGCTTAGATCTTAGAAGATTATGGAAAAATTCTGATTTATATCAGAAGGACTTAAAGCATATGCTGATTGTATATATTTGTTAGAGTTTTGAATGGTATAAACATTTTCTTAGGGGTTATCAAAATACTGTCTTATTCTCTCAACACTGATTAATTCTTATTCAGTTAAACAAACGAAATAAACAACATCAAGAATTTAACCGCTAAATAAAATTCCATACGATAAACATAGGACAATAATATTCATATCCACATTTGCTTCAGAAGTTATTATGATAATTGCTGTTATTGAAAGAACTAGCTAGATTCCATTAGAAATTAAAAGTAGCCTTACAAACAACCACATCTACAAAGATAAAGAAAGTAAAAATGTGTTTATATTATTCGTTAATCTTAAAATATATTATTTTGTCATGTAAGCTTATTTTTAAAAAGACCTAATTGTTACTAATCCTTTGCAAGATTCAGAAATATGAGTGAGAAGCTAACCTTTATTTAGGGAGTTTAGCCTTTTGACTTCTCTGTTTGAACTTCTATACATATTTGAAATAAAATATGTAATTACTATAGCAACTACAAAAAAAGCACTCATCCAAGGAAACTAAATAGAGATACCAACTGGATAACTAATTAATTATTAATATATTAAAATTATTTTTTTTCATTTATTTAAATAAAAAAATACCCAATTGCAAGAACAACTTGTTCAGATGCAGTTTCAAAATTCAAAGGTAGATCATCATCAATAGAGTTAATATCATCAGAGAGTCTGCTCATAATTCTTCCAACAGGATTTTTATCAAAAAAAACCATTTTACTAGACATTATAGAGTTATTTAACTTATTATAAAGTCTGTAACAACTTAATAACGATATGACAACATAAAAGAAAGCCCCAATAAGCATTAAAGATAGCTAAAGCATTGTTAAAAAAAGGAATGTCTCTTGAAAACTTTAAAAAAGTTTGTTTATAAAAATAAAAGCAGAATCTTCCTCATTTTAATTTATCAGCTTATCTCTAAGCCAAAAGTCAATCAATAAGCTAGCCACTTCTACTAAAGCAAAAAATACTATAAAAAAAAATAAGTAAACTATGCCTTAACTTTTCATATAAGTCTTTAAAGTTTCCCACTTAATAATACCTTTCTCTCTATATTCTTCATTTTTTTCTCCTTCTTCTGAGCTTATCTCATTATTATTTTATACCTTATCAATTTAAATTAATTTTATAAATATTTTACAAAATTATTTAATCTTAATTACTTCATTCTGCTCATTTGTTTGGTTAAATCCTATATTTTTTTAATTTTCTGGTTTTAGTTTAATTTATTTTTAAGTTATATTTAATTAATCGATCTCTTCATCTGAATTCTTATTATATTTATTGTTTAGATTACTTGAGTTTTAAAAGTAATCGCTTTCAAAGAAGAAATCATTCTTTTTTTATTTTTATTTGCAATTTAAGATATAGCTTTATATTTCTTCTTAGTCATTAATAATCCTCCCATTTCTCAAATAAATTATATTTTGAATACTCTCATTGCTTAAAAACTCATAATTACTAGTTACTAAAATAACTGTTTTATTTTTTTATTTGATTAAGTAATCTAATATAGCATTCTTATAAATGTATTCTGCCACATGAGCATCTAGCGAACTAAATATATCATCTAATAAGTAGATTTCTTTATCTTAGTAGAGTGCTCTACACAATGAAATTCTTTATCTCTGACCTCCACTTAAATTATTTCCATCTGAAGAAATAATTTTTTAATCTCCCTTTGAGAATTGAGATAAATCAGTCTTTAGCTAGCTTATTTCAAGACATTTCAAATAAAGGTCTTGATCATATTTTTTTCCTAAAAGTATATTTTCTTTGATTGTTTTTGATTAAAGCCAATGATTCTAACTGACATATGCCACATTACCATTCACTATGATTTTATTTTCATAATTTGTCATTTTTAAGGTATTTACTTATTTAAGGTCATCTTTAATAATAGATTGGTCAAAATTTTAAGACCTTTTTTCCATCTCATTCATGATTGAGAGTAAAAATAATGTTTTTCCACATCCTTTTATTTTTAGATAAAATATTATCATTAAAACTAAATATAAAGCATAAATTAGGTAAGTAAATAATATTATTTATCTTCAAAAAATTATTGATTGATTACCAACTTTTCCGATTACAAAATTCAGAGAATTTTTTTAGATTTAAATGTTATCAATAAACAAATTAAATTCTGAGCTATTTTTAGAAACGCTATTTTCTTAGTCTTCAAATTGGCTTTCTGAATCTGAAATATCTTGCTTTTACTGTCTCTATTTTATATTTTATTCTTCATTTAATTCTTTGTTAGGCCAAGAGAAATATTAATTTTGAATTTGAACAGCTACTTAGGATTGATTTTCACTTGTCTAAATAACTATTTATTAAAGTTATTAAAAATTAACTAAATAAAAATATTACTTTGAGATTCATCAATTTCATCAATGTTTAAGAAGCTTTTGATTCTAAAGAAAGAAATTCTTGCTTTTGTCATGCACTTAAGAGAAAAGGGTATCATTCCAATTGGAAAAGCTAAATTACCAAAAAGGGCTATAATAGTAAAGACATTAGAATTGATCAGCTCGTTTCCATCGTTTATATATGATACAATAAAGCAATACAAGAGAAAATAATTTGAACATACTATAAAAGTACTAAAGATTCCATCAATTGACCTCATAGCAGCTACATTAAAAAATTCTTTTTGTCTCAAGTCTTTGATTTTATTAGAAAATATATTTTCCCATCCTAAGTATTTTATACTCTTCATCCCTTCTATCACATCTTTGCAAAGAGAAATTCTGCTATCTTTATGGCTGTATATTCTGTCATAAAAGATCTTTTTAAATAAATATTAATTTATTTTTTATTTCAAACAATTAATTGAATGGTTAATATAAAATAAAAAAAATTACATTCATGAAAAATCCAGAAAGAAAACTTACTGCCATTGCTCCTGCCATTAAATAAAGTCCATTTACAATCGACTTACCGATTTTATAATAAATGATAGCAAACGTGATTATTATTACAGCTAAGCTAGCAACTAATTAGTTTATTCCCCAAAATAACTGCATCGATTCTTCTACATCTACAGTTAATAAGTTATTTATATCGGGATTAACTTTTTAAAAAGAAGTTATGTCTAACTTTTCATCTCCTTGTCCTTCAGCTTAGTTTTCTAATTTTTAAATTTTTGGCTCAACACTATTATTCTATTTTGAATAATTCTTAACTTTTAAGGATTTTTTATAAATGATATATTAGAGTGTAGTTTTACACAAAGCCTACCATCTGTAATTCATCCATTGATAATTCGTCCACACAAAGTTTTTTATAGTATAGTTTATCACTATCCCTAGGAATATTATTGAAATTAAAGCCTTTTAACTAGACAATCCTGTGAAATCTTTCATTTGATCAGTGACAAAGTCCAGCATAAAAATACCTGATGCTGATAAAAGTTCATTTGAAACAGATAAGAAGAAGCCTTTTAAAAGAGTAAGGCCTGTCATTTGTTTGTAAATTTTGAATAAGTTAAAATTGGTAGATTAGAAATGTTATTGGTTTTCCTAAATGTATTTTTCTAGTTTTTCTAATTAAACATCTACACTAGTACTTTAGGCTATAAAAGGATCTATTTATTTATTATTGAGCTGTTGATCTTTTGATTATGTTTTAAGGCTTTTAACAAACTAAGTTATTTTTGTAAATAAAATGTTGTGAGTCTTAAAATATTTTTTATTGGCATCTTCCCTTGAAGTTGATTCTAAAAGAGATTGTTTTAACTCCATATTTATTGATAGTAACAAATTTTGATTTTGATTTTTAATTTTATTAAAATTGATTGATAGTAAAATAATTGTGTGATATATTTAAATACTTATTTATTATCATGTATGCATACTATAATATTGCTCAAATATTTGTGGTATAAATTTATTTCACTTTAAAATATATTGATATTTACATTTTTTATTAGAACAATCACTACACATTGAAATCTATATTTGGATTTCTTATCTTTTACACTGCTGAATTTACATTAATTAATTGTTAACTGGAATAATTAATTTGAGTTTACTTTACATTAATTTGTATTATTCTGTTTAAATATGTGTAATAAATTCTTCTTATCATAAAAATTTGAATGAATAAGTATGATTAAATTTTAAATGCAAAAATAAATGAATGCACTTTTAAAATAATTATATAATGATTATCAATTATCATTGTATAAATAGCTTTAAATACAATCCTTCTTAGTAATGACATAAAGGTCAATTTATTTTAACTTATTGCTAAAAAGGTTTAAATATTCATTTATTTTTTTTGAAAAATGATTAATTTTAAATTAAGAGTAATAAAGTAACTAGTTAGGATAATCTCAAATCAAATGTAACACTTGTATCTAAGAGTTTTTTTTATCAATTCATATTATAATTCTTCTATTTTTAATACCAATTCATTATAAAATTTTTTTATTAGATATCTTAACATGATTATTGCCATACTGGCAGGCAGGTATCATTCAAATACTATAATACATCATAAATATTAATTATTAAATTATAATTAATATTTATTTTTTAATTTTCAACCTATTTTAAATAGAATTAAAATAATTTATTTTAATAAAATATCCGTATTATAAGAAAGAGAAAAATTTAGTTGATTATTCTTTTATTATTTGCTTTGTTTGCTAAATCTTAAGCTTTAACTTACTTTAAATGATGAAGATTTATTTTATGTAAATTTTAATAAAAAAAAAAATTAAATAATTAAACTTCATAAAAAATATTGCAGCATACATAGTTGCTGCTGACTCAAAACATACAATTGTGAGTTAAAAAATACTTTTTAAATCAGCTTAATAAAGAGTGATTTGATTTATACCATTAAAAATAAAATATTATTATATATGTGGAAAAATCAAGAAAAATATATTTTAAATAGAACTTTTAAAAAATAAATTTAACTAACTATTTATTTTTCCTTAAAAATGAATTTATTTATTTTTTTAAAACAAATATAGATTAATTATAATTTATTTAGTTTTTATTAATTGTATTTTTTAAGAGATAAAGTAGAAATAATATCAAGAAATTTAGATTATCTTATTTAATACATCATTGATAAATTCATCTACGCGAATTCCCTTTAAGGCACTTACTTCATAAAAAAAAACTCCATATTAATTAGCAATATCTAATCCTTCCTTAAAAGAAACTTGTCTTTTAGATTCTAAATCACATTTGTTCCCGATTAAAATAATAATTGGATTAGATTCTTTATAGATTTGGCTTATAACTTAAATACATATACTATCAAAAGAATCTCTATTAGTTATGTCATAAAGTAAAACAATAAAATTACATTTGATCATAAAATTTTTTTTAAATTTAAAACTACGCTAACCAAATGAATCAAATAAAAATAGCTTTATTTTTTGATTATCCTGTTTTAAAATATTATTTAATTACTTATATTAATATTAAAAAATTTACTTTTTCATAAACTTAACAATGAAATTCTATATTGTAGAAAGCATACTACCTGTCTTCTTTGTTAAAAACAAAAGATTTAAGTAAAGTAGTTTTTCCTACATTTGAGTCTCCTAAAACTATCAACCTTTTTAAAATATTAGGTTTATCTTCTTTCATGTTAAAATTAAAGATTTATCAGATTAAATTTGTTGATAATTAAAAATTTTTTTACAAAATTTTAATTCTAAAGCACAAACAAACTATAGAAAAAATATATAATTTAAATTAATCATATCAGAACACATTAGGTATTCTAATTTCATTTAATAATTAAGAATTAAGTTAAAACTTTTTTTATTTGTAAAAAAAATGATAGATATCACAATTGATTGCTAAAAATATTATCTCGAAATAAAAAATATATTTATTTCCAAGTACCGTAAGGTATCTTAGTTAAGAGATTTTCTAAATATAAGATAATTTTGAATAGAGAAAAAGAAAATACCCAATTACTCCTTAAAAAATATTTGAATAAAATGGGGAGTAAAATAAAATTATTATATTATTGGAAATTATTTTATAAGTTTAAATATTCAATTTATAAATAAATAGATTTGAAAAGTATTATTTAAGATTATATTTACATTTCCATGCTAATAAAAATGAAATCTTTATCTTTTAAAACTTAAAAATAATTTTTTTTAATTTTTAAAAATATTTAAAATATTTTTTATGTAATTTTAGATGTTTGTTTTTCTAATTTTATGTTGATTTTTCACATACAATAACAGAATTTATAACAACTCAAATGCATTATGAATGAGGAAATATTCAAAGTTGTGAAATGTGCTTGAATTAATGATTTCATGAAACTGACATTTAATTAAGAAGATAAATCTAAAAAAATTATCATACAAAAACACATTAATATATTTCTCAAAAACTAAAACGCTAACGAACAAATAAAATGAAAAATTATTTTTTCAGACTAAAAAGAATCAGCTACTTCTTTAAAAAATAAATGCATACATTATTCACAAACTATAAATTTATTATACTTTTTCCTTTTTATCAATAAATTATATATTAATTCATCCTTTCATAAATTATATCTATTCTTTCATTTTCTCAATGGTATTTTCATATGAGTGGAATCATAAGTTTTTGTAAATTCATTATAAGGACGAGCTTTATCTTTAGGAACTGTGGGTTTTGAACCCAATTCAGGAATATGCTTTTGGTAGTCTTTTTCATAAATAGTATCCTTGTGGAATGTTCTAGCTGATGCAGAGAGATCAGGAGTATATTTAGAGTATATTTATGTTTATGGTTTTATTTTCTAATTAAAAGAAAGATCATAGCTTGTTCCGTATTCTCTCTTGTTGTAATCAGTCTATTTAACACCATGACCAAACAAAATATGCTATTGAACTCCTTGAGTGTTAAAAATAACATGCTAGTTAAATTCTTTATCAATTGGAGTTAATTTTGAGGGTTCACAATTAAGTGCGCTATTTTTTAAACCATAAGAATCTTTCATTGTAGAATTAGGTAATCTTTCATCAATCTATCTTTGAGCCATATCCATACCAAATTTCTCTTCAGCAAAATTGCCGATTAGCACTCCAAACCTATATTTATTCACATTATCTTAAATAGTCTAAGCGTTCATTTTATATATTAATTAATCTATTTTAAAGCTATTTGATATGTTTTCTTTTGTAAATTTTCTTTAATTTTGAAGAAATAAAATTTTGTTAAACTAATCTTTATAAAAATACAAACACTTTTGATATATTCTTTAATTTTTTATTGAAAGCTAGCAATTATCATCGAATGGTCAGTGTAATATCTAATTAATTAGTTCATCATTAATTCACTTATGATAAATAAGCTAATTAATTCCTTTGTCTAACCATTCATTTATTTATTAAATCAATCAATCAAACAAACAAATATTATTTTATTTTTTAATAATCATTGTAAAATAAATTATTCTAATATGTAAATTGATTTTATGAATTTTAATTAAAAATATTAAAAAATGAAGATTTAATTCTAATACAATTTTTTTTACTTTATCATTCATTTTTGATCTCATAAATTTGATAAAATTAAAATGTAATTAAATTGAAGGTGCTATATAGATAAATAAAAAATACAGATTAATCATATAATAAAGCTTAATATTAAAAGTAAGATTTAATTGTAATACATTTTATTTTATCACTTTTAATCTCATAAATTTGATTAATTTTAAATATCTTTAATTTGAAGGTCTTTTAGTAAAAAATGCAGCTTAATAATATAATAAAACATATGAGTTCAATTATTTTAGCTTTGTGCAATTTAATTGATACTGCTTGAATTAAATTTAGTTAGTATCGAATTTTAAGCACTAGACTAACTAGTAAGTGGTTAATATGGAGTTATTGTTAGTAATTAATTTTAAGGAGTATCAGAGTTACTGCATAAATATTAATTTTAATTAAATTTATTAGATAAATGGATATTTTATCTTTTTTTCATTCCTAGAAGGGTTTGGATTGGAGTGTTAAAATCATCTCTTATGCTTTCCTATGATTTTTATTTACTGTGACTCGCAGTTTTATTTTTATTAGGAAAAGCATTACTTAGTATGTTATTTTTTGGCTGATCTTCTTTATTAAATAAAGATTTCTTTAGCTATTTAGTATTGCTCAACATATTGCTTTATTAGCTAAATCCTTAGAGAGTTTTATTAGTTGATTTATTTGTTTAAATATCTTTTGGAGTGTTGCTGTTTGTATTGTGGCTATTAAAAGATTGATCATTGGTGTTGGTAAATTTAATGTTTGAGTTTTTAGAATCATCTTTCGGAGTATTAAATGTATCAATTGAAAATCTCTTCATAAATTAATCACTTTAAATGTTATTGTTTTACTTTGATGAAGGAGAGAATGAATCTCTAACGTCAATATGCTGATTGAATGAAGATATCTAATTTGAATTATTGTTTCTACCTTATTTACTAGATGATTAAATCCTTTCTATATTTGTTTTTCTAAGATTAGGAGATAACGATGAGTGATGAATAGGACTTACTAAATCTTCTTGTCCCTCTACTTAATAGAATTTACTTTCATTAATTTGTATATTTACAGGTAATTACTTTAAGACAAAGCTATTTAAGTTTGTCTAAATTGAATTAACATTTTGACTTAATAATTATTGCTTTTATATAGAATTGATTTACATTTATAAATTATTTAAGTTATTTGCTTTCATTTAAGATTGTTATTGTTATTATAAAGCAAATTTATTAGAATGTCTAAAAGCTCCTATCTATGATTTTATATTCCTGCTAAGTAGCTACTAGCAGTTTTTACTTAGCTATTATTGAGTGTTACTGGAAGAATATCCAAAATTTATTTATTTTGCTTTCTGAAAACTATTTGTTTAATACATTGGGGAGTCATGACTAGAAACACATCTATCTATAAAGGTTGTTGATGGTTATACAAAAGATATTTGATGCTTCGAAAAGTGTGAGGAAATATTTGTTTATTGCTTTTAGCTTTATAGTTTCTATATGATTATAGGAGAAAAAGACTCATTCATTTTTACGTAATTTGCATTTAAAAAATATTTAATTTCGTTTTCATTTATGTTATTCTGATTATTTTCTAAATCTACTTCCGAAGAAAAGGCATGATGACTTAAAACCCTATTTCTATTTGGACAAGATTCGGTCATTTTATGTTGTTATTATTATTGATTTTCTTGCTTATTTTCTGAAGCTTATTCCTCAAAAATTTTCTAAAGATTGTTTGGAGAATCATTATTTTTAGGTATTGGAGATTAGCTGATGTTAAGCAAAAATCCTTTGTGATGAGAAAGAAGTTTATTATTTTTATCAATATTTTCTATATTTTGATCCTTTGAAAAAAGTGCTTAGTTTTCTTTATTATTTTAGATTCCATTAAATTAAATCAGTGGAATGTATGTTTTCTCATCGAATTATTATGAAAATCTCTTTTAAGGATTTTGATATTACAATCTGCGAGCAATTGTCTGTTTGTTGCTAAAATCAGTTTACTTTTAAATTTTATCAGAAGAGTTTAATTTGTTCTCATTCTAGTTAACTTCACTTTAATTTTCTTCTTACTTAATATTTTCTTCTTAAAGTTTTTATAAGTTAAATATTTCTTTTTGGTTAGTTTATTTGTTTTAATGCAAAAATGAAGTTTGCAGCTCTTCATTAAAATCTTCAGAAATGTCTTGATCGAAATTATAATCGATTACTGTAGAAGAACATTGTCTTAATTTTACTATTTTTTGCTTTTCTTCTTTTTCTTTTTCACCACATATTAAACTTTCTTTATTAATGTCATTTGTTTTGCATTTGCTTTGAGAAGTGCTTGGTTTGCGTATATTTTAGCTAGAAATGAAACTTCTTGCCATAGGAGAGCTAATTTCGTTTAAAGAAAGTCTTCCTAAAGTGCCAAACTTTTTAGAGCTTCTTAAGTCATTACTATTAGGAAGAATGTCTATGCTCTTTATAGTTTATTAGTTATTAAGTAAAAAACGTGAAAATTTTTAGATTGAAATATGGGGATTAAAAAAAGGATCTTCAGTATTAGATTCCATCTACTTTATTTTATCATCGAACCTGCTTTAAGGTGAACTGATTGGTGATTTTGCTTTTTATTCTTTGGCTTATTATTATTTTTTATAACCTTCAACAGTATTTAAATTCGATAAATTTGTTTAAGATTAATGAAGGTACTGTGTCTTTTTATGCTATCTTTTGAGAATTACAAATTTTTTAGCATACTCGAATGAATCCATATCATTATGCAGATATGTCAATTTTAAACTTTTGCTTTGATTTGCAGCAACTGAATGAGTGTTTGATTAGTTATTTTGATTTTTATTACTTGTTAAATTTTGAGAATTTATTTTAATCTACTTCTCAATTGAATCTAAAGTCCAATTTTCTGGTTTAGAATTCCATTAGCCTGCAATAGCTTCTTTGAGTTTTTTGCTAATCTTTTTATTCTAATAAACATGTTTCCCTTCTAATTATTCTTTTTCATTAAATAAATTTATGTCCACCTCTAATGAAGGTCTAGCTTCTTCAAGATTATTCAAAGTTTATTAAGTTTATTTATTGCTTGAGTATTATGAAAAAGTGGCTTATCTTTATAGTTTACTGCTTGGTGATTTGTTTATTTATATAATATTTTATTATTTCTATTCTACTTAATTTTCTGCTCTCTCTAATGAAGTCTCTTGAATTTCTTATTTATTATTTTTTCCTATAAGTAATTAGGATGCTGCATTGTTATTTTAATCATATGGAATTTATGTTCTGATATTTATAAGGCTCCTAGTTCTTAAATTATTTCTTCCTTTAAAAACTTACATTCTTTACTGTTCTTAGGTTTAATTGCTTTCTTACTTTTTCTTATGTTGCTAAATTTCTATGTTTTGTTGCTTTGGAGACTATTTTGATACCATTTAAGGCGATTTTAATTACCTGCTTTTTAAAACGTTACCTGCTTCCATAATTTGAGAACCACTCTTTTCTAGTAATTTAGAAACTTAAATTATATTTTAAGAACTTCTAATAGTTGTATTAGCTTCTTAAGAAACAAGCTATTCTCTAGAGTTTTACAAGAATTTATTAAAAATAGCATTTTAATCTTCACCATCCAAAGGAATTTTACTAATTTTTTTATCAATTTAGTATTAAAATTTTGTATTGTTTTTAAATAGATTTTCTATATTTGTAATTCTCTTTTTATAGAAACTAATTTTTAATTCAGATTTTCTTTTGAGTTCTTTTTCAAACTCTTTGTGGTTTGATAAGAATGCTAGTATATCATCAATTTTTGCAAACTAGACTTCAGTACCATATGCCTCTGAAACTGCACTAATTGTTCTAGTCATTTAATGATTACTTATTTTTATTAATAAAAATTTAATTAATATTTTACTTTAATTTTAAATTCTAAAAAAGTCTCCTAACAATATTTTTTATCGGATTAAAGAAAATTAAAAATTCATTTATTGTTAATAAATTTGCTTAGATAATTTTGTATTTAATTACTATTGTAACCAAATAAAGATATTTTCAATTTTACCTACATAATTTAAATAAACTACACTTTTTTTAGCTAGATAGATATCCATCTCATCATTAAATTTAATTTAGAAGAAATAGAATATTATGCAAAAAAATATTGTTTTTTACTTTTTAGTATATTTTATTTAAATTATTATTTACGTGAATGCATCTTCATGACCAAACAAGTCTTTTTGTGATAATATAGCTAGTTGTATAGGTGATTTTTAGTCAATGATAGCCTTTTTTATTGATATCGTTCCTTTTCTAACTATGTAAATTCCATTTACTGGTGTTCCTTCAGTAAATATTGTCTATCCTCTTTCTAGCTTAATTGTTTCACTAAACAAGTAAGAAAAATTAATTGTCTACTTTTTTGATGTATTTATTAACTGCTCACAAAGGGTATTTTGAACCAAGTAGAGATTTTCGATGACAGTAGAAAAAATAACTTTAAAATCTTTCAAACTTATATAAGCTACCTCAAAGTCTTAATCTTTGCTGCTTGCAACTACAGAAGCTAATCTTCTATTAAATTACTCTTCAGCGGCAAGCTCTCCAAAGTGATCTAGGTATCTCTCATATCTGACTCTCTTATACATTGCAAAATCTCTTGAAATACGAAAGTATCTTGGTTAGTGCTTTTCATTAAGCGCTAGAATCGAAACTTCATCATCATCTTCTTAAATTTTAACTCTGTTAGTCAGCATATTGTTAACATTTTCTAAAATAACATTTTTCTAATTTTTATCAATTATACCATTGCTTTGTTCATTTTTAAAATCCTATATGTTGAGTTCACAACTATTTTTAACTAAGCTTTAATTTTTTTAGGACTCCGTCTAATTTTTTGTAACACTTTTGTCTTCTTTATCTTAAATTTTCAAAGATTCAGAATCCATCTATCCAATCTTTTAGTAATAAATTAAATCAGTTTTGAGCTCATAATCTTCTTTAGGTAAATAAACAGATCCTTATCCTCCCAATACAAAATAGAGGTTATCGCCTAACTCTCCTTGATGAAAAAGAAACTCCCCATATTTATATTTCTAGTATTTTAAAATGTGCGATGTTTGTTTGAGTATGTATTGATAATCAGGCTCATCAGCAATACTTTTGAATAGTTTAGTTTTGGTTAGAAATGATCGAATTATTTGAATAGTGTTTTCATTTCTATCCTTATTGTCGCCTATATTTCTCATAACATTCAAAATTTCTTACTAACTCTCATCTAATATAGAAATCATTCATATAAATATCAAGAAGTAGGTATGTTAATAAGTAAGTTATCAAATTTATAAATGTGAATATATTGAGTATGTTTTAAAAATTAATAATTTGCTCAAAATCAACCAAATAAATTAATTATTTTTTATGTATCTTATTGGTACTATTAAATACTAATTTGTTATTTATTTTTGGTTATTTGTAATTCCCTTTTACTAATATTAATGGTAAATAATATTTCATTAAATTCTAAATACATCTTATTTATTGCAAACACATAACTCATATAAGTGAATACCTATTTCTCCATTAATTAATTATCCATATGAATCTTTTTGGTTAGTTTATTATTATATAATTAGTTCAGTGTAATTATAATTCAAATTTACAGTTATTAATTAGTACTTAAAACTTTTAAATCCATTAAATATTTTATTAATATTTATAAAATGTATATTAATTTTTTTTAATTTTAATTCTAACAAATCCTAAAAGTAAAAAAGATAACTTACTGACTATATTATAATTCTTAATAACAAAACAATAAGATTCTACTTTTTTTAAAGGTATTTCTTAACAAAAATTAAAAAAAAAAAAAATAATTGTTGTTTCATAATCATAATTATTATTTATATATCATTATGTATTAAATTAAATATTTAAAGCTCATTTAAATATGTAACATTAAATTTTAATTAATAAGTATAAATTTAATATATTTAATAATACCTTACTTGATATTTTTAATCCTATTTTTAAAAATATTTACAATTTAATAATAAAATATTTCAGTTAGCTTTATATAACTGTAAGTTAGATTTATATTTGATTTTTAAAAAGTAATATGGCTATTTAAGAATATAGAGACATTAGTTATTAAATTGTGAATATATATGCAAAGAATTATTAAATTATTTACTCATTTTAAAATTTAAATTAGTGTTAGAAAGCAAATCAGCTGATAATTAGTACATAACATTATTTATATTGAATTTTATGGTAAAATTAATTAATTATTTAAATTTTAAAAAAGTTTTTTACTTCAACTACTTTTAATATATGTATTACAATCTATTTCAATATCAAATATGAAGCCTGTAAAAATAAATTTATATATAATTAAATGAATAATTAAAATTACAAATAAATTTGGAGAGTTTTATTTTATTTAAACTTAAGATGATATTCAATTTTGTTAGTTTTTTAGAATTAAATTATTTTTTTTGTGCTTATTATTTAGAACAAATAAATAATTAATAATTTTTGAAATATAAATAAGTTATTTTATCTTTAATATATACTTGATCAATATTTTTAAAAATATGTAAATAAATTGTTTTAATTTTTGTTTTAGATTATTTTTAATCGTTTTAGTTGATAAAATTTGAATATTTGAACTAGAAGTTGTTATGATTTTAAAACAATTTATTCAAAAAGCCGATATCTCAGATTAAATTATGGTAATAAGGTTTTTAATTAAAATTATTTTTATTTTTGAGTATTTGACAATTAAATTCTTTTCATATTTGATTGTTTGATTTTTGTAGCAAATTGCTCAAAATTTTATTTTCAAATAAATTGTTATTAAGCTTTAACCTTTCTTAAAATTCCTTATTTTGGAGTTAATTTTGTTGGTTGCTAAGCTAACCCATAATATTTAATTTGTTTTTATTGATGTTACTTAATGAGAGCTTATTCAAATTAGGAAATTCAGATTATATAGCAGCGTTGATTTATTTTTTTTGCTCTTTAAGCTAGTTTAGAGATTATAAAAAACTTTTGTCACTATATTCTGTAATTTTATGTTGTAGTTAAATAACTAATTTCTCATTAATATCACTAAGGCTATTTTTCTTTTTAAAAATTTAGGAGTTATTTACTCCTCCTCCTTATTATTATTAAATTAAAGTGGAACTTTTTGGCTATGTTCTAGTGCTACTTACGCTTTCAGTGTTACACTTATCGAAAAAAGTATCTGAGTTTTGTAACGACGTTTAGTTATCTTTATTTAAATTTACAGTTGACTTACTGAATGCAAGTTTTTATTCTTATTAAGAAATTTAAAATTTACTCTTAAAAACAATTTGTGAATTGCGATTTTTTACAAATGTGCTGTTAATTGGGGAAGAATTTTCACTATTTCTAGTAGTTAGATCATAACAAGACGCATTTTAACTAGATACTGAGTCTCTTCTATCAGGGAATATATTTTAGATATAGCTAGTCCTATTGAATTTATTTAAGCTTAAATTTTATTTTCTTTCATGATTAAGATTGCTTAAGTTTGATTACTGCTATTATCTTATTTATAATTCCTAATCAGTTTAATTGTTCTCTTATTACTAATTTTAAAATAAACTGGATGGCTAGAATAATGAGGTTTATTAGTTTTCTTCAGATTCTTCTTCGTTATTGGTAGTTGTTTGATTTTTATCAAATATATCTAATTTTTTGAGAGATTTGCTGTGACTGTTAATAAAGCTAGCAATAGTTACTTTATTTTTATTTTAGCTACTTGATCTTCTATCTTTATTTTTATCTAAGCTCAAACTTTTTTTGGTTTATTATTTTATGAAAACAGTACTATCATTGTTTTTAATTGTCGCATAAAAAGCACTCTAATTTTTTGTTATTTATGATTGGCTTTCATCCTCCTCAAACTACAAATATCCATCTTAGTCTTCATTCTATCTCAAACTAACAACTAAGTTATCTTACATAATAAAAGATTTCTTTTTTGTTGGAGTTCTTCCTAAATCACTTAAAAACAAAACTTGTTACTTAGAAATTTCATTTTGTTCCTTCATAAAACTCAAGTATTAATCTAGGTTAAATAACTATTTCTTGTTTGTATGATTACTTTCAACTTATGAAATCGCTAATGAGTGAATAGGATGGAAGATTTTTTTAGAAGATATTTTTTTGCTATTTTTTAACTCTTCTTAAAAGTTAAAAGTGCAAGCTTAAATTGCTTGAGAGTTTTATGGCGATATTTGTTAAGACTCTAATTTTTTAAAGCTCAATCTTGAATTCCATTTGATTATTTGTCGTTTATCATCGCTTAATGGGTAGACTTAAGGTTGTACTAAATTATTTCTTAAATTAAGTTAAGGAATACTATTGCTAATCTCTCTTTCTTATTCTTGCTGAGTGGCTCTTTTATTATTAAAGTAAATCTTTAAAGACTCAATTAAGTTAGTAGAATTCTTTTGTTGTATTTGCGAAATTTCATTCTGATTTGATAAGCCTTATTTATGGTGTATATTTTTGCTTGTTTAATCTAATGAAGAACAGGATCCAATTTATTTTGTATTTGACTTCTTAAATACACTGAATTACTTGCTGCTGTCTTCATTACTACCTGGATATAAAGAAGGTATCCTGTTATTTATCTTTTTTTACTAATTCAAGATGTATTGCAGATATTTCTATTCTTAAAAAGTCTTAATATAAGGTTGCTATTATTTTTCAAGAATCTTTTTTGAGTTATTAATTATTTCTTCTGCTGACTCTAATTAATGATGAAGATGTTTTTGTCTTTAATGGATTTTATTACTACCTAAATTTTAATTTTGTGTAGTAAAATTTAAATTACCATTTAATTTTTCTTCAGTAATTCTAAATCTTCTATCAAAATATTGCTCCTTTTTTTTGCAACTAATATCTTGATTGCTGAGAGTTAATTAATTTCCTAATACTTTTTAGGAGTTTACTTTTGTAATGCTATCGACAAGCCATTTATTTTCAAGTACAAGATCCTTTCTCAAAAAATAGATCTTAGCTTTTTCTTCATTTCTCACTAAGCAAGTGCTTCTTCTCTTTTCAGCAAATAAATCATCTAATCCAAATATTTCACCTTCTTTTATGCTTTGAATTTCTTGAGTTCCATTCATTTATGAAACAATCCCAAATAATAAAACGTAAATACCTTTTGAATCTTCATTACAGACATATATGTTATTTGAAAAATATTAAAGAACAAACTGCTCAGCTATTTTTTGTATCTAAAACTAATTTTATTCAAATAAATGCAGTTATTCTTTCAATACATTTGACAAAAACTGTATCTAAAATATTTTCTAAAAGAATTTCTCGTTGAAAAGCTTTAAATCAATTTTAAGTGTGTGAAGAACTGAGCTTAAAACAAGACAGGTATTTGATCTTTTGTTAGCAAATATATCTGATTCACCGATTGTGTATTCTTACACAACATCATCTTTCTTAACAAATTTACACTATCTTGACTTCCAATCGCTATAAAAATACTCCTACAAAGATTGATATCTGCTACATATTTCAAACAATTCCTCCTACTGCTTTACTTATAGAATGTTTTCTAAATTGATAATCTAGTCTAAATACTTCTTAGTTGATTGATAATCTTGATTCTTACCTAATTAAGCTATTTGTTTTCTAAGCTTTTAGAGTTCTTGATACATTTTTATCTGAGATTTAACAATTTAAGGAGGCTTAGCTTCAAAATATGAAACTCTTCCTTAAATAATAAAATAAATATAATTGCTATCAGTGATGAAATCATTTTATTTATAAATAATATCTCCTTCTTTAAACTACTGATAATCAAATTACTCTACTATATCATCTAAAAATAATTCCGCTTTAACTACATCTTTAAGGTAATTCTATATCAAAGGAAACTGCTTTAAGCATTATTTGACCTGCTGATTGTAAATCTTCTGATCGCTATCTTTTAGTTTTATATTTAGTAACTTTTTTTACTTTAAAATTTTTATGATATTTTCCATTATTGACCAGATTTTGTTTATGCTACTCTTTTAATAAACAGCACTACTAATTTACCTAATTAATTAAAACTTTATATTGGCATCAAAGAACTGTATATTTGTAATAGAATTTTATATTGATTTTTATCTTTTACATCGATGATATATTAAACATTCCATAAATTATCTCAAAAAGAATGAATGCTATACTAAAATTAAAGGATATAAACTGCAAATTCATTTACAATAATTTTGTAAAAAAACCTCAATATATTAAAATCCACACAAATAGTTTATACTTATACTTACTATAACTAAAAAAAATTTAATATTCACAAAATATTTGTTTCATTCGAATGTAAATTAAAATATTTGTTGGCACACTTAACCACATATACATAATCATTTGTCAAAAAATTTTTACATAAATAAAAACAATTTTTAATTATATTTAATTGAATATAGAACTTTTTAATTTAATTCAATTTCATCGGTTTAAGAAGAAAAATGTAAATTATTTAAAAAAATCTAATTTTTCCTTATATAATAAATATAAATTGTACTATTTGGTAGGGTGATGATATTTTTAAAGTTACAAATATTTAATTAAATTTCTATTAAAATATAAATAATAATTAATTTTAGAAAATAAACTAAATAAATTTATTAATATTTTTTTTATTTTTAATCTATTTTACATAAATTTTAAACATAATTTATTATAAATATTTCTTATACACATTTTTATTGATTTAAGTTTATTAATTGCAAATCTATTTATTAAATTTTTAAATGAAATGCATTTTATTTACAAGTAATAGTATATTTTTATTAATCTACTTTTCTAAATTTTTTATTAAAATATAATCAGATTTTATATTTATAATAGCAAAAATATCATCTAAGCAATAATATTTTAATGTGATTTTCAAATAATATAATTATTTCGTTAAATTTCCCTATCAAGAATAGCTTATAATCTAACTAGAATCGTCAGAGAGAGAAGTTTTACTGGTATTTTATGATGATTCAGTGTACTCTTCAAGAGATAGGTCAGAATTGCTATCTTTATCTTTCTTTGTTTAAGTCTATTTTTTATTTTCAATTTATATCTTTGTTTGAGTTTGTTTATAATTTATTTATTATTATTTTAAGCAGTTTAAGGGTTGTAATTATATTTAAGCTTATTTTAAAGGAGTTATGCTTCTCCTTTTTGGATTTTGTTTTTAAATGCTTTTTTTGTTTTCGGATGTACCAGATTTGTCTATCATGATGAAGGAATTATCTGTAAATGATCCTCTATTTTTTTAATCAGAAAAAGAGTTTTATTAGTATAATGATTTTCTTTTTTCAGTCATGGTATCTCTTTTACTAAAAGAATATTTTTTCTTTAAGGGAGAATTCTCTTCACTAGTTTACATTTTAAAAAATGAGTCTTCATTTATTTGTTGAGTATTAATATTCTATAAATTTTGATCCTAATTCAAAGTTGGATTAAAATTCTCTTTTTGTTTTAGTGTTTTATTTGATTTAAATGATGCCATAGTTACTCTAATTTTATTACCAACCTTGAAAGGATTTTGCTTTTCGAAAAATTTTTAGGTTTCACTAAATTGATGAGTGTTTGAAGTCTCGTTCAAAGGACATTTCATAAAATTAGAAACCATTAAATTATTAAATAAAGTTCCTCCATATTCTAGTTCTTGCTTTTCATAATGACTTTTAGTCAGAGACTTAATGTTATTATTGTAAGTTGATATCATAAAGCATCTTTCATCTGCTTAGCATTTTAGAAGTGGAATTTTCTAATCTAGATCATTTAGAATTTAAAACTACTTTTCTTTAGACTAACTTGTTGCATTAAGAGTACTAGGATACTAATTAGATGCTTTGTTTTATTTATTTTCTAGATATTTTTTAAATAGAACTTTATAGTTTCCACTTAATGAACCTGTTTAAGCTACTCCTCTGTTTGAATGTATTGGAAGCTACTCGTTTCCTATTTAAAGCTTTATATCATTTTGTAAAGTGTTTACAGTCTAAACATTATCTTATTCATCTACCTGATTTGATATCCAGCTTTCTGCTCTGTTTCTTTTATTTTCATTCTCAATATATTAATGTATACTTGATCTTAATGTGCTTTAAGAGGAGTTTCTGATTTTTAATTTGAGTACAGAAGAAATACTTGTTGAAGATTTTGTATTTCCATTTAAAGATTTATTTAAATTAATATTATTGTTGGAATTATTATTGTTATTTGGCCTTGGAGGAAGCACAAAAGGAAAAGACGGATTCATAATCATATCATTTGCTGCTTAGTAATGTGTTTATGGTTATTCTAATAGAGAATTTCTGTATTTCAAGTTCGCCTTGCTTTCAGTATTTAGGATCTCTTAAATGCTGACTCTTTGAGATGCTGATTTATCTCTTTAAACAAGTTTTTAGCTCACATTTTATGTAAGGAATTGCTCTTTATACTTCTCTATTGTTTATAAATATTTCCTTGATTTTTCTTTACTTAATTTCATCAAAATCTTATAAATATCCATTTTTCCAATTTCATTATTTACAAAACTTCTTTCTTAATCGAAATACTAAGTAGGAATAAATAGAATTTTCGCCTTTTCACTTTGAACAGTGGCATCATAAGTTCTATACATATTAGATACGCAGATATCTTCTATTCCAAAAAATTCGCTGCTACTTACAAGGTCTACTATTACTTATTAGCTTTTAGATTGATTTTAAGAACTAATATTTAAGGAAATTTCAATCGTTCCTTATTTTACAAAATAAAACCCTAACGATTTCTCATTTACCTTGTAGAGCTTTTCTCCATTTATATATTGCTATTCTTTGCATGCCTAACAAAAAGATAAAACTGATGATTATTCGATTTCATCTAAGTTAAAGTATTTGCTGAAAAGACTCATTCTGTGTCTGATTTCATTTACTTAGCTGCTAAAAATCCTTTGGAAATCCGAAAAATTCAACTCAAATACTCTACAGGGTGTTTAACAAATAGCATTATCTCTTGATTAAAGTCTTGAAATTAAGGCATTCTCTTCATTAACCACATCATACTTACTTGCTAGTTTAACTTTTTTAATTGTTTGATATCTGCTTTTATTTATTTATTGAGTGATGGTAGAAATATTAGCATTCTTAAAAGTTTATTGACTTTAAGAAGTTGACAATGGCCTTAATATTTTGTACTCAGATTATATTATGACATTACCTTCAATTATAAAGAATATTTAATCACACTGCTCTCCCTATTCAATTAATTAATAATCCTGCTAGTAATGTTTTTCTCTTATGCATTTTGCTACTTGGCTTAAAAAATGAAGGTATTTCGGATGGTTTCTTAATTTAACAAAGAAAGAAAACTCTTCTAATTAGACTGTAATATTATCCAGACATCCATTAAAACTATTACTCATTTGTGCTTAATTAATCTATTTAATAAGTTTTTTTTTGTATCTAATATATTTTAATGGCTATTATTTTTATATGTTTGCTTTCTTGCTTTCTTCTATATATAAGCTCTCTAAAATATTTATATTTATTGTTTTTTACTTTACTTTTTATTATTAATAAATTAATAAACCCTAATATTTAGTAATCTTTATTCATCTTACAATATCTTAATTATATTTGGCAATAAGTCTTTTTTTCTGGATTTTATAGCTTCAATTTATATACTATCTATTGCGCAAACACCTATAATTATTAATTCGTTTATTTTTTTTAATACTATCTGTTAATAAATTTTTTATTGAGTAAAATCCTTATGTCAATTTCATTAATAATTATATTTAACACTCTTTATTATGAAAATAAATTAATAATTTTTAACCAATTAAAGAATTATTATAATTTATTTTACAAAAATAAATTTTGTCCATTATTTTTAATTTTCAAACATTAAAAGCCAATTTCAAAATAGATACTTTTACTATGATAAGAATCTTTAATTAAAATAAAAACCAATAGTATTTGACATGATTTTATTCCATAAAAATTTGAATTTTCAAATAATCTTTTTGTTTTTTCATGTTCACTAATCTAAATATTCAACTATAAAATTTATTTTTTTGATTTTTGTAGTTAATATTTATGTGATTAAAAATATTTATTTTTTAATTTTATTTTATAAAAATTAAATTTAAAAAAAGTATTATCAGCAATGATATGATTAATTTTTAAATTTTTTAATATTTAAGTAAATCAATAAAGAATCTCATTTCGTTTTATTTATTAATATTATTAATGTTATTAATATACTTATTATACTTGTTTATTACCATTTTAATTTTTGGAAATAATTTATTATTAAAATAAATCTATTTTTTGATAATTCAGGAATACTAAAAGAAAAGCTAATCTTTTTTTAATAAGAATTTACAATACATATTTATATTAGAATTCAATAAAAAAAAAATTTGCAATAGAAAACTTATTTTTTTATTTGATCAAAATGCCTAAAAATGCTTAATTATATAGTTTAAAACAAAATTTGTGAATAATATAAACACACTTAAAGTTAAATAAAACAGAAAAAGAAAAAGTATTAAAAATTTGTATAATATATAAATAAAATATATTTTTGCTTTTTTGATATTATATATTTAATATTATATTTATATGATTAGTTTAAAATTTAGAAGATATTAACTAAATAAATTTAGAAATTATTTCTATTGAGCTATGGATTTTATAAAATTGTTAGAATATAGATATATTTGAGTATAAAGTGTTTTTGATAAACATGTTTAAATTAAAAAAAATATTTTATTTTAAATTTGAAAAAAATAAATTAATTCTAAATTCTTTTAAAAACTTTTTTGCAATTCCTTTAAAATTAAATCATGTTTTTTTAAAAAGGATTTCAAATTTAATAATGCAATTTATTGATATATGTAAAATTGTATTGCTATTGATTATTGAAAATTAATAAAAAATACGTTATTTCAATTTTAGATACCTATTTTTTATTATAATTCAAAAAAAAAGAGTTTATTTCATTTCATATAAAATGTTTATTTTTTCTCCAATTTAAATTATTTTAATTTCTAGATTTTTATAACATAATAAAACTCAATTTATCATTTTATCATCTTAAAAAAAATTATAAAACATCTTCAATAGAAGAAATGCTAAAAAACAATTATTATTTTTTAAAAATATCCATTTTAATTTTATTATAAAAATAAATTACTAGTATATCAATTTACTAATTTAACTTTTTATTTCTTATGGATTTGAGTATTTTTCTGGTATAATTCTATAATACTTTAAAAAATAATGATAGGCTTATATTTGTTTGATCATTTAATTTTCATAAAATAAATTACTTTGTTTAAAAATAAATAAAGTAAAGTTTAGAGTAAATAACTTATCTAAAACATTTTATAAAAAATTGTTAACAAAGTTAAATAATTACAGATGATCATATTTAATTATTTTCAGTTTTAATAAAAAAACTTTTTTATTCTAAACAATATTTGAAGAATTTATATTAGATTAAATGTTTTAAATTAAACTTTAGATGTAAGAAAAAATTAATTTTGAGATTTAATTTTTATATTGTGTAAGCCTAGAATGGAGGAAAAGATATTTATAGATATATAGATGCACAGAATATTTTAAATAGAGATCTGATTAATTTGAGTTACAATAAAAATAATGGATGTTTGTCTGATAATTAAAATGTGTAAAAGAATAAATGCAATTGTTAATAATGAAGGTGACAGTAAAAATAATTAGGAGTTAAATTTTTTTAATTTAGAAAAATAACACTTAAATTTTAGTTTAATTATGAATGATGCATAGTGACGCATTTTTTGCTTTTTATTTATTAAGAGCATTTCTTTTATATTGGATTAATATTCGAGAAGAATAAATAAATGAGATTGTAGTTTGATATGTGGATTATGTAATTAATTCTGGTAATATGAATAATGATTAGAGTAAATTTAGTATTCAAATCTTTTATTAAAAGTTATTTGCATTCAAAACCAATAAATTAATTTAAAGAAAGTAAATAAAAAAATTAAAAATAGAAAATATCTTTTGATTACTAAACTGTAAATATTCAAAAAAATAACTACTTCGACATACTCAGCTCAAAAATTTTTAACAAATTTCAATTCTTATTCTTCTTTATCATATTTAAATCGATCTTTGAACTATTATTTAATACCTGAGAGCTCAAACCTATAAATTAATTCAAATGGATACATAAAATTCGAATACTGATTCTACTACTACTATCCCAGTTGTTAATATTAATGAAAACAATTTTAAATATGAAGAGATTCCTTCTTTAGATCACCCTGAACCACTTAAGGTTAAGGTAAATCAAAAAAAAGAAATTCTCCTAAGCGGTGGTGCTGGAGCTATAAGCTTTTAAGCAGGATATATGCATGGATTGTCAGAGATAATTCCACTAGAAGTTTTAAAAGAGTACAGAGTAGGTGGTGTTTCGGCAGGAGCTTGTGTTGCTGGATTTTTCGTATTTTCTCTTTATAGCAAACATGACATGAAATACTGGTTCGAAAAATGCATCCGCAAGCTGCTTAATGTTGTAAGTAATTCTACTTTTGGATTTTGGCAGACTACTTCTTTGCTATCAGAATTAGCTGCCTCTTCTTACAGAATCGCTTTAGAGTGTGGTGTTCCTTTGGATGAAGCTTTCCACTGCTATATTTCATTAAGAAGTGGATTTATTGGATATAAAAAACACTTGGTCGATAAATTCATCAATGAGTAACAATTTGCAGAAGCAATTACTTGCTCATGTACAATCCCTTTTGTGACTTCATTTAGCTTCTCTAATGAATACTAGGGCAAAAAAGCAATAGACGGAGGAGTCACTATGGGTATACCTTTTAGAAATAAAGATTCAGAATGCATTTTCTTAAACGTTCTCCCCAAGCCATTCCGCTCTTACCCTATCGTAAGAGACTTCCCAAATCACTTAACTACTATAGATATAGCTGAGGACTATAATCTTGTATTCCCTACAGATTACTGGCTTTGGGATGAATAAAATGCTGATAAATAATTTGTATAAGGCTATTTAGCTGCAAAACATTAGCAAGATAAGTTGCTAAAAGCTTTTAATTTAGAATCTAAGCTCTAACCTGCTTAATGAGATAACTAAATCAATTTTTATAACTTTGATATGTCAGATTGATTCAAGGAATTAGATAGGTATATTCACTCATACATTCATATATGCATAACTACTTACCTTGCTTAATTAGTTAGTTATTTAAGTTAAGGTGGGTTATAATTAGATTTGATAAGACCTAAATTAAACAATTAATTAAAAACCTAAAAAGCATTGAGTTGGTATATATCATCATTTACGTCATTATCAAAAGATAATTAGGAATTTATATTAAAAGGCATTTATCAGGAAAGCACAAATTAAATTAAAAATACATAGATTTTTAAAGATTTCTCACTATTTTCAATTTTATTAAGAATAATCATCATATTTTGTATATAGCATCATTTAAATAATACTTAATTAACTTAAACTACATTATTTATTAAAAATAAAATGTGTAATTTTCATCAATATATATATTCAGTAAAAAATATAATAAATTATTTATCTTAAAATTCTATTATACGTTCATTTATTTCATTAAATTATGTATATTTATAATATTGCATCAAATAGAATGATACTCTGAAAAAGATATCTGATATAAGATAAGTTAGTATTATCTTAGAGTATGTATAGCTTTTAATTACTTTATTATTACAGATTTTATATTAGTTATTCAGACTATATGACGAGATATATTTAATACTTTAAAAATGCTTTTCGTATAAAATTTGAAAAACTAAAATTAATACCTATTTTTGGTTTCATTACAACTTATTATTACAAATTAAATATATTGAATTGAAATTAGATTTAAAATTGGTTCATTCTATTATCACACATAAATAGATTAGTTTATTATGCTTTCATTTTTCTATGATTAACTAACTAATTACATTCTCCTATTACTAGTAAATTATTTTTAATCCAAATAATACAAAATGGCTTGTTTGTTTTTAATCCTTTCAACAAAAATATTTATTTTATAATATCTGACTAAATTTATTGAGTTAATCTTAAATATCCTTTTATTTTATTTTTCTTTTAAAATTTAAAAATAGATAAATAGAAATAAAATTCAACTTTCAATTGTTAAAGAATATTAATTATTTAATTAAATATTTCATGAAATCCGAGATAGTATAGTGGTTAGTATTCCTGCCTGTCACGCAGGAGACCCGGGTTCAATTCCCGGTCTCGGAGCTTTTTTTTTTAAAAAATTCTTTTGAAAAAAGAATGTTTAATTTTCTAAGAAATATGATATTGGAATTATTTTTTATTCTTTTTTAAAAAACAATGAAATAATTTAATTTTAATTTATTTTTTTCTACTATGATCAAAATTGTTATTAATAATTCAGATAACAATTTTTATTTAGAAGGTTTATAAAAAATTAAATTTTTATAATATTTTGAGTAATTAATTATAAAAATTAGTGATAATCTTTTTTTTCTTTTTATAATTAAATTTAAAAAATAGTAATAATTATAAAGAAATTGCAAAAAAATTGAATTAATTAATTAACCTTTTTTTCAGTCTAAAATATTTATCATCTAAAACTTTGTTTTACTAATTTATATTTATAAAAATATTAAATTAAAGAAAAAATTCAAACAGAAAGTTTATAAAAATTTCTTTATTTTAATATTTTTTAAAATAAATTTTTAATTAAAAGGTTTCATAAATAATAAATAATAAACTAACTTACTTCATTGGTTTTAGTATTTTTTAAGATTAAATAATTTTTTTTTTATTATTTTATAATAAATTTTAGAAATTTAAAATTTGAATTTAGCTAATTAAATGAATTTTAATGACAAAAGTTATTTTATTATGTAAAAAAATAGTGATATTGATTCTTAATTCTTACCTAAGTCATAACAAAAAGGGTGTTTTCTAAAGAATATTTATTAAATTTTAAAATTAGAGATTTGTTAAAGATTGAATCCGTCTATAATACACTAATACTTAACAAAATAGATTTTATATTTTAGAATATAACTTTCTAATACTAGTAATAATTTAAGTAGTTTATTTTAGAATTTATTTTAAATAGCTTATATTTATTTAGTATAATTAATTTTAAAATAATATTTTTAAAGAAAAATTATTTTACAATTAGTTTAAAAAAAAGATGATTAATTTTAAAAATGATTGTCAATATATACAATTAATATGAAAAAAAATATAAGTTTTAAAACTTTTTTAATCACTAATGAGATGAGTATTAACTTTATTTACTTTGAAAATTTTGAAAATAATAAAAATTAAATAAATAATTTAGTTTATTAATTTGCTTTCGTTTTATTTTAATACAAATTCTAAATATTGAGATCAGTAATTTCATAATGAAGATAGGTGAATATATAAAATAAAAGTAATTGATTGTTATTTTAAAATAAAAAAATATTTAGGGGATAAAGTTAAACAATGCTTATTATGCAATAACTTAATACAAAGTTAAATAAACTTATGTTTTGAAAAATACTGATTCTATGTAATTTGTGATGTTTTTGATTTTTAAAATTAAAATATATCAAAAGTGTTTCAACAAAAATAAAGTTATTAATTTTTTTCTATATTAAAAATCTTTGGGTGTAGCTTTTATTTTAGTAAAATAATTTTTTATTAGATTATTGAAAATATACACAAAGATTAACAGAAAATTGAGACCACATAAATTAAAAAGATTTGATATATTTAAAGATAGCAATTTTAAAGTGTTGATTTTTAAATTGTAGTTCTAGTTTAGATATTTTACAAAGTTTTTTTAGGCATTTTAGTTTTAAAAGAGTTGATTGATTAGAATTTATTTGTTATAATTTAAATATGTTTTTATAGAATATTTTTTAATCAAAATATTTAATTTATTTCTAGATTTTTAGAAGAAAGTTAATTATTACATTTTTTTTAGCATTTCTGATTAATTTTATTTGAAAAATAAAGCCTCAAAATTTCAAAAAATTAAATTTAGATTTAAAAAATCAGAATTACAGCTAATCAAATACACTTTTATCTTTTGTATTTATTCATAAATTTATTTTTGGCTAGTAATTTATAGCACACTACTCATATCTCTAACTTTATTTAATAATTATTATTCTAAATTTGAGCATTATTCTTTATCAACAGCAACTTGATTTCTTTCCCATATTTCTTCAAAACAAGTACCACTAAAGAATTAACTTGAAGCTGTGTAATTATTTTTTGTGCAAGTTTTAATTGAATCTTCTGTTCCTTCAGGGCAAACTGGTTCACATATAACTAATTTTCAAAAAAAAGTAATTAATGTTAATTATTTTGCATATAATTTCAGAAAATTTTATCATTAAAAAATTACAGCAAGATGAAGCCTTGAAATTCTTTTTACATTTTGGGAAAGAGAAAGATCCACACTTTTATCAATTTAATGATACATTAAAAAGGATTAAAAAATGAATAAAATAATACTTATTCGCAGCTTGTGTTTGGGTTTTCCTTATTGCATCTCAGTTAGCTCTATTAAAAAAGATAGATTAAAATTTTGAAATTTAATTAATTTTCTTCTAGCATTCATTTAAAAAAAATGCATCAATTAATTATTTATTACTTAGACCACAGAAAAAGGCCCATCTTGAGGAATCCATGAATATCCTACTCCTCTTGAATAAGAATTAGGTTTGATACATTATTCTTCTTGTTCAATAAATCCTTTTGGACATTTTTGAGTGCAATCTTAATTTTGATAATTAAAAATATAAATTATTGATACATTAAAATAAAGCAAAATTTAAATCGACTACTTGAAGTTTTTCCCAAAGGTTTGTATCCAGGTTTACAAGCAGCCATCCAAAAGCCGTTATTTTTTATGCAAGGCTATTAAGTAGATTTCTCACATTACTCCTTTCCATCTACCCAGCAACTTGCTTCTAAGCACTTTGTTTGTATTTACTCTAATTCAGTAAATATTTTTTGAAAAAAAGAGCCTATCAAATATTCAGCATTTTTAGTGTATTCACTATAATTTTTTGTTATTATTTGGATTTATTCTTATAAACATTAATTCTCCTCAAATTATTTTACTTATTATTGAGAAAAACTTAAAGAAATAAGAACAATAAATAATAATTTAAAGGAATATTAAATATTTTTATTCATTTATTTATAATATAAGCTAAAATAGTTAAATTTAAATAGTTTATATTTCAATCAGAAGTTCAAATTATCTTTTTATTTATATTTCTTTTAATAATTTTATTATCACTTCTAATAGAATTCTTAATTTAAATAAAAATCCTTTTTCTCATCCTTAATTAAAAATATTACACAAAGACAAATCTGCAAATCTATTTTGGTATTTTAGTAACTTAGCTATTTAGACAAAAATATTATTCAGAATATGTAAGAAGATTTATGGTTTTTGTGAAAGTCTAATTTTGAGAAACAATGAAAATTTTGTATTTTTGGTAAATGTAATTCATCAATAAAATCACGTTTAAAAATTTTTTTTAATTTTAACTTCATTCCTATTCAAAAGGTAAATAAAACAATGCATAATCTAATTTATAGGAATAACTTAAGAAAGTATGAAATAAATAAAAATGTAATGACATTTATTTAGACTTATTCACTAAATACCTACCGTTCATCCATTTAAATAAATAATTTATTATTAATATTTTAATTACTAAAGAAGAAAGATTTTTAAAAGGACATTTTTTTGTACGTATTTAGTAATATTGCTTGCTATAGAAAGAATTGTAAAAATTATTAAAAATTTGAATATAAATTTTTGGTCAGAATTTATCATAATAAATGTAATTTGATACAAGCAAGAATTAATCAATATTTTTTATTCTACATTTAAAATATAAATCAAAATATTTAATTATTTACACAAATGATTTTATAAATTTAGTTGAATTTAATAACTAAATTACTGTGTTCTTTTCAATAGGAAATCTTTTTTAATAATAGTTCTATTTTTTTACTACCCCTATTTTTTTGAAAATCTAAAATTAAAAAAATTTTTTAAAAATTCAATTTCTTTAATTGATTTACAATTAGTAATATTATTTATTAAAATCTACTTTTAATATTTTTATTCTAAAAAATATTATTAAAAAATAAAGGTATTTATCTATATTATTAACGAAAGAGTTTAAATGAGCTACTCAAGTAATCATCTTTCAGAAATGAATATTCACAACTTGAGACGCAATTCGACCAAGTATCTTTCAAAGGTATTAAAAATTAAAAAAGGAAAAAAATGTAGCATCAATCACTATAGAACCACTATCAATAACTGACCAAATCTCACCAATGAAGAAAAATTTCAAAATGTATTCAAAAAATAATTTATATTTTAGATAAAAAATAATTATAACAATCAATAGTAACCTCATTAGCATTAATTTAGTAATCAAAGCAAATAGGAATGAACTGCTACAATAAATAAAATAATATCAATAATTAATCAATTAAAATAGTTTCAAAAAAACTATTGGTAAATTTATTAAACCAAACACAAATTGCTCAGATAATAAATCAAAAGACTCATTTATAACTAATGAATCAGAAAGATTATCAATCAAATGATATTGATTAATAGAACCTTAATTACCTATCTATCACTATTTCAACTAAATAGTAATTAACATTCATCTAAATGAATATTGAATTCAAGTTCTAGCTTACAACCAAAGAGCTTAATTATTTAGATTATAGAAAATTGATCAATTTTAGCATGCATCTGTAAAATGGCAAATCAATATTTCTATCAGAAGAAATAAATAAAAAATTTTTCGCAATAAATCAACTTAGAATATTATTTAAAGTAAAATATCAAATTTCTTAAAAATGAACTGATGGCCTTTTTATTTTAACTGCAATCAATTAAAGTTATTTCAAATTTCCTTAAATTTTTTAATATTAATTTTAAAGCAATCAGTGTTAAGCTATAAATTTTATTTTTTAAAATAATATAACCTTAAAAGAGAGCTTATTTAAATTACAGTAATTACCGTATATTTAATAGCAATCATTGAATTATTTAATAAAATATTTTTTTTTAATAATAAAGTCATTTCAATCAGATAGTCAAATTAGGAAGTAAGGGTACAATATATTATATATAATACAATTAATATTTAATGTAATAATAATTATTTTATTTGATCATCATTAGCAAGTTAATATAGAACCAGACCAATCCCATCCAAAATAAGTTAGATGGTCTAGAACATTAGCTGCTATTATTACTCCATCTGCACCAAATATTGTTTCCGCGTTTTAACATTAGTTATGTTAGTTTCCAAAAAGAACAAAAGAAGGATAGAATATTTCATGGTTGTAGTGGAAAAATGAAAATGGGTAAAGAAGAGGAGGTAAATGAGGAACTGGATCAGCAGCATTATTAATTCTACCATATTCTAAGGCAAAATTTTAACTGTTAAACCAGTTTGCATAAGTTTAGTCACCTACTCTAGGACAACCATAATTGTAAAAAGCATCAATAGGTTTATTTCCATTTAATTAGTAAATTACTGGTATTGAGTGAGCACTCATTGCAGCACCAAGAGAATGTCCTGTAACAAATACCTAAATTATTTTTTTTAATTATTAAAATTTAATTAATTGATAAAGATAAGGATTATATGATGGATGATATATGATATTGTAAATATAATCATTAAATTTTAAAATTTGAATCTTTAATAAGAATAATAATTTTAATAAATAAATTATTATTTATTTTTAAAATTTATATTTATGGGCAATTTAAATTAATAATTGAAAATAAAATAATTGTTTTTTCAAAACATTTAAATGATAAAAAATGATTTATTAGTTAGTTATTTACTTTTGCATTAGGATATAGTTAACGAAGTGAAGTAAAGCTAGTAACAAGCTGAGATTTCAATTATTTGAACTGGTTATAAAAGCCTTAATGGACATAACAGTTTTGGCAGAGTGGGTACTAAGTCTTGAAGGTGTTTAAGTCAGCAATCCAATTTTCGATTAACCAAGGTACTGTTCCTCTGAATACAACAACAATTGCATCATGATGAGTGGAGTAGCCTAAATATCCACTAGCTTATAGAGTAGAGTTAAATAAGATAGTAACATTTCGAAGTCCTTAAGGGTTTTTATCACAAGCACATCCACAATTCCATTGTTCTATAGATTTAGGATTACAGTAAGAAGCAAGAGAGAAACCAGCTAAGTCTTAAGCAAGTGATTAAGTATAAGTAAATGATTAGCAGGCAGCAAATGACAAGCAAACCAATAGAAGCAATTACAATTTCATTTTTTAGTTGTTGGCTGTTTATTGTTTTTAGTTGTTTTTTTTTTATTTAATTATTTTAAATATTGTTGTAAAAATTGCAACTATTTAAAGTTAACAAACAGTCTTGTATGAAATATTTATTTTTTAAAAAACTTAAGTTAAAAGAAAATCAGATTACTTTTACAATAAATATATAAATAGATTTTTTAGTTTAAAGTCCGAATCAATTATGATATGTATAGAGTGACGACAGCTTATGATTTATCTTTAAATTAAATTTTTAAGATTTGTGGTAATTGAGTATGAGAAATTAATTAAATAGTTAATAATTAAATCCTCATCAGATGGAATTTGATGAAATAATAATTAATTTTTAACTAGAAAAAAAGAGATGAAGATTACGCACGATTTGATTTCTTTAGGTACTGATTATCATATTATCATCAGAATGTTGTTATTTAAAAAAATATCACAAAATCTAGCGTTAGAGATTGAAATTTGTTTGCTTATTATAATATTTCATAAAAGTAAAATCACTGGTGTTAACATTATCAAATTACTAACTTAAATCGTCATTGAGAATGAGTCATTCACTAACATTTTAAATCTTTCCATATTTTTTTTGAAAGTCTTTTTGCACTTTTTAAAATATTTAGATTTTATAAAGACTCTAAATTAATAAAGAAATAGTTAAAAATCATTTTATTGAATATTATAAATAAGCTAGTTTACTTTTTTATAATGTTTAAATTATTTATTTAATGATTAAGATTAAAATAAATATGTTTGTTATATAAAATATACAAAAATCTAAACTAATATCAAAAAAATTGTAATGCTAAAAATTAGAAAAAATATGCTTAATCTTTCAAATCTATTTGTATTACATGTAACAAGCAAATAGTAAATTTTTATTTTGTAAGGACTAAACAATAATTCATATCTGCAAAATTCAGTTAAGGAGCACATTTAACAAATTGTTTATAATGTTTGAAAAACGTAATCTTTCATTATTAAGGTGACATCACAATTTATAGCATGCTAGCGTATTACTAATTACGAATTAGACTTTACATTTAACAAGATTAAATCCTTTTTGAATTTAATTAATATATTAGCTGTTTATTATAAAAAAAGGATACACTTCAAAACAACAAAAAACAATAAAAGTATATTTAAAATTACGTATTAATTATTAATTTAAGACTTTGTCTCTGTAATTTACAATTAATCATCATACTACAATATTTTAATCATTAATAATATTTAGGGCATATTCCTAGTTTATTTCTACATAATTATTTTAATTTTTCAAAATATTTACTTAATCTTTTATAATTATACGAAGTATTTTTATGAGAATATTATTTTCATATAATTATTTAATTAATTAATATTATTTCACAATGATAAAAAAATAAAGTCTTGTTCAAAATGAAAGTAATTTCACACTTAAAAATAGAAATTTTGGAATATAATAAAATAAGTTAGAACTAGCTTTTAAATTGATAATTTTTTGCAAAAAAAAAAATGCCACTTATTATTATAAGTTGATTAGCAAATCTTAAATGTTTTATAATAAGTTAAGGTTTAATCATTAATTAAGTGATAAAGAATATTTATGAGTAACTTCATAAATTATAATCAATGTAATCACTCGCTGATTAATTAAAATTGAATTTTAGTTGTAAGTTAAAATTTTATGTATTACTTATATAAATCTTATGTAACATAAGTATAAAAACAATAATAAAATGTTATAAAAATTCAAAATATATTGACTTATTTTGTACCCTTCGATAGTACATCATTAAACTATATTGTAAAAAAAAATATTTTTTATATTTACTAGATATAAAGGATTTATTATAAATGCTACTCATCAAATAAGTTTAATTATTTAAGGTAAATAAAACAAATATGGATTATTTGATTAAAATAATTTCAAATAATTCATGTATATAATTTTTCAAATGCTGTTCATTGTTTAAATGTCATTTTCTTGTTTTTTTTTTATCTTTCGTTCGTGGCTTTTTAAGGGATTGGCAGTCATTTGTAAATTTACTTTATTACTAATTAATCTTATAAATTACGACAATCTGCTATTACGTAACATTTACATAGGGTATGTCAATATTGTTATTAATTAATAATTGGTAATAAAAAAATTCATACAAAAAATTCCATAAAAAATAGTGATAAAATATTAAGTGATTTTTGATGTAAAAAAGAATAATTAAATATTATTCCTTAATTATTACCAAAAGTTTATCAGAAAACGATTGTTAAGCATTGAACTATTTTTTAGTGGTTAGTGATTTAAATTTACGTAATTTCATAATAAATATTCTGGAAAAACTCTTTTTTTAATATGCAAATGTTAAAGCAACTTTACTGATCTTTCGTCACTCAGAGTGACTCAACTATAATTAGATCAATGTTTTTTTAGATTAATTTTTTAAAGTATGAGAATAGATAGATAAAGTCATCTTTATATAATCTAAAGTTAAGAATTTTATATCCTAATATAGATTCAAATAATTTTTCAATGAAAAAATAAATGTCAAATCAATAAAACTTAACATTTTTATGATTTAAAAACTCAGCAAAAAAATAATTTTGTTAAATTTATGTAGCATTAAATCAATTAATAAATATAGCAAACTTTAATGATAGCAGACTATATTATTTATTAGTAAAAGTAAAAAATATTTTTAAAACTAAAAATTTGAGGATTTTAATGTTCTGAATTAAAAAATAATGTTCGTTCCTCTAATTTTTGATACAAGAATATTAATTGATTAAGATAATTTAAATAAATTTTTAGATATTTTATTCTAAAAAGTAGTAAATATTAAAATAAAATATAAATGTTTTAAAACAAATTTAAACAGATAAAAATAATTTTAGTTAATGTTTTTGTTTGATAAATTAATTTTTTAATTCATTGGCAAGTTAAAATAGAAGTAGCCCAATTCCAGCCAAAATAACTAAGATGGTCACGAACGCTTGCAGCAATAATCTTACTATTTGCACATAATTTGTGTTCTGCATCTAAGCATTACTCATATTTGTTACCATCTTCAATAAATGAAGTATAAAATATTTCATGATTAGTATGATAAAATTAGAAAGGGAAAAGAATAGGAGGTAAATGAGGAACAGGATCTGCTGCATTATTTATTCTGCCATATTATAAAGCAAAATTTTGTAAATTAAACCAAGTTGCATATGCTTCGTTACCAACTCTTGGGGAACCATAATTATAGAAAGCATCAATAGGCTTATTTCCATTTAATTCAAAAATAATAGGCATTGAATGAAAACTCATAGCTGCACCAAGAGAATGTCCAGTGACAAATATCTTTTTTAAATTAATAAAAAAATATTTAATTTTTTATACTAAAATAAAATCTAATTCAAAATAATACTTTTGATGAAGGATATTTTTAACGAATTTCTGTAAAGCTTTAAATAAGTTAAGATTTTAATTAATTGAACTATTTATAGAAACCTTTATGAACATAACAATTTTCACAGAAAGGATATTAAATTTTGATAGTGTTTAAATCTGCAATCCAATTTTAGATCAACCAAGGGACAGTTCCTCTAAAGACAACTATAATAGCATCATGATGAGCAGAATAGCCTATATATCCACTTGCCTTTAAAGTCTTGTTATACAAATAAGAGAAATCTGTAAGACCATTTGGGTTTTTTTTACAAGCAGAGCCACAATTCCATTATTATAAATATTTAGGATTACAGTAAGAAGCAAGAGAAAATCCAGCTAAGTCTTAGGCAAGTGTTTCATTATATTAAAACTATGAGCAAGAAGCTAAAAGCAAGGAAATAATTAATAAAAAAATTGATTTCATATTTATTTGTCTGTCCTTTAAAATTTAGTTTTGCTATTTTAATTTTATTTATTAAATTCTTAAATTCAAAAATACCTCATTTCTTTATAAATCAATAATAAAATGTTATATCACCTATTACTTTCATACTTTTTTTAGAAAAATCCCCCTCAAATTTCTAATTTTTTTCTTATAAGTATTAGTCTTATGATAATTTTTTCACTAGAAATTTTCTGAAGTAAGTAAAAATATGGTATTTTAATTGAATATTGGTTCTAGAATAAAAGTATCTTTCTTAGTTTTGAGATAAGAATTTGCATTCTATCTTTCTTAATTTAAGAATCTTTATTTATTAAAAAATGACGAAACAATTAACAACAGTGCGTAAATTGCTTAATATATTTTGTTGATTTTAATTAAATTTGAAATAATGTGATTTTAATATCTTGATAAAAATAAATCTATTAATACTAGTTATAGCTATATATGAAATAATCTACCAGGTTTTTTAGGATAATATTACGATTAATTTAATATGTAGTTATTTTCTTAATTGTTATTATTTATTTTATGGTAAAATTTTAACAATTTCAATAGAACTATTAGAACCAAATCATAAAAATGCTAAATTTAGAATGAGTCATCATTATGCATGAAAAAATTTCGAATTTTGAAGAATTATATCGTCAAATGCTGTTAATATCTTTTAACGGAAAAAATCTAAATAAAAAAATAGATTTTATAATTTTAAATAAAATCTTAGTTTAGCTTATTGAAAATAAAAATTTTACTGATTTTTAGTTTAATAATTATCTTGAAAAACGAATAATTTAAATATTTTATCAATAAAAGCAATTTGAATAGGATTTATTATTTAAGTTAGAAATAAAAATATTTATAAAACAAGCACTGCATTGATAGATCTCTAATTAAAATAAACACATTTAAAGTTGACTTAATATAAGGAATAGTTTTTGGACTTGCATTTTAAAATTATATTTCTATTTTTAAATATTATTAATAGCAATAAATATGCATCATTAGTTTAATATGATGCTTAGCAAAAAGGTATAAATTTAAAATAAAATTGAAATGCTGTAGATACTTATTAATTAAAGCCAAATTTATTATTGTCTTTATTTTATAAATTATTAATTTAAATGCTTAACTTATAAAAATAAATGGCTTTCAATAAATCTTAATTAATTAAGAATTAAAGTATATTTAAATTTATTAAAATATATGTGGATTTTAAATAATAAAACATATATTTCATGAAATCCGAGATAGTATAGTGGTTAGTATTCCTGCCTGTCACGCAGGAGACCCGGGTTCAATTCCCGGTCTCGGAGCTTTTTTTAAAAAATTTATTAAATAGTTTTTAGTTAGCTTAAATAAAATAAATATATTACTTTTCAATAAAAACTATAATTTAATTGAACTAATAAAACTTATTTAGATTAAAATAAAAAATTATAAATTATTAAATCAATATTTGGAAATAATTATTTTAAAAATTATTAAAGATATTATTTAGTTTTATATACTTAAATCTTTATGTGTATTCAAATAATTTATTGCTTTTTGTAAAAATATAAAAAAATAATTTTTATTTATTTTGTTTAATAATTAAGCAGAGGTTAAAAATTATTATCAATTATCATCATTTTAATTAAGTTTTTTAATTTTAGAATAATTTATATCATTCAAATAATAATTCAGTTTATTTTTTTAAAAATAAATCCAATATATAATTTTAAATTTATTTTAAGTAAAATAACTAACTTTTAAATAATAAATTATCATGTAATTCAAAACTATAAAATAAAAATAACTTTACAACCATATGCTCAACACATTTTGGTGACTAAAATATAAAAAAGCTGCTTGATAATATGAATAAAAAATGTTTAATTAATAATTATAAATGAAAAATACAATTATCTTAGTAGTAAGATTAATTTATAATTTAGTTTACTTTATTCTATTCAAATTTATTTTAAATATATGGATATCTATCTACTGAAATGAATGAATAAAACTTATATAATAAGTCAGATTACTCTAGTTTTTTTTTTATATTACTGCATATTATACTATTGAAACTGTTAATTTCATATAAATTATCTTTTTATTACGCATTATTCTTATTTGGTAGTAGATTATTTTGATTGAGAAATAGAATAACATAATTTTGCAATTTCAGACCTAATTCTAAAATACTTCTAGAAACCTTATATTATACATGCATTTATCTTTTCATTGCATATTTTCTCTCAAATTAAGTATGCATCCTCTCATTTTAATTTATGGTTTCTCTAATTCTCTACCGATCTTTAATCTATTTTAGGAATGTAGAAAATATTGTAAAAGGTGAAATAAATGTTACTAAAGATATTGTAATATGAGTTTTTAATTTTATTTTTTTAATCAAAACATAAATTACCAAAAATATCTTTTATCATTTAAAAAATAATAAAGTTCAAAATATTTGAATAATAATCAGAAATATTTCATAAGCATAAAGGAAGTATGTATTTTAAACTAAGTTGTTAATATTTGATATTTAGGTAATAGTATTTGAAAATTTACTTCAAAAAGTGAAAAATGATGTTGCTCTTTCTTTAATCAGTGTGTTTTCTTATAAAAGAATTAATTAGAATTAGATATTAACATAAGCAAGCTATTTAATGATTAAATTTATTGTTCGTTCGTTTTTTATTTGATTCATGCAAATTAATATTATTAATAGATTTATTTACTGAAGTAAATTTAATAACAAAAATACTACTTTTGTTTTAAAATTGAATGCATTTTTGTTATCATTCAAGCTATTAGATGATAAGATCTAAAATGCATTAAAACTAAAAAGAAAAACTAATCATTTAAAAATGAGTTATTACAATCTAAAATTCATTTTTTGTTTATGGACTTTTCCATTTTTTGTAAATTAATAGATATCATTGTTTTGTATTATGTGGATGTTAAATGCAATTAATTCATAAGAACCATTAAATTAAAGTTCGAAATTGATTTTTGTTTTTAATTTACCTAACAAATCCCAATTTATGGTAATTCCTACATAAATGACAATATACTAAAAGTGTAATTTTCTTTTTTAATTGCTTCAAATTAGTAAATTTTTTACTGAATTTTAAAAATTAAGCCATTAAGAATTATTTTTATCAAATATAAATTTTAGATACAGTTTTCGAATTATAAAATATAAATTAATTAATAAAAACAAATAAAAAAAATCAAAATAATGAAATCTTCTTTAAGTATATTAATTTTATTACTTTGCACTTCTTATTATAGTGTTTATGCATTAAGTAAATGCTAATGCACTGTAGATTCGACTTCTTTTCCAGGATCTAGCACTTCTCCTCCTAAAACTCTTTCTCTTTCTCCAGATGATGAAGTTATTGGGAATACTAACTTTGGAAAACTTGTAGCTGTAGGGTCAATTTAAGTGCTTTAAAAGCTTTTCCAAGTTTAAAAGCAATCTAGTGGAGGACTCAACCATAACTGTCCTTCTGGATATATCCCTATTACTCATGATGACTTGAATTCTATTATTGCAAGATCCGATTTTAGTACTTTAATTGGATCTTAATATTTGAACCTTGACTTTACTAAAAACACTTATTACTCATCTAGCAAGGTATATCCAAATGTTACTGATGGAAGTAATAACAACGCTTATATCTATTATACTTTATCTTTGGATAAAAATAATAAACCTAATATTGATCAGGTAAATACATATTGGGACTCTAAAACAAAGTCTACAATCTGCAAGAAAAATTTGTAATCATTTTATGTTTCTCTAAGTGGATATGAAGGATATGATTTAGAAAAAGGAAAATCTTACTAAATGTCAGTCACCAATAAAAATGTTGTGAAGTATTATATTTATGACAACAACGGTAATAAATTTACTACTTAGACTTTTACTTATACTTAAAATGGAAATTAATGGGGATGCGCTACCCTTAATTTTAAGTTAGAGCTATTTGGAGGAGTTATTGTCGGAGATTGTCTCTCTATATGGACTTATAATTAGATTGCTTTCAATGCTGATTCTAGCAAATTCAATATCAACTAAATTAAAAATGTAACTTTACCAGGTGTTAAGGCTAATGTAAATAATGGATTCTTTTTTAGTCCTGGATCTGCACCTATTGCTCCAATTTTGGGAGATTCAAGTTCTTTTTATGTTTACTACTCTGATAAGAATTCAAGTAAACTATTTGTTTAGAAAATTTCTAGTGGAGGCGCTGCAATAGGATCTGCAATTGATACAAAATAAGTTGGTAATCCTTTCGATATTGTTTCCACTGATTTTGGTTTTGTTGTTATGGCTTCAGATTCTACATAAAGAGCTTTTATTTAAGCTATAAATAAAGATGGTTCTTAAAGATGGTTGAGAATACTTATGAATAACGGTTAATAGCCAAATACACCTAAAGAATAAATTTAATTCTTTTCAGATGCTTAATGCAACTTACCTTTTGGAATGACATGCATGTTTAACCCTCATAATGGAAGACTTAATTATGCAAGAGGAAAAATTTAAGCTATATGGGCTCATTATAATCATTTCGGCGTGAATTCTAATGGAAATAGAGATGATCATACTGGTGATACTATGATCAGTTTGGATGCAGACACAGGTTTCAATTAAAATATCTTTTGGTCATGGGGTACCTCTCACTCCTTGTATTAAAATTTGCATTATGATGGTAATAATCTATATATTGCTTCACTTGGTGACGCCTATCCAATGAATATTAATTTTAAAGTATGTAATATTGATACCTATTAATGCAAAGAAAGTAGCAAGGTAGTTCAAGGAGCAATTCCAGGAAATGGTGGTGGTTCATCTTCAGGAAGATAAGGTGGCTTCTTTAGTGTTTCTGGAAATAGAAATTAAAAGTTATTTGTGTACTAGAGAAAGGTTTGCAATGGAGGATATGCAGGAACTCCTTCAACAAACTCAGTCAACGAACTAGCAGTTATTAAATTAGATTCTTAGTTAAACTACATTTCTACTACTACATTATTAAGTGGGGATGCAGCTGCTAGAGTTAATAGCATAAAATCTGTAGCCTACGGTAAAAATATTTTACTTGCTTACACTTAAATTCCATAGACAGAAATATAAAACTTCAACCGTCAAAATAGTAATTCTAAAGTAGATTAAGCTTTTGTTGCCTTGCTTAGTGGAGTTGATGGATCTTTTTTAGTAAAGCCAACATAATTATCAACATTCTAAATAAATTCTTCTGATGATTGGAGACCACTTGAAAATGGAAGTATTGCTTATACTTACATTGATAGTAATAATTCATTAAGTATCTTCTTAGCTCCATCCTTGACAATCCCTAATTATCCAAATCCTATTAAATAGTCTGATGCCCTTTATGGATTTGGAAACTTCACTAATTCTTTAGTATAAATTCCAGTAAATAACTACAATAATGTTTGTGCTAAGTAAGGTGATCCTAATAGGAATTTGCATGTTATTAATAGCATAACTAGCCAAATTTAGAATGAGAATGAAAATTCATATTCCTTTTAAAAAATAATTAATAGTTTAGGAGTAATTTTAACAATATTGGCATTAAGCATATGATATAGTATTTGCTTTAAAATATTTATGTTAATTATATGTAAAAGCATTAAATATTTTTATTTTCTGGTTACTAAGTCTTTGATAAAAATAAGTGTTCAGACCAAATGTTTTCTAAAATTTTGATAAGGAATAATATTTTTTGGAAAAGTTAATTTTTAATAAATTTTTTATATTTTAAATTTTTATTATTGATTTAGATTAATAATGTTATTAATTTTAAATCAATTAAATAAATTCAACTTTTGGGGGGTAATTTATCATCCTAGATTTATAATATATATCCTGAACACTATAAAAATTCTTATGAAAAGCCACTTTAAAAATTTTATATTAATTTAAAAATCCCTAATTATTTTGCTTTCTCTATAATTTTTGTTAAAAAAATAATATTTAAAATTAGAGTTGCAAAGTATAAAGTCGAATCTTTTTAATTTTTAATTTTTGAAGACTTTAAAAAACATAGATATTTAAAACAAAATTGAATTAAATTCTGATAATAATATTAAACAATTATTTATTATTAGAATATTAATAATAGAAAGAAAATTTAGTTAGTTTTATTATATTATAAAATAAAATAAAATAAATAAAAATAAATAAATAAATTGTACTAATTAGCCTAAAAAATAAATAGTGTTAAATATAAATTATCGATAAATTTGTTCAAAATTTTAATTTGCTTTGGTGCATATTTGTGGATAAAAATAAAACAATAAATAAATTAAATGAATTATATATTATTGACTTCATAAATTTAATTAATCATTCACATCCAGAAGTAGCTTATGTCCAATTCCATCCGTAGTATCCTAAATGGTCATTAATGTTTGTAGCAAGGAAAATTCTGTCTTCACAATTGTTATCTTCTGCATAGTAGCATTTAACAAATTAATTTGGATTTTAAGATACATTTGGATAGTAAACTTCATGGTTATAATGACGATAGTAAATCCATTCAGCAGGGTTCTCTGGGACAGGATCTGCACCATTAGTTACCCTTGCGTATTCGTTAGCAAAATTTTAAGTATTAAACCAAATTGCATAATCTTAATTTCCAACTCTTGGACTTCCAAAATTATAAAAAGCATTTATTTTTTAATTATTGTTTAACAAAAAAATATCTGGTAGTGATAAAGCGCCTAATGCAGCACCAAGTGAGTGTCCAGTCACAAAGACCTAATATTATTATTCAAATATAATATTAACAAAATAATCGATAATAAATTTAATTTAATTGAAATAGTAAAATACTTATTTTTTATATTATAAGTAATATTATATCTAAAAAATAAATGTATACCAAAGCTTATGGATATAATTAACGAAGGTTTTTAAAGCTAGATATTAACTGCTATTAAATATCTTAGTAAGAGCTATAAAAGCCTGCATGAACTTAACAATTTTTACATAGAGGATATTAAGTTTTATAAAGCTTTAAATCTGTAATATAGGTTTGAATGTGAGCTGAGGTAGTACCTCTAAAAGAAATAACAATTCCATTTAGATCGGGAGAGTAGCCAATCAAGGCAGTCGCATAACTAGTTGTGTTTGTTAAAATTTAAAGATTTTGTAACCCTTACTAATTTTGTTGGCAAGCGAAACCACAATTCCAATTTGATAAATAGTTAGAAGTACAATAACTTGCAAGTGAAAAGGCGGCTAACTTTTGAGCAAGTTATTCGTTGTATGTGAATATTTAGCAAGAAGATAAAGTAATTAAAATTAAAATAGTTAATACTATTTTCATTTTTCAATTAAACTAATAATTAAATGGTTTGTTTTTTTTATAAAAACTTTCTAATTAATTTTTTTGCTTTCCCTTTTTAAATTAAATTATTGGCCTAATTTTTGTAAAAAAATTAGTAAGTTATTTGTATTAAAAGAAAGAATAAATTTTTAGATAAAAAAGATTTCCTCCCATCAAAATTTATTTTTGTGTTAAGTACTGGATTTAAAAATTAATGCTAATTAAATTCTCAATTCAAGCTTTTCAATCATTTTAATCAATTACTAACCTGTATTTAATGGATTAAAAAAACTAAATTCAATATAATTTTCTTTCAATTAGTTCATAATTAGCTGCTGAAGATTTTGCTCTTAATTTATTTAATGCTATTATACATCCAACTCGATCTATAAACAATTTTGTTTAAAAAAGCAATGAGAAAATTTATTTTTATCCTAATTAACGTTAAAAAGGTCATTCATAAAAATAATTCTTTATTTTAATGGTAGAAATAATAATTAATTGAGGTATTTTAAGATTTGTGGTGTTTTAGAATTAAGCATAATGCTTGAATAAATTTTAAACGCTCATAATAACTAGAAAATTTCTAGTAGTTTGTGATATTTTAATAAGGTGATTAACCAATATCTGAATACTTCTATTTATTTTTATTTATGGGGAAGAGAAATAATGTTGTTTGAAATTTATATATAATAGGATTATTTATTAAAAAATTTAAAATTATTTTAAAATACTGCATTAATAATAATTTAAAGCCATTTTTAGTAGGTAAATAAATTATATCTGTAAGTAGGTGAGTTAGTTATATGTTCATTATGCTCAGAATATAAAATTCTATTTAGATTTATTTTTGGTGATTTCAATCACAAAATTTAAATTATTTTTTTAAATAAATTTATTAAAAAATTGAAGGTAATAAAATAATTAAATTAAATATAAGATTACTAATTTATATATTCCTTTTAATATTTTATAATCTAACTCTATATCTTGAGAGATCATTTTTTTTTCTTAATTCTTAAATTTATCATATACACTTTTTTAATTAAAAATTTTAGTTATGGTTAATAATTATTTTTTTTAGAAGAATGGAGGAGTTATTTAAAAAATTAAAATTATTTCACATTATTAAAAGTTATTTAAAAATATGAAATAAATATTTGTAATTTTCTAGTATTTATTTGAATACATTTGAGCTTTTTATGGTTTCATTTAATCTGTTTAAAAACAGAAATTTCTTAATTAGTTGCTATTTTTAAATATTGGAAATTAATGTTTAGCAAGAAGTTTATTTTAAGTAGAGTTAATTTATTAATTAATTGACATATAATAATTATTAATTTTTTGATTGGGTATTTAAATTAATTATTTTTATTTATGAATGATTGGCTAATTTCTTTATTAAAAATGATTAAATTTTTTTAAATCATAAAAAGTTGTATTTAAAATTAAGAGATAGCAATTAATTAATCAATTTTTTAAGCTAAAAAAACATATTAAAACAAAAAACACTAAATTTTGATAATAAGAAACAAAATTTATGAAGTTGTTTAGGTTAGATTTATTTTCATCTGAATTCCATTTCAACATAAGTGGATAATAGATGAGAAAAGGAACAATTTATGGTTTAATATCTTCGATGATAATTATTTCTTTTACAATTTACTACTTAACTTATTAACTCATTCTGTATTTTGGCAACAATATAAATCCGAATTACAGATCTCAAAACTTTATATCTAATGAAATTATATAAATAGATTTAAACTAGGATTTAATTGGATTCAGATTTGAATATGATGTGAACAAAAACATAGATATTTTACAAAAAAAAAATAATTAGACATATTTAGTTTTTTTAGCTACCTTTTTTTATCAAAACAATGATTCTTAAGAGGTGATTTAAATTGATATTATTTAGTGCACAAATTCCAATTTAGCAGGATACTACTGCTTAGATTTTTCAAAACTATCAAACTACACTCTTGCTCTGAGTACAAAAGATAATATTCTCTCTAATATCAGTATATAAGTCTATAGCTGCTCTGATATTGATGTTTTAAAAACTTTTACTCCAGACAATTGCGCAAGCCAATCAGATATTATTAATATAATTAATGGATTAAATGCAGGCTTAAAAATTAAATTTTTAACTTCGTAGTATAATACTACTTCTTAACAAATGTAAGTTAACTACAGAACAACATTTACATATCTGATAGGTAATTAATACATTTTAAGTACATACAAATCATAAAAATAAGTGACTTAGGTCAGCTAAGGCCTTTTTTTTCAGTCTGAAGTAGAGTTTTCTTCTCCAATATAATATGAAAATTTAAATCAAAGCTTTGATAGAGAATATTCTATATAATATTTGAACTTCTACCCTTATATTTCAGTAGGTATTCAAATGGATGAAATTGTTCAGCAAATATAAATTTAGTATCCTATGATTACATAAATTTTGGCCTAAGTTAACAGTGTTTTCACTCTCTTATTACTAGCAGGGATTTTAATTAAGAGATTTTCTCAACACTCTATAAAGAAAGACTTTTTTGTTCTCTTTTTGTCAAACTTCTACTAAGATTCATATATGGATATTTTAGAGTAAAATAATGTAAATAATATAAAATAAGACCGATCAAAATAATAAATCGTAGATAAAAAATATTCTGCAGATGAGTCAGAAATCAAGGAAGATAAAGAAAAGGAAGATATTTATGACAATAACTAAAGTTAAATTCCTAGCTTTCTTTCAAAAAGCAAACTGTTTTTAGATTAAAGCAAATTTAGATGTAAAATATTTACTTTCTATGATTATAGGTATTTTATTTTTTTAAAAGTTAATAAATAAAGCTATTAACATCAAGTACAGCGTGATACAAATAGTATTGAAAATGTATCATAAAAAGGTGAGGTTAAGGAAAATTAAATGTAATTTCTTTAATTCAAACATGAGAACTAATCATTGAATTGTAGTACTTTTAATGACTCTCCTAATCTAAATTTTAAAGTAAATGAAAAGGAGAAACATATTCCTATTGTAAACTCAATTTAAAATAAAAGCTAAGTTTTTTAAAGAAATAATGAGACAATGGATCTTTCAATGAATTAAAAATTGGGTAAATCAATCAAAGTCTAAAACCAAATGTTAGATGAAAGCTATTTAGCTATGGTTTCTTAGAAAATTTAAGATAAAGCAACATTTAAAAGAGTTTATTAACTGCTATTTGGATTTAGGTATCTATTTAATTATTTATTTAAAATGTATAGTTATCATTCATATTTAAAATATTTATTAAAAGAGGATTTTGCAAAATAAAAGGAGAACATTCTAATTTAGCTTTAAGTACTATGAAAAAAAAAAAGGTTTTTGACTCTGTGAATAAAGAAATAGATATCCTTAAACTATATAAAGAAATATTTTTGCTCAAAAAAGCTGTAATGATATTGCTAGATCAAGAATAATTAGCCACAATACAACTGTTAGGCTGCTCAAAAGATTATCTAGACTTAGATTTTGATAAACAAATAAATAATGAATTAGGTAGGTACTTTTTGTAATTATATTCACTTTATTTAAATTTTATTATTAAACAAAAAGATGATAGCTTAACTCATTTTGAGAAATAATTTGCAATTTCATAATCTGAGTAATTGTAGAATAAATACATCTAAGAATTCTTTAAGAGATGCACAAGTGCTCAATAGTTAAGTAAAATAGATAGTCGCATTTTAAATTCTCTGCTAAAAAAAAAGTGAGTCAATCTTGAAATAAATTGAAATTTCTTTTTTTATATTTATCTATTAAATAAGGACATAAAAATATCATTAAAGCAAAAACTTTTGGAATTACTTATTAATTTAATATTTTTAAAAATATTGTGAAATAATTTATCAAATAATAAAGTATATATTATGTGACTATACTTATATATTTATTAAATTAATTTACAAAAATAACAATCATTTATTTAGTGATAAAATTTAAAAATTCAAAAATCAATCATAAATAAATTAATAGAAAAATAAAATAATTTAGAAAAGTTTAAACATTTTTTAATTTATAAAAAGTTACTCTTTAAAAATTGAAAATACTTATTATATGATTAGGTAATAATACAATCATTAAATTATTCGTAAATCCCCTAAAAATTAATAAATTTAAAAACCACACAATTATCATTCGTGATTATTTTTAATATATATTTCTCATAATTAAATGTAAAATATCATTTAGATTAAAAAAATCATTATATATATTGTAAAAAAATAAGAAATTACCAATTAATAATAATAAATAAGATATTTAATAAAAGAAGGAATAAAAATACAAAAAAAATGGTGTCCTCCCCTAGATAGAGTAGGATATTTAGTAGTGTTAAGGTATACATAATTAAATATAAAGGAGTAAAATTTATTTAGAATAAGTCTATTTAATTAAAAACAAAAGAAATGTTATAATTTTTTACTAGACCATAAAACTAATTGAAAAAAATAAATAAATTATCAAATAAAAATTTTTTTTAATTTATTAAAAGGATAAATAAATTACTCTAAAAAAATTACAATTAAATCCACTTAATTTAAAATTTATTTTTAATAACTAAAATGATTTTCTTATAATTTCATAATTGTTTTTTTTATGGAGCTGTTAAAGATGCTAATGAAGTTTTTTAACAACTAGAGTACAATTTTTTAGAAATTAAGAATAGAAAAAATGAGACTAGTTAAATTAATTCTTTGATTCTACTGAAATTCATCTATTTATAAATTTTAAACCTATTTTTAGTTTTTTACTATATTACAAATAGAAATTATTTAAAAATTACATTTTAGATTACTCTCATATATTAACATATTTATTGTATAATATTTACCTAATTATACTTTATTAATCTATTCTATCTTCTATTAATAATACTTAACATAAATATTTATTGACCTTTTTTAAAAGCTTGAATTTTAGCATATAAATAAATAAAAATATTAAAATATAATATAGGATTATTCTAATTTTGTTTTTTAATTAAGTGGAAATACAAAATTAAATTGTAAAAATAATATTTTGAATAGAATCAATTCATTTTATTTTATTAATCATTAAAATAAATTGGTTAATGCTTGAAAAGTTTATAGTACGATTAATTAAAAAATATATATTGCTATTTGTAGCAAATTTTTTCTGTACCTGAATAGTAATATTTTAATAAATTAATTAATTAATTAAATTTTTAAATTTTACGTGATTTTATATTAATATATTTATTTGTTTACTTTTTAATTTAATATAAATTATTGATAATTAATTTTATATTGTTATTTTATTTAATTAAATATTAATTAATTTACATATAAATTAATTGTAAAACTCTATAATTATATTAATAATTTATTTTTAAATTCATTATTTGATTAAATTTTTTATAAAAAAAAAAAAAATGTGTCCTCGGCCCCTAGAGAGAGTCGGATATGTAATAGAGTTAAGGTTTATATTATTATTTATGTATATTTTATATGCATAAAAGGAGTAAAATTTAGAGTAAGTTTATTTATTCAAAACAAATGAAATGATATAATGTTCTACTAGACCATAAAACTATTTGAAAAATATTTGAATTATTAAATATAAAATTTTTTAATTTTATTAAAATGATAAAGTATTACTCCAAAAAAATTACAATTAAATAAATTAAATATAATATTTATTTTTGATCACTAAAATAATTTTCTCATAATTTCATGATTATTTTTTTATGGAGTTACCAAATATCCTAATTAAGTTTTTTTTTACAACTATAGAACAATTTTTTTGAGATTAAGAATAGAAAAAATGAGACTAGTTAAATTAATTCTTTGATTCTACTGAAATTCATCTATTTATAAATTTTAAACCTATTTTTAGTTTTTTACTATATTGCAATTAGAAATTATTTAAAAATTACATTTTAAATTACTTTCATATATTAACATATTTATTGTATAATATTTACCTAATTATACTTTATTAATCTATTCTATCTTCTATTAATAATACTTAACATTAATATTTATTGACCTTATTTAAAAGCTTGGATTTTAGCAAGCAAAAAAAAACATAATTTATCAAATAAAAATAAAAACCTCAATAAAAGAAAAAATGTAAAAAAACCTCCTATTTATTACCGCAATTCTTTTGCTCATTTCTTTCAGCTGCTCAAAGCCTGATCGTAATTTAGGAAATATCTTAAAGTGTTTTGCCTAAATAGGCGATACAATAAAAGATATCACTATTCTTATCGCCTAAATCAAAGAGAAAGAGGATTTATCTACCATACTTAAATCTATAGGAAATGTTGCTGGTTAAATAAGGCCATTGTTGTAGTAATGCTCTAATCCAATTTGCTTAGATGATGCTTAGAAAAGATGTGAACAATCAACAGCTAAATCTTGCGAATAATATGGTGCTATTATGTATCCTAAATGTGATGATGGCTTCTACAATGTAGGTTGCTGTTTGTGTGAATCATAATGTCCTCCTGGATTCAGAGACGATGGACTGTTTTGTGCTAAGCCCGAAGCTTATGGAAGAGGTGTTGGTTACCCTTGGAAATTCGGTGATGACTTAAACTTGAACAATGCTCTTAAGAGATGTGAAAGTGAAAATTCTTAAGGCTGTGAATAAAATGGCTTAATTATCTACCCTAAATGTCGTTAAGGTTTCCATAGTTTCGGTTGTTGTATATGTTCTCCTGACTGTCCATCTGGAACAACAGATATTGGAGTTTCTTGCACAAAGCCAGTATATGGCAGAGGATTTGGTTATCCAATATATTATGATGATTGTTCGGGTAAATCATCATTGTAAAATAAAGATTCTTCAGAATATCAATCAGCTAACACAGAGTAGTTGTTAGATAAAATTTTAGAATTATGTTAGAAATTCATAGAAAATAAAGGTGACTAAGACTTGTCAGTTAAGTTTGCTACAGAATTATCAAAGATGATGGCTCTATTAGAAGTCAAATCTTCTAAAATATGATTTAATTAAATATAAAAATTATATTAAAAAAGTAAAATATATATATCTATATAAAATATATGTTTTGTAAACCAAAAATCAATTGATGAATTTTTATAATTAAAAATAAAGTTTTAAAAAAATATATAATTAAATTATTAAATAGATAAATGTTAAATAAAATATAGGATTATTCTAATTTTGTCCTTTTTATATAAGTGGAAATACAAAATAAAATATTGGGATTAATAAAAACTGTCAAATTATAATAAATTTAGGATTTATAAATAAATTAAATAAAAATTTATTACTTTATATATTTCTTGAAAGTAAAATAATGTAATTTTATAATTGAGAAATCATTTATATTTTAGTATTTTCCTAAATCTATAAATTTTTAAAATATTCTTTTTTTAATTAAAAATTTTAGTTATTTAAAACCAACTAATTATTTTTTTTTAGAGCAATAAATTTATTTACAAATTATGAATACATTTATAAAAATATAATTATAAGTTATTTCAAAAGTTATGAAAAAAATATTTGTAATTTGCTCGTATTTACTTGATGTTTTTATGGTTTCATTTAATCTTTTTAAAAAAATTTATTTATATAGTTTATTAACTAGGTATTATTTTTAAATGTGTTTGGAATAATGTTTAATTTAACATTTATTTCAATTAATTATTATTTTTTAAGGAATGATTGGCTAATTCCATAATTATAAAATTATTAACTTTTTTTAAACATAAAAAGACCTTTTTAAATTAAGAAGTAGAAATTAATTAATCAATTTTTTAAGTTAAATTAATATATTAAAAGAACAAATACCAAATTTAGATAATAAAAAACAAATTATGAGTTTGTTTAGGTTAGATTTATTTTCATCTGAGTTCTATTTCAACATAAGTGGATAATAGATGAAAAAAGGAACAATTTTTGGTTTAATATTTTCGATGATAATTATTTCTTTTACAGTTTATTACTTAACTTATTAACTCATTCTGTATTTTGGCAATCATATAAATCCGAATTACAGATCTCAAAACTTTATATCTAATGAAAATATATAAATAGATTTAAACTAGGATTTAATTGGATTCAGATTTGAATATGATGTAAACAAAAATATAGATATTTTATAAAGAAAAAATAATTAGACATATTTAGTTTTTATAGCTAAATTTTTTTACCAGAATAATGATTCTTAAGAGGTGATTTAAATTGATATTATTTAGTGCACAAATTCCAATTTAGCAGGATTCTACTGCTTAGATTTTTCAAAACTATCAAACTACACTCTTGCTTTGAGTACAAACGATAATATTCTATCTAAAATCAGTATATTAGTCTATGGCTGCTCTGATACTGATTACGTAAAAAATTTTATTCCAGATAATTGTGCAAGCATTTAAGATATTAATGATATAATTAATGGATTAAATGCAGGCTTTAAACTGAAATTGTTAACTTCGTAGTATAATACTACTTCTTAACAAATTTAAGTTAACTATAGAACAACATTTACCTATCTGATAGCTAATTAATACATTTTAAGTACATACAAAGCATAAAAATAAATGACTTAGGTCAGCTAAGGCCTTTTTTTTCAGTCTGAAGTAGAGTTTTCTTCTCCAATATCATATGAAAATTCTAATCAAAGTTTCGATAGATAATATTCTATGTAATATTTGAACTTCTATCCCTATTTGGAAGTAGATATTCTAATCGATGAAATTGTTCAGCAAATATAAATTTAGTACCCTATGATTACATCAATTTTAGCTTAAGTTAACAGTGTTTTCACTCTCTTATTATTAGCAGGGATTATTATTAAGAGATTTTCTCAAAATTCTATAAAAAAAGACTTTTTTGTTCTCTTTTTGTCAAACTTCTACTAAGATTCATATATGGATATTCTAGATTAAAATGATACTAGTAAAACAAAATAAGACGCACCAAAATAATAATTCGAAGATAAATAGTTAATTTAGATTAAAAAATATTCTGTAGATGAGTTAGAAATCAAGGAAGATTAAGAAAAAGAAGAAAATAATAACATTAACTAAAGTTAAATTCCTAGCTTTCTTTCAAAAAGCAAACTGTTTTTAGATTAAAGCAAATTTAGATGTAAAATATTTACTTTCTTTGTTAAAAGGTATTTTATTTTTTTTTAAAGTTAATAAATAAAGCTTTTTACATCAAGTACAACGTTAAACTACACAGCAGACAAATACTAATGAATATGGATCTTAAATAGGTGATATTAAGGAAAATTAAAGCTAACTTCTTTAAATCAAACATGAGAACTAATCATCAAATAATAATCCTTTTAATAACTCTCCTAATTTTAATTTTAGAGTAAATGAAAAGGAGAAACATATTCCTAATTAAAACTCCTTTTAAAATAAAAGCTAATCTTTTTAAATAAATAAAGAGACATTAGATCTTTCTTTGAATTAAAAATTGGGTAAATTAATTAAAGTCTAAAACTAAATGATAGATGGAAGCTATTTAGCTATGGTTTCTAAGAAAGTTTAAGATTAAGCAATATTTAAAAGAGTTTATTAACTGCTATTTGGATTTAGGTATCTGTTTATTTATTTAAAACATTTCGTTATGATTCATACTTAAAATATTTATTAACAGAGGATTTTGCAAAAAAGGAGAACATTCAAAATTAGCTTTAAGTGATACTAAAAAAAAAAAGGTTTTTGACATAGTGGATAAATAAATAGATATCCTAAAACTATACAAAGAAATATTTTTGCTCAAAAAAGCTGTAATGATATTGCTAAATCAAGAATAATTAGCCACAATACAGCTGTTGGGCTGCTCAAAAGATTATCTAGACTTAGATTTTGATAAACTAATAAATAGTGAATTAGGTATGTACTTTTTGTATTTATTTATATTCACTTTATTTAAATTTTATTATTAAACAAAAAGATGATAGCTTAACTCATTTTGAGAAATAATTTGCAATATCATAATCTGAGTAATTGTAGAATAAATACATCTAAGAATTCTTTAAGAGATGCACAGGTACTCAATAGTTAAGTAAAATAGATAGTCGCATTTTAAATTCTCTGCTAAAAAAAAGGTGAGTCAATCTTGAAATAAATTGACATTTCTTTTGTTTGAATTGATCTATTAGATAAGGGCGTACATATATATACCTTTAAAACAAACGTATTTGTTATTTATTAATTATATATTTTAAAAAATATTGTTAATCATTTAATAAAACAATAAAGTATATTATGTGACTATTCTTGTATGTTTATTAAATAATTTACAAAAATAACAATTATTTATTAAGTGATACAAGTTTAAATTCAAAAATCAATAAAAAATAAATAAACAGATAAAAAAAATAATTTAGAAAGATTACAAATTTTTTAAATATTAAAACTTATAATTAATTACTCTTGAAAAATTGAAAATACTTATTATATTATAAGAAAATGATTATAGATTAGAAACAAAACACTACCATTAAATTATTCTTAAATCCCCTAAAAATTAATAAATTAAAAACCTACACATTATATTTTAGGTTGTGATTATTTTTAATGGAAATATTTCTTTATTAATTATAAACTTTTAAGGAAAATTTTTTAAATAATTTTTTAGAAAATTTAAACAAGACACAATGCACTTTTTAAGTTTTTCGACTTTTAATCATAAAATAAATTAAAAATTAAATAGTAAAATTTCAATTTATTTTTATCCTTTATGTTTATTTCAATTTATTGATTTATATAAAAAACGGATGATTATAGAAAATAAAGGAGTAAATTATATATTTTTATATTTTTCAATAAAATGTATTTGTTTGATGAATTTATTTATTTTTAATTCACTAGCATGTAAACATTTCAGCTACCCAGTCATAGCCAAAATATGAGAAGTGATCAGGAATATCAATAGGAATAGGAACTCCATCAGCACAGTCTGGGTCTTCAGATTGAGCACATAAAAGATAAGGACTACTAAAGCTATGATAAAATATTTCATGATCAATATGAATGAAATTGAATGGAGAACTCTTTGGGGGTAAATGAGGTACTGGATCAGCTCTATGATTGATTCTACCATATTCTTTGGAGAAATTCTGTTTAGAAAACCAATCGTGGAAAGTTTAATCACCTACTCTTGGAGAGCCAAAATTATAGAAGGCATCTATGGGTTTGTTACCATTTAGTTAATAAATAACTGGCATGGAATGAGTACTCATAGCTGCTCCTAAAGAATGTCCAGTAACAAAAACCTAAATTGATTATCAGTTAAAATAGTCCAATTAATTAAATTAAAAAAAGGATAAAAAGTTATTTTAAAATATTTTTATTTATTTCAAAGTTTGTTTTTGCTAAATTTAACTTGAAATTATTTAAAATAAATTTTAGTTCATATCAGAAAAATTAAAATAAAAGTTTAAATTTACTTTAGAGTTTGGATACTTAGCTTTTAATTTAGGGAATTCTGCAATGATTTAGGTTTATAAACCTAAAAAGGCCTTGTAAAATCCTTAATGGACATAGCAATTGTCACATCTAGGGTATTTAATCTTGATTGTGTTGATATCACTAATCCAGTTTTTCTTTGACCAAGGAATAGTTCCTCTAAAAGCAATTATGATGGCATCATGAGCAGGAGAATATCCCATAAAACCAGCAGAATCCATAGTAGTATTTAGCATATAGTAAGCATCTTTAATACCTTTTGGATTTTTTTGACAAGGAGCACCACAGTTCCAATTTATGATTTTAGAAGCACTACAGTAAGAAGCTAGAGAGAAACCAGATAAGTTTTCAGCTAGCTTTTCATTGTAAGCGAAATCCTATGTTTAGTAATAATTTTAGTCCTTTTTCAACAAGAGTAAAGTAGTTGCTGCCAAGCAAGAAAGAGCAACAATAACAAAAAGTTAAATTTTTTTCATTTTTTAGAAGAATTATATTTCAATTATATTTATTTTTTATATTGAATTAATAATCTAAAATTTGCATTTAAAATGAATAAAGAGTAAGATTTTTTTATAATTCTAAATTAACTTGACGAAATTTCTGAGAAAATTAAGTTTTAGGTGATGTCTTAAAAGTTTAAGCTAATTTATAGTCAAAATTCTTTTTATTTTTAAGTGATTATCATTTTTTTATTTGATATTCTTTTATATCATTTACATAAAAAATCTTTTTTAATTTAATAAAACAAAACATACTTTCTTTTTTTTCTAAAAAAAGTCTAAAAACAAAACAAACTGAATACAAATATTTATTTTAAAATATTTTAAATCTTTATTTAAAAGCAACTTTTTTAATGACAATTAAATGAAATATTTTTGATATAGAAAGATTTAAATCAGTGAATTTATTGCAATCAGATATGTTATTCTTTTATACTTTGAATTAATTAAATCTTTTACATAACTAAATTTTCAAAAATAATATTTTTATAAACTAATATATTACATTAAAAATAATTACTATTAATATATTTAGACTATATAAATCTAAATTTATTTAAGAAATATTAAATTAATATTTTAGTATTTTAGTTAATTTAAAGGATATTTTATAATTTATAAAACTTTTATCAAAACAATTTAATATTTCTATATATTTATCTTTAAATTATTTTAAATTTTGAAAACAAATAGAACCTACTTATCAGAAATATTCAATATAATTTATTAATCAAATTTAATGTAAAACTACCTAAAAATTTTAGAAATTGATTAAATTTTATTAAAAGAGTAAACTGGTAATGAAAACTTGTTATTAATTATATTATAATAAATATTTTAACCTTTATTTAGTTACAATTTAGATTTATTTTTCAAGTTAAAGCATAGGAATTGTAATAAGAAAAGTCAAAAAAATAACTTAGAGACAAAACTTTAATTTTGTATATTAAAAATAATTTCATTTTCAAACTTATACTTAGTAAAAACTTTAAATAGAGTATAAAATCTAAGAAAAGTACACAATTTAAAACTCTTTAAATTCAAACATTTTTATTGTGAAGTAATAATGCTATTATTTTATTTAGAAAAGATAATTAAATCTGATCACTTTACATTTTATTATTTATTTTTTTCCTTTTTAATTGATAAAAAATTTTCTTATGAATTAAGAAAAATAGTAAAAAAATTGATATTAAAATTTATGAGCTAAGTAATCAAATTTTGAAAATCTTTTATTTATCATCTGATAAAAATTAATTTTAATTTTAAAGTAATCTTTAAAATTGTATAATCTTTTTAAAATTATCAGACTTTAAGTAATCAAATTAAGATTAATTAACTCAGTAAATTTCTAATCCAAATTTAATTTAGGATAAACCAAATAACTTTAACATTTTTTCTAAACATATTTCTTAATAATAATTAACTATTTTGCATAGTTATAAATATAAAATTTATAGCTAATTAATGTTTTTTTAGAATAATAAATCTAAAAAACATAAGAATTTATTTATAAATTTTAACAACCTTATCATATTTACGCTATATATTTACGCTATGATACAAAGATGCTCATTAAAAAATAATTAATTTAAAAGTTTCTTTTTTATAGAATACTTAAATTTTTCAACAAAAATATGTGTTTTTATTATTATTATCAAGTAAGTAAATATAAATTCTAACAAAAATTTTGATTGAATAATATCTTGAAAACAAATATAATATACTGATAGAAAAATTCTAAAATTTAATGGATGAAATTAAAAATTTATAATTTTTATTAAAAATATTTTGTAAAATGCTTAAAAATTAGAATGATTATTTAGGTTTATATTAAAGACATCTATTGTCTGATGTAGTTATATGAATCTATCAATAATAAATTATCTAATCAAATAGATAGCTTACCATCAAATTTTATTAAATACACAAAATCTATCTGTCTGAATATCAAATAGAATCAATTTTTTATGTAATGAATGGTTTGTGATTATATATCCAAAAATTTATAAAAAAGAAACCTCTATCTAAATTAACTAAATCAATCATGAAGAGTCTCTATACAAATTAAAATCATCTTAAGAAATGAATAATTAATGTTATACTTCAATTTACACAATAGCATTAATATAATGTATAAAATATAACGTTTTAATATAATGTATCAATATAGCTTATAGTTTATAGCATATAATTTTTTTAATAAGAAAATATGACCTACATACACCATTATTTAATCCTTCAAATTACTATTAAAATTTATCGTCTGTGGACTGACACACTAAGACCCGAAATTAGTGACCATAGTAAAACTTATGGTTCATTACCCCTTCTACTCATACCCAGTAAAAACCAGTCAAAAAAATATAGTTTTTAACATTTAAGACTAAATAACCCTCAATTTTACTATGTTTTGTATCAATTCACTTTATAATAATCATAAAATAATTAAGAACTGATTTGAATGCTAAATATTCATAAAATCTCTTAAATAACCCCTAGACTCTAAATAAATATAACCTCTATGATGAATGTACCCATAGTATAATATCAAGACTAAATACTTCTCTACCCATATAAAATTTGAGTACATAACGATGAATGTGCTGATAGTAAAACATTAAGGTAATAATGACCTTAAAACTAGTTATTAATATCAAGTATATATGAGTGAGTGTATTGATAGTACAAAGCAAGCCTGAGAACTAGAGTATAATGTAGAAAAATGTAGCGCTTATACTATATATGAAGGAAAACTGTATTTTATTTTTTATTATAATATATACTATTAATACTGATATTTTCATTCTATGCAGTAAGAGATCATTGAAGTTTACAAGTAAAACTTTACAAACACCTCAGATCTTTATAAGAAATTAAACAAGAAATATACTTTAAAATAAATCAAAGAAATACTGAAAAAATATTGATACTAACCAAAACATTGGTAATAAGTAAGATATGTATTTATTCAATAGTCAATTGAAATTAAATTACTATAAATTCTCGTTAATAAGTACACCCTGTATTGAAGTTTTAAACAAATTAATTTAGAATCTCTATGCTTGAAATAAAAATGTATATATATTTTGCTAAAATAATATTAATTAATGATTTTTGGTTATTTTTTTACTAAAATCAACTATAAAGAGAATTTTTATTATTCAGTGTCTAAAAAATATCTAAAATAAAAAAAGTTATTTGAGAAATTTTACAAAATTTTTTTGAATGTGGAATTCTTGAAAAACAAAAAATTTTTTTCAAAAATATATCAACATTAGTAACAAAAAGAAAGTAAAAATTAGTTGCTCAAAACAAAAAATTTCCATAATTGCTAAAAACTATATATTAATGCTTAGTTTTTTTGGTAGAAAATAATATTTTAATAAATCTAGGAACATATCATATACATTTTTTTGTTTTCCTTTTATTTTAATTTCAAATGAATTTATTTACTTTACTAAAAATTAATTATATAAATATTTGATTTTTTAATTTAAGCAATTGTAAAGAGTAAGATTTTATATAGCCAGAATATATAATTATATATATATATATATACACAATAAATAAATAAATTAGTAATTTGAAATATCAAATAGTCAAAATTATCAATAATAACAAACTGTAGTTAATAATGCTTGAATTGCTTATTGTATTTGTAGGAACACAAATTTTAGGTGAAGGTTGTAATTTAGTTTTACCACTATTATAACATGAAGAGCATGCATTTATAGATATATTTGCATTAGTTTCTGTTAATTTACTACAATCGGCGATTACGCAACCATTCCCTTATACAATCCAATTGTCAGCTACAGTGCCAGAAAAGCCACAAGTACTATCATTGCAAAGCCCATCATCTGATTGGCAACTCAAAACTGTTATTCCTCTGTTATCAGAATAAACTAAGTTAAATAATAAGATTAAAATCACTCCAATTAAATTTTAGCTCTACATTTTTTGTATTTTTTTATAGTTTGTTTTTAGTTTACAAATATTTATTATTATTTTGATTAGCTTTTGAATATTATTAATACAAATATTTATAAGAAAGTTTGCGTTTGAGTTTTTGAGAATAGTTTAATTTGAATATGTATAATTAATACTAAATTAGACTAAAATAGAAAAATTTTTGATGTTAATAGATAAAATTTTAAATTATCTAAATAGAACTAACACATAATTTGAAATTAAACTTCACAATAATTAATGGTTACAAAAATTAACATTAGAGTAATTAACTAATAATTTAAAGTAAATAAATAGATTTCATATTAATAAAATTAAAAATGTTCATTTGTTTGTATATTAAATGAACACTCACCTTGGTTTTTTTATAAAATTAATGATTTAAGTTATATAATTCATATTCAATAAAAAAATATATAAATGAAATTAAGTTTAAATTTTCCTTAGATAGATTTTATTAGTGATTGATACTTAAATATAATTAGAATGCAAAATTAGTAAATCTGATCAAATTATTATTCTTTACCAAAGTAATAGAAAGATTATTTTAAAATCAAAATTTTATTTTTGTTTTGCATATAGATTACTTCGAAGTGAATTTAATATTAAATAAATTTATAAAATAGTTACTAAATTTTTTATTGTACATGTTTAGAATATTTCGCATAAATATTTAAATTTAATACATAGAATAGCTTAATTTTGACAAAAAATATTGATAATTGTTGAAATCTTTTAAGTAAAAAAATCAAAGGCTTATCTATCACTAATTAAACAAATTTATTAATTTAATTTAAGGCTTTATTATGATTATTATTATGATATACCTTTGAAAATTAAATTTTGAATATAAAGACTTTCTTAAAATAGATAAAAAAAGTAAGATTTAAATATATAGACTTTTAACAAATTAAAAAGATAATTAACTAGCTAACTTACTTACTTACTTAATAACAATAAAATCCACTCACTTACCAAATAAAAAACTAAATAACTAATTTACATACTTACATACTTACGAACAAATTTATTGACTTAGTTTTGTTTGAAATTGTTATATTCGATAATTGAAAAAAATATAAGATTTATTTACTAGAATGTTTGATTAATTAATATGTTTACAAATGAATTGAAATCCTAAAATTAATTTAACATATTTAATCTTATAAATATTTAGTTATCATAATCGATATCTATTAGATGACTATAATAGATTTATAAAAACAATTTGTAATAGATTAATGTAAGTTAAATTTTATTAATTATATTTATAATTTTCAGGAGATAATTAATATAATTGGAACTAAATATTTCAATTTTAGATTGAAAAATAGAAAAAAAAATAATTGCAATAAAATTATATTTTGTATAGATTTCGCAAAGTTTTAACATATTGAATTCAGCTTATATTAAATACCAAAGTAAAAAAATAACAAGTACTATCTTTTAATAGGTAGAAATTTTATTTATTTACTTAAAAAATAAATACAGTTTATAATTATAATATCCATAAAAATTTAAACAATATAATTATTAAAATATCTACTGACATTTATTGAAAATATTATTCATTGTATGAACTTGAAGCTTGATGAAATATTTAAAAACTCATAAAAATAAAAATTATTGAACATATTAAAGTTCAAAATTAAAAAAAATGAATTTAAATTTTTGATTGATTTAAGAATTAACAATTTGGTATACATTTCGAATAAAGTATGTATGCATTATTTAATAATTATTATATTTTTATTATACTTTTAGAATTAATTATAAAATTTATTAACTAAAATTTTCATTAGCAAGCTAAGATGTCAGTGGCCCAATCCCAACCAAAGTAAGAAAGATGGTCAGGAATATCTAAGGGAATTTTTATACCATCAGCACATTCAAGACTTTCAGTTTCAATACATTATGTATAAGGTTTCTTAAATGTTTAATAGAAAACTTCATGATCAATATGAGTAAAAGTGAAAGGAGAGTAATTAGGGGGTAAATGAGGAACTGGATCAGCTCTGTGGTTAATTCTACCATATTAAAGAGTAAAATTTTAGCTATCGAACCATTAGTGGTAATTTTCATCACCAACCCTAGGGGAACCAAAATTATAGAATGCATCGATAGGCTTATTTCCATTGAGTTCATAAATGACAGGAACAGCGTGAGTACTCATTGCAGCACCAAGGGAATGACCTGTAACAAAAACCTATTTATTTTTAAATGAGTTTAAAATAAATATAATTGATGAATAAGATGTAAAAAGTGGAATAAATATTAAAAGCCAAATAAGTTAAGCTAAATTTTCATATTGAAAATTGAGAAAACAAATAATTTTCCAAAATTTATTAATGCCTATAATTAGTTGGGTATTCGATTCATACGTCGATTTAATTTAGAGTAATTTATATTCTTGCAATTGATTTTACAAATCATTTAATATTTCCTTAATCAATATTTAAAGGCTAAGGTGATGCTTTTGAAATACACAATAATCTAAAGAAAAACATATGATAGCATGAATTATTTATAAAGAGATATATGTATATTTTGTGTTAAATTACCTTTGAATAAGGATATTTGGCCTTAAGTTTAGGGAACTCAGTAAGAATTTAATCTTACAATTCCTTGAAGGCATTGAAGAAGCCCAAATGAACATAGCATTTTTCGCATCTAGAGTATTTTGTTTTGACAGTGTTAATGTCACTAATCCAATTCTTGATCAACCAGGGGACAGTTCCTCTAAATACAACTACTATAGCATCATGAGCAGGAGAATATGCTAAGAAACCAGCAGCGTTCATAGTTTTATTTTTCATAATGTAGACATCTTAAAGTCCTTCGGGATTTTTTTTGCAAGAAGCACCGCAATTCCAGTTTTCAATTTTAGAAGCTTTACAATAAGAAGCCATAGAAAATCCAGCTAAATTTTCAGCTAAATTTTCATCATAGGGGAAAGTCAGTTAAGACTCTTGGACATCTGAAGAGCTCTTATTGAGTAAATAAACAGTGGATCCAATTGTGCAAACTATAGCTGCAATGAAAAGAACTTGCAATTTGTTCATCTTCTTTAAGAATTATAATGAAGTGATGATATTTTGGTTGATAAATAATCCTTTATAGTAATATTTATTATTGAAATTTACTATGAAACCTATATTTCTATGAAGAATTCTAAGAATAATTAATAGGTTTTTTTCTTAATTAATCAAATTTTACTTCAATTTTTGATATCAAAAACATGACGCATGTTAGTTAATATAGATGTAATTTTAATTAGTCTTTGTCTTGATTATACTCTTATTTAAACCAAATATTACATAATAACAAATGATAATACTTTTCTTAACTAATTAATTAAATTCTTTTACAAATACTTTGATTACGCCATTTATTTCCTTATGATAAATTAAAGCTTTTCTTTATCTGAGAGCCATTTATATATTTTATAAAAATTTATTGTTTTTTATCAAATGTGCAAATAATCATATTTAGCAAAAATTTTATATCACCTATTATGAGTAATAAAAATTTAATTTTATATTAAATAAATAAACAATTTCTTTGAAATTAAAAAAGACATAATTTTAATATTTTTTAGATTACATAAATTAAATTTTAACTTATAAAGTAAGTATTTCAAAAAAAAATATTTGTATCAAAACACTCTTTAAAAATAATTATAATTAAAGAATTTATTTAAAATTAAAATCTTAAAATGATTTTGAATGAAAAATTAAAAAGTTGTGTTTAAGGCTATATCTTTAATTAACATATTTTTCTAAACTAATTTGCATAAATTTAGTATTATCTTTTAAAGGATAAAAAGAAATCTGTCATCTTATAAAACATTAAACTATCTTAAAATAACAATAATTTATAAATCTAATAAAAATTAATTATTAAAATGAATTTAGCAACTATATTTAATCCTTATTTATTCTCACCAACATCCTTCCTAAACTCTTAAAGGTGGTGATTAATATTTTTTGAAAACTCTGTCGTTTTTGGTGAAATTATAAAAAATTTTCCATCTAAATTGTATGAATATTTATCAATTCTTACCATTTTTTTTACAGATATTGACCATGAGAATTAATTTTTAGATATTTTATGAAATTTCGATAGATTTTTTTACATTTCATAATGATTTTTTGATGCTATCATTAATTTTTTCATAAAAATTTTATCAGAATTCGAACTGGGTTACAATTTAAAAATGATCATATTCATAAATTGCATATTAAAAAAAGTAAATTAATCAAAATTTATTTTAAGAGTTAATTATGCCATAATCAAATATTTTGACCAATTAATCGAGGATTTTATTAACTTTGAAAATTTCTAAAATAGCCAAAAAGTAGTAATAAAAAATAAAAATAAATTTTTATCAGTAATATTTTTCTTTCCTCTATCTATCTTAGCTTTTTATTTATACAGAAGTAAAAGTAATAATTAAATAAATAATCAAAAATAGATGGATTTTCATTTTATTTAATGATTTAAAAATTAGCTATTTCTTTATAATTTTTTCTTTTCTTTTAAATTGAATTGAGAAGCGTCATTGGTAAATTTGAATATGATAAAGAAATTGAAAACTAGTTTTCAAAATTTATTTATTGTTTGGCTGCAAAATATAAATAAATGATAGTATCATAAATCCAGTTACATTAAAATAAAAAAATGAATACAGTTTAACAAAATTTTAAGAAATTAATACAATTCAAATTTTACTTTTAATAAATTGATGAATAGTAAATCTTTATTTGTAATAAGTGCTCTTTATTAATCTTTAGATATTACTTAGGTTAAAATAAATAAAGATTTAAGTATTTATATTTTGGTTAAATTATTTCAATAAATTAAAAATAAATTCAATTCTGATGGGATAAAAAATTATTTTTTATTATATCACCTTTTGTAATTAAATATGTTTAATAATTTCATACAAAAATCATAAATAAATAAATTCTGCTTTGTTTTCTTGTGTAAATTTAATAGATTATTATGTAAATTTTAATTTACTAATTTTTATAACATTAAGATAAATCTACATAAAAATACCTTATAAAGTTCATTAAATTATTTAAAATAAAGTTATTTGACTATAATTTAATTCATTTAAATTCATCATTTTATGAAAATTTATTTGTTTGAAATTTCCATAGTTAACAAATTCATAAAAATTTTTAATTCTTAATTTTATATTTTAAAAATGATTTACAATGATGAATTCTTACATTTTAAAGTAATAAAAAAATATATATATTATTGATTTTACTGTACAAAAACGTAATTTATTCAATAAATTTGATCTTTTATTTGTATTCTACTTTTAAGATGGCTATGAACACTAAACTAACCAGATTCATTGATAGGTGTATAACTGAAGGGAAATAATAGAAATTAGTTGATGGTTGCTTTTTCTTTAGAATTTCTACCTCTCCTCTCATAATAAAATAAGAAAATAAATAAATATAGCTAAAGAATTCGGTATTTATTTGTAATTGGCGATAATATTAAAGATGATGCATAAAAATTAAATTAATAAAGGAAAATAAATTGAATAATTTAATAATAATTAAAGATTAATCTTTTGCTTGTTTATCTATATATTTTTTGTTTGGAAAATAAGGTAGTGGAAAACTACTTAGTAAATCTTATTAATTTAATTAATTAATTAAACTTCTACTTTATTTAAATCAGTTAATACTATTAGTCAAGTTGGTTCAATAAATTTTTAAAGTAAATGGACAATGATAAACATAAACATTAATTATTTTTTTTGCTAACATTATTTCTTTGCTTTCGCTTCATGAAATCATAGAAGTAAGATTTAATATTATAAAATGATCTTAATCTTTATCTTTAATCGTTTTTTGAAATATTTTTTCTCATATTTATCATTTAAATACTAGTTATTAGTACATTGAAAGAGACATTCGATATAAATGTAACAGACTTATTTCAAAATTAACTATTCTTAATTTTTTTTAAATATGTTAGTAAAATGCAAGAGCCAGTAATTTGTTTCATACTTCAGCCAATCAAATGGTGTACTTTAGTCATCGATTTGTCTCGATTGGTAAAGATAAAAAAAATAAACCTAGTTAATAAATCATAATTTTTATTTTTACAATAAATAGTCCTACTTACAATGGCTAGACTTGCTAAGAATGCATTTATAATCCTTATTTGTGGTATTAAACATAGGAGCTATTTTGATGCATATTTTTATATTTTTTTTATAAATAGGGATAATTTTAGAGGTTGCTAGTATAATTAAATCGATTTTATACTTTACTCAATAATTTTTACAAGTGAGGGCACTGCTATGCTCCAAGAAAATTATTAATGCATCCAACTTTAAGAGAATATATTCTTTTAATCAACCTAATAATGTATTAAGTGTAATCCAGGATTTTATTTAGATGAAAGCACAAGCAAATGTATTAAATGTAGCGAATAAAATTGTATTTTGTGCGAAAATTCTACATCATGCTTGTAATGCTAGCAAGGTTATAGATTTTAAGACAAATTTTGTGAAAGCTGCTAAGTAAATAATTGTTCAATATGCCAAGCTGATAAATCTTAATGCTAAGAATGCAAAGAAGGTTATTTCATTTCTTCAGATTCGTCAGCATGCATTTTATCATAAAACTGTTAGCAGGGATACTTTTTTTCTGTTAGTTTATAGAAATGTGTATAATGTAGCTCTGGCTGTTAAATTTGCCAAGATGAAAATTCATGCAAGCAATGTTTAAATAGTTATTATAATCTAGATGCAAATGGTTAATGCATTTTATAGTGTCCTGCTGATTGTGACTAGTGCGAGTATAGCCTAATGCTTAAATAAATAGCTTGTTTAAATTGCAAAAGTATATCAAATGGTTCACTAATAATTTAGCAGTAGTATGATTTTATTTAAAACAAATGTGTACCTTGCTCTCAAAACTGCGGTACATGCGTTTCTGCTTATTCAATTTATTTGAAAAACAACGAATATATATAAAATTAATTTTTATAAAACATAAATAAATATTTAGATTAATATCAAATTAATATACAAAAAAAGATTATTGCCTAATAAAAAACAATAATATGCACTTAATGTGCTCAAAATTATCAATATGATTCTAATTTTAATTTATGTGGATAATGTTAGGATTCAAAATTTTTATGTGATAGGCAGGCATAAATCACTTATAAGTATGATTGTTCCTAAACTCAAAATGTTTCTTTGTAGCTAAGTTAGATGGTCTATCAAACATATTAAGATAATTTTGTAAATTTTATTAAAATAAACTTTGATTTGAGTTCGCAGCTCTGCTAACTGAGTCAAAGTATTGAAATTACCAATGAAATTTACTTGTTTCTTCCAAACTGTGAAATCGTAATTGAATTTAGTAATTAAAATATTGATCTCAATGGCTTTGAGATTTCAATTACAAATTTTGATTAAGTATTTTTTACAAACATGATTGTATCAAATAGTTAAAATTTGAAGTCATAAATATTAATTGAAGGACAAAATTCTAAGAGTAATTTGATACTTTCGAGAGTTACAGAATAAAATTTACTGTTTTAATCTTGCTTATGCACATAAAAATTTAATAACATTCAAAATATTGTTTTAAATTAAATTTCTTATTCTAATAATTAAATGATATCTTATTAATTATTTGACCTTTCTAACAGCAATAGTCTATAAGAATTATAAATTAGTAACATGGAAATAAAAAACCATTATTTCTATAAAGAAAATATGCTATTTAATCTTCTTTACTCCAAATTCCTTTTTAAGTATTTAAAATTAATTATTATTAATCAAATAAACTTGCTTAATTGTAGTGCATTTGATACCAGTTTAGTTAATATAGGAGAAGGATAGTAAAATATTTTAGTACAAATTTAAGATATTTTTGTTGACTCTTCCAACTTTTTTAATAGCAACTTTTTAGAAACCCAATCAGATATCTAATTATAAAATATATAAATAATAAACTCTAAAATAGTACAAAGCTAATTCATAAAGGCTTTGAATGCGAATTTAAAATTGACATCAACAACAATTACCTTTTAATAATAACTAATAAATTCGCAGCTATTAAGTTTCAATAGTTTACAGCAAAACAACTTTGACAAACAATAATTAATTTACATTAATAATATTACTTTATATGTAGACGAAAGTCTTATAAATTAGATATTTTAAATTAATGGATATAATAGCATACAACTAAATAGCTTAAATATAAATATAATAAATAGTTAGCTATATAATGATATACTTAATCAACAAAATTTAACATTTATTCAAAACAAAAGTTATTACTAGGTTTAGAAGTCTAATGTTATTCAGATTTAATATATTTAATAACCATCTTTAATCTCATTAACTAATTCTCCATTAATATTAATTTTATAATTATAAATAAACTAATAATCATATTCAGATACAAAATCAACTCAGTATATTCCATTTATATTTGAAATCCAGCAAAGCAATACAATTAATATAGGTAACTCTTAAATCTCAAATATAGCACTTAGAGGTTTTAATCTTGTTGACTGTAGTTTTTCTTCATTTTAATAAACTACTATCCAATAAATCAAATCATAATTTTTATTATCTGGTTAAAGTTAACTTTTCACAAATATATAGAAAATAACTTTCTAAAATACTTAAGTAAAATAAAACGATCTACAATATTTATAATAATCTTTTTTAGTGGCTAAAAATACCTAAATTTAGCTAACTGAATGCTCTTTCTCATAAAATACAATTAATTCAACTCAATATCTCTTTGAAATAATTATAAACAAAAATTCACTTTTAACTCCAATCTAAGGAATTTAGTTTTTTTATGCCTCTATTGAAAATAATAATAATTTGATGCAAAATTTCCTTAGAATATAAGGAAATGTAAGTGAAAACTAGTTTTATATTTAAGGAAGCAACTCTACAGCTCTTGTTAATAGTAAGCAAATAATAAATTTTAAATATTTATAATTTTATTTTAATTATAAAAGGTTATATTGTAGTTATTGATTGCCTACGTGGAGAATATTTTAACTCAGAAACATAACTCTGTGAATTATGCGGATTTGGAAGCTATACTCTCTTAGAAAATTCAATGAAATGTTAACAATGTCCTGATAACACTATTTGCTTAGGTAATTTTATTTTAAATTTATTCATTTTAAAAAAATTTTATATTTAAATGATAGAATTGTTTTGAAAAATTCAAAATTGGCTAAATCAAATAACAAAATTAATTTATTGTAATAATTTAAATTTTTATTTTCAAAGGTGGAATGGATATCTCAATAAATGAGGGATTTTGGAGATCAAGTATTTATTCTGATGTCATTGTAAAGTGTGATGATGTGATGAATGACAAAATATGTTTAGGAGGAAATTCGAAATAAATATGCAAATAAGGAAACATAGGAGCACTTTGTTAAGAGTGTGATTTGTTTGGTGAATAATGGGTGGATTCTTATTACAGTTAGTTTGGAAATTATGAAAAATGCACTACTTGTAAAAGCTAAATAAAATCTATTATAATTTAGACTGTTTTCTTATCTCTTTTTTTTATGGTAACAGTTTTTTTAAATAAATAAATAAATTAAATAGTGTATGAAATAAACCTCTTATTTAATTAAAAAATCAGATTAGTATGAGTTGGACCATCAAAAAAAATATGTATATAGTATTTGTTAAACTAACTTAAACTCATATGCTTAGTCTAGGCTTTTTATCAAAGGGTATTGATCAGCCAAGTTTCATCATTAAAATATTTAATCACTACATGCAAATTACTGGAATTATAACAACTTTCAAATTAGCTTCCTTCAATTAAATTACATTAGCGTTTAATTTTCTAAGCAGTCCGATCCTATTTTCTGAGTCTTCATTTGATTGTATGCTCAAAGTAATAAATTTTTTAAATTATCTCTATTAAAAATATTTTTAAAATTATTAGGATTATGACTCTTCAATAGTTCCTCACATTTATTTAAAGGTTATCGTTTAAAATTTGTTCTTTATTGGATTGGTTCTGTCCTTTTTCTTGATATTTCTGATAATAAAGGCTCTTAAATTAACAAATTATAAATTTCATCACGTACTGTATACAACATTAACTTACTGTTTTATCATTCTGTAACCTTCAATTCTCAATTAATTGTTCAAGCTTCTTTCATGTAGAACTATTGCAGGGCAATAATATATGACTTATTATATGAACCATCTTTGTTGGAATTAAGAGCATCTCAAATTCTCCTTTTCATTTATATTTCCTCTAATTTTTCTGCTCATTTTCATCATCCCTGGATTATTTATTAGAATTCTTTACTAAAATATCAAAAAAGAAAAGCTAAATTCAGTCGATATCAGGTTTTCATATGGGATTTTATACAACGAAGTAATTTATTACCAAATATTTTATTTAGATAAAAATTCAATTCAAATATAATTTTTTAATAATAGTACACAGATGAATAGAGCTTCTGGGAAATAATAAAAATATTCGAAAAGGTTATTATTATATCTGTTACTTAAATATTTGGAGAATAAGATGTCTTAAAAGGAGTATTTGTTATCTTAATCCTTTTCGCTTATGGTAAATACATATATATGAAAGTTCAACCTCAATTAAATTCAATTTTTTTAAATAGCACTTTTAAACATAAAGTATCAGCCTTACCAAACTCCTATGCTAAATAATTTAGATTTGTAGTAGACTGTCATAAGCTCGATTACAATACTTACAGCTCTGTTAATCAAACAGTCTTCAGATATCACTACGACAATTATTGGCTTGATATTTGTTTTTATTGTGAATGCATATCTTTTTTTGATGATATTTAGATATCTTCTTATGGGATATACTTAAATATTTGAAGTTAAAATAGAATAAATTAAGGAACTAATTATAACTAAATTTCCTAAGGCTGGTTAATATATAAAATTAAAAAGAGAAATTGTACTGAATACTAAGAAAAACTGGGCTGTCTTAAGGAAACATTTTTAGAATTTTACATCTCTTAAAAAGTAAGGAAAATTTGTCACTGCATAGGTAGTAACAACCTAAGCCTATCTTGAAAAGTAAATTAATTTTTAACTATTTAATAATGATAATTGTATCTTAAAATAACAGTCCTTAAGTATTCGAAAATCTTGTTAAAAAGAATAACTAAAATAATCAAATGTTTATTGAGACATTTATAGTTAATGAATCAATCAAAAAATATGACAGAAAAGCTGTAGTTATGACTTAAAATTAACTCATGGGTATCTTTACTTTATAAATTAATTAAATTGATAATTGAGTGAAAATATGTTTATCTAAAAAGGTTTATAAATGTTTGCTTCAATATTGGATAGATAAAAAAAGAAAGACTTTATTAAAAAGAAAACCATGAGGTCAGAAACTGTTTAAGATTAAAAAGAGAATGAAAAAGATGATGAAGAAGAAGAAGAAGAAGAACAAGAAAACATTAACACTTAAGAGGACTAGGAAGAAGAGGAAGACGAAGAGGAGGATGAAGAAGAAGAAGATGACGATGATGATGAAGAGGATAACTAAAAATCTGAATTTAAAGAAGATTAATCAAAGGGATCGAACACAAATGTGCATGAAGACCTAGAAAGTGAAGAATAAAACAATACAAGTTCACACAAAACAGAAGTGGTTAAAAAAGAGTAAATTTTTTGTTAAATTTTTTGATTTTAAATATGATTAAATATAGAGAAAAATCAGTAGATACAACAGCCAATGAAGATTAACAAAATTAGGAGTAACTATCTATCAAAATATAATTATTTTTAATATTTAGTAAACACTCTTTTTTAATTAATCAATATAAGGGGAAAAAATGATAAAACACTTAGAATGCAAAAGAGTAAGCAATTCACAAGTATATATTTTCTAAATTAGATGATAAACGACTCTTATAACATTTCATAGAATTAATAAAATGACTCTTCTATTTTACCATGTTTAAATAATGAAATTAATATTGAAGATGCTGATGTTGATCACATCGATGATAAAATACCTTCTATAAAGAGGTTTGAAGAAATAAATTAAAATTTTAAAAGGAGCTAATTATCTGATAAAAATCTTTGATTCTAAGAAATGTAAATACTATAAAATAATTTTTTTAAAATGATGATTGTTAATTAAATAAGAATATATTATTACTAGCCAGTAAAATAAAAATTGTAAATATTTTAGATTACTATTATATTTATGTTAAAATATATTTATTCTGCTATTCTTATATAAGTAACTATATATTTGTAAAAATATGATTTTATTGATTAAACTTATCAAACATAGTAGTATAATTTCAAATTAATTTATAAGTTTTACTCTTAAAAAATAATTTTTAGATTTATATATTATTTTGAGAATTCTAAATTTTCATTATTGAAATGTGTTTTTTTTAAAGATATTTGCTAACTCATTTTAATTTGAATAGACTTCATTTCAATTAATATATATAAATCCCTAAAGAAGATATTAAATTCCTGATAATTTATAGTTTACTTAATAATAAATAAATAGCTGATAACAAACATTTTTTAAATTATATTTTCTGATGATAGCAACAAATGGCTTTAAAGAATCTGAGCTAGCTAAATCTAGATGCTTTACCAGTTATTCAGTAAGAAAAAAAGAAACTATGTTTATTAATGAAACTCCAAGTAAGTATTTGAGAAAAAAATAAATCATATTATATTGTTTGTTTAATAATATTTCATAGATTACTAAAGAAAAAATATTTAAAACATTAATGCTCTCATTTCCTTGAAAATTGATTAAAATGATGTTAATGAATACCAAAAGCCTAATTCAAACACATTAACAAATTTAAAGGGTAGTTAAATGAATCTGTAAAGAAATAATTATCTTCCATTTTATAATAGTTATTACTCTAGTTAAGCTCTATAAAGTAAATAAACAGAGTTAGATATGCTCAAATTAGTAGGGAAAAATTGCTAATATAAGGATATATCGAGTAAAGCGAATAATAATAGTTATTAATGCGCTTAAAGTAATGTTCGTTATAACTTAAATGATCATAAAAAAAACTTTAAATCTACGTAAATACAAGTAAACTTTAAAAATGAATAATAATAACAACAGTTAGATTAAAGCAATAACCAAACATTTTATTCAAAATCTATCATGAACTCTAATGAAACATAAGCTCAAGAAAACCTTGGAACTAATCATAGCAGTAAAAAATAAATAGCTTTCATATTATAAATTATATTAAATATATTTAAGAGCATTTGAAGAATCAAAAGCATCTGTTCTAAATTCATAGCCATCTTTTACTGTCTAAAAACTAGAACACCTAAATTCTTTATGACAATAAATCAGGATATAAATCAATATTCTCGGTTGATTGGTTGGCTGAAGAAATATAACGTATTTACTTTTGTTTGTTTATAACTTAAAAATATTTATTAAAATAAAATTAGATAAATAAAGGGGATTTAGCTGTTTTAATGTACTTATAGTAGATCTAAAAACATAAAAATACAATATTTTTAAAAGGGTAACTCCTACTTAAGAAAATCCTTATATTTTAACATAGGTAATTAATTAATTATTCATTCAAATAAATAAATGGTTGTAAATATATTAATATTTAAACTAGGAAATCATACAGTAATCTCCTTTAAGTAAAGCATAAGTTTGTCTTCTAATAGTAACCTATTCATTCTAGTTAATTATTAAATATTTGATATATATTAATTTAACAATTTTAGGTTTATATTGAAAAAGAACTTCAAAAGAATTAATATGCTTAAGAAGTTTTAATAGAAAAATTGTTGTATAAAGGCAATCTATTGGGTCATGCTCAATTACCATAAGATGTAAAATTTATTCTATCATAAAACAAACAAATAAATGTGATTTTATATTAATTATATAAAAAGATTGAAAATTAAATTCTTATATTCTACTTTTTGCTTGCATTCACACTGGATGGCAACATGGAGAAATTATAGTAAGTTGATTTTGCTATGACAAAAGTAAAGGATTTTCTTGACTTAAAAAATTGTAATAAAATTGTGAAATAATAAATCGGAATATTTTTTGATAATTATATTTATTTTATATAATAGAGGGCTCTGTAAGCTTATCAGTTAAAAAGAAGATGATATTTAAAGTGATGTAATAAATTTGATTCGAATTTCAAGAAAAATTTAATAAAAATTAAATAAATATTAGTAACAAAAAGAATATGTTTATAGAAGATAGCTTTAGAAAGACATTTAACGTGGATTTGATAAGAATAGTTGGTGAAAAAGTATACAAAGGACTTATTTACTATGAATAAGGTGAAGAAGCTTTTTAAAAAGTAGATTTAAAGAACTATACTTCGCCAGCTATAAATTTTAATGCACAAACTAGTAAATACCTTAATAATTTTCTTATAAAATCTTAATATATTAGTAATTTTTAGGTTAAACTTAACTTGGAAAATAGCAGAGACAGTTAAATGAAATCTAAACATATACAAGGTTGTAAATTATTTAATAGAACAAATAAAGGAGAGAGCTAGTTTCTTCCTAAAAGATATACAGGAGACCAGATCTACTGAGGTAGCATAGCTAATAATGTTTAAGAAATGCTAAAACAGCTTCCACTCCAATAAGCAATATGAATGTAAATTATTGATTTTTTTTACTAAAAATAAATAAATAAATATAAAAAAGAGAACAAATTCATAATTTCAAATGAAGAGGACTTCAAATCAAAGCACTGACAATATTTACAAATCAAAATTTCCTATGGATTCTGTATTAGATTTTCAAAGGTTAAAGACTCCCTTTCAATAAAATTGGACAGATGACTTTAGCAGTACTGAAACAAATGGTATACATGCTTAAGATTAATAGAGAAAAGAGCTATACTCTTAAAATTCTTTGAGAAAGAAACAGGGTGCCTTTAATATATTTTAGTAGTTATCAAAGCAGTAATAAGTCAGTGCTTAACAAAATTTAAGATTTTAATCAGGATAGATAAACGAAACAAGCTATAAAAAACCTACTTATAGTTCAATTAGTGTAATGCAACATAAAAATAATAGCTCAACTTTTAATTTACTTTATCATGATAATAATGAAGTTAAATTTTAAGATATAGTACCTTTTGTAAGCATATTTCATACTTAATAATAGAATAATCCTGCAACACCAAATTATCACAAGACACCTAAATAATCAGAAGAAAAATACTAAAAATAGAAAGAATTAGAAGATTAATAAAATTGATAATTCTCATCAATAATTTATTTTTATAACTTTGATTTTCTACAATCTTTAATGATTTATTTAGAAAAATTAAAGTGCATTTTAGCTAGATAGGTATGAATGATAACCATATTAATTGGAAAATTTTACAAATTTTTGTAAAACTTAAAGAAATACGATATGAAAACTTTTATAATATATATTATATACACTAAATTAATATTTATGTTCAATTCATTAATATGAAGTTTTATTTTCTACAGGCTAAGAACCTCTTTTGAAAGTGTTTTATTTAGGTTATGAAGTTTATCTCATTTACATTTCCTTTATTCTTTTCACTCTTTTTTCTTCATTCTTTTCTAGCTCTTAAGCTAATCTGGCTAAATCGTTCATCACTTTATTTTCTCTTTATTCCCTATTTTTATATTTTTTATGCAATGTTAAGAAACTTTAAGTAAATTTTTAAAAACAAAAATTATTCAAAAATATAAAAATTCAAAAAAGGAATAAAACATATTTATTGATTTTAACAAATAGCTATTTAAATTTAAATAAAAACTTATTTAAAATTTTAGTTGATTTTATTTATTTTAATGTTATAAATAATCAATTAAATAAAAATTACATTTCATCAAATCTTTTTCTACATGCCTCTATTGTATCTCTTTCATAATCTTTTAATTCTTAACCTGGTAGTCTTATTCTTTCTAGTAAAAATCTTTCTGGGTGTAAAACTTCTTTTGTTAAACGAGTCTTCTATCCACTAAAATTTATTAAAAGAATTTAAGATGAAATATTTTAATTATTTATTTTTAATACTGCTAAGGGTGAGGTATGGCTTTAATATGAGTTGCATGAGTAAGTTAAGTTTTGAAAGAGCTATTAAGATCAGGCTCTTCATCAAAAGAGGCAGTTGATTTTTACTTCTATTATTAAACATATTATGACAGTATTTGTTATTATTGATATTATTATTATTATTATTGCTATTGCAATTATGATTTTTATTGTTTCATAGTTTAGCTGTTATTTACTTGTAAAGTTTAACTTGCATTTAATGAACCATCTCGAGATTTGTTTTTTAAAATTGAAGGAAATTATGCTTTTGACATTCTTTTACTACTATTTTTAGTTATATCTTATGAAAGTGTATTCTAACCCATAGCAGGTGGTCCTATTGTTGGAATTTCAAAAGATGGGTTATTTAAATCTTCTATTGAAAGATGCCCAAATAAGTTTATTAATTTATCTCTATCTATCCCTTTTCTAGAAACGTTAGCTAAGCCAGGGAATATATTAATCAAAATATCATAAACTCTAAAGATAGAAATGTTTGTGTTTTTATCATAATTTTTAACTTTTTGATCTATAATTTATTTTTTTAAAGCAATTCTTTCTATTTCTCCACATTCCTAAATTTGTTTTTCTTCTTCTTTATCAAATGGAGGATGAATATCAGTTAAAATGCATAACTAATCTATAAAAAGCATTTTTTAAATACTAAATTAAATTTAAAAAATTACCTCTCTAAGCATTTAAAACACATTAGGGAAATAGTGTCCATGATTTTGTCCTTGTATCAAGATGAGAAGATGCTTGCATTTTAGCAATCTTTTATCCATGCCATAAGTCATATAATCTTAAATTTTTTAATGAATCTAAGACAAATGCAAGACCTGAATTAGAAACAGCTATGCTTTCAACAGAATTTTTTTTCTTCTCCATAAAAACATTCGTTCTCTTCATCATCATTTTACCTTTTTCCAAATCATGTAAATGAACAGTTCCATCTTTTGATCCTGAAACTAATCTCCAGTTTTCTAAGAACTCTATGCAAGTTACTTCATCTGTATGGCGATCCAAAGCCCATTTTTATAAATTAAATTGTAAGTCCCAGACAATTATAGATCCCTCTTTCAACCCAAATGCTGCAAACGACTCACTTTCGTTTATATTGAGGCTTTTTATTTATTAAAAATGATTAAAATAATATTTTTACACTTTAAGAATTTACCAAGTTACAGGATAAATTAAACTAAATGTCTTTTTTAATTTGGGCTTAATAGGTGGTAGTAGCTATCTGAGTTAGGCTTATGTTGGAGGTGGTGGAGGAGGTGGAGGTGTTTATTAAGCAGGAACAGCTCCTGTTTTAGTATTTTTAGAGTTAACTGTGATTGCTATACTTTTAGTTTCAGAACCACTTGATAATGATTTATCTTCTTTTTATAATGCATCATATAAAACGGAAATCAAATATTCTATTTTTGCTGGTCTCAAATGGTGCAGCTCAAAACTTTTGACTCCTTTCCATGTAATTAACAAATCAGTTACTAACTCAAAATATCTAGGTCTTCCAAAATATTTTTTTGAATCAGGCAAGGTAACTTAAGTTTTTAGAAATTTGACAAGAGGTTTAAATTTAGGTAAAGGAATATCTTCAGAAATATCTTGTCCATTTGGAGACACTTTGTATTCTGGAATAGGTACGATATCATTAAATAATATCTCTTTTTTTTGTTGTTTTTATTCTTGTTGTTGTTTTTCTAAAAGTTCTTATTCAGTAGGTCCTTGATCTTTAGCTCCTTTTTTTGCATCCTTTTTTACATCTTTCTTTTCTTTAGCTGCTGCTTATTCTTTAAGCTACTACTCTAAAAGCTACTATGCTACTATTTAAGGATTTAATGCTTTAAATGTGTCATCATTTATTTTAGCCATTAATTCTTTATAGTTTAAGCTGACTTTTTGTCCTTAAAAATTAATAGAATAAAATGGTTTATCAATATCGACAGGCTTCATTTCTAAAATCTGTCCTGTTAAAATTCTTTAATGGGATGCCATACTTTATCTTCTAGGACTCTAAATAGCTCCTGAAATTTAAGAGCTATTCCATTATTAAAATGCTTATATTAATTACAAATTAAAACAAATTATACCCATAAACTTGATTTGATGGATCATCTTATGAAGGATCATATTTAGGGATTTATGGTGGGTCTGGAATCTAAAAAATATGAACATCTCCATTATATGTGCAAACTGATACAAAATCACCATTAATTCCTATCTCAGCCTTAAAAGGAAGAGGATTGGCAAATTTAGCTTGGTCAGTAACATTGTTGGTTGCTGCTTAAGATAATGCTATTGGAATTTTAATGCTATAGTTATGATAAAGCTTATTATCACCCTACAATATACGATAAATATAAACAATAGGATCTGCTCTTGAAATAATAGAAATAGTAGTGAGCTATGTTTCTCCATAAGGTATAGTTTATGAAGAAATATTTATAATACGTTTAGAAGGTGTTATTTCCTTTTTACAAACTTAAGTTTTTTTGTTCAAGTCAAGTAAAAATAAACTTCCAGATTTATCCCCTACAAATATTTGATTATATCTACTTCTAGAGCTATTGCTAATAGCTGTTATTCCATTCAACTCAAAGCTACCTTATGGAGGAAATTCGCTTAGATTTCCTATTAGATATTTTTACAGTAAATTATTGAAACATATTCTTAATAATTAAGAAAATAATTTTTTTTTGTATTTATTAAATATTTAATTATCTATTTTTATAAATGCTATTTACCCTCATAATTTGGATCGCTTTTATAAGTCTTTTCAATCTCAAATATCTTTAAATTAATGTTGTGGAATATCATTTCATTTATAATACCATTAATAAACCTATTGCAATTATTAAAAATAAATGAATTTATTATCCTTTGCAAATTCTACTAAAAATCATTTTATAATTTTGCGATAAACTCTGAATATATAATTTTTCATACTTATATGGTTATGGTAGCTCATCCTCTTTGTTTTCTGGATTGCAATATTCGTAATTATTTAAGTCTCCTTTTTATTCTAATTATTTTTACTTAACGATTGTCTGTCTATACATTTCTTCTCCTCTCCTTTCATTTTCAGTCATTTTATAACTTTTAGGCTGCTTTTCTGCAAAATTAAACATGCTTTTTGCATTAGTCTCTTTCTTAGTCACCCTAAAATTGCTTGCAGACTCTTAGTAAATTGGACTAATCATCTAAATAAAACTCTTTGATTGTTATAAAATTAAGCTTATATTATAAAATTTGTATTTATATGATATCCAATTAATTTAAAGATATTAATTAATTAAATATCAGCTATTAAAAAATAAATAACTACTTTATTATTAACATGCAAAATTTCATTTCAAACACAACTAAATTTACAAGCAAAAAAAAATTAAAATGTTTGGATTATGTATGCATGAATATAAACAATAGCTGGTTTTTATAAGTTATAATTGAAGTAATTATATTTAGAATGAAACTGAATATTGCAAATCTGAATTGAAAGTATATTTGTATTTACAATATAAATATTTTAAAAACTTTTAAAATAATTTTGTTAGAATAAAAATAATTTTTTAATTCAAAATCGTCCAATAAATCTTTCCTTATAAATAAATAATCAGCTTTTAACTTAAAAAATGTCATTAATTAATTATATATTGATAGACTAATAAATAACAAGAATACACTTAGTAAATTCCAACTAATATATAGGATTGCTAAAATATATTTGATAATATTATTATTGATAAATTTTCTGTTAGTTATTTGGTTTTGGAAAATTGTTTATTCTATTTATTATTAATAGTGTTTTATGAAGTTATCAATTGATTATAATTAATTAAGAAAATATTTATTATATTTAATTTATTTTTTTGTTAAGTATAGTATAATTAATTACGAAGTTTTTTGTAAATTTGTTTTGATATTTTTGTAAATATAAGAATATTTTATTTTTTTTAATAAATGAAATAGCTAAATTCAAATTTTCCATCATAAATTAAATTTTTTATTTTATAAAGTTTATTAAAAAATTATTTTGATTAAATGTTTTTTTATATAAAATAGGCTTGAAAAATAAATAAATTAATTCGTTTTATTTGTTTATTATTTTATTTTTATTTTGAATTAAATTCTTAACTGATATCTTTTTTATAAATTATCTTTCATTATTTAAGTTAAAAATATACATTTTAATATTTAAATTTATATTTATTATTTGAATTTTAAATAATTACTAAATTTTTTTCTAGATTTGCTTGATTTCTTGAAAAATAATCAGTCATGTTTATTAATATAAAATAGCTAAATCCTATTTGCTATTCTATATCAAACTTTTAAATTATTAACTATATTGTGGTGGTAAAAATGAAAATATTTAGTTGATTGAATGTTTAAAAACATAAAGTAGGATTCAAAAATAAAGTAATTAACTTGATTTGATATAGTTTTTGCTTTTATTTTAACTTGCATTCTTAATTGCAAGCAGATAATCTTTAATTAAAATATTTGTAGAGGATAAGTGATTACAGTTTTTAGATATATTCTTCTCCTTTTTTTATTATTTAAAAAAATCTTTGAGATATTTGGATTAGTTAGAAAAATTATTAAAAAAAAATAAATAGTTAACTTTTTAGGTAAATAATTTCATTTTTACTAATGAAGCTAGGGTATAATTGGACAATAATAGCTATTGTTTGTGCAAGCACAATATTTGGATGCTTCCTTTATTGCTTAGGATTCCAAAAATAGTTTAGTATTATTGAAAAGCATTCTTAAGTAGAAAATCCTTATATTGATGAGATGCATTTTGAAAATGAAGAGTAGAGGAATTTATATAAACAAGGATGGTTTCCTTAATTCAAAAAGAAAATATTTTTATACCTCGTTGATAGTCTTCGATATGACTAAGTGACAGATGTGAATAAGCAAAAAGAAATTGTTGTCAAAGATTAGAAAGGAGAAGTAGTATACTTTCCTTCAAGCTTTACTTCGATTACTGAAGCTCTAAATAATGATAGAAATAATTCATTACTAATTAGAGGAGTTGTGGATACCTAAACTATGACAATAACTAGAATCAAAGCTCTTTCTACTGGCACTATTCCTTCATTCACAAGCATGTTTGACTAGATTTCTAGTTAAAAAGATATCGAAGATAACCTGTTTTACTAATTGAAACAAAGATAATCACCACAGGAGGTAATTTATCTTTATGGAGTTGATTTATGGAATCAGTATTTCGCAGAGTATTTTGACTATTAGAGCTTAAATATCAACTCAAATTTGCAAAATATGATAGATAATAGTCCTATCTTTAATAAGGAAATTTTAGATAAGTATTTGAAAAATCCTAGTTAAACTAATTGGACATTCTTTATCAATCATGATGGAGGAATAGATTCGTTGATGCACGGAGAGGTAATTTATAGATTTGAAAAACCTTTCGAAAGTCCTCTATATTAATAAGCAATGGATATAAGTAATAATGCTACAAGAGATTTTATCTAAGCTATAGATGAGGATACAACTTTTATTTTATTTTCTGATCATGGTTTTACAAATTATGGCACTCATGGTGGAAAAGAAATAGAAGAAAGACTTTCTGTGATCTTTGGTTACGATAAAAAAGGATTCATAAAAGATAGAAATATTAGTTAAAAGATGGATCCTTTGTATTTAGATTCTGAAACTGATTAGATTGATCTCTTGCCAACAATTTGTATGCTTAAAGGTCTAGCTATTCCTAGCAATAATATAGGAGCAATCATTCCAGATTTTTTTATAAAGGGTACTTCAAATACCATTATTGCTAATGCATACTATACAAATATGAGATAGATCGAAGATTACTTTGATGAAAGCACAAAGCATCACAGTAATTTATCAAAGCAAACATATGATCACATTAAAGATCTTACATAGGATATTAAAGATTCCTATTAGCGTATGTTTGTTAAGGAGACTTTTAAAGCAAGCTAACAAGAATTATCAGAATTTATTTCAGCAGTAATTCATTTATCTCACATTTCTAAAGAAGCAGCAAGAAAAGAAGGAGAAATTAAATACATTTACATGTATTTCGCTTTTGCAACTATAATTGCATCATTCTTATGCTCTGTCACTTATATCGTATATAATGATGCAATAATTAGTCATAACTTTACTTCATCTGAAAAGCACTTGAACAAATTCATCCTAACCAAATTCATTTTGGGAAGTTTCCTAATCCACCTTGCTATATTCTTCGTTTTCACAGGAATAAATGTCCTGCTTCTAATTAATGTTGCTGCTTTTGTTATTCTGATCACCTTCACAATTGATTATTTTTACTCTAGATATACTCTCTATAGCTAACCAAAGTATCTTCTAAAAGGAATAAAAGTATTTTCTTCATTCAAGTTCGACATACAAAACTTAGCTTACACATTTTTGCTTTTGTCCTTTTCGTACATCTTCATTAACATTGATCTTGTTGATGATCTAGATTTTTACATTTTTTTGATAACTTCAGCACTGCTTATAGTGTTCACTCTCCATTTAATCTTTATTAAAGGTAAAATATTTTCTAGCAAGCTAAAAGTGCTCCTACAAATATTTATTGTTGGTTTTATGAGCTTCTTCTGTATGTATATGGACCCTTTTATCTAAAAAGATATGAAAAAGATTAACGAAAAAAACTATTTAAATATAGATTTTATCAACATTCTCTCTTATGATTTTTATAACACTGTAATTCCTCTTATCATATTTGTCTGTTTCTATTTCTACAAGTTGAAGGATACTATTAACCAATCTGTAAGCTTGAGCATGAGGACCAAATTTGTGCTATTTACTCTGCATACTGCACTTATAACTTTACTCTCAATCTATTTTGTGACTAAGAATTACTTCCATGATAGCTAAGCGATGTACTTCTTTAGAAATTTCTTCCCTTTATCAAGCTATATTCTCGTGATTTTACAGGTTTTGTTTATAAATATTTGTGACAGATCAAACTTTTACTTTATCATAAAATACAAGCTATTTTTGTGGAGTCTATTACCATCATTCTTATATCTTATGGATTATTAATGCATAACTTTGATAGTGTTTTTCTTCCAAACTTTTTAGTACTTCCATAATATAATAAACTTTTTGAACTATCGTCCATACTCTTTATTATACTCTTACTTGACAGTTGTGAGTTTCTAATATTTCTATGTTTCAGGACATAAATTTGCTTTTGAATTCATGCATTTGCACACACATGCTGTTGGCTTATTTGTTCATAGTGATTTCTTCTCAAACATAAACGTTTTTGTTGGAAATTATTCATTCTTCTTTTTAGCTTTCTTACAATTCCCTATATTGCTAAATAGAGACACTAAGTTCTAGTATTTAAAATCAAGCAACGATCATATCTCAGAAATTGCAAAGCCTCCATAAACTCCAATTCATAATGATTCCAGTATGATAAATGATAATCTGAACCATGCTGAGAATGATCAGGTAAACTTAATCTACAGTCAGCATGAACTGACAGCTTAAGAAAGTACCTTCACTAAATCTTAAGACAGTTAGTTAACTCCTTAGTAGGCTGAAATAAAAAACAGTTTAACATTCTCTAAAAGTTTAATATTTGTTAATTTACCAATAATAATGAGCTTAATAATCAGCTTCTTTAGAAACATTTGCTTCCCAATTACTACAGACTGGGAAAAATACTCAACAGTTATAGTTTTCTTAACAACTATTTTCATGCTTTCCTCTGTTTTTGCCTAGCTTCACTTCTTATTGCAGCAAGTTTGTTACCAATTCGATTTCAATAAAAAGTACTTAAAACTGCACTGACTATTAATTTATATAAAATATATGTCAATCATTAAATTATTTTTTTAGTATATTCAAATATTTTATTATTTTAAAATTAAATTAATATATTTTATTTTATTAAAATAATTAATTCTAATAAGAAAAATATTAATTTGTTTGTATCTAAGTAAAATATTTTTAACATTTTCATCCGATTAATAACCTAAAGATAAATTAAACATTTTAAATCAAAAAAATTTATTTTTTAGTAATAAATGAATGAATTATTAAAGTATTTTTGATTAAGAAAAATAAATAAAATCTATTTATATATCAATCGAATAAAATTTAAATAAAATATATTTAATTAATGTAATGTTGCAATTTACTTAAATTTTTAGTGATGCAATTTATTTAAATATTTAGTGGTGAAATTTATTTAAATATCCAGTGATGCAATTTATTTAAATATTTAATTGTTTATTTTATTTATTTTGGAGAGATAAAATATTCTTATAATAACTTTGAAAATATACTACTTAAAAATTAACATAAAATATTGCAACTAAACCACGTAAAATTTAATTAATTGTTGTTTTATTATTATAAAAATGTATTCATTTATTTGAATAATTATTATATTATTATAAAATTAACTCATCATTCAGTTTAAGAACTTAAATATTTTTTTTTTAAATCTTCTTTAATTGAATTTTCATTTTATGTTTAATTTGAAAGATGCTTTGATAATAATTCTTTTAAATATTATTCTGCTTCTTGTTTTTTAGTCAATTTTTTTGAGGATGATTTTTTCTAGCTTACTTTTTCTTGGCTTTTGATAATTTATTCTGTATTTACTTCATTTTCAGATACTTTTTTTTAGGGAGTTTCATTTTATGAATAATGTTTTATTTAAATTGTTTATATTTAAGGTAATTATACTCGGGATGGTTAATTGTTTTTACATAAGCTTCCTTGTTTAACTTATTATTCAAATTATTAAATCTTATAGTAATTTAATGATTTACTCTTATAAAAAAGTAATGTTAATTCATTAAGATTTTAAAATTAAGATATTTAATTGATTATATTTTGTTCTTCGACATTATTTAAAAAAAACCAATCATCTGTATTGAAAGACAAACTTTCAAGATCAAATTTGTGGTTATTTATTAAATTGTTGATAAATTCTTATATTATAGATGTATGATATTATTTTTTACAAGGATTGTTTAAAACAAAATCTTTCCAAAACTCAATATTAAGATTTAGTCTTACAAGATTTTTTATACTACTAATGTTTTTTAGAAAGATTTTCCAATCTTAAGCTGATAACTTAAAATGACCTCCAAGCTTTTTTTAAAAAAAAATAAAGCTTATCAAAAAGAAACTAAAAGGGAAATATTTTATAAAATGCCAATTAAAACTTATTGCAATTAAATTTAAATAAAATGTTTAAACAGAATATCAAAATATTTTGAGTGGGTAAATTTAGAATTTGTTTAATTAAAAATATACCTATAGGCTTAGTTTTCTAACATTTTTTAACTCTTCAGATAATTAAATCAATTATTTTGAGATATCTTAATTATTGAAAGGATTAAACCCAGATAAATCAAAAGAAAATTCTTCTAAATCAGCTTACTTTCTAATCAAAGCAGTAAGTTTTATAAGGAAAAATTAAACTTGATAAAAATCTACATTTGAATTCTGATAAGTCATTCTATCAAAGTTAATTTCTAAAATGTTTAAAGTATCTGGCCATTAATCACAATACATAAGCAAATTAGTTAAAATATTTTAAGGTATATAACGAATTCTTTCTCTATCCCAACCCATATAGGCAAAATCTAACTTTAAACACTTTAGCATTTTGCAATTAGTGAGGAGTTTTGAAATTTAGGTTGTAAAATTTGATGGAATAGAAATTGTGTATCCTGTATTTTTTTCTTTCCTATTATTAAGGATTTAGAAATACTTGAGATTGGTGATAAGAGGCGATAAAGAATTGCAAAATAATTCTAACTATTAATTATTTTGAAAGCAGATTTATTCATTACATTTAATTGTAAAAGATTCTAAGTATCTGAACATTTTAAAAATATTTGCTAAATTTAATAAATATAAATTAAATAAAATATTTATATTCTAATTAAAAATCTACTTAAATCGTCAATATTCTTGCTTGTTATATCTGTATTTTAGAATTCAAAGCTCACATCTGTAATTTACTTCATAAAATCATAAATTAATACAGGGATTAGTATTAAGAAATTTCTATCTTCACCTAAGCAATTTACTTATAGTTTCACTTGATAAAGGCACTAACGGAGAAACTCTTCGCTATCTTAAAAGCTTCTAAAAAGCTTTATTACTTCATCACAAAATTCTTTAGAATCTTTACTAGCATTAACATTAAGAAATATATTTTTTCCTTTGTTTTTAGTTTCCTAAGCATGATATCTTGCTTTAGATCTTATTAGCTACTGTAGCTGCTTCAATTTTTATTCGGGGTAATCTTCTTTAAAGTATAAATCAAGAGTGAAATTTGACATTTTATGTTTTGAATAGAGGAAATAATAAATTTAAAATTTTTATCTTTTTAATTTATTATGAAAGTCTTTTAATCAATAAATTAAATATTTCAATTACTTAAATATGAGATAAAATTCTTTTAAAAGATTGAGTGACTGATTTATTATTGAGATAATAATCTTTTATTAAAAATAATCTCAGATTTTTGTATTTTATCTCATTTTAAATATTATTAAAAATAACTTGATATTTATATTAGTTATTAAATGAAAATCTATCCTAATTAATTTATTCTTTGATTACTTATTTTTTTGTAGAATAACTCTCTCAATTTTTTTTCTTTTATTTGAATTTCATTTCTATCAAAAATCACATTTTTTTTAAAATCGAAAATAAATTTAAAAAATATTTTATTAAAATCTAAAAATAAATTATTAAAGAAATTATTTACCTTAAAATATTATTTTAACAAATTATTTAAATAATTAATTAAAATTTATTTATTAATTATTTTTAATGAAATAATAGCTTAAAAGCAAATAACTAACACAAGATATATAAATTATTTTAATTTACTAATTTAGATTTAAAATAATTAGTTTACATTTTAATACTACTAACCTTTTTGCTACTATTAATTTTATTTTTTATTTTTGTTTATCTAATTTAAATACTAAATTAATTAAGAATTAAAATCTAAAAATAAATTACCAAAGAAATTTAATATATTAAAATTATTTTTTTTATTTTACTTGATTGATGTTTAATATAATAAATTAATCATTTATTATGGATGACTTAATAAATATAAATTATTTTACTTTACTAATATAAGTTTGAAATAATTAGTATCAATTTTAATACTAATAACCTTATTGTTACTATTAATTAATTGAGTTATTTCTCTTTTATCTAATTTTAAGTATTAAATAAATTTAGAATCAAAGAAATTTAATAAATATTTTAAATTATTTAAAATAATATTTTATCTAATTTTTAATGTAATAAATTAATCATTTATTTATTAAGAATTTATTTTGAATGATTTAATAGCTTACAAGCAAATAAATAATACATATAATAAATATAAATTATTTTACTTTACTAATTTGGATATAAAAATAATTAGTATCAATTTTAATACTACTAACCTTGTTGTTACTATTAATTTTATTAGTTATATCTGTTTTATCTAATTTTACCTATAAAATAAATTAAGAAGGTTAAAACTAATATGCAAATAACCTCTGTATATTCTCCATAAGACCATTCATAATTTTAGTATTATTAATTGTAATTATAACCATAATTTTATTAATATTAATTATTTTTATTATATTTATTTTTATTACTACCAGTAGATTGTCTATTAGCTTTTCTTTAAGAATTATAATTTGGATAATCATATTCATATGAACTTTAGTTTTAATTTATTCCAAATATCTAGAATACTAAAGGCAAAAGAAATTGAAGCAAAAATATCACTAATGGAATAATTCCTATATACTTTTACCACCCATGAGCTAGATTTCCTTAACCATTTCCAAATTAAAATCCATTCAAATTAAAAGTGAATCCCCCTAGGCCTAGTCCACCTCCAAAGAATAATCCAGGAAACCCAAAAAACCCAAAATTAAATCCCCCTTGTTATCTGTTGTGGTTATTGTTATCAAAGTTTTCTCTAGGGTTTTATGGTCTTCTTGGAATATCCTGCTGATTTTATTCACTTTAGTTGTTCTGCTAGCCATTTTCTTATTATTATTGTTATTAATTTTAATTTTCTTATGAGTTTTAATTTGAGTGATTGCTGCTGCTATCGCTACTGCTACTGTTGTTTCTAATTAATATTAAAATAGACTTTAAATCTTAGATTTACAACAAACAATTGGATTGGTAAAAGTAAATTAAAATTATCGAGTAATTTGATTTTTTAAGAATATGTTTTTTGTTTTGATTGTTTTATAAAGTTAAATAAATTTCTATCTAATTTTACTCATTTGTTTTTTTGGATTTTTGCTCTTCTTCTTCAGTGTAGATAGTTGTTAATTTATTCACATCAATTTTGTTATTGCAAAAAGGACAACTTGGTTTCTTAACTGCCCACTATTAATAAAAATGTTTTTATTAATTACTTTTATTTAATACATGAAAATATTTAGTAGGAATCAGATTTCAAATTGCTAACTTTTAAAATATTCAACCTCTATTTATGTAGGGCTTATAAGATAATATAATTATAAATCTAAATATAATCTATACTTGGTAAATGCATTTCCAGCTAATTATTTTAGAATAATTTTTGATTAGATTTTTTTGAAATTATAAATTTAAAATTTACCAATAAAGATGACCGCAAGGTGTAATAACAGGCTATTCTGCTATTTCTAAACATATCTTGCATGAAAATCTTGTAAGCTTTGCATCTTAACTTTGTTCCTTATTCTAATTAGTTTTGGTATCTGTTTCCATTTATTAAGCTTTTTACTTTATGATTGACTATCTATTTATCGTAGGTGTTTGCTTTTCACTTCTTAATTAAAAAAGATAAATAAATAGGATTATATTTTTTTTCTTAATGTACGAATAATCATAAATACAAATTTTCCTAAAAACAGTAAATTAATTCTAAAACTTTATATGATAAACGAAAATCATCTTAATTAGAATAATAAATTAATAAGATAGAACAAATGGAAGAATTCTAAATCTTCTATTCGATATAACCTGGTTAATTAAGTTTTCTATTTTCTATTAATAAAATACTTAAATAAAATGGAAATTAATTTATTAAACCACACGTAGTATTTCGATGTTAATTTAGTGTTAATAATCTTTAGAGAAACTAAATTGTTTATTTAGTTTCTCCTCAATTTTAAATTTAACTCAATAACACAAATTATGAATAATCTAAGAAAAATTACAAATCAATAAGATTTGCAAGATATATAATTATTTTATACAGATCTAATATCTTAAATTGTTAAAAACTAATTAAAAAAATTATTTTCAAACAAATTATACAAAATAAGAAACTCAAAAACCAGGAATAAATAATATATACTTTTTATTTTTTTATTAACTCATAATAAATCTAATAGATGTAGTGACAAATTTATCCAAAAACCAAAGTCAAAAGTAATGATTAGGAGTTAAAGGAGATATTAATTTTTATAAAAAGATGGTATATTCTAAACATTAAAAATTTCTATTTTTAGTATGTAATGAAAAAACTAATCTAAAATTGATATTATAATTATATCATATCAATAATTTCAATTACTAACTCTAGCAAATTCTAATTTAAAAGAAATTAAAATTCTAAGCTACTTCGAAATCGTAAATTTTACATTCTTCAAGAAAAAATCAATTAAAAAATTGAAAAATTAATTAAATATAAAAAATATGATTCTGGGTACACCGACCCAAGCCAAAATTTTATTCCAAAAAACCTTAAAATTTTTGAAATATCATTTTAATTCAATATAATTATTAAACTAAAAATAATTTGATTAGATTCGGTTCCCACCTATATTAACAAGTATAAACTGAATTCACAAAAATATAAAAACATTTTTTGATACTTGGCACATTTTTTTTAATTTATTTATATTTAATTCATAAAAAATAGATAAAGAGGTAAAATTATTGTATAAATAGACCTGGTTATTTTATGAAAAGCATAATTTATAAAATAAATAGTTTTTTTATTTATTTTAAGTTTCGAAATTAGAATTTTAATTATTTTTGCAGATATTCTAATGTCTTAAATTAGAAAATAGTTTGCTTTTTTATCAAAGCTATTAAATCTTTTAATTTCAGAATAAATTTCACAAAGCATAATAACTTTTAAAATTACATAAAATTAATATAAAAAGTAATGTTTATTTATTGTTAGAATTCCTAAATAATTTTTTTCAATCATTAATTTAACTTTAATTAAATAAGTAATAATATTTTTATTTTAAATTCTAAATTATCAATAACAATTATATTTTAAATAAATCAAAAAATAAAAAATTTATTAAAATATTTTCATAAAATTAAAAAAGTCTTAACAATTTAATATTTTTTAAAATATTTTATTGCTTCATTAATTAATTTTCTTTTCTAAAAGATTTACTTTTTTGTCTATGGCTTGGGTTTTAGTATCGAGATATTGGGCTATTGCGGATTGTTCATCTAATGATGGGATTGCAATTAATTAGAGATAATTTATTTATAATAATAAAAAGAAAAATGTAAATATTGCGATAAATTAATAATAATTACATAAAGCAAAATATTTATATTTCTTTATTTATATTTTATAGACATTTATTATTTATTTTAATCATGTTAAAAATTTTCTTAATAATCATGTGAAAGGATTAATCATAATTATTTATTGAAGTAAAAAATGAGTTTTCAGAAGAATATATAATTTTATTTATAAGACATATTTATGAATTAAGTATTTAAATAAAACATTTTAATGAATATCTAAAGTTAAATTATAGCAAAACTGTAGGTGCTAAATTTATTAAACAAAATTATAATTTAATTTTTTAATAAAAGGGATATTTAACTTACATTAATTAAAAAGAAAATAGATCCATTTTAAATTAAATCTTTGAGAAGAAAGTTCAAATTAATTGATAGTTTTAGTTAGGTTATTTTAAATTAATTCTTATTTATGATATCAACGAATGCAAATTTTGATGCTAAACATTAAAAAAATGAAATTAGTTCAAAGTTACTTCAGAAATTATTTAAAGAAAAAACTATTTTTTTAATTTATTTTTAAATCTCTTTTGAGTTATTAAATTAATATAAATAAATTAATATTTTATCAATGATTTAAGGGATTCTTATAGTAAATGTGAATTCTAAATACTTTTATTAATATTTAATAATTTTAATAATATTAAAAGATTTTTTATATTTTTCATAATCTTATATTTCTTTTATTGTGAAGAAGGTTTATAATGTAGATCATCATTAACTGAGACCTGATAATATGCATATAAATTTTTTAGATACAGTTTATGAATTATAATCTTTGAGAAAAATTAATATTTAGATTCATTAAATATAGATAATTTAGGGTATCTAAAAATGTAGACAAAATTAAGTAGTCAAAGCTGACTTTAATGCTAAAAATAACTAATTCATGGAACTTATTTTTAGGTTTTTTATAAATAAAATCAAATTTTTTCTTATTAATAAAAGAATAATTTTTATCAGCTTATTGATTTTGTAAATGAATAAAAATTGTAATTTAGTTTGTTTAATTCTTTTATAATTATTAATCTGCTTTAAAAGGTTTTCTAATTTCGTTTGTTTGTAAGATACTGATTAATCTAATTAAAAATATTATAAATAACAGCAACGATGAGCAAATTTATTATTCTTGCCCTAATTTTCGGAGTTTTTTTCTCTCAAGCTCTCCAAGAGAAGAATTTGAAAGTATACACTTTTGAGTAGTATGTAAAAGAATTCAATAAAAATTATGGATTCAATTCTGAAGATTATTAATTGAGAAAATCTATCTTTGAAAGAAACTTAGCTGAAATCATTGATTTTAATAATGACCCTAACCACTCCTATAAAAAGGGTGTCAACTAATTTACGGATTAAACTTAAAACGAGCTTAAGGAGAAGACTTTAGGCTACAGTAAAAATATGAACAAAATTAGACCTTTCCGTAATCTTTCTGTCAAACCTATCGAAATTACAGAATAGTAATTAAAGGATTTACCTACTCATGTTGATTGGAGAGAAAAAGGAGTTACTACCCCAGTTAAAGGTAAATTTGAAATTTTTTTTTCTAATTTAAATATTTTTTAAAAGACTAAGGTCATTGTGGTTCTTGTTGGGCTTAAGCTTCTGCTGCTACAATTGAAGCTCATGCTGCAATTAACTCTGGATAATTAAAAATTTTATCTACCTAATAGCTTGTAAGTTGCGTTCCTAACCCTTACTAGTGTGGTGGTACTGGTGGTTGCTAAGGTGCTATTTCAGAATTAGCTTTTACCTATGTCTAATTGTATGGTTTGACTTCTGAATTCAAATATCCTTATCAAAGCTACTTTTCAGGTAATACAGGAAACTGCACATATGATTAATCAATAACTACTCCCGAAGTTAGTTTAGATGGATATGTAAAATTGCAAGCTAATGACTACAATGCTTTGTTATATGCTGTAGCCACAATTGGTCCTTTGGCAGTTGCAGTAGATGGTGCTAAATGGCATAGTTATTAATCTGGTATTTACAATGGATGCGATTACTCTTAAAACATAGATGTCAACCATGTTGTTGTTTTAGAAGGTTATGGAACTGATCCTGAATTAGGTGATTATTGGTTAATTAGAAACTCATGGGGAACCTCCTTTGGAGAAAATGGTTATATCAGACTTGCTAGAGAATCAAAGGTAACTTGTGGTACTGACTACAGTCCTTTAGATGGATAAGCTTGCTCTGGATAAAATATTCCAACTAAAGTATGTGGACAATGCGGTGTTGCTTATGATTCTGCTTATCCCGTAAATGTTTAAGTTATTGGTTGATTTTAAATTAAAAGAATAAATATGTTGGAAAAAATCTATAAAATGAATATATATATATAAATTTTTAAAGAAATTAGAATTAAATTGATTTAAATATAATTTAAGAAATTAATTATATATTTTATTATTAATTATTCAAATACTGTATTTTTTCTCTTAAATTTTAAAGTAATTGGTTGATTTCATATTTAAAAAATAAATTTTTTAAAAAGGCTAAAATTTAAAATTTGATTGAAAAATTATATATTTAAATTAAAATTATAAATATTATTAATTAAATTCTATTATAAAATTATTTATTTTTACATAAATTATATTCAAACACATCAGCCATTACTCACTTACTTATTTTTAATGTATATTTTTAATATAATTCTAAGGCACAAAAAAATATGTGATACAAAAGGAGAAAAAATTAAACTAATATCAAAATAAATGAAAAAATAAAAATTTAATTTTTATAAAACAAACATTTACTTTACAAATAATTTAATATTTATTTTACTATAATATGAATAACTAAATTTAATAAAAAGATTATCAATTGGAATCAACAAATTAATGATCTTGGTTTTATTAAAAGTAAGTTTCTATGAAACTTTATTTTTTAAATAAGGTAATTTGGCTTATAGGATCTTATACTATGCTTATGTTATAAAAATTTTCCTAAAGATCATTTAAAAAATGAAATTAGAAATCTAAAATGCTCTATATGCATCTGATAATAAAATCTGAAGTTCTTTTAATTTTTGAAGTTCTTAAGTCTTTATCTTCTTTAAATAAATTTTGACTCGCTAAGTTCTTGTAAACATTTTAAATAGTTTCAGAGAAATTATTTTTTAAGGTTTGATTAACAATTTCTAAAATTTAAGATTTTTTAAATGTATTTTATGTTATTATCATATTTATAGTGTAGCTTTAAAGTGTACTATAATATTATTCTGCTTGTTTTAATAAATTAAATTATTCTAAATTCTTTGTTTTTGAATGTAAAAGCTACAAGCAAACGAGATTTTCGAATTTAGATATCCTTTAAAGTAAATCTAATATGTTAACTTGAAATAAAAATGCCCAATTGTCTACATTCAAAATGAGTCTTTGTAAATTATATTTATGCTAAGAGACTAAATCATTTATAAATGAATTAATAATATTATACTATTGTTCTTAAGTGAGATTGTCAACATTTTACACCCACCACTCTACATTTAGTTCTAAATCTTATAAATTATTTATACTGCTTATCCCTTAAAAAAATGTATTCCAATCTTTCTAGCTTAATTCAATTTTTCCACCAATCTTTTTCAATTAAAAATTATATTAATTAATTAATTTGCTTAATCAAGCAATAAAATAAAATACAAGAAGTTTAAGAATATTGACAGTTTTTATACTTTGAGTTATCAAGCATAATTCGTTGAAAATGTTAGGATAAATTTAATTGTATCTATAACCGATACCTTCTAAATTTAAGTAAAGCTCTCTCAGATTATTTTACTTTGAAAGCATATTGGCAAATTCTTTTAAAAATTTTTGTACATTTATATTATTATAATTAGCATTACAGCATATTAATCTATCAAAGCCTACTTTTATTACTTATAATTGAGTTGGCCACTAGCTTAAATAAAATGTAAAGTCATCTAGAAATTTTGCTAAGATAATGCTTTCTCTATTTCTTTTTATCCATCCTGCATAGTTAAAGTTAATTTCCAAATTCAGAAGATTTTAAGCTATCGAAATTGATTTAGAAAGTAGACCTGGAATGGTACATATCTCATGGCTATTGTATCCTTTTTAAGGCTATTAGTTATTGAATATAAAAGTCTTAGAATTTACTATTATTCCTTGTATCTCATTAATAAATTAGGTATCAAGATCCTTTTCAAATAACAATAATCTATCTTGGCAAATAAACTAAAATGATTCAATAACTCTCAATTCTTTTAGAGTTTAAACTATAAATTATTTTATGATTTTAAAATTAATAACAAATCTAATTTTAAGAAATTTTACTTATTTATTTTAATTGTTTTTCATTAATTTCGCTCTTGCAAACTAATTTAAATTTACTTACATCATGTAGAATTTTCTCAAGTGTTTAATGCAGCATTTGTAAATTGATAATGTTTGCTTTCATTATAAGTATTTCTAATTCTACATCATCAATTATACTTTGATTATTTGTGTTACTTTTAAGAAATTGTATTATTTTATTGATCAATTGTCTTGTTTAACTAGATGGCTCATATTTCATGACTAGCAATTACTACCTTTAAGAATCCAACTTTTAAAACTTTAAATCGATGAGCTTATCTCTAATTTAGGAAATTAATGATTAAAATGCTGGTAATTCCTAAATTTGCTCATTCAAATATATTTTAAGATAGACTGAAGAAAGCTTGCTTTCATCTTTGTTAGCATCTAAAAGTTGATTTTAAATCATTTGAAATTAACAGATAGATATTTTATTCAATTTTAATATTTTTAATAAATTTAATAGATAAAAAATTGATGTTTGTATGATAAATATTGCTTCACAGCAAATAAATTGTAGGAAAGTATTTTATTTTTCTTATAAAATCTTCTTAACTTATAACAACAAAAAAAAACAAAAAAGAACAGATGGTGAATCTTGTTTTTTATAAAAGGGAATATAAAAATTTTTTAAACAAATTTTTAGTTTTTTTCATTTTTAAGTTCTACAAAAAAATTCTTTAAACTAAAAAAGGAGAGCTAATAGAAATCTTTAACAATTTTTTTTGCTTTTTGATAAAATTAGTTAAAAATAAATAAAATAATTTTTAGTTTTCAATTGAATAAGATTAAGTTAAAATAAATCATTGCTCTTGCTAATACATTTTAAATAATAAAAAAATGAAAATTCTGGAAATAAATATAATTCAAGCAAAAAGATAGATAGAATGAGAGACAAATATTTAAAAGAATCTCACTGCAAGTTTTTCTTTTGGTTTCTAGAAAGAAGGAGATAAAATAGATAATTTAATTGCTCAATTTCTGATATGAACCAAGCCTTATGTTAAAAACTATTTTCAATAAATAAACAAATTCTTTTGTTAATATTTTTTCAGTTTTATAAATCTTAATATATGTATAAGATAAATATTTTTCAATAATTTATTTATTAATTTATCTATCTATCTGATCAGAGTAATAATAAAGATATTTTATTATAAATCAAGTTAATATTAAATACGAACATTAATTAGGTAGAATTTGAAAATAATAATTAAATAAAAGGATAATTGTTATCAATGGTATTAATTGAAAGTAAATTCTCAAGGAATAACTTAAATAGTTAGCGAAACTAAACTGAGAGCTAAAAAAATAGCTCTTCAGATTCAGAGAGTGGCAACGATGGTTAAGCTACAATTAACTTGTATGGCTTAGAAAATTAAGTGAGAATATAAATTTTATCTCCTAAGGGAAAGTCAAAAGTCTCAAACTCTATATGTTGTGTGGTGGACGTCTCTGGATCAATGGGAAGCAGAGCAGTCACAAAATAAAGTGGAGGTAACTCGGAATTAGGATATTCAGTGTTAGATATTGTTAAACACTCTCTCAATACAATTGTACAAAATTTGGACGAAGGAGATGAATTTTCTATGGTAACTTTTAGCGATAATTCCAAGTTAGTTTGCAATTATCAATAAATGACTGAAAGTAATATTAAATCTTCTGTAGATTTAATAAATCAATGCCAGCCAGATGCAAGTACAAATATTTGGGCAGGAATAGAGTAAGGATTGGAACAAATGCAAAATGATAGCAATAAGAATAAGAACTAGCAATTAATTGTGTTAACTGATGGTTAGCCTAATGTTAATCCCCCAAGAGGCATTCTAACTACACTAAATAATTTCTATAATAAAAACATAATATCACCAAAACCAAGTATAAACACTTTTGGATTCGGATACTACTTAGACTCTCATTTGCTCTTTAACATCGCTTAAGATTGCCAAGGTATATACTCATTTATACCAGATTCTTCTTTTGTAGGAACTATTTTCACTAATTCAATTGCATCTATGCAATCAACATTTGCTACTAATGCTGTATTAGTTTTTAAACCTCTTAATAAAAATGCATAGTTGAATTTGAGCCAAATCAAGTCAAACTTTAAAACATATCTGAATAAAGAAGGTGAATACATTGTTGAATTAGGAAACCTCTTTTTTGATCAAAGTAAAGACATCATCTTTTAGTAAGATCTTCATTCAGAATTACTGAGAGACTTTTCTGTTGAAGTTAAATATTATACTAAAGACACTAACAACTTTTAATTAAGTCACCGTATGCATAAGGCTGAATAGATTCATAATGCTAATAAACTAGAGTTTGAATAAGAAGCTTTAAGGTTAGAGGTAGTTAAGACTGTTTAGTAATGCAAAGATAGCTCATAGAAAAGTCAAAAACTAGTAGAAGATACAATTAATTTGCTGAAAGCATCTTAATTCAGAGAAGATGAATACATCCAAAATTTATGCAAAGATATGGAAGATCAAGTAAAGCAAGCAGTATCAAGAGATGATTACTTTACTAAATGGGGTTGCCATTACCTCCCTTCATTAGCTATGGCTCACAATCACAAGATTTGCACTAATTTTAAGGACCCAGGAGTTTAAGGATATGGCGGAAATTTATTCAACAAATAAAGAGATTAAATAGAAAAAATCGTTATGTCTATTGATCCCCCTAAGCCATCATACAGATCTAGTGGTAATGTCTAAATTAATTCAGCATTATATACATCATATTATTATGATCCTAATAATCCTTGCTTTGAAGGAAATAGTGAAGTGAAGATGGCTAATGGAACTATTAAAAAAGTAAAAGAAATCAAAAAGGGTGATGAGGTATTTTGTCCTAACACAGGAAAAGCAGAGAAAGTCAAATGTGTGATAGAAACAGAAGTTAAAGAAAATTTAACTTAATTGGTTCGTCTCGGAAAGGGTTTGTTAATTACACCATATCACCCTGTTAGAATCTAAGGAAAGTGGTTGTTCCCAACAGATATTGCTCCCACTAAAATGGCTTAATGTTCATCTGTTTATAGCTTCCTACTTGAATCAGGTCATTCTATGATGATAAATGATATTGAATGTGTAACATTTGCCCACGGATTTTAAGAGGATAAAGTGAAACATGAATACTTTGGAACTAATAAAGTTTCTAGAGACCTAATGTGGATGAAAGGGTATTTTAAAGGTCATGTCAAACTGTAAAACTCTCCTTCAATAAGAGATCAGGCAACAGGATTGGTAGTAGGATTACGCAGCAATCGTTAATGGATATCAAAAATCTAAGATTTGAAATATTCATCTCTTTCAAATATCAAATAAATGAGTTTGAATAAACTACTCTAAATTTCTAAAAAGCTAATAAAAATATGATATTTAAAGAAGTAAGAGCAAATACACTTCATAGATTAATCAATAAATTAGAAATATTAGATTTAAAACATACAAATATTATCAGAATATAGCAAACTATTCAATTAAGATAAATAAGTATTAACTTATTTTTTAAAAGTTAATTTTCTTGTATGTGTTCATTTTATATTTATTTAGATTTCTCATTTATAAATATGAATGCTTTTTTTTAACATTTCTGATTTGTTATAAAAAAACTATTATTGAAATAGTTTTGTAAATATTTTATTAATTTCTTAATTTAATTTAATTTAATTTTTTTTGGAATTTACTTACTTGATAAATTAATAAATTAAATATTTTATGATATGAATTATATTAATTAATTGCTTTAAATTTTATTCAAAATTCCTTTCATATCAGCAACTTATTCTTTTAAATAAAGCAAAAATCTTGATAGCAAAGAGTTGTCAAAAATTATTTTCTCTCTCTATTAATTTTTCTCATTTAAAATTTAAAAATAGTCATAGGTAACTTTTAAAAGTTAAATTTTATTGTATGATGGATGATAGTTTAATTAAAAGCTATTTAAATGAAGGAAATTTATTTATAGTTTAAGGTAAATTTAAAGTATTTTAAAGAATACATTTATATTAAACTACAATTAAGCATAAAATATTGTAAACAAATTCAAAAAAAAAAATAAGAAACTTTTTGATTAAATTACTAAATAATATCAATTGAAGTATTTTTTAAAGAGAAAAATTTTGAAATATAATTTAAAAATATTTTTTAAAACTTCACCAAAAGCTTTTATTTTAAAAATATAATTGAAATAAGAATACAATAAAACTAAGAACATTTTGCTGAATTTAATGATTTACAATTATAAATATTACTAAATAGTAAAGAATAAATATACTTAAAATTTAAATGAGTGTAAACAGTAAGTAAATAAATTGGTTTAAGATAATTTCACATTTTTTAATTAAGTTTTTATAATAATAAAATATATAAATAGCACCTAAAAAGAAATAAGAATCAAAAAATTAAGAACTTTTTGCTGAATGCAATAATTTACAATTTTAAATATTACTAAATATTAAAGAATAAATAAAATCAACTTGAAATTTAAATAAATGTAAACTGTAAGTAAATAAATTAGTTTAAAAAGATTTCAGACATTATTTTAATTATAATAAGATAAATAAATAGCTCATATCTATATAAATAAATATGTTAACTATTAAATCAAATAGATTTATTTTAAATATCAAAAAATGAAATTGAATAGTATTTTAATTTTTCGAGAGCTAGGCAATACTCTTATCTAAAGAAGATTAAAAAATTAATTGATTTCAGGAAGAGAAAAATAAAGGTTCTGTTTAAAAAAAGATATTAATTAATTAGATTTTTTTTTGATGAATAGATTTTTTTATTTATTTGAAATAATCATATTAACTTCTCTTTTAAAAGTATTTTATTTACAATCTTTCAATAAAAAATTATATTTTTTACATTTTATTTGCAATCAATTCAGCTATTTTTTCATAATCTATAAAAAAAATTAGAATCTAAAGCATTACTGTTCAAAGTAACTTTTAAGATAGATTAATGGATAGATAGATATATAGAAAGATATATTCAAATTAATTAATAAATTATTGTATTTTCTTAAAAAATTTAAAAGTTAATAGTAATAGACAATTTGTATTTTTATAGGTGATATCACCTAAATTCGAGCTAATTTTAATAGAAATTATTTAATCAAAAAATTAAGAAATTAAAAAAATAAAATAGAGTAGATAATAACTAAATACTTTGTTTAAATGTTGATAATATTAAATTAAGAAATAATACACATAAAATTATGTTTTTTGATACGAATAGTTTGCTAAGTAAAAGTTTAGTTTAATAGAGTTGAGTTATTAGTTTATATATTAGTAAGTAGTTGTTTTTAGTGATAATGTATATTTATATTTTTAAAATCATTACGCTATTTTTTAGACTAATACTTCATTTTCGATACTTGATATATCTAGAATATTTGAGAAGTTTACTTATTTTAAGTTATTTTTTTTTTGGCACAGCAATTGTGTTTGTTAAACTTGTGGGTTTTCACTAAAATATTGCTAATTTTATTTTAAATTCTAGTTAAAATTCTTAAAAGAAGAGCTTTAAAGACTTTGCACTATAATTGGATTGTTTAGTGAGCAATTGATATTTTTTTAATTATTTTCTAATGCCTCTTTTGATGTATTGTCTAGTAGGTAGCTTTTTAATTAAGTTGTAGAGCGGCGGTTTCGGAATTAATTAGAGATATATTTTTAAGGGAGACATTCTTTTTGATTATTTTCTTTCAGAACTAAATGATAATTTATGAATTTTTCTTTCTGATTTTTAGCTGGATTTTACATAAGAAGGTGTTTAATATGACCAAGTTTTATAGTTTGCTTCTTTTTGGTATGAATTGCTTCAGAAGAACTTTCTTTTGAAAGAGTCTTCTATGCTTCAATATTAGAATTGCTTGTTGGTGAGGGATCGTTTGAATTCTTAGAGCTGAATTAATTTGATAAGTTATTTAATGAAGATGGTTGTAGAGTTTTTTCCTAGCAAGCAAAAGTTGCCTAAGTAAAACTTAAATTATTCTTTACATCGCTACAGTTTGCATTTTTAGTGCTGCAAAGAAGTATGTTTATCATTGGATATTAGATTTTGCTTTCAGATTAATTATTTTGGTTTTAAAATTTATTGTTGTTCACAGATTGAGATCTTACTTGTTTCAAAAACTTTTATGGTCTTCCTTTGACTATAAATTTAGCCTTTTCAGCACATTTTTCAGTATTTTAATCTACTTTAAGCTGCTGTTTAGTGTTGGGAGTGCTGAAAAATTTATTTTAAAAGAGCTATTTAGTACTTTCTTAAGTATTTGCTTCATGAAGGTCGATATCTGTTTCTTCACTACTGATAGGAAAGTTTTGATTGGTGCTTTCTTGAGAATTTAATGCTTTTATTTCTTCATAAAGAATTTGACTTTTTTAAGATTTTATTGGAGATTTGGTTACTCTTTGTTAATTTTTTTCAACTTTCTCAAAAGCATGAGGCATTAGCTTATGTAAATTTTTAATGTGCTGCGATTATATATTTTCAGAGGCAAATTTTCTTTTTGCTACTATTTATTTTAGCTTTGAAGAAATGGATTATTCATTTGAGTTATTTTATTAGCATTCTTCCTCAACTCCTGTTGCTTGTTTGCATTTTTGAGAGATGTGATTATAATTTAAGTCCACACTTTAGCGAGATTAGTTGGGAGCTGATTGGTAATTGCTCTAACTATTTTTATTTATTTGAAAGATAAGTCTAGATTTGGGTAATAAATCTAAATCAAATTCTTCCCCACTGGATGAACAACTTTCATCATCTTCAATAGTATTTTAGGTTTGAATTTTTTATCTTGAGCTAATTAGCTTCTTTTTGATTTCTTAATTTTCTGGTTATTTCTGTATTTTGATGAGCTGTTCTTCAAAATCTGCATTACCCTCCTCTTTCTTTAATATTTCAGGCTGATTTTAGCGATTCAAGCTTTAATATTATTTTAATTCATCATAATTTATTTTTTATACACTTTCAGTAGCTAATAATTATGTGTTTATGCTGTTATGAATAAAAACACTATAATTAGAGTTTTGTCTCTGTAACAAATCTTTTGCTAACAAGTTATTATGGTTTGTTGTTGAGTGAAATTAATCGCTAATAAATTAACTTTTCTATTAAACTTCTAGTTTTTGATTAATTTGTTGATTTTATTGATTTATTTAATCTATGTGATTTTATACTTTTTTATTTAGGCTATGAATGCTTTGACTGGTATTTAGCTGATTTATAATTTCTTGTGTTTTTGTAGAAATCTTTACACCTTTTTTGTCGTTTATTTTCTCTTGCTAAGAGTTTAAATATTTTTTCTTGTAAAGATCAATGAAACTAGTTTTTTAAATCTACAATTTTAAATCAATCAGCTGCTGAACGTAGTCATAATACTAAGGTTTATCTTTATTTTTATCTAATTTTTCATTCATTTGGTTTTCTTTCTAGATTTAGGTTTTCACATAGTTTTTGAAGCTAAATTTTTATGAGTCAGTTTTGACTGCAAACTTAGTTTCAGATAAATTACGTTAAATGCACTCTTTCTTGCATGAAGCTGATCTCTATCCTTTCGCCCTCTCATTTGAGATAGTATTTTCTGCTGAAGACATTAATCAGATATTTTATAAATAAGCTAATTATACTTTATGATTTTCAATAAATGTTTCTTTATGAAGTTGGAACAATGTATTGACTTAGCTGTATTTTTACAAAATTTATTTATCAATTTAATTATTATGAAAATTAATTTACCAATTTATTTACTTATTCTGAGATATCAATATATCAATTTACTTCTTTTACTAATTTAATCAAATAGTCGAGTGACTTTTTAATAGAAGTAATATATATACTAAAAATAAATTCTAATAGTCTCAAAAATTAATTAATTTCAAAATATCTACAATTTATATATTTGCCTACCATCTAATACTTCGAAAAGAAAAAAGCTAATTATTCCTTTTACACATTTATTTAATAATGTAAGCAGCTCTTTATCGCTGCTATAAAAACTAAAAAAATTTTATTCAATTCTAATGTTGAAGTTAAGAGATTGTAATGATTATTTAAAAAGCTAATTGAAATTTTTCTAATAGTAAAATTTTAAGGAAAATTGAATATTTATTTAATTTTCTGATCAAAAAAAAAGAGATTGCTAAGATAAAAAATAGTATTTCTCATATTAGATTTCAAAATAGAGCCCGCCCAGCCAACTTACATTATTACTTTTTATTGTTTGAATTAATATTTTCTCACATGTAATTAATTATTATTATTATTATTGCTTAATTGATATTATTACACACTTTATTCACTTGACCTATCTAGTTACTCCAATAATTTTTTTTATTATTTGATTTTATTTTCAAATTAAAAAATAATTTATTCTCAAACGATTAACAAATTTATATTCTTCAAAGAAGAGATCAGCGCAAAATTTCATAATTGTTTCAGAGGTAAAATAAATACTTTTATTTTAATAATATTAAAAAAATCTATTAGACAGCTCTCTTAATTTATGTAAAGATAACTTATTTAAATGAAAATCTTCAAGAAGATCTTCTGTTAAACACAAAAATATTGAATAATTACATATCATTAAGTGATTAAATTACTTATTTATATTGTTATTTAGAATCTAACTCAATTAAATTTAATTAAAGGAAAAAATTAATATTGAAATACATATTCAAAATATTTGAATTTCAATTCCAAGTACAAATTTAAAACTATTTAATACGCATTAACATATATTATTTGAAAGGACAGTGTCTAAAATTATTAAATCATATTTTATCAGTAAAAATAAAATTAAATTTTTATTTGGCTATTAACTTATTAAGCCACCATTATAAAATTATAAAAAGTTTAGTTGATTCTTGAAAAAATTACAATATAAATATTTTAATATTATTTAATGTAATTGGTCTAGCAGTAGTCTAAAATAATCATAGATTTCTTTTAAAGTTATCAAGTCATAGCCAAAAAAACAGTAAGTATTAAAAATAAAATCTAACGCTTAACTAAAACTTTAATTTTCCACAAATTAAAAAAAATATCAAAAAATAAAACTCAAAAAAAATAAATAGCAATAGATTACATACAAAAAGTAAGACATAAATTACTAAGACATGTGATAAATTTAACCTTTAAAGGAATTAATTTTCACTTGTATAACTAATTAATTTTGCTCATAAATAAATTCAACAAATTTATACTTTAAAATAAACTATAAAAAAAATATTTTTAACCTATTATTATTTAAATCAATTTAAAAAGTTCTTAGCCCAATAAAATAAAAAATATTTTTATTTAAAATGCATAATAAATATTAAAAATTAAAAATTATTAGAAGTAATAAAGTAAAAAATAATTTATTTATCTTATTAAAAACTATTCTTTCCATTAATTATGATATGCTTTAGATTAAAATATTTAAATATCTATTTATTTTCCAAAAGAAAATACTAAAAAGTAATAAAATATTTACAATAATTGAATATTTGTTTAAATCAAGCATAAAATTTTAAGAAAGCAAGAAACCTTTTTAATAAAAAAATATTTGAAGATTAACAGATTTTATATATTTAAAATATTTCTTCTTTTTTATAATAAATTGCTGATTTATAGATTAAAATGTGATTAATACAAATATTAATTTTACAATAATTCTTTTCTATACAAAAAAACTAAAATAATTGATTATCGATTTGAATTGATTTGAATAAATTCATTCTAAAGGAAAGGAGCTAAAAATGAATAATAATAAGAACAATAGCTCATTCACTTCTTTTAAATAAAAATAGTATTATCAAACATATCATAGTGTTATTTTAGTTATATAAATTTAAAATATAAAATATATTTTTCTTTGTCTCTGTTAACGTGTTTTAATATTATAAAATTCTATATTTTAGATAATTATATAGAGCAAAATTAGATAAATCTGATAAAATTTAAAAATTATTTAGAATCTTATTACTAATTTGAATTCCAAAAAGAACAATTTATTTCTAGATACTTCTCCTTTTCCTTTGATAATAAAAAAACTTTAAAAATAGAATTTTCAATCAAATTATATCGAGTTAACTATTATTAATTTTATTTAAATATTTAAAATAATACTTATTAATAATGCAAATTTACTATAGCTCATTAAAATTAAATATAAAAATAAATTAATCAAACTCAGTCAGGCCACATTTATTTAAAAATTAAAAACCAAAAAAAAGTATTTATTTTAATTATTAGCTAAAAATATTCATAATAAAATTATCTTAATGAGTGCATCCATATTTTATTAAAAGGGTATGCCTTTGTGAATTATTTGTTAATAGTTAATTTATTTTTATTTACTTATTTTTATTTATTTGATTATTTTAATTTGTTTATATTTTATTTATTAATATTTTTATTTATTTATTAGATCATTTTTATTTTATTTTTATTTTGTAATTTATTTTTTATCTTTATATTATTAAATTTTAAGCTATAATCTCAATCTTGCATTAATTTAAAAATTATAAATGAGTCTCATTGTTCTTATCTGGGCTAGATTAATCTATAAAAAATACTTTTTATATATGAAGAGAGAACGTGAATAAGAATAGAATGGATTTTTTATTTTTTTCGACATAGTTCTGCGTCAAACTGAAATTAGTTGAATTAATTTCAATTTTGTTCAGAAGGTTTATGAAATGAAATTATTTATTTCCTATTTATTTGTTTATTTAATTCTTCTTTTTATGAAAGTACTCAAGCAACCTTTATGATGTCATAAAGCCTATGGATTAAAAACTTAATTTCATAAAAAGCCTAAAAACTTAAGTTGGAAAATGTCAAAAACTTATAGGTAATAAATATTTCATTTGTTTAAGTAGTTCTTAGAGAATTCTCACTGCTTCCACCTAATTTTTATAATTGAAGTTACCATTCTATTTATTTTTTTTTAAATTTTTTGTTTTTTTGTTTGTTTTTCTTCTTCTTTTTTTGAATTTAATTTAAAAATTTTTTAATAATTAATTATATATTTTTTCCTTATTAAGAAGTTGTAAAAATTGTTTCCTAAAATTAATTAATTTCTTTTGAGAAGGAAAAAATTAATTAAAATCTAATCAACCCTTTTTATCATAATCCTAATAATAATTTTGTGTGTGGGGAGGTTTGTTTTAAAAAATTATTTATTTATTTTATATTTACAATTTAATTGTATTATCTGTTGTCTCTTTGTGTTTGATATTTACTTTAGAGACTCCAAAAATACTCTTGCTTTCTAATTCCAATTTATAAAAAAGAAGAGAAAAAATATCTTCAAAAATCAAATTGTATTTTAAATTATAATTTTTATTTTAAAACTCTCCTTAAAGTTTAAATTTATTTTTTGAAATATAATAATGTTTAAACTATCTCATCATAAGGTATTAGTAGTTAGAAGGATAAAATTAATTTTAGTTTTGGTATATTTTTTATATTTTTAGTTTTTTATTTGCTTGGTCATTTCATAAATTTAAATTTATGATTCGAGTAAAGTTTTATTTAGTAAGTTTGATAATTTAGATGGATTTAGTATTTTATAATAAGAAACATGTAATTTAAATCATTTTGTAAAATCGTATTAGATTTTTTGAAATTTTGTTATTTTTAAAAATATTAAAATTAATAAATTTATTGTTTAAAAATGAATGTAATAGAATTTGTTTTAAAAAATAAAAATCTAAGCATGAATTAAATAATGTTAACTCTATTCCACTTAACCTGAAAATTCATAGAAATATTTCTGAATTTTTAATAGAGAGAAATTATATAATAGATGATGATTACTCTCTTAAAATAGAAATATAAAAATCTTGTAGCTTTAACATTTAATTAAACGAGTCTATTTAAATTAAATTAAAATGAAATTAAAGAGTGTCATTTTAAAAGGATAATTTTCAAATAATTACGCGTTAACCGACTTATTTTTTCTATAAGAAAAAATTTTAAAGTAGTTAAGTATTTCAATCATAAAAATAGAATAAATGAACAAACAAATCAATATATTCTTTCACTAAAAATCTGATTATCAGAAAATTTTTAAATGAATATTTAAGAAATTATTTATAAAAAAATATTTTTTGTAGCTATTACTGCAGTATTCGTTATTTCATTTTTTGTTAATATTAATTATCTAACGTATCAAATCAAAAATTGAAAAAATAGTTAATTAAATATTACTACTTTTGCTGGCTGCTGACTTGGATTTTGAATAGATTTTGAGTTTTTTAAATATCAAAGATTATAAATATTTTGATTTCTTTAAAAAAGACTTTATATTTAAAATAGACTAATAATTTTTAGTCTTAATAAATCAAAAAATATGATATTAAATATAAAGATCATAAATGGATAATGAATGATCTATTTGTCTGATTGATCAAAAAAGTTTTAAATATATGAAAAATGTGAAAATTTAAACAACAAAAATCATAATCAATGTACCTATGAATTGGTCGATCTAAGAAATAATGATTGATTGAATGAATGAATGAATGAATGAATGCTAATGATTCTAATGGAATTAAAAAAATCAATTAATTTTTTATCCATATTACCCATAGAGTTTAATGGATAAATATAAATTTCTTATACCGTATTGAAATAATCAAACGGGAAGAGATGATAATAAAATAATTAGAAACAAGAATTTAAAATAATCAAAAAAAGAAAGTAAAGCGATACAAGCTCAAAATAATAAAATAGAAAAGCCAAACTAGATAGAAACATCATAAAAAAAAATAAAACAAAAGGAAAATGAGTTCTCAAATAAGCCAATCAGTAAAAAGGGGAATTGCTTTATTTGGCAACAATTTTGTTTTGCCATTTGAAAATTAAACTCACTTATCAAATTGTCTTTCTGTGCAATACCTTTAATTTTGCTAAAAATATAACTCTACTAATCAATAAAAGCAAGCCCTATAAAACAAGATGAAGTAAACAATAACTACTCCCTTCTAATAATCAAACACTAATTCTCCATCCAAATCTCAAATGATTACTTCTCCAAAATATTATGACTACTTAGTCTTAGCACCAAGAAAGGCTGAGGAAGTTTAAGTAAATAACTAAAGGGAATATTATGACATTGCTACAATAGTCACTCTATAAAAATGCGCAGAAACAGGAGCCATAATAGCCTTAAGCAAAGGAGTTGACTCATTGGTTAGAATAAAAAAGAGTGGAACTGAAAATAGATTTGCAGCTAAATATACTTCATGCAATCGTCTTATTGTAGAAAATGATCCCCATATTCGTAGTAGTTCCATAATTAAAGCCAGTGATCTTCCATTTGTAGTTAAAGATCAAAGAAAATTATTTTTCTGCGACTACGAAACCATTCATAATGATGTTCCTAAATATTCTGAAAAGGAAAAAGAACATTTTGTAAGAGCAATTTATGATTTGGCACAAAAAACTAACTTATAAAACTTCAGTTAAAAAGAATTCCTTGAAGATTTAGCTGCAGACCCTAAAAGTTCAATGTTCCCTCGCTTGCAACTTTTCTAAATCCTAAAGCATTTAGACTACAAATACTATTTCAATAGAGACAGTAGTGAGTGGTTGGATTAAAAATATGAAATTCTTAAAGCAAAGAATGATGAATAAATTCTTTAGTTTTTGCATTTCGTATAGAAATAACTGACTGAATGATGAGTTCATTCACCAAATCCCTCTTAAAAATCTTAATCTTAAACCTAAAAAACAAAAAAAAGAAGTGTTAGAATTAATTTAATTCATCTTCTTTCATTTAACTAATTTATCAACCAATCAATTAGTCATTAAAACAAAACAAAGAAAAAAACAAAAAACAAAAACAAAAAAACAAAAATGCAAATAAATAATACTGTTCAATTCGACTCATAAACAATTTACTTAATCTAAATAATACTCCATAATTTATTTCCTCAGAGGAAAAAAAAAAAATACAGATTAAATAAAACAACTTTATATAAAAAATATTATTCAATTATTATCTCAAGTTTCTCTATACTTTATATTTTATAATATATTATTTAATTATTTTTCTATAATATTTTATTAACTTTCATAAAAATAATTAAAATATCCTTAATCAAAAAATTAAATATTATTTCCAATTTTAAATTAAATTTAAGATTATTTTTATTATTTTATTGGATAAAAAATATTTGTATTTTTGTAAGTACATTTGATAGAAAATTAAAATATTAAAATTGATTGATTTTTTAGAGAATAAATTTAGATTTCTTTTGGCTTAAATATTCTTTTATTTTAAAATTAGTTAAGCGATGTAAATAATATTTTATTTGTAAATTAATAAACACCTTTATAACTAAAATAAAATATTTAAATATTTTAACTTAATTTAAAAATATTTATAAATATGTATATTAAATTATTTAAATTTTAAAAAATTAAAGATAGATACAAAAAATCTAATCTATCTTAAATAAAAATTATATTTTCAAATTAATTAAAAAAATTTTATTTGTTTAATTTATCAAATAAATAAAGATTTGAGTTTAAATAAACTTATAATTTTTGTAGACTTTTTAAATATTTTTTTTAAGAATTAAAATAATATAATGTGTGTATGATATCAGTTTGTCTTAATCATTTGATTAAAAAAAGACTATTTGCTTTATCCTATGATCTGATTAATATATTTAATATTTATTTCTTTTGCTTTGGAATTTGTTCATTAAAAACTAACTTTTAAAAAAATCAGAAAAGAATCTTTTTATTTTTGAGGTTGAGATAAATTGACGATCATTTATTTAAAAAATTATTATCAATTAATTAATTCATAAAATAATTAGATAACTCACTTCAATATCTAAATTTGTGTGGCTGATTTTAATCATGTTTTATTTTAAATTATGATTGAAAACGATAATTAATTAAATATTGATTAGGCTTACTAGTGGCTAAATCATACTCTCATTAAATAAGATAATTTAAAAAAGTAAACAAATATTCAATTTTTATAAGTATGTTTACAATTTTATAGCTAGAAAACAATCTAAAATTTTTGTATATTCTAATAGAAAAATAATATATTTTTTATAGTTAATTTCTATTTAATTTAAACATATTTAAAAAAAAAGATTAATTAATTTTTAATGGTAAAAATGAATGACAAATATTAATTTAAATAATTATAAATATTTATAAAAGTTTTTTTGATAAAACAAAGAAATAATTTGAGATCAATCTTGACTTAATGTTCGTCTTTATTAATTAAGAAAAAATATAATCATTCTTAATTAATAGTTTTATTAACGATTGTCTTAAATTTACCACTATTGTCTTCAATTAATTGGGTAAAAAATACGGAATTTTTTCTTTTATTAAATAATATATCTTAATTCAATCAAAAAAGATATTTGCACAACCTGAATTATTAGGCCAATTATCTCTATCTAGTCTCTAAACTAGAGTGCCCGTTTTTCCTTCTAGCCATTGTTAGATTGTATACCATATTGTGAATTGTGAACCTGAGGGAATAGCTAATTTAGGATCGTAAATATAATCACTCTAAATTATACCATGGAAAGGACAACTAACTAACCATGATCCCCAATTAGTTTTTTATTTTAAAATCGCACTTACTTAATTATATTCCTCATCTTTTAAGAGATCCATAAAATTAAGAGTTTCTTAATTACAATTATTAAAGTCATTGACACATTCGAATTAATAAATACTATAAAATTGCCAAATATCATATAGAGAACCTACAATAAAAGTATCTACATTAATGAACTTCCATGAGTATTCAGGTAATAAACATTTATAAAACTCTTGATCTGCACCATATTGATACTAACATTCTGGGAAAATGGTTGCATAGTCATCATTTTTCAAAAATTCACCAAAAATTTGTAAAGTCTTATGGAATGATTCAGGTTAATCAAGAAAATACCCTGAGTCAGGAATTGCTTTTATTTGACTATTTTTCAAAACCCTTTGCAAATAATTACTATATTAGTAAGTTCCTAGTGCTCCTGCAGAACCTCCTGATAACACAACTTCTTTATTTTAATCCAGATTTCTATTTTATACTAAATCATTTACAATTGCTTTTATTAAGCCTTAGCCTCTAAAATACAATTATTTATCTTTATAAGTAACTGTCTTATCCCCAATATAAACGCCTCCATCGCAAGCAGGGACTACAACAACATTCCAGTCCCCAAATATGGGATTTTTATCTGAAAATATTCCTTGTATTAGTTCAGAAGGCAGCTTGGAAGGTCTATCAATATTAGATCCAATCTCTGTAAATGATCTTTAATAACAGTTTTCTAGTATTTCTTCAACAGTTGAAGCTGCACAGTTCCCCATACCAATCAAGTAAATTAAGGTATTATTAGTAATACCTTCTGAGTAATAATACCCTGGAAAACTTCCATCCAAACAGCGAGCATCTTCATTCGTAGGAATACTTGTGAATACCAAATCTCTATACACCTAAAAATTATGCTATGAAAGATATCTGACAAATCCGATTAGCACAAATAAACTAAAAATTAAAGCAAGTAAAATCCTGATGGTTTTCATTTTGTTGTTAAGTGAAAAAGTATTCTCTAACTCTTTATTTATTTTCTTATTAATATTTAGATTTGATTTTTGGGAAATTATTAATAAAAAATTAATTATTTTTACAATTTTTAAATACTAATTGCTTTTGTACGTTTAATTTGTATTTCCTTTTCGAATTCTTATATAATACTATTAGTATATAAGTTACGTATGTTTAATCCTTTAGATAACTAAACATTTAAAGAATTGTATTGTTATAAATTCATTTAAAAATTTTTCTTTCCAAATATTTTTCTTGATCCGAATATTTATTAATTAGCTTGATCCTCATAGATAATCTCTTAATTATCTATGTGATGAACATATAATTTATAACAAATTTTAAATACCAAGTGTGTGAATAACTATTTTATTGCTTTCATGAATAAATACATAAAATATAAATATATTTTTTCATTTATATTTTCATTTGATAAATATAATTTTACACAAAATATATTAAATAATTAATGCTAACTTTTTATTGTCTAATAATAAAAATTAATTTTAATTTTATAATATTTTTATTTATTTATAATTAATCAATCATTTTGGAATTTAATCAATCTTTCAAAGTGTTCTATTTTTGATTATCTCTTAATTTAATCTACTTATTGACTATTTTCATCAAGGAAAAAAAATGAGCCTTCTTATATTCTATTTAAAGATTAATAAGGATCTTGTTTATAAATTCCATATTCTTAAATTGATAAAAATTATGAATTCATGTGAATATTACTTACACAAAATCCTTCTTTATCTAAATTTTTATCATTAAGATAAGGTTACTAAATATGAACCAAACTTGAAGCAAGTAAGTTTTAATTAATATACTTGATGATTTCATTTTAATTTTTAACTTCTTTTTTGCTTTGAAATAATTTTTAGGAAATAGAATCAAGGATATAATTACAATGTGAGATCAGAGAAGAGAGCGAACTAAAGCAGCAAAAAAGCTTTTAAAAGCAATTTTATTATTTAGATAAGCTTATTTTAAATTAGAATATTTAAGAGTGGAAGTATTCCCTGATTTTTATTTTTGCTTAGTCATTATTATTTTATTTTTCTAAGTTTGCTTTATAATTATCTTATTTATTCTACTTTTTATTGATCTAAAAATAGTTTTAAAATTAAAATTCATACACCTAATTCCATTTATTCATGTAATTGCGATATTCTGTAGAAGGTATTCCTGATTTTTAATAAGTAATGAATTCATCTACCAAATCAGAAAGAATACAATTAATAACAAGTTTTGCATTTTCAACATTAGTAAGTGATCTTGTAAAAAACAAAAGCTTCTTTTCAAAAGATAGAAGTTTAACCAGACAAAATTTATCAACAGAATCTACTTCTTATTTAAGTTCAATATAACAACTTCTTTCAATAACTTATGCTTAATCTTTTCTCAAGGCTTCGACTACTTTAACTGATCCAATATTACATAATTTAGAAAATATTGAATCCTCTATAATTTTACCTCTATAATTATATATAATTTTGTGGTAATATCTACAGTTCTTTTGTTCAATTTCTTTTAATATTTTTTAGCATCTCTGTTAAATTAGTTTTTCCTCTAAAACACAACAACAGTAAAGCTTTTCCAAGTAGTTAAATTAATAAGCTTGATGCTATTATCTTATCGTTAACTACTCCTACTCTTTAACATTCATTCTTTTAATCAAAGTATCTAAGAAATTTCTTGAAAATCTTTTTTTAACTATGTCAAAATCTTCTACTTTCTTTTCATATAAATTAATGTCATCTAAATTTTATGAAGTTAGCCATTTGCTGTCATACAAATTTTTTTAGCCAAGGATATAGTATTAGATTTAATGGAATTTTATAGAATTATAAATATTTTTCTCTCCTATTTGCTTGACTGCATTATGGGTAGCACCGTTTATTAATTTATAATCATTGCATAAAACAATTATAACCTTATTCTTATAAAGCTCTTTAAAAGATTTGTCAGCATTACCTACATAATCAAAATTAAATCCTTGATAATTTGATATATTCCAAATATCAACATGAGAACCAAAAGAATAAGCAAACTGCTTTATTTGCTCGATTAATGCTCTCTTAGTTTCTGAATTAACTATGAGTAAATATTCTGAATTTTCTTTATTTTCATATGGCTGACTTAATTAAATAGCAAATTTTCTTGTTTAAATTGTCTAGTATAAATTTTATTAATTGTGATAGTAACCTAAATCTAAATGAACAGACATCTCATAGTTAGTATTGTATGCTAGATCTAAGTCAACGAATTTAATTGTGCCACTTATTATTTTTTTTTCATTTGGCATTAAGGATGTAACAAACTCTTAATCAAGTAAAATATTAATATTATCTTAAGGTTGTGGGTTGATATAATTATCACTTGAGTAGGATAAATTTGCTTTCTCCAACGAATTTCTTCTTTCTTTATCTTAATCGATAATTGCTTTTGGATAAAATTAAGCTACATAGCTTGTATTATTTAAAACTACTCTAATATTCAAAAGTCTTTTTGATATAGTCTCGAACCCTATTGGCTTGCTTGATAAATTTGCTATGCTAAAAGCGATCGGTGCCTCTTCTTTTAATTGAATTGATCTTAATACTTAAATTTCTGATAACTCAACTGGATATCTGATTTGATACTAAGTTGCATATTTAGAAATATTTTCAAATGACTTGTTCACTCTTTCTACTGTAGCCTTGTAATTTAAATTTGTTGTAACTCTAAAAACAGAATCAATAGCTGGTTAGAGCTGCTCATTAATTTGAAATTTGAGTGGGCTCTATAATTGATATTTCTAACCTGAATTAATGCTTTAAGCAATATAGACAGAGTCACTCTATTTAAAAGTTAAGTATTAATTACTTACTAAAGATAATTGAATTCTTTAATGAGTAGGAGTAGGCATTCCTCCATCGTTAGCAAGGCTCATTTAATTTATTTACAAATACTCACCTGGTTCTATAATATTATCATCTGATTACACTTTTTCTACACTATTAATACTTAAATTATATCTACTATAATATTTATTTCCTTAAACTACATAGTAAAATGAGCCATCTGATCCACTTTACCCGCTCCTTCCAATATTTCCAGAGCGCCCACCTATACCAGAATGTCCATCTCTTCCTCCTTGATTTGAATAAGAATTAGTATTTCCTTCGCTATCAGTTTCAGTCCAAGAATAGCTACTTCCTCCAGATCCACCTGATCCTCCTCTTCCTCCAAAGCCTCCTTTGCCTCCAGAACCTCCTGCACCTCCATAACAGATATAGCTACCTACAATCATTAATATATCCATATCCTCTTAATTTACTCTGACTGATATATTAGCACCATTACCACCATCTCCTCCATGGCCTCCATCTCCTCCATTCCCTCCATTTCCTCCATTACCACCATCAGTTCCACATGAACTTTGAGTTGCATCATTTCCCCTACATCCATCACCTCCACGTCCTCCGTTACCTCCATCTCCTCCTCTACCTCCGCTACCACCACATGCAGAAAATGTAATGCCATTACTGCTATTTCCCAAAGGTAAAGTAGTCCTTTTATTCTAATAATTTGTTTCAATTATCACAATTTGATCTCCTTAAGCACTCATTTACAAATCTAAAGCACATGCATTACTTCCTTTAGAGCCCTATCCTCCATTAGATCCATTCTATCCATCTTTTCCACTACTACCAGAAGAACCACTACTTCCTCTATAACCAGATTTCCCACTTTCTCCATCATAATTAAAATGAATCATTTTTAATTCTCTTTTATCCTAATAATTAATAATAAGTTTGATTTTTTTATAAATTGGATATTTCTACAAATTTTATATTTGAGATCAGAAGGTAATATACTAATTCGTTTTAACATTGATAATAAAAAGCAAAAATATATTAATCACAATAATAATTAGATTATTTAAGCTAAAACAAAGCAAAGAAATATTAAAATAAATTAAAAAAAATGATTGAGAGCTTTATTGAAATTATTTTAAAACAAAGATGAATTAATAAAAAGAAATTTTAATATTTAATTTATATACCACTAATTAACTATCTAAAATCTATCTAAAGCATAATTATTCTTTAAAAGATTTTTTTTTTAATATTATTTTGAAATGATTTTGATTAATAATCTTTCATTTTTAATCAGATTTCATTTAAGTTAAAATGAGTAATGAAAACATTCTTATTTTCTTAAGAAATATTTGATTTAAATTTTCACTTCCAAAACTTCCAAAATTAAGGACATAAGCTTAATTTCAAAATTATAATAGATAAATTATCATTAATAATTATTTATATATATACATAATAATATAATACTAAATAAATAGCATAGGATGATTGGTAGTTTGCAATTATTTGCGTACAAAGTAAAAAAAAGCAACAATTTAAACTACAATTAAAAAGAAAATTAATTATCTATCTTAAATGATTTAATAGGTTATTATTTTATTTTATACATTAGAAAGAATTATGAGTTAAGCTTTAGAATAAAATATCTTTGGGGTTTATTCACCATAATAATCAAATATGTTAAGAAATTCAAATGATATTACGTGGACTCCTCTTTAGATCAGAGCAGTAACAGATTTAGATTTAGTATATGTTTCATGTGGGTTCAGAGGAATTAATGTAATTAACAAAGAAGGCAGCTAAATACTCTATTCATAGAACTTTAATAATGAGTATATTTAATCATTTGAATCTACTTCTAATGGGTAGTATATTTTTATAGGAATATCATAATTTCTATTTGTATACCATTTGCAATTTAATAATTTATCTTTATCCCATTTAGAAATGTAGAACTTTTATTTGGTATAAAATATAACTTTTCAGACAGATCTTTTGAACACTAATTACAATTAACAAAGTGAACTGCTTGCAGTAGCTGTATAAACAGGAAATGTTTTCCTCTATAACACTACATTTAAGAACCAATTTCAATTATTATCAAAATTTAGCACAGGCTCCAATTTGATAAATAGCTTATTTATTTCTCAAGATGGAAATTGGCTTTATATAGCAAGTGATGTTAAGGGTGTATTTATGATGAGTATAAAAAAATAATAATTATATGAAGATAATAATAATATAAATGATACTTCTGTGAAATTAATAGTTGCTGCTCATGGAACTTTTGGATTAAGGGCATAATAAGTTATTGTATCAAAAGATAATCACTATATTTATGCTTTTGATTTCTGGTATGGATTTTTTTACACAAATGTTGAAGAAGTAATTAAAAGTTAGGAAAATTAATACCCAATTTAATTATCTTTTATTTCCTATTGGCCTTTTTAAGACATACAAAGAGCTTGCTAAACTATTCTTATTAATCAAGACGAAAGTCTACTTTTTATAGGAGTAAGATAGCATGGAATTATAATATTAGATATAAGAAATAGAACATAAATTTAAGTTTTTGAATTTATAAGGCTAGACTCTCTCATTTTTTCAATAGCACTTTCAAAATAAGAAGATTTTTTATACGTGACAACTTCAGATACTATATTAACTTATACAAACGATTAGCCTAACTTAAATTAAGATCTCCCTAATTTATTTAACATTCATTAAATAAAATATCAAGATTTTCTAAATTCAATATTTAAATGGAGATTTTATGTTGATGTTACTAATTAATATCTAATAGGTTCATTTGATTTCGATGGATTGTATATTTTTCCATTTTATAATGATCCTTACAAGTTTGATGTCAACAATTATGTATCCTATGACATTTAAAATGACAGTGTATACTTTGATAAGGGAAATAAGTATTTAGTTATCCCAAGATATTTTTCAGAATAGAACATCGGAATTTATTAGTATGCACCTCTAGATGACGAAAGTGATTAAAATATTTCTTTTACCAATATGAAGCTAATAAAAAATTATAGCGTTAGCGAGCTTGAATTATCAGAAATGATTGTTTTTAGTTTAGATGCTAGGTATGCTGTCTAAACATATAATGTAGGTTTGATAATTTATGACTCAATGGATATCTTCAATATAAAAGTTCTATCAAGATGGAATAATTTAGATTTTATGATTGGATAAAATGAAGGTGCTTGCTTCACAAAAGATAATAAATGGATATACAGTACAATTAGATTTTTTGGAGTATATCTTTTAAATGTTGAAGATAAAACTAATCCTATTCTTACTGACTATGTTAGAACAAATGGAGGAGAAAATGTTAAAATATCACAGTCATCAAATTTTATTTACTTACTTGATGGCGTGAAAGGATTTGCAATAATAGATGCTAATTATGCTCCTAAATTGTAAATAATCTCCAGAATAAAATTAAGTGGATACACAATAGATATGTTATTGCTACAAGAGGAAAAATATGTCTTAATAACTCAAAGTTATAGGGGATTTCTAACTCTCATTGATATAAATGATAAAAAATATCCTCAAATAGTTTATACTATCAATTATGGTAATTAATTCAGCATGGCTTTATGTCTTACGCAAACAACTTAGCATCTATTTGTATCAACTAATGGAGGAATGCTTGTACTTCCAACATCTAGTTAAGTGTAAATACATACAAAAGTAAACTTAATTAATTAAAATAATCAAACTGGATAAAAACAAATTATAAAACTTGATAAAATAACTTAAGAATTTAATAAATATGGTCTTAATCTTTATCAAGAGTATTTATTTTCTGTTGGTCAAAATATTTAGTTTGATTTTGCAATACTCTATCCTATAGATTCAAATATGTAAATTACAAGAATATTTTAATATATTAATGGATAAAGTCAATAAATCCCAAGTTTCTTTTAATTTAACTAATTTTAACAATCTGTTATATTTAATGTTGATAAGAGCTTAATTAATTTCAATTCAGCTAAACCCAACTTAAATATTTTGCTTATAAAAACAGTAATTCCTTTAAATTTAAATTCTTTTGTATTTAAACCTGAAGAGCTAGATGGTAAATATGCAACTAATACAACTTAATCTTAATTGATTTACCAATATCTTTGTGATAAGAACATAATAATCAATGGTATTCTTAATGATTTATACAATTTTCCCCCAATCAATTTAGAGTCTTAATTTTAGACTGAATTACTTGATCCATCAATTATACCTGAAAATAATTATTAGTAAATTATTTCTAAAATTACTGAGAGAATTTAATTAACATTAATGAAATCTTTTTACATTAACTCAATTAAGTTTTATGTTCAAACCTCATTATTTTTTGATAATTAAAATTCAATTTAATTTATACAAACTAATTCTTAAAATACAATTTTAATAACCTTGTCTATTTAGACTAGTGATGGAAAATTAATCTTCAAATCAAAATCAAATATAGCTTTTTAGTTATCAGAAAAATAAGATTAATTAGCAATCTCTGGAAATTTAGAGATCATCAATAAGGTGTTGCATAATAAAATAATATTCGCTAATAATACATAAATTACTGCATAAATATCTCCAAATATAACATTAACTATCCAAGACAATTTAAATTATCCTCTTACTGAATAGCTAAGCATTTATGATAGTTAGTTTATTATTATAAAGGAATAATTGAAAATTAGCAGTGATAATAATCTACAAAATTAGTTTAACTATAAATTTTAAGGAGGTATTGTTGATATTGAATCTGACATAACCTTCTCATTTAAATAAAACACATTTATAGTCTCTGACGTTTAAGATTTAACTTATTAATTTCTTTATCTTTAATCCCCAAATTAATATATTTAAATTCCATCTAATTTTTGGTTATTACAAATAAGTAGTAACTAATTACTATTTAAAGGCTCAACAACACAGAGTATGTATTAAAAATCTTACACATTTAAAATAATTGCCTCTGATGGATACACTAAAGCTGAAGATACTTTTACTATAAAAGTTAGCGGAATCCCTTTATCTTATATTTTGAATTTATTGCTTGAGATTTTTGGCCCTATTATTTTCTTTCTTAGCCTTTTTCGAAAGAGAAATATTTTTTTAAATGTTATTTTTGAAAAGACAGTAACTTTTTCTTAAGAAATAGCTATTATCGATGAGTTTTATCTTAAAAAAATAATTATACTAGGTGATATTTAAAAATAATCTAAAGATATTTTAAGCCAATTGTTTAATTAAATTTAAAACTTAAAAATTGTAGAGATAAATAAGAATTAAAAACAGGATAGAGAAACTAAAAATAAAAAAAATAATTTTCATTTATCCTATGAAGATGTTTTTGACAATTTACAAAATTAGGATGATTTATAGAAGTAAAGCTTCATCCTTTTGCCTAATCAAAATAATTAGTATCCATAAAATTTTGCAAAATTAATTCAAAATTTAAAGAAGCAGAAAGTACATATTGCTCATTCTACTTTAGAAAAAAGATATATGGATCAAAAAGGAAACATTCTTATGTCTGTTGTGATCAAAGACATATTAAAATATAAAATATATGAAACTAATAAATTAGTGGACTTTTAACAAGACATTAAGAATACTGATTCGAAAATATATAGAGCAATCAGAGCTTAGATAGCTAGATATTTTTTAAATTTAGATTAAAGATCATTCTTGCTTTATAATTATATAAAATAAATTTGCATAAAAACTCAAGGTTGTTAAAATGACTGGTTTAAAGCAATAGTTGATTTATAGTTTTAACATGAAAATGAAAATAATTATCTTTAAAGAAACATGACAACTTTCCCATAGTTAAAACTAAAGTATGGAGTATTATTACATATTTTTTAAATCTTTGAGTTGGTTCCATAACAATTTAAAGAACAAATAGATACTTTTGATTAATTCTTTTAAATATGCTAAGATTATATAACTTAAATCAATATATATCTGATAAGAGAAGTTTTATTTGCGGATGTATTAGGATTTTCTACTGAAGAACCTTCAAAGTTTAGAGTAGCAATAGGTTAATCGCTGCACATAGACTAATAAAATATCAAACAAATTATAGCACTCAAAAAAAAGAAAATAAGTAAATGGCTTAGACCACTTTTTTAACTTTTAAATATAGAATACTCTTAACATGAAATTTATAAAAACATGAGATTACCTTCTTGGCTTAACTTAGATTAAAGAAATGGAGTTATTATTTTATATGGAATACCTCAACTAGATGATATTGATGAATATCTTATAAGAATTTAAGATAACACAGAATATGTGATTCTATAGTTTTTGTTAAAAGTTAACCAAAATCAAAATAAAAAAAATAGTTAGAATGACATTGATAAGATATATGGAGTGACTAATGAGATTTAATATAAAAATAAATTGCCTTAACAGTAAAATAGATATTTTAATAACACATAAAATCAACATTTAAAAAGAAATTCTCTTATGATGAGGTTATAAAGAAAAAGTTTCCTTAAAAATAATTAACAAATAATCCTAGAACTATGTTAAATTCCATATCAAAAACCTGAAAAAAGTTATATTAATAAATTTAAAAATTGTAATAACTCTATTTACGGTTAAGAAGATGTCAATTCTCAATAAATTTCATAGTACGATGATAGGACTTTGCTAGGCAAACTTAATGATATCTAAACTTCTAATTTAAATACAACTGAATAACTTTTTGTCAAAAATTAATGAATAAATATATTAAAATGAAATATTAATATAGCCTCACAAGGAATTAAATCTATAAATTAGATTAATATAATAAATAAAGATTTATTAAATTTAGTGATTTGTTTAAGCCTCTTTTTTACAAATTATAATATTTTTTTATTTTTAATTTATTTTATTGTAGTTGAAATCAAATAAAAATAATAAATTTTATTTAATTTTCATTTAAAAATCTCAAGATATAATTAAGTAGAATTAAAATTTTCTAAAAATTTTATCCCGAAGCATTCTAAGAATTATATTGTTATAAATTCATTAAAAAAATTTCTTTCTAAATATTTTATCTTGATTCATATATTTATTAATTAGCTTGATCCTCATAGTTAATCTCTTAAGTATCTATGTGATGAACATATAATTTAAAACAAATTTTAATTTGAAATCTAAAAATTTTAAATGCTAAGAATCGGAATGTAATAAATAAATACATAAAATAGAAATGTATTTTTTAATTTATATTTTAATTTGCTTGATAAAATAATTTTACACAAACAAAAGATGAAATAATTAATGCTAACTTTTTATTGACAAATAATAAAAATTAATTTTAATTTTATAATATTTTTATTTATTTATTTATCAATCAATCTTTTTAGAATTTAATCAATCTTTCAAAGTGTTCTATTTTTGATTATCTCTTAATTTAATCTATTTATTGACTATTTTCATCAAGGAAAAAAAATGAGCCTTCTTATATTCTATTTAAAGATTAATAAGGATCTTGTTTATAAATTCCATATTTTTAAATTGATGAAAATTAAGAATTCATGTGAATGTTACTGACAAAAATTCCTTCTTTACCTAAATTTTTATCATTCAAGTAAGGCTACTAAATATGAATCAAATTTGATGCCAGGAAGTTTTCATTAATATACTTGATAATTTCATTTTGATTTTTAACTTCTTTTTTGCTTTGGTATAATTTTTAGGAAATTTAATCAAGGATATAAATACAATGTGAGATCAAAGAAGAGAGTGAACTACAGCAGCAAAAAAGCTTTTAAAAGCAATTTTATTATTTAGATAAGCTTATTTTAAATTAGAATATTAAAGAGTGGAAGTATTCCCTGATTTTTATTTTTGCTTAGTCATTATTATTTTATTTTTCTAAGTTTGCTTCATAATGATCTTACTTGTTCTACTTTTTATTGATCTAAAAATAGTTTTAAAATTAAAATTCATACACCTAATTCCATTTATTCATGTAATTGCGATATTCTGTAGAAGGTATTCCTGATTTTTAATAAGTAATGAATTCATCTACCAAATCAGAAAGAATACAATTAATAACAAGTTTTGCATTTTCAACATTAGTAAGTGATCTTGTAAAAAACAAAAGCTTCTTTTCAAAAGATAGAAGTTTAACCAGACAAAATTTATCAACAGAATCTACTTCTTATTTAAGTTCAATATAACAACTTCTTTCGATAACTTATGCTTAATCTTTTCTCAAGGTTTCGACTAATTTAACTGATCCAATATTACATAATTTAGAAAATATTGAATTCTCTATAATATTACCTTGATAATTATATATAATTTAGTGGTAAAATTTACAGTTCTTTTGTTCAATTTCTTTTAATATATTTTAGCATCTCTGTTAAATTAGCTTTTCCTGTGGAACACTACAACAGTAAAGCTTTTCCAAGTAGTTAAATTAATAAGCTTGATGCTATTATCTTATCGTTAACTACTCCTACTCTTTAACATTCATTCTTTTAATCAAAGTATCTAAGAAATTTCTTGAAAATCTTTTTTTAACTATGTCAAAATCTTCTACTTTCTTTTCATATAAATTAATGTCATCTAAATTTTATGAAGTTAGCCATTTGCTGTCATACAAATTTTTTTAGCCAAGGATATAGTATTAGATTTAATGGAATTTTATAGAATTATAAATGTTTTTCTCTCCTATTTGCTTTACTGCATTATGGGTAGCACCGTTTATTAATTTATAATCATTGCATAAAACAATTATAACCTTATTCTTATAAAGCTCTTTAAAAGATTTGTCAGCATTACCAACATAATCAAAATTAAATCCTTGATAATTTGATATATTCCAAATATCAACATGAGAACCAAAAGAATAAACAAACTGTTTTATTTGCTCGATTAATGCTCTCTTAGTTTCTGAATTAACTATGAGTAAATATTCTGAGTTTTCTTTATTTTCATATGGCTGACTTAATTAAATAGCGAAATTTCTTGTTTAAATTGTCTAGTATAAATTTTATTAATTGTGATAGTAACCTAAATCTAAATGAACAGACATCTCATAGTTAGTATTGTATGCTAGATCTAAGTCAACGAATTTAATTGTGCCACTTATTATTTTTTTTTCATTTGGCATTAAGGATGTAACAAACTCTTAATCAAGTAAAATATTATTATTATCATCTTATGGTTGTGAGTTGATAAAATTATCACTCGAGTAGGATAAACTTGCTTTCTCCAACGAATTTCTTCTTTCTTTATCCTAATCGATAATTGCTTTTGGATAAAATTAAGCTATGTGTTTTGTATTATTTAAAACTACTCTAACATTTAAAAGTCTTTTTGATAGAGTCTCAAATCCTATTGGCTTGCTTGATAAATTAACTATGCTAAAAGCAATAGGTGCCTCTTCTTTTGACTGAATTGATCTTAATACTTAAATTTCTGATAACTCAACTGGATATCTGATTTGATACTAAGTTGCATATTTAGAGATATTTTCAAATGACTTGTTCACTCTTTCTACTGTAGCCTTGTAATTTAAATTTGTTATAACTCTAAAAACAGAATCAATAGCTGGTTAGAGCTGCTCATTAATTTGAAATTTAAGTGGGCTCTATAATTGATATTTCTAGCCTGAGTTAATGCTTTAAGCAATATAGACAGAGTCACTCTATTTAAAAGTTAAGTATTAATTACTTACTAAAGATAATTGAATTCTTTAATGAGTAGGAGTAGGCATTCCTCCATCGTTAGCAAGGCTCATTTAATTTATTTGCAAATATTCACCTGGTTCTATTATGTTATCATCTGATTACACTTTTTCTACACTATTAATATTTAAATTATATCTACTATAATATTTATTTCCTTAAACTACATAGTAAAATGAGCCATCTGATCCACTTTACCCGCTCCTTCCACTATGTCCAGAAAACCCACTTCTACCAGAATATCCATTTCTTCCTCCTTGATTAGAATAAGAAGTAGTTCTTCCTTCGCTATCAGTTTCAGTCCAAGAATAGCTACTTCCTCCAGATCCACCTGATCCTCCTCTTCCTCCGCTGCCTCCATAGCCCCCAGAACCTCCTGCACCTCCATAACAGCTATAGCTATCTACAATCATTAATATATCCATATCCTCTTAATTTACTCTAACTGATATATTAGCACCATTACCACCATCTCCTCCATGGCCTCCATCTCCTCCATTCCCTCCATCTCCTCCATTACCACCATCAGTTCCACATGAACTTTGAGTTGCATCATTTCCCCTATAGCCATCACCTCCATCTCCTCCATGACCTCCATCTCCTCCTCTACCTCCGCTACCACCACATGCAGAAAGTGTAATGGCATTACCGATGTTTTCCAAAGGTAAAGTAGTCCTTTTATTCTAATAATTTGTTTCAATTATCACAATTTGATCTCCTTAAGCACTCATTTACAAATCTAAAGCATATGCATTACTTCCTTTAGAGCCCCATCCTCCATTAGATCCATTCTATCCATGTCCTCCGCTATAGCCTGAAGAACCACTACTTCCACTATAACCAGATTTCCCACTTTCTCCATCATAATTAAAATGAATCATTTTTAATTTCTATAATCCTAATAATTAATAAAAAGTTTGATTTTCTACTTAATTGGATATTTCTACAAATTATATATTAGAGATCATAAGCTAATATACTTGACGATTTAATATTGATAATAAAAAGCAAAAATGAAATATAGAAAGTTTGCAAAAACTAACGTTTTTTTTTTGTTGATTGGTGGGCCTATATTATAAAAATTATAAAATATATTTATCTATCACAAAAAATAAAACAAAAAGCATTTTTTTTAAATTTATTTGAAATAGAAGAACTTTTAATGCAATACTAAAAAAAATTTATTCACTAAGAAAAAATGTTACTATATAAATAATCACAATAATAATTAGATTATTTAAGCTAAAGTAAAAGCAAAGAAATATTAAAATAAATTAAAAAAAATAATTGAGAGGTTGATTGAAATTATTTTAAAATAAAGATGAATTAATAAAAAAACTTTTAATATTTAATTTAAAACACTAATTACCTATCTAAAATTTAAATAAGGCATAATTATTCTTTGAAAAGTCTTTTTTTTAAAATAATATTTTAAAATAATTTTGATTAATAATCTTTATTTTTTAATCAGATTTCATTTAAATTAAAATTTATAGTGAAAACATTCTTTTTTTCTTAACAAATATTTGAATTAAATTTTCACTTCCAAAATTAAGAACAAAAAGTTAATTACAAAATAGACATTTTATCATTAATAATTAAATAAATGAAAATTACTTTTTATTATTTAGTTTATTTAATATTTTTTATTGGCATAATTATATAATACTAAATAAAAAACATAGGATGTTTGGTAATTTGCATTTATTTATACAAAAGAAAAAAAAGCAACAATTCAAACTACAAATAAAAAGAATATTAATTATTTTTGTTAAATGATTTAATAGGTTATAATTTTATTCTATACATTAGAAAGAATTATGAGTTAAGCTTTAGAACAAAATATTATTGGGGTTTATTCACCATAATAATCAAATATTTTAAGCAGTTAAAATGACAATTAGTGGACTCCCCTTTAGATCAGAGCAGTAACAGATTTAGATTTAGTATATGTTTCATGTGGGTTCAGAGGAATTAACATAATCAACAAAGAAGGCAGCCAAATACTCTATTCATAGAACTTTAATAATGAGTATATTTAATCATTTGAATCTACTTCGGATGGGTAGTATATTTTTATAGGAATATCATAATTTCTATTTGTATACCATTTATAATTTAATAGTTTATCTTAATCCCATTTAGAAATGTAGAACTTTTATTTGGTATAAAATATAACTTTTCAGACAGATCTTTTGAACACTAATTACAATTAACAAAGTGAACTGCTTGCAGTAGCTGTATAAACAGGAAATGTTTTCCTCTATAACACTACATTTAAGAACCAATTTCAATTATTATCAAAATTTAGCACAGGCTCCAATTTGATAAATAGCTTATTTATTTCACAAGATGGAAATTGGCTTTATATAGCAAGTGATGTTAAGGGTGTATTTATGATGAGTATAAAAAAATAATAATTATATGAAGATAATAATAATGCAAATGATACTTCAGAGAAATTAATAGTTGCTGCTCATGGAACTTTGGGATTAAGGGCATATTAAGTTATTGGATCAAAAGATAATCACTATATTTATGCTTTTGATTTCTGGTATGGATTTTTTTACACAAATGTAGAAGAAGTAATTAAAAATTAGGAAAATTAATACCCAATTTAATTATCTTTTATTTCCTATTGGCCTTTTTAAGACATACAAAGAGCTTGCTAAACTATTCTTATTAATCAAGACGAAAGTCTACTTTTTATAGGAGTAAGAGAGTATGGTATAATAATATTAGATATAAGAAATAGGACATAAATTTAAGTTTTTGAATTTATAAGGCTAGACTCTCTCATTTTTTCAATAGCACTTTCAAAATAGGAAGATTTTTTATACGTGACAACTTCAGACACTATGTTAACCTATACAAACGATAAGCCTAACTTAAATTAAGATCTCCCTAATTTATTTAACACTCATTAAATAAAATATTAAGACTTTCTAAATTCGATATTAAAATGGAGATGTTATGTGGATGTTACTAATTAATACTTAGTAGGTTCATTTGACTTCGGTGGATTATATGTTTTTCCATTTTATAATGATCCTTACAAGTTTGATGTCAACAATTATGTATTCTATGATATTTAAGATGACAGTGTATACTTTGATAAGGGAAATAAGTATTTAGTTATTCCAAGATATTTTTCAGAATAGAACATCGGAATTTATTAATACGCACCTCTAGATAATAGAACTGATTAGTAAAATATTTCTTTAACCAATATGTAACTAATAAAAGACTATAGCGTTAGCGAGCTTGAATTATCAGAAATGATAGTTTTTAGTTTCGATGCTAGGTATGCTGTGTAAACATATAGTGTAGGTTTAATTATTTATGACTCAATTGACATCTTTAATATAAAAGTTCTATCAAGATGGAATAATTTAGACTTTATGATTGGAGAAAATCAAGGTGTTTGTTTCACAAAAGATAATAAATGGATATACAGTACAATTAGACTTTTTGGAGTATATCTTTTAAATGTTGAAGATAAAACTAATCCTATTCTTACTGACTATATTAGAACAAATGGTGGAGAAAATGTTAAAATATCTCCTTCATCAAATTTTATTTACTTACTTGATGGAGTGAAAGGATTTGCAATAATAGATGCTAATTATGCTCCTAAATTGTAAATAATCTCCAGAATAAAATTAAGTGGATACACAATAGATATGTTATTGCTACAAGAGGAAAAATATGTCTTAATAACTTAAAGTTATAGAGGATTTCTAACTCTCATTGATATAAATGATAAAAAATATCCATAAATAGTTTATACTATCAATTATGGTAATTAATTCAGCATGGCTTTATGCCTTACCCAAACAGCTTAGCATCTATTTGTATCAACTAATGGAGGAATGCTTGTACTTCCTACATCTAGTTAAGTGTAAATACATACAAAAGTAAACTTGATTGATTTAAATATTCAAACTGGATAAAAACAAATTATAAAACTTGAAAAAATAACTTAAGAATTTAATAAATATGGTCTTAATCTTTATCAAGAGTATTTATTTTCTGTTGGTCAAAATATTTAGTTTGATTTTGCAATACTCTATCCTATAGATTCAAATATGTAAATTACAAGAATATTTTAATATATTAATGGATAAAGTCAATAAATCCCAAGTTTCTTTTAATTTAACTAATTTTAACAATCTGTTATATTTAATGTTGATAAGAGCTTAATTAATTTCAATTCAGCTAAACCCAACTTAAATATTTTGCTTATAAAAACAGTAATTCCTTTAAATTTAAATTCTTTTGTATTTAAACCTGAAGAGCTAGATGGTAAATATGCAACTAATACAACTTAATCTTAATTGATTTACCAATATCTTTGTGATAAGAACATAATAATCAATGGTATTCTTAATGATTTATACAATTTTCCCCCAATCAATTTAGAGTCTTAATTTTAGACTGAATTACTTGATCCATCAATTATACCTGAAAATAATTATTAGTAAATTATTTCTAAAATTACTGAGAGAATTTAATTAACATTAATGAAATCTTTTTACATTAACTCAATTAAGTTTTATGTTCAAACCTCATTATTTTTTGATAATTAAAATTCAATTTAATTTATACAAACTAATTCTTAAAATACAATTTTAATAACCTTGTCTATTTAGACTAGTGATGGAAAATTAATCTTCAAATCAAAATCAAATATAGCTTTTTAGTTATCAGAAAAATAAGATTAATTAGCAATCTCTGGAAATTTAGAGATCATCAATAAGGTGTTGCATAATAAAATAATATTCGCTAATAATACATAAATTACTGCATAAATATCTCCAAATATAACATTAACTATCCAAGACAATTTAAATTATCCTCTTACTGAATAGCTAAGCATTTATGATAGTTAGTTTATTATTATAAAGGAATAATTGAAAATTAGCAGTGATAATAATCTACAAAATTAGTTTAACTATAAATTTTAAGGAGGTATTGTTGATATTGAATCTGACATAACCTTCTCATTTAAATAAAACACATTTATAGTCTCTGACGTTTAAGATTTAACTTATTAATTTCTTTATCTTTAATCCCCAAATTAATATATTTAAATTCCATCTAATTTTTGGTTATTACAAATAAGTAGTAACTAATTACTATTTAAAGGCTCAACAACACAGAGTATGTATTAAAAATCTTACACATTTAAAATAATTGCCTCTGATGGATACACTAAAGCTGAAGATACTTTTACTATAAAAGTTAGCGGAATCCCTTTATCTTATATTTTGAATTTATTGCTTGAGATTTTTGGCCCTATTATTTTCTTTCTTAGCCTTTTTCGAAAGAGAAATATTTTTTTAAATGTTATTTTTGAAAAGACAGTAACTTTTTCTTAAGAAATAGCTATTATCGATGAGTTTTATCTTAAAAAAATAATTATACTAGGTGATATTTAAAAATAATCTAAAGATATTTTAAGCCAATTGTTTAATTAAATTTTAAACTTAAAAATTGAAGAGATAAATAAGAATTAAAAATAGGATACAGAAACTAAAAATAAAAAAAATAGTTTTCATTTATCCTATGAAGATGTTTTTAACAATTTACAAAATTAGGATGATTTATAGAAGTAAAGCTTTATCCTTTTGCCTAATCAAAATAATTAATATCCATAAAATTTTGCAAAATTAATTCAAAATTTAAAGAAGCTGAAAGTTCATAGTGCTCATTCTACTTTAGAAAAAAGATATATGGATCAAAAAGGAAACATTCTTATGTCTGTTGTGATCAAAGACATATTAAAATATAAAATATGTGAAACTAATAAATTAGTGGACTTTTAACAAGACATTAAGAACACTGATTCGAAAATATATAGAGCAATCAGAGCTTAGATAGCTAGATATTTTTTAATATTGGATTAAAGATCATTCATGCTTTATAAGTATATAAAATAAATTTGCATAAAAACTCAAGGTTGTTAAAATGACTGGTTTAAAGCAATAGTTAATTTATATTTTTATGATGATAAACAAGAAAATTAAAATGAAAATAATTATCTTTAAAGAAACATGACAACTTTCCCATAGTTAAAACTAAAATATGGAGTATTATTACAAATTTTTTAAATATTTGAGTTGATTCCATAACAATTTAAAGAACAAACAGATACTTTTGATTAATTTTTTTAGATATGCTAAAATTATATAACTTAAATCAATATATATCTGATAAGAGAAGTTTTATTTGCAGATGCATTAGGATTTTCTACTGAAGAACCTTCAAAGTTTAGAGTAGCAATAGGTTAATCGCTGCACATAGACTAATAAAATATTAAACAAATTATAGCACTCAAAAAAAAGAAAATAAGTAAATGGCTTAGACCACTTTTTAAATTTTTAAATATAGAATACTCATAACATGAAATATATAAAAACATGAGATTACCTTCTTGGCTTAACTTAGATTAAAAAAATGGAGTTATTATTTTATATGGAACACCTCAACTAGATGATATTGATGAATATCTTATAAGAATTTAAGATAACACAGGATATGTGATTCAATAATTTTTATTAAAAGTTATCCAAAATCTAAATAAAAAAAATAGTTAGAATGACATTGATAAGATATATGGAATGACTGATGAGATTTAATTTAAAAATAAATTACCTTAACTGTAAAATAGATATTTTAATGACACATAAAATCAGCATTTAAAAAGAAATTCTTTTATGATGAGGTTATAAAGAAAAAGTTTCCTAAAAAATAATTAGCCATTTATCCTAGAACTCAGTTAAATTCCTTATAAAAAGCCTCAAAAAAGTTATATTAATAAATTTAAAAGTCGTAATAACTCTATAAATAGTTAAGAAGATGTCAATTCTCAATAAATTTCATAGCATGATGATAGGACTTTGTTAAGCAAACTTAATGATATCTAAACTTCTAATTTAAATACAACTGAATAATTTTTTGTCACAAATTAATGAAAATCTATATACAAATATAATATAATATAGCACTTCCACATATTAAATTCTTGCGAATTCTGAGATGCGAGAATTCAATACATGAAAAAGCTATAAATTAGATTAAATTTAGTCATTTATTTAAGCCTTTTTTTATTATTTTAAAAATAAAATTTATAATTTTAAATTAAATAATTTATTTTTATAATAGTTTTATAAATTATAATATTTTTTTATTTTTAATTTATTTTATTGTATTTGAAATCAAATAAAAATAATTAGATTTAGTTAATTTTCTTTTAAAAATCTCAAAATAAATTCTGAAACTTTAATTTTGAATAAAAATATATTAAATCTATTATAAGAAGTTACAATTAATTTATAGAGGTATGTACTTAAAAAAATTATCTGAATTTGTTAATAAATATAAAAGAACTTAATTTAAATGTATTGGTTTTTCATTATTTTATTATCATAAATTTGCATTCAACCTTCATATAAATATATATACTTAATAATAGAGAAACACATCTCTAAATTATTTTTAATTGAATTTTCAGAGTGATCGTAGATTAGAATATGGATAGTAAATAATAATTGCTTATATGGCTATAAAGAGGCGATTAAGTATATTATTAAATATAAATTGAATGAAATAAAAAAACCTCTTATGTTATTTTGATATTGAAATTTTAATAACTTTCTTACTTTTTCTTTTTTACTACTTAATTGACAAAATAAATTAAATAGCACTACACCAAGAAATTCAAGTTCAATTTTTGTGTATGAGCTTGTTAATTATTTAAATAAATGATGAAAAAAATTGATTTTTGATTTTAGAATGTTTATATTTAAATACTGCTTAAAAATTACCTATCTATTTAAATAATTATAAAAATAACTTAAATCAAGAAAGAAATAAGGAAAAGGTGAATCAATTTTTAACTTAAATGCTTCAAATAATTAAAATTTTTTTTACTATTATCTATATATGTAACTCTTAAAATACTTAATAAATTATTAATGAAGTTTATTCCCCTTTGATGTTGAATTAGCTAAGCTCAACTGATTCACTATGGAATCCACTTGTAGTAAAAGTAGCAACAGATATAGATTTAGTATTTGTTTCTTTAGGATTTAGAGGAATCACAATAATTAATGAAAAAGGAGATTAGATACTGCATACTTAGGATATTGGTAATAATTATGTGTAGTCTTTTGAATCTACTTCGGATGGCCAATACCTTTTCGTTGTGGCTTCATAAAATCTATTGGTTTATCAATTATATTTTAAAACAAATAACTCCACTAATTTTGAAATGTAGAAGTTTGTTTAATTGTAAAATATAACATTTTAGAAAAATATTTTAGTAACTAGTTATAACTAGCAAAAAGAATTGTTAATAATAGCAGCAAAAGGCGGTGATATATTTATTTACGATACTTCTATTAAAAATATGCTATCTCTAATTTCGACTTTTAATACAGGTTCTGTTTTGATTAATAATATGTTTCTTTCATAGGATGCAAAATGGCTTTATGTAGCAAGAGATGTGAAAGGTTTGTATATGCTTAATTTATAAGAATAATTTGCATCAAATTAAAATGGAAGAAAAATAAATATTTTAATTGCTGCCTAAGGAACTATTGGATTGAGTACATATTAAGCTATTGCTACAAGAGACAATACTTTTATTTATGCTATTGATTTCTGGTATGGATTTTTTTACTCAAGTTCTTCTCAAATAGTTAACAGTAATTCAACTCAATACCCAATATAACTATCTTTCACTGAGTTTTGGCCCTTTTAAGACTTGTAGAGTGTATGTCAAGAGATGATTATGAATAAGGATGAAACTTTTATTTTCTTAGGAGTTAGGTCTCAAGGAATTCTTATTTTAGATATCAGATAGAGAGACCAAATTCAAGCTTTTGAATTAATAAGGTCAGACACTTTCTTTATTTCAATAAAACTCTCAAAAACAGAAAATTATTTATATTTTACTAACTCAGATAGTATTTTTACATTCACTTAAGATGAACCAAATTTAAATTAAGATTTACCAAATTTATTTAACACCCATTAAATTAAGTATCAACATTTTCTTGAAACAGTCTATAAGCGGAGATGCTATGTAGATCCTGACGATCAATACCTAGTCGGGGGATTTGATCTAGCAGGTTTGTATGTATTTCCTTTTAACCAAGACCCTTATAGTTTGGACGTTAATAATTTCAAAAATTATAATATTCCAGTCTCCACAATGTATTTCGAAAAATCAAACAAATACTTAGTTATACCTAGTTACTTTTCAGAGTAAAGTATTGAAGTATTTTAATATAATCCATTAAATAATAATCCTGAAGAGAAAAATATTTCTCTTTTCAATATGAAACTTTTAAAAGACTACAAAATCGAAGATTTCTAAGTCTCAGAAATGATAGTTTTTAGTGCTGATACAAAATTTGCTGTACAAACTTACATGATTGGTTTGATTATTTATGACTCAGCAAATATATTTAACTTAACCATGCTATCTAGATGGTAGAATAAGGATTTTATGAAAGGAGAGAATCAAGGGGCTTGCTTCACTAGAGACAATAATTGGATATATAGCACTATAAGACTGTTTGGAGTGTATCTTTTAAATGTTCATGATAAGGCAAATCCTATTCTAACTGATTATATCATAACTCATGGCGGTGAAAATGTTATAATGTCTTAAATATTTGATACATATTTATACTTATTAGATGGTTTTAAAGGATTTGGAATCATTGATTCAAGTTATGCACCTTAATTACGAATAATTTCAAGAGTTTAACTACCAGGATATAGTGCAGATGCTCTGCTTATAAATGAAGAAAAATTTATTCTAATAACATCTATGGGAAAAGGATTTTTAACTTTGATAGACATAAGAAATAAAAATTTCCCACAAATAGTTAACAGTATTTCTTATGAAAATCAATACGGTTATGCATTATGCTCACCAAAATCCAGTTAATATATATTTATAACAACTTCTGCTGGAATTATTGTACTTCCAACCCATAGCTAAATTTAAATTCATACTCATGTAAGTTTAGTTTAGTAAAATTAAATTACAGGGTAATAAATCCTTAGCTAACTCTAAAAACAAGCTTTATCATTTAATTAAGATAACTCTAGTGAAAATTTAGAATTCGTCTTTACAGTAGGCTAATAAATTCAGTTTAATTTTGCTATCCTCTATCTTATTGACCAAAATATAAAAGTTAATAATATTTATTATTATTAACAAGGAGAAAATCTGCCTATTCCTTAATTTTTCTCCTTTGATATATATTCGCAATCCTTACAATTTTTTGTAGATAAAAGTTTAGTTTATGACAATATAAATTAACTAAACCTAAATATCATTCTTCTTTAAACTTTAATTCCTCTGAATTCTTAATCATTTATTTAATTTTCAAACTAAACTGATTTTAGTGTGATAAATATCACTTAATCTTAAATGATTTACTAATATCTCTAAGAATAAAATATTTTAGACACTAATGGAATTATTAATAACTAATTTGACTTTACTTAACCTTTCCAGCTAGATTTATAATTTTAGAGCAAGTTGATTGATCCATCAAGTATATAAGAAGATAATTATACAATAGTCATCCAATAAATAACTTGGATAATTAAATTAGCATTAATGAGATCTTTTTACATAAATCCAATCAAATTTTATGTTCAAACTTCTCTGTCCTTTGACAACTAAAATATAAATTAATTTATAACGTCTAATACTCAAAACATAATTTCTCTAACTCTATCTGTAAATAGTACTGATGGTAAATTAATTTTTAAAACCAATCCCAGTGTTGTATTTTAACTTTCTGATTTATAAGATTAATTAATAATCTAAGGAAGCTTAGAAAATGTAAATAAAGTATTGTATAATAAAATAATATTTGCTAATTAGACTTAAATCACTTCAAAAAGCTCTCCAAAAGTAACTCTGACAATTTAAGATGATATAAATTATCCTCTCATAAAATAATTTAATATTTATGAGAGCTAATTTATTATTCTAAAAAAGTAATTATAAGTCAACAGTGAGAACAATCTTCAAATATAAATTAACAAGTAATTTCCAGGAGGTGTTATTTATATTGAATCTGAGATAGCCTTCTCTTTCTCAAAAGATTCTTTTATTGTCTCAGATACTTAGGATTTAACTTACTAATATCTTTATCTTTAATCACCAAATAATTATAATTTGATACCTCCAAATTTTTGGTTGTAGGAATCTGGTAATAGCGATATGTCATTTAAAGGCTCAACTACTTCTAGCATGTTTTAAAAATCTTATAGTTTCAAAATTATTGCCTCAGATGGATATACCTATGCTGAAGACCTATTTGTTTTGGAAGTCAGTGGGATTCCTCTAATTTACTTGCTGAATCTACTACTCAAAATAATTGGCCCTATTGTTTTTTTAATCGGTCTAATTTAGTAAAGAAGTGTATTCTTAAATTCAATTTTCAGGAAAAGAGTAACTTTTCCTGAAGAGGTGGCTGTTTGTAATGAATTTTATATGAAGCAAATCATAATTCAAGGAAATAATTAAAAATACTCATAAATTATTCTGATTTAGCTATTCAATAAAGTATTTTAAGAGAAAAAATTAGAGAGGCTATAAAACTCGCAATAAAGAAACTCATTTACTTTAAATTATTTTTATTAAAAAATTTAAAACAAATAAAATAAATTAGATTATCAAAATAAACAATTTTAAGTTCTTATTACAAGAAATATTAATCTAAAGTAAACGAAATTATTGAAATAAATTTAGGATTTAAAGTAACTGAAGCCTCATGACTAGCCCTTTCTAATTGAAAAAAAGTATATGGACAGTAAAGGAAATATAATGATGTCTCTCGTCATAAAAGATATTCTAAATTATGACATTAAAATAAAATAATTAGACAAACAAAATTTTGAAAATGATATTTAGAATATAGATTCTAAAATTTATAGAGCATTAAGGGCTTAGATTTCTAGATATTTTTTAAACTTAGATTATAGATCATTCATAGTTTATAGCTACATAAAATATTTTTGCAATAAGGAAATTCAAAATTGTCAAAATAACTGGTTTAAAGCTATAGTAAAAATAGACTACTAATTAGACAATGTACTTAAATAAAGCTATTAATACTAGAAGCAATCAAAAGTATTTCCAAAGCTGGAGTTAAAATATAATGTACTATTGGAAATACTATAATTCTTGAAATTATTTCCTTAGTAGTTAAATATAATTCCTGATTCTTTTGAGTAATTTATTGAGCTTTGCATAGAACATCAAGCAAAAATCAATTTATACTTAATTAGAGAAGTCATATTTGCTGATACTTATGGATTTTGTGGAGAAAAAACTTCTAAGTTAAAAGTAGCTTTTGGTTAATCATTGCATATTGATTCACAAAAAATTAAATAAATCATTGCATGTAAAAAAAGGAAGATAAATAAATGGTTTAGGCCTATTTACAAGCTTTTAAATTTAGAGTATGCTTAGTATGGTATTTCTAAAAATATGAGATTGCCTACTTGGCTTTATTTAGATTAAAAAAATGGAGTGATTATTTTGCATGGAATACCTGTATAAGATGATATAGAAGAAATACTCATAAGAATTTTAGATAACACAGGATATATAATTTAATAATACATGCTAAAAATAGTAAAAAATTTAAATATAAATTAATAAAATAATGATATTGATTAAATTTACTAAGTAGCTGATGAGACGAACTATTAAAATAATAGCAATTAATCATTTAAATAATATAATTAAGAAATAAATATATTGTAAACAAATAACGCAAATAAAATTCCATCAATGATTAAGAGGTATTCTGAGGAATAGCCAATATAAATTAAACATGAATTTTCTCAAATTTGCCTATCTACATAACTATCCCCTACTAGTAAAATGAGTGATTATAATTTTAAAGTTAAAAAAAATTCTAAAAACGCTGATAACTAAAATATAGAGTTAATTTCTTTGAATGAAGATCAAAACACTATGAACAATTTTTTCAATAATAATAAATAGGACCTCACATTCAGCCAATAGCTTTAATTTCCAAAATTTCTATAAAATAGGAATCACTTAGAAAAAGAATTAACTCATTCTTCAGAATACAAATATTAAATTCAAGAGAAAAATTAAATATTAGATGAAATTATAGAATGAATAAAAATCCTTTAGGCTAAAATTGAAATACTTTCAACTTGTCCTCTGAAATAGTAATATGGTGTTATAAAAATAAAATATTATTTTTAGTCAGATTTGTTTAAAATAAATTTTTTTTTTCAAGAGTTATCTTAATTTGTTGAATTTAGTATTTTCATGAACAAGTTAATAAAAATAATTTTTTAATTTTTTTTTTAATCTTAATTTATTATTCTAATAAAATAACATTTTAATTAAGTTAATTAATTACATTTTTATTTTATTTATTTTAAACTTGAAAATATTTTTTTTGAAATTTTAGAAAATATTACACAAATAAATAACTCACCTTACAATTTAAAATTTCTCAATATCAATTTAAAAGCAAAAGATAACAATTTTATTATTTAAAAAATGAATGATATTTTTTTGATTTTGTTTATTGAATAAAATGATTGTAATTGATTAAGTAATTTATAAGACTTTAATTTAAATTACAAATTAAAAATAGCGAATAAAAGTAATAAATAACATGTTATTTATGATAAATTTATTTTGGAATTATATTTTTATACAAATTTCCATAATTGAAAATGAATTTATACAATTTATAATTTTTAATTTATTTTATAATTTGAGACAAATATTTTAATATGATTGATTTGTCAGTCCAAAAATGTATTAATATATTAATTTTATATAATAATAATTATTATTATTAGTTAAATATTAGTTTAATAGCTTAAGAGTTCTATTTTAGCTCGTTAATGGAGCAGGAGGTTAAGATGGATATTATTGGTTAGATTTACTGGTAGAACTATCTCTAAGCGGCTCAGATCTATGATAGTCTATTCTATCCATAAATTTGTCATTGATTAAATTATTTCTAATGTAAGAGTGGTGATGATTATTAGGCATTCTGCTTGCATTGTATTCACCAATAGAGCCAGCTTCACTAGAAGAATGTTCATATAGAGCGCTGCTGCTACTATGAGGATGATAGTAAGATTGCTATTACTTTACTGCTATTATTGTTATGAATAACCTTAAGTCTATCCTTATTATTATTCTCCTTATATTTTTTGCTCTCAATTTTCATAGCGGGGTAGAATTTAAAATTTAATAGCTTGGCTATATTTCATTTAAATTACAATAATTTTGAAAATTCATCGTTTTTAATTATAAAAATTTTTTGCCTAATCCCATCTATCAAAATAATATAAGCTGCTAAATAAGAATTATAAATAAAAGTAAATTAATTATCTTAAATGATTTTATAGGCTATAATTTTATTCTATGCATTAGAAAGAATTATGAGTTAAGCTTTGGATTAAAATATCTCTGGGGTATATTCACCATAATAATCAAATATTTTAAGCAGCTCATATGATAACTTGTGGTCTCCCCTTTAGATCAGAGTAGCAACAGATTTAGATTTAGTATATGTTTCTTGCGGGTTCAGAGGAATTAATATAATTAACAAAGAAGGAAGTCAGATACTCTTTTCATAAAACATCAATAGTGAGTATGTTTAATCATTTGAATCTACTTCGGATGGATAGTATATTTTTATAGTAATATCATAATTTTTAGCTGTATACCATTTGTAATTTAATAATTTATCTTAATCCCATTTAGTAATGTAGAACTTTTATTTGGTATAAAATATAACTTTTCAGACAGACGTTTTAAACACTAATTATAATTAACAAAGTGAATTGCTTGCAGTAGCTGTATAAACAGGAAATGTTTTCCTCTATAACACTACATTTAAGAACCAATTTCAATTATTATCAAAATTTAGCACAGGCTCCAATTTGATAAATAGCTTATTTATTTCACAAGATGGAAATTGGCTTTATATAGCAAGTGATGTTAAGGGTTTGTTTATGATGAGTATAAAAAAATAATAATTATTTGAAAATAATAATAAATAAGATACTTCAGAAAAATTGATTGTTGCTGCTCATGGAAATTTTGGATTAAGGGCATACTAAGTTATTGGATCTAAAGATAATCTCTATATTTATGCTTTTGATTTCTGGTATGGATTTTTTTTTGCAAATGCAGAAGAAGTAATTAAAAGTTAGGAAACATAATTCCCAATTTAATTATCTTTTATTTCCTACTGGCCTTTTTAAGAAATATAAAAAACTTGCTAAACTATTCTTATTAATCAAGATGAAAGTCTACTTTTTATTGGAGTGAGATAGTATGGTATTGTAATATTAGATATTAGAAATAGAACATAAATTTAAGTTTTTGAATTTATAAGGCTAGACTCTCTGATTTATTCAATAGCACTTTCAAATTAAGAAGATTTTTTATACGTAACAACATCAGATATTATATTAACCTATACTTAAGATAAACCTAACTTAAATTAAGATCTCCCTAATTTATTTAACACTCACTAAATAAAATATCAAGACTTTCTTAATTAGGTATACAAATGGAGATGTTATGTTGATATTACTGATTAATACCTAATCGGTTCATTTGACTCAGCTGGCTTGTATATTTTTCCTTTTTATAATGATCCTTACAAATTTGATGTCAACAATTATGTATTCTATGACATTTATGTTGATAGTTTATATCTAGATAAGGGAAATAAGTATTTTGTTATTCCAAGATATTTTTCAGAATAGAATATTGGAATTTATTAATATGCACCTCTAGATGATAGCGCTGATTAGTAAAATATTTCTTTTACCAATATGAAACTAATAAAAGACTATAGCGCTAATGAGCTTGAATTATCAGAAATGATAGTTTTTAGTTTAGATGCTAAGTATGCTGTGTAAACATATGGTGTCGGTTTAATAATTTATGACTCAATCGACATCCTCAATATAAAAATTCTATCAAGATGGAATAATTTAGATTTTATGATTGGATAAAATTAAGGTGCTTGTTTCACAAAAGATAATAAATGGATATACAGTACAATTAGGTTTTTTGGAGTATATCTTTTAAACGTTGAAGATAAAACTAATCCTATTCTTACTGACTATGTTAGAACAAATGGTGGTGAAAATGTTAAAATATTTTCATCATCAAATTTTATTTACTTACTTGATGGCAAAAGAGGATTTGCAATAATTGATGCTAATTATGCTCCTAAATTGTAAATAGTTTCCAGAGTAGAATTAGGTGGATACACAGTAGATATTTTATTGCTAAAAGAGGAAAAATATGCTTTAATAACTGATAATTCAAATGGATTTCTAAAACTCATAGATATAAGAGATAAAAATTTTCCTTAAATAGCTTATACTATCAGCTTTGGTAATTAATAAAGCATGGCTTAATGTTTTACCCAAACAGCTTAGCATCTATTTGTATCAACTAATGGAGGAATGCTTGTACTTCCTACATCTAGTTAAGTGTAAATACATACATAAGTAAATTTAATTCGCTTAAATAATGAAACTGGATAAAAAGAAATTATAAAATTTGAAAAAATAACTTAAGAATCCAATTAGCATGATTTTAATCTTAATCAAGAGTACTTATTTTCTGTTGGCCAAAATATTTAGTTTGATTTTGTTATTCTATTTCCTTTAGATGAAAATATGTAAATTACACATATTTTTTATTATCTTAATGGATAAAGTCAATAAATCCCAAGTTTCTTTGAATTTAATTAATTTTAATAATCTGTTATATTTAATGTTGATAAGAGCTTAATTAATTTCAATTCAGCTAAACCCAACTTAAATATTTTGCTTATAAAAACAGTAATTCCCTTAAATTAAAATTCTTTTTTATTTAAACCTGAAGAGCTAGATGGTAATTATGCAACTAATACTACTTAATCTTAATTGATTTACCAATATCTTTGTGATAAAAACATAATAATCAATAGCATTCTTAATGATTTATTCGATTTTTCCATACCATTAAATTTAGAGTCTAAATTTTAGACTAAATTACTTGATCCATCAATAATGGTTTCACCTGTACATTGCGGACATTGCGGATGCGGACATTTTTTTTGGCCGCAAAATGTCCGCAATGTACAGGTATTACCATCAATACTCCCTGAAAACAATTACTAAAAACTTATTTCTAAAATTACTGAGAGAATTTAAATAACCTTAATGAAATCTTTTTACATAAACCCTATTCAGTTTTATGTATAAACCTCATTATTTTTTGATAATTCAAATTCAATTTAATTCATAAAATCTAATTCTTAAAATATAATTTTAATAACCTTGTCTATTTAGAGTAGTGATGGAAAATTAATCTTCAAATCAAATTCTAGTCTAGCTTTTTAATTATCTGAAAAGTAAGATTAATTAACAATATCTGGAAATTTAGAGATCATCAATAAGGTGTTGCATAATAAAATAATATTCGCTAATAATACATAAATCACTGCATAAATATCTCCAAATATAACATTAAATATTCAAGACAATCTAAATTATCCTCTTATTGAATAGCTAAGCATTTATGAGAGTTAATTTATTATTATTAAGGAATAATTGTAATTTAACAGTGAAAATAAACTACAAAATTAGTTTGACAATTAATTTTAAGGAGGTATTATTGATATTGAATCTGAAATAACCTTCTCATTTTAAAAAGGTACATTTACAGTCTCTGACGTTTAAGATATAACTTATTAATTTCTTTATCTTTAATCCTCAAATCAATATATTTAAATTCCATCAAATTTTTGGTTAGTATAAATAAATAATAACTAATTATTATTTAAAGGCTCAACAACATAGAGTATGTATTAAAAATCTTACACATTTAAAATAGTTGCCTCTGATGGATATACTTCAGCTGAGGATACTTTTACTATAAAAGTACGTGGAATACCTTTATCTTACATTTTAAATTTGTTATTAAAGATTTTTGGCCCTATTATTTTCTTTCTTGGTCTGTTTCGATAAAGAAATATTTTTTTAAATGCTATTTTTGAAAAAAAAGTAACTTTTTCTTAAGAAATAACTTTTTGTGATGAGTTTTATCTTAAAAAAATAATAATATTAGGCGATATTTAAAAATAATCTAAAGATATTTTAAGCCAATTATTTAATTAAATTTTAAACTTGAAAATTGAAGTGAATAATATGAATTAAAAATAGGATACAAAAACTAAAAATAAAAAAAATAAATTAAATTTATTGTATAAAGATACTTTTAACAATTTACAAAATTAAGATGAATAATAGAAATAAAACTTTGTACTTCATCCAAATCAAAATAATTATCATTAATAAAAAAATGCAAAATTAATTTAAAATTTAAAGAAATAGAAAGTTCATAACTCTTATTCAACTTTAGAAAAGAGATATATGGATCAAAAAGGAAACATTCTTATGTCTGTTGTGATCGAAGACATATTAAAATATAAAATATGTGAAACTAATAAATTAGCGGACTTTAAACAAGATATTAAGAACACCGATTCTAAAATATATAGAGCAATAAGAGCTTAGATAGCTAGATATTTTTTAAATTTAGATTAAAGATCATTCATGCTTTACAAATATATAAAATAAATTTTCATAAAAACTCAATCTTGCTAAAATGACTGGTTTAAAGCTATAGTTGATTTATAGTTTTATGATTATAAACAGGATAATTAAAATAATTATCTTTAAAGAAATAAGAAAACTTTCCCATAATTGAAACTAAAATATGGAGTATTATTAGAAATTTTTTAAATCTTTGAGTTGGTTCCTTAACAATTTAAAGAACAAATAGATACTTTTGATTAATTTTTTTAGATTTGCTAAGATTATATAACTTAAATCAATATATATCTTATAAGAGAAGTTTTATTTGCAGATGCACTAGGATTTTCTACTGAAGAACCTTCAAAGTTTAAAGTAGCAATAGGATAATTGCTTCATATTGACCCATAGAGTATCAAATAAATCATAGCATTTAAGAAAAAGAAAATAAGTAAATGGATAAGACCACTTTTAAAATTTTTAAATATAGAATACTCTTAACATGGAATTTATAAAAATATGAGATTACCTTCTTGGCTGAACTTAGATTAAAAAAACGGAGTTATTATTTTATATGGAACACCTCAGCTAGATGATATTGATGAATAGCTAATAAGAATTCAAGATAACACAGGATATGTTATGAAATAGTTTTTATTAAAAGTTATTCAAAATCCGAATAAAAAAAATAGTTAGAATGAGATTGATAAGATTTATGAAGTTGCTGATGAGATCTAATATAAAAATGAATTCTCTTCTCTGTAAAATAGATAATTAAATGATACATAAAACTATTATTTAAAAAGAAAAAATTCATTTATGATGAGGTCATTTAGATAAAGTACCATAAAAAATAATTAGCCATTCATGCTATAACTCAGTTAAATTTCTTATCATAAGCCTGATAAAAGTTATATTTATAAATTTAAAAATAAAAATAACTCAATCAAAAATTAAGAAGATGCAAATTCTCAATTAATTTTTTTGAATGATGATAGAAGCTTGTTAAACAAACCAATAGATATATAAACTTCTACTTTAAGTATAGCTTAAGAATTATTTGTCTCCAATCAATGAACAGTTATTATTTGAAAACTTTCGACAATACAATACAATATAGGTTTTTTGAAACTAAAATTTATAAATTTTATGTAAAATTTAATTGAAAATGTACTTCAAAAATATAATTTTTATTTTTTATAAAAACATTTTATTTTTTATAAATTGAAGACTTTTAATAAAAATTAATTTTTTAAACTATTTAATTACATTTTTATTTTATTTATTTTAAACTTTATTATATTTTTTTTTGAAATTTTAGAAAACATTACACAAATAACTCACCTTAGAATTTAAAATTTTTCAATATCTATTTAAAGCAAAAGACACTAATTTTATTATTTAAAAAGTGAATGATATTTTTTTTAATTTGTTTATTGAATACTTTTTTATTCATCTAAAAATAAATGTAATTGATTAATTAAGTAATTTATTATACTTTAATTTAAATTGAAAATTAAAAATGGTGAATAAAATTAATAAATAAGATGTTATTTATGATAAATTTATTTTACTATTAAATTTTTATAACTGAATATGAATTTATACAATTTAATAATTTTTAATTTATTTTATAATTTGAGGCAAATATTATATTATGATTAGTTTTTCAGTTCAATAATGTATTAATATATTAAAATAATATAATAATTATTATTATAAGCTAAATATTTATTTTAATAGCTTAAGAGTTCTATTTTAGCTCATTAATGGAGCATGAGGTTATAGTGGATATTATTGGTTAGATTTGCTGGTAGAACGGTCTCAATGTGACTCAGGTCTTTGAGAGTCTATTCTATCCATAGATTTGTCATTCCTTAAATTACTTCTACTGTAAGAGTGGTGATGATTATTAGGAATTTTGTTTGCATTATATCTACCAATAGAGCCAAAAAAAATATATTGGCTACAAATTCATATAAGCAACGTGAATTACTTGCAATATCTACAAAAAGAAGAAAAATTTTACTCTATAAAACTATACATAAATAGTGATTTACCGTAGATTCTCGTTAATTAAGGACCAGTTTAATTAAGGACTTATTTAAAAAATGTTTTTTTTAAGGACTAAATTTTTACAAAAATTTTGATTTGAATTTGTCCTTAATTAATGAGAAACTACGGTATATTATTATCAACGTTTAATACAAGTTCTAATTTAGTTAATAAGATGGAAATTGATTTTATATAGCAAATGATGTTAATGGCATGTAAATTAAATAAATATTAAGATTTTTTATGTTCAACAATTAAATGGAAAAATAATATTGATTTTAGTGATCATTGCATGAAACGAGCATTTATTCTATTTGTTTATACATTTTTCTTTATTACAAAGATTTAAACATATTTGATATAAATAATAATTTCGACTATAATGCTTAAGTTAAAATTTTACTTTATATAAACTAATTTGTGAAGTTTTAATTTTGAATAAAAATATGCTAATCTATTATTAGAAGTTACAATTAATTTAATGATATCCTTTAAAAAAATTTCAAATTTTATATAATCAAATATAAAGAACATAGTTAATGTAAAGGTTTTCTTTATTATATTATAAATAAATTTACATTAAATTTTCACTATTACTTATAAAAAAGAGAAACAAAACTGAAAATTAAAAATTTTTTATTGAATTTTCTTAGTAATTATTCATAGTAATATTACTAATAATTAATCATATGACTTTATGGGTAATTTAGTCTATCATTAAAAAACATTTAAATAAAAAAATTTCCTTTGATGTCTTAATTTCATAATATTTTTTTTCATTTATTATTTAACAAACAAACAAAATAAATAACTCTAAACCAGCAAATTAAATTTCTATTTTTAGGTAAAAGCTAGCTTATTAATTAAATAAAGGAAGAAAAGAATTGGTTTTTGATTCCAGATAAATTATATTTATATATATAAATAACTGTTTACAAATTTAAACGATTTAAATAACTTTAATCAAGAAAAGAAGAAATAAGGAAAAGGTGAATCAATTTTCAACTTAAATGCTTCAAATAATTAAAATTTTTTTTACTATTATCTATATATGTAACTCTTAAAATACTTAATAAATTATTAATGAAGTTTATTCCCCTTTAATGTTAAATTAGCTAAGCTCAACTGACTCATTATGGAATCCTCTTGTAGTAAAAGTAGCAACATAGATAGATTTAATATTTGTTTCATTAGGATTCAGAGGAATCGCAATAATCAATGAAAAAGGAGATTAGATACTACATACCTAGGAATTTGGTAATAATTACGTGTAGTATTTTGAATCTACTTCAGATGGGCAATACCTTTTCATTGCAGTTTCATAAAATCTATTGGTTTATCATTTAGATTTTAAAACAAATAATTCCTCTAATTTTGAAATGTAGAACTTTGCTTTATTCTAAAACATAACATTTTAGAAAAATATTTTATCAACTAGTTATAAATAGCAAAAAGAATTATTAATAATAGCAGTAAAAGGTGGTGATATATTTATTTATGATACTTCTATTAAGAATATGTTATCTCTAATTTCAACTTTTAATACAGGTTCTGTTATGATAAATTATTTGTTTCTTTCATAGGATGGTAAATGGCTTTATATAGCAAGCGATGTGAAAGGTCTGTATATGCTTAATTTATAAGAATAATTTGTGACAAATTAAAATGGAAGAAAAATAAACATTTTAAATGCTGCCCAAGGAAGTATTGGATTGAGTACATATTAAGCTATTGCTACAAGAGACAATACTTTTATTTATGCTATTGATTTCTGGTACGGGTTTTTTTACTCAAATTGTTCTCAAGTAGTTAGCAGTAATTCAACTCAATATCCAATATAACTATCTTTCACTGAGTTTTGGCCCTTTTAAGGCATATAGCCTTCATGTCAAAATATCATTATGAATAGGGATGAGACTTTTATTTTCTTAGGAGTTAGATCTTATGGAATTCTCATTTTGGACATCAGATAGAGATATCAAATTCAAGTTTTTGAATTAATAAAGTTAGATGATCTCTTCATTTCAATACAATTCTCAAAAACAGAAAATTATTTATATTTTAGTAGCTCAGATAGTATTTTTACATACACTTAAGTTGAACCAAATTTAAATTAGGATTTACCAAATTTTTTTAACACCCATTAAATTAAGTATCAAGATTTTCTTGATTTGACCTATAAGTGGAGATGCTACATAGATCCTGACGATCAATACCTCATCGGGGGATTTGATGTAAGAGGTTTATATGTATTTCCTTTTAACTAAGACCCCTATAATATGGATGTTAATAATTTCAAAAATTATGATATTCCAGTAAATGCTATTTATTTCGAAAAATCAAACAAATACTTAGTTTTGCCTAGATACTTTTCAGAATAAGGTATTGGAATATTTTAATACAATCCATTAAATGCAAATCCTGATGAATAAAATATTTCTCTTTTAAATTTGAAACTTTTAAAAGACTACAAAATCGAAGATACCTAAGTCTCAGAAATGATTGTTTTTAGTGCTGATACAAAATTTGCTGTGCAAACTTACATGATTGGTTTGATTATTTATGACTCAGCAAATATATTTAACTTAACCATGCTATCTAGATGGTATAATAAGGAATTTATGAAAGGAGATAATCAAGGAGCTTGCTTCACGAGAGATAATAATTGGATATATAGCGCAATAAGATTGTTTGGAGTGTATCTTTTAAATGTTCATGATAAGGCAAATCCTATTCTAACTGATTACATCATAACTCATGGCGGTGAAAATGTTATAATGTCTTAAATATTTGATACATATTTATACTTATTGGATGGTTTTAAAGGATTTGGAATTATCGATTCAAGTTATGCACCTTAATTGCGAATAATTTCAAGAATTCAACTACCAGGATATACTGTAGATGCATGGCTTATAAATGAAGAATAATATATTTTAATAACATCTATGGGAAAAGGTTTTTTAACTTTGATAGACATAAGAAATAAAAATTTCCCACAAATTGTTAACAGTATTTCTTATGAAAATCAATACGCTTTTGCATTATGCACACCAAAAACAAGTGAATATATATTTATAACTACTTCTACTGGAATTATTGTACTTCCAACCCGTAGCTAAATTTAAATTCATACTCATGTAAGTTTAGTTCAGTAAAATAAAATTACAGGATAATAAATCCTAAGCAAACTCTAAAAGCAAGCTTTACCATTTGGTTAAGAGAATTCCAGCATAAATTTAGAATTTGTCTTTACAGTTGGCTAATAAATTCAGTTTAATTTTGCTATCCTCTATCTTATTGACCAAAATATGTAAATTAATAATATTTACTATTATAAAAAAGGAGAAAATCTACCTATCCCTTCTTTTTTCTCCTTTAATAAATTTTCGCAATCCTTGCAATTTTTTGTAGATAAAAGTTTAGTTTAAGAAAATATAAATTATCCAAACCTAAATATTATTCTTCTTTAAACAGTAATTCCTCTGAATACTTAATCATTCATTTAATTTTCAAACTAAACTGATGTTAGTGTGATAAATATCACTTAATCATAAATGATTTACTAATACCTCTAAGAATAAAATATTTTAGACCTTAATGGAATTATTAATAACCAATTTGACTTTACTTAACCTTTCCAGCTAGATTTATAATTTTAGAGCAAGTTGATTGATCCATCAACTATATAAGAAGATAATTATACAATAGTCATCCAATAAATAACTTGGATAATTAAACTAACATTAATGAGATCTTTTTACATTAATCCAATCAAATTTTATGTTCAAACTTCTCTTTCATTTGATAACTAAAATATAAATTAATTTATAACGTCTAATACTCAAAACACAATCTCCCTAACCCTATCTGTAAATAGTTCTGATGGTAAATTAATTTTTAATACCAATCCGAGTGTTGTATTTTAACTTTCTGATTTATAAGATTAATTAATAATCTAAGGAAGCTTAGAAAATGTAAATAAAGTGTTATATAATAAGATAATATTTGCTAATTAAACTTAAATTACTTCAAAAAGCTCTCCAAAAGTAACTCTGACAATTTAAGATGATATAAATTATCCTCTCATAAAATAATTTAATATTTATGAGAGTTAATTTATTATTCTAAAAAAGTAATTATAAGTCAACAGTGAGAACAATCTTCAAATATAAATTAACAAGTAATTTCCAGGAGGTGTTATTTATATTGAATCTGAGATAGCCTTCTCTTTCTCAAAAGATTCTTTTATTGTCTCAGATACTTAGGATTTAACTTACTAATATTTTTATCTTTAATCACCAAATAATTATAATTTGATACCTCCAAATTTTTGGTTGTAGGAATCTGGTAATAGCGATATGTCATTTAAAGGCTCAACTACTTCTAGCATGTTTTAAAAATCTTATAGTTTCAAAATTATTGCCTCAGATGGATATACCTATGCTGAAGACCTATTTGTTTTGGAAGTCAGTGGGATTCCTCTAATTTACTTGCTGAATCTACTACTCAAAATAATTGGCCCTATTGTTTTTTTAATCGGTCTAATTTAGTAAAGAAGTGTATTCTTAAATTCAATTTTCAGGAAAAGAGTAACTTTTCCTGAAGAGGTGGCTGTTTGTAATGAATTTTATATGAAGCAAATCATAATTCAAGGAAATAATTAAAAATACTCATAAATTATTCTGATTTAGCTATTCAATAAAGTATTTTAAGAGAAAAAATTAGAGAGGCTATAAAACTCGCAATAAAGAAACTCATTTACTTTAAATTATTTTTATTAAAAAATTTAAAACAAATAAAATAAATTAGATTATCAAAATAAACAATTTTAAGTTCTTATTACAAGAAATATTAATCTAAAGTAAACGAAATTATTGAAATAAATTTAGGATTTAAAGTAACTGAAGCCTCATGACTAGCCCTTTCTAATTGAAAAAAAGTATATGGACAGTAAAGGAAATATAATGATGTCTCTCGTCATAAAAGATATTCTAAATTATGACATTAAAATAAAATAATTAGACAAACAAAATTTTGAAAATGATATTTAGAATATAGATTCTAAAATTTATAGAGCATTAAGGGCTTAGATTTCTAGATATTTTTTAAACTTAGATTATAGATCATTCATAGTTTATAGCTACATAAAATATTTTTGCAGTAAGGAAATTCAAAATTGTCAAAATGACTGGTTTAAAGCTATAGTAAAAATAGACTACTAATTAGATAATATACTTAAATAAAGCTATTAATCCTAGAGGTAATCAAAAGTATTTCCAAAGCTAGAGTTAAAATATAAAGTATTATTAGAAATACTATAATCCTTGAAATTATTCCCATAGTAATTAAATATAATTCCTGATTCTTTTGAGTAACTTATAGAGCTTTGCATAGAACATCAAGCAAAAATCAATTTATACTTAATTAGAGAAGTCATATTTGCTGATACTTATGGATTTTGTGGAGAAAAAACTTCTAAGTTAAAAGTAGCTTTTGGTTAATCATTGCATATTGATTCACAAAAAATTAAATAAATTATTGCGTGTAAAAAAAGGAAGATAAATAAATGGTTTAGACCTATTTACAAGCTTTTAAATTTAGAGTATACTTAGTATGGAATATCTAAAAATATGAGATTGCCTACTTGGCTTTATTTAGATTAAAAAAATGGAGTGATTATTTTGCATGGAATACCTGTATAAGATGATATTGAAGAAATACTCATAAGAATTTTAGATAACACAGGATATGTAATCTAATAATACATGCTAAAAATAGTAAAAAATTTAAATATAAATTAATAAAGCAATGATATTGATTAAATTTACTAAGTAGCTGATGAGACGAACTATTAAAATCACAGCAATTAGTCATTTAAATAATATAATTAAGAAATAAATATATTGTAAACAAATAACTTAAATAAAACTCTATCAATTGTTAAGAGATATTCGGAGGTAAAACCAATATAAATTAAAAATGAATTTTCTCAAATTTGCCTATCTACATAACTATCCCCTTGTAAAATGAGTGATTATAATTTTAGAGTTAAAAAAAATTCAAAAAATGCTGACAACTAAAATATAGAGTTAATTTCTTTAAATGAAGATCAAAACACTAATAACAGTTTTTTCAATAATAATAAAAATAATAAATATGACCTCACCTTCAGCTAATAGCTTTAATTTTCAAAATTTCTTTAAAATAGGAATGACTTAGAAAAAGAATTAACTCATTCTTAAGAATACAAATATTAAATTCAAGAGAAAAATTAAAGTTTAGATGAAATTATAGAATGAATGAATCAAAATCCTTTAGTATAAAATTGAAATACTCTTGACTTGTCCTCTGAAATAGTAACATGGAGTTATAAAACTAAAATATTATTTTTAGTCAGATTTGTTTAAAATAAATATATTTTTTTAAAAGTTATTTTAATTTGTTGAAATTTGTATTCTCATGAATAAGTTAATAAAAATAATTTTTTTTTTTTTACAGTATGTTTACTTATTATTCGTGTATGTAGCCTTGAAAAAGGCAGTACCATAAGGTACAATATATATTTTTTTTAACTTTGAATTAAAATATATTAAATCTATTATCAGAAGTTACAATCAATCTCTTGAGGTACTTAAAAATACTTACATATTTAATATGAGCAAATATAAAAGAACTTAATTTAAAATTAAATGTTTTTATATATTCTATTATCAATAAATTTACATTCAAATTAAATTTTCAGAGTGATAATTCATTTGAATATAACTAATAATTGCTTAAATGGTTATAAAGAGGTATTAAGTATATTATTAAATATAAATTTAGCGAACAAAATTTATTTAGTACTTTTGATACTAAAATTTTATTAACTTTCATTATATTTTTTTTTCTTTTTAACTACTTAAAACTAAATAAATTAAATAACACAAGAAAAAAGTTCTATTTTTAGATTAATCTAGCTAAATTATTATTTACAAATTAATTAGCTATTTAAATAATTATTAAAATAACTTTAAATAACATTCAAGAAAGAAATAAGGAAAAGGTGGACAATTTTCAATTTTATGCTTTAAATAATTTAATTTTTTTTAACTATTATCTCTTTATGTAACTCTTAAAATACATAATAAATTGATGCAGTTTATTCCCCTTTGATGTTAAATTAGCTAAGCTCAACTGACTCTCTATGGAATCCTCTTATAGTAAAAGTTGCAACAGATATAGATTTAGTATTTGTTTCATTAGGATTTAGAGGAATCGCTATAATCAATGAAAAAGGAGATTAAATAGTGCATACTTAGGACCTTGGTAATAATTATGTGTCATCCTTTGAATCTACTTCAGATGGCCAATACCTTTTCATTGTCGCTTCATAAAATTTATTGGTTTATCATTTAGATTTTAAAACAAATAATTCCTCTAATTTAGAAATGTAGAACTTTGATTTATTATAAAATGTAACATTTTAGAAAAATATTTTAGTTACTAATTATAACTAGCAAAAAGAATTACTAATAATAGCAGTAAAAGGAGGGGATATATTTATTTACGATACTTCTGTAAAGAATATGCTATCTCTAATTTCTACTTTTAATACAGATTCTGTAATGATTAATAATATGTTTCTTTCATAGGATGGATAATGGCTTTATGTAGCAAGCGATGTGAAAGGTCTATATATGCTTAATTTATAAGAATAATTTGCAGCAAATTAATATGGAAGAAAAATAAACATTTAAATGGCTGCCTTAGGAACGGTAGGATTGAGTGCATATTAGGGTATTGCTACAAGAGACAATATTTTTATTTATGCTATTGATTTCTGGTATGGATTTTTTTACTCAAACTCTTCTTATGTAGTTAACAGTAATTCAACTCAATACCCAATATAACTATCTTTCACTGGGTTTTGGCCCTTTTAAAACATGTAGACTGAATGTCAAGTGATGATTATGAATAGGGATGAGACCTTTATTTTCTTAGGTATTAGATCCTAAGGAATTGCAATTTTCGACATTAGATAAAGAAACAATATTCAAGTTGTAGAATTAATAAAGTCAGACACTCTTTTTATTTCAATACAGCTCTCAAAAACAGAAAACTATTTATATTTTAGTAGCTCAAATAGTATTTTTACATACACTTAAGATGAACCAAATTTAAATTAGGATTTACCAAATTTATTTAACACCCATTAAATTAAGTATCAAGATTTTCTCGATATGGTCTATAAGTGGAGATGCTACATAGATCCTGACGATCAATATCTCATCGGGGGATTTGATGTAAGAGGTATATATGTATTTACTTTTAACTAAGACCCCTATAGTCTGGACGTTAATAATTTCAAAAATTATGATATTCCAGTAGATGCTATGTATTTCGAAAAATCAAACAAATACTTAGTTGTACCTAGATACTTTTCAGAATAAGGTATTGGAATATTTTAATACAATCCATTAAGTACAAATCCTGATGAATAAAATATTTCTCTTTAAAATATGAAACTTTTAAAAGACTACAAAATCGAAGATTACTAAGTCTCAGAAATGATTGTTTTTAGTGCTGATACAAAATTTGCTGTGCAAACATATATGATTGGTTTGATTATTTATGACTCAGCAAATATCTTTAACTTAACTATGATATCTAGATGGTATAATAAGGATTTTATGAAAGGAGAGAATCAAGGAGCTTGCTTCACAAGAGACAATAATTGGATATATAGCACTATAAGACTGTTTGGAGTATATCTTTTAAATGTTCATGATAAGGCAAATCCTATTCTAACTGATTATATCATAACTCATGGAGGTGAAAATGTTATAATGTCTTAAATATTTGATTCATATTTATACTTATTGGATGGTTCTTAAGGATTTGGAATTATCGATTCAAGTTATGCACCTTAGTTACGAATAATTTCAAGAATTCAACTACCAGGATATAGTATAGATGCCTTGCTTATAAATGAAGAACAATATATTTTAATAACATCTATGGGAAAAGGATTTTTAACTTTGATAGACATAAGAAATAAAAATTTCCCACAAATTGTTAACAGTATTTCTTATGAAAATCAATACAGTTATGCATTATGCTCACCAAAACTCAGTTAATATTTATTTATAACTACTTCTGCTGGAATTATTGTACTTCCAACCCATAGCTAAATTTAAATTCATACCCATGTAAGTTTAGTTCAGTAAAATAAAATTACAGGATAATAAATCCTAAGCAAACTCTAAAAGCAAGCTTTATCATTTGATTAAGATAACATTAGCAAAAATTTAGAATTCGTCTTTACAGTTGGCTAACAAATTCAGTTTAATTTTGCTATACTCTATCTTATTGACTAAAATATCTAAATTAATAATATTAACTATTATTAACAAGGATAAAATCTACCTATCCCTTCATTTTTTTCCTTTAATAAATTTTTGCAATCCTTACAATTTTTTGTAGATAAAAGTTTAGTTTATGACAATATAAATTAACCAAACCTAAATATTATTCTTCTTTAAACAGTAATTCCTCTGAATACTTAATCATTTATTTAATTTTCAAACTAAACTGATGTTAGTGTGATAAATATCACTTAATCATAAATGATTTACGAATACCTCTAATAATATAATATTATAGACACTAATGGAATTATTAATAATTAATTTGACTTTACTTAACCCTTCCATCTTGATTTATAATTTTAGAACTAGTTGATTGACCCATCAACTATATAAGAAGATAATTATACAGTTGTCATCGAATAAATAACTTGGATAATTAAACTAACATTAATGAGATCTTTTTACATAAATCCAATCAAATTTTATGTTCAAACTTCTCTGTCCTTTGACAACTAAAATATAAATTAATTTATAACATCTAATACTCAAAACACAATTTCTCTAACTCTATCTGTAAATAGTACTGATGGTAAATTAATTTTTAAAACCAATCCCAGTGTTGTATTTTAACTTTCTGATTTATAAGATTAATTAATAATCTAAGGAAGCTTAGAAAATGTAAATAAAGTGCTTTATAATTAAATAATTTTTGCAAATAAAACTTAAATCACTTCAAAAAGCTCTCCAAAATTAACTCTGACTATTTAAGATGATATAAATTATCCTCTCATAAAATAATTTAATATTTACAAGAGCTAATTTATTATTCTAAAAAAGTAGCTATAAGTCAACAGTGAGAACAATCTTTAAATATAAATTAACAAGAACTTTCCAGGAGGTATTATTGATATTGAATCTGATATAGCCTTCTCTTTCTCAAAAGATTCTTTTATTGTCTCTGATACTTAGGTTTTAACTTACTAATATTTTTATCTTTAATCACCAAATAATTATAATTTGATGCCTCCAAATTTTTGGTTGTAGGAATCTGGTAATAGCGATATGTCATTTAAAGGCTCAACTACTTCTAAAATGTTTTAAAAATCTTATGCTTTCAAAATTATTGCCTCAGATGGATATACTTCTGCTGAAGACGTATTTGTTTTGGAAGTAAGTGGGATTCCTCTAATTTACTTGCTGAATCTACTACTCAAAATAATTGGCCCTATTATTTTTTTACTCAGTCTAATTTAATAAAGAAGTGTATTCTTAAATGCAATTTTCAGGAAAAGAGTAACTTTTTCTTAAGAGGTGGCTGTTAGTAATGAATTTTATATTAAGTAAATCATAATTTTAGGAAATATTTAAAAATATTCATAAATTATTATATTAAAGCTATTCAATAAAATATTAAAAGAGAAAAAATTAGAGATAGTATAAAAATCGCTATAAACAAACTCATATTCTTTAAATATAAGTTAATAAAAATCTTAAACCAAATAAAATTACATAAATGATAAACAATTTTAAGTTCTTATTACAAGAAATATTAATCTGAAGTAAACGAAATTATTGAAATAAATTTAGGATTTAAAGTAACTGAAGCCTCATGACTAGCCCTTTCTTATAGAATAAAAGTACATGGACAGTAAAGGAAATATAATTATGTCTCACGTCATAAAAGATTTACTAAATTATGATATTAAAATAAAATAATTAGACAAACACAATTTTAAAAATGATATTTAGAATATAGATTCTAAAATTTATAGAGCATTAAGGGCTTAGATTTCTAGATATTTTTTAAACTTAGATTATAGATCATTCATAGTTTATAGCTACATAAAATATTTTTGCAGTAAGGAAATTCAAAATTGTCAAAATGACTGGTTTAAAGCTCTTATAAAAATCGATTACTAATAATGTGATGTACTTAAATTAAGCTAGTAATGTTAGAAGTAACAAAAAGTATTTCCAAAGCTGGAGCTAAAATATGATGTGCTATTGTAAATACTATAATTCTTGAAATTATTTCCTTAGTAGTTAAATATAGTTCCTAACTCTTTTGAGTAATTTATTGAGCTTTGCATAGAGCATTAATCAAATATCAATTTATACTTAATTAGAGAAGTCATATTTGCTGATACTTATGGATTTTGTGGAGAAAAAACTTCTAAGTTAAAAGTAGCTTTTGGTTAATCATTGCATATAGATTCATAAAACATTAAATAAATTATTGCATGCAAAAAGAGGAAGATAAGCAAATGGTTTAGACCTTTTTACAAGCTTTTAAATTTAGAGTATACTTAATATGGAATTTCTAAAAATATGAGATTGCCTACTTGGCTTTATTTAGATTAAAAAAATGGAGTGATTATTTTGCATGGAATACCTGTATAAGATGATATTGAAGAAATACTCATTAGAGTTTTAGATAATACAGGATATGTAATCTAATAATACATATTAAAAATAGTAAAAAATGTAAATATAAATTAATAAAGCAATGATATTGATTAAATTTACTAAGTAGCTGATGAGATAGAGTATTAAAACGACAGTAATTAATCATTTAAATATAATAATTAGGAAATAAAAATATTGTATACAAATGACGTTAATAAAACTCCATCAATGTTTAAGAGATATTCTGAGGTAAAACCAAGATAAGTTAAAAAGTAATTTTCTCAAAGTACCCAATCTCCATCACTATCTCCTTGCAAAATGAGTGACTATAATTTTAAAATAAAAAAAAATTCGAAAAACACTGATAGTTAAAATATATAGTTAATTTCTTTGAGTGAAGATCATAACACCATGAACAGTTTTTTTAATAATAATAGCAATAACAAATATGAGCTCACCCTCAGCTAATAGATTCTCACTCCAAAATGTCTCTAAAATACGAATGATTTAGAAAAAGTATTAACAAATTTTTCAGTCAATAAACATTCAATTGATGAGATAAATTAAAATTTAGATGAGATTATAGAATGAATCAAAATCCCTTAGTGTATATTTGAAAATCTCTGGAATTTTCCTAATCTGGTATAATAAAATTAAGATAATAAATATATATATTTTTTTAATTATTTTAATTTTTAAAATTTTTTATTTTATGAGCAATTTAATAAAAATAATTTCTATTATTTTATGTGTTTATATTAGTTGGTTAATAAAATAACATTTTTATAAAAACTAATTCATTTTATTATTTAATTACAAATTTAGTCTTATTTTTAAAAAATTTGTTTATTGAATTTTTTTTAATTATCTATTAATTATTGGAATTGTTTAAGTAATTTATAATAATTTAATTTAAATTGAAAATTAAAAATGGTGAATGAAAGAAAGAAATAAGATGATATTTTATGATAAATTTATTTTACAATTATATTTTTATACAAATTTCCATAATTGAATATGAATTTATACAATTTAATAATTTTTAATTTTATTTATTTTATAGTTTGAGTCAAATATTTTAATATGATTGATATATCAGTCCAAAAATGTATTAATAGATTAATATAATATAATAATTATTATTATAAGTTAAATATTTATTTTTATTGCTTTAGAGTTCTATTTTAGCTCATTAAAGCATAAGCTTATTTATTATATATAAAAATTGCATATGATAATCAATAATTATTATAAAATTATTCAAAGCTAACTTTTAAAGTTTTGAATTATTAAATAAAAAATATTTAGTGATGTTAATTATTATTTAACCTATGTATTATTATTTACTTATTTAAACAGCTTGAATTAGTTTTTAAGCATTTCAAATTAATTTTTAATGAGTTTTTATGATTAATTTATTATAAATAATTCAGAAAATAACTCAATCATCTAGCTATCTTGAAGGATTTTGCATAACAACTCTACTTGAATTTATATTTGAGTTATTATTAGTGTTAGTTGTGTTACTATTTAAATATTACTATAGCTACGAATTACTACGGTCAGAATGAGTGTTGTATGTATTGTGAGTTGCTGCTGTAGAACCTGTTCTACTACCATTACTACTTTATCTTTTAGCTGATTAAGTTCCATCATAGTTGTAACCAGCAAATAAATCTATTTTTAGTTATTCGCGTATTTAATTAATTATAATGTTACAAAATAAATATTACTTTAAACAGAATTTCTTCTAAGTAGTAAACCATTTTATTAATTTAGATCTTCATTTGTATCTCTATCATCAAGTGAAATTTATTAGCGATAATCATAATTATCTTCTATAGACTTAATTAAAATATTAGAAAAAATTTAAAATAATTTTTATTATTTAGCTTAATTTTTTACTTAAGGTACAAAGGGTGATTCTAATTCTTTATTTTACAATTTTTACCATGGGAAATTTCTTAACCATGGATGATTTTTTACTTCTTCAGGACCATTTATACCAAGTCTGTTCATAGGCTTTCTTTGAATCATCTTTAAAAAACAAATAAATAGATAAATAATTAGTCATCTTAAAATAAAAAATTTACTCTATTGATGAAATCAGCAGCCTCAATAGACCACCCATCAGGAATTTCATGTTTCTTTATTTGAACTTGCTTAGCAAGAATTTAATCTCTAATCTCTTTACGGCTTCTGCCAAGATATGGTCTCTTTAAAAAAAATAAAATATACTTATAAATACAAGTGCAAAATAAACAATATAAGTTTTACTCTTCCCATCATGAATTCATATCCAATAACACCCACAGCAAAATAATCAACAGCTATGCCGTGATTTTATCTGCACATTACTTCTGGTGCCATATATCCTGGAGTTCCTGAGGTATCTTAAGAATTTTCTGGTTTCCAAACACGGGCAATACCTAAATCTGTCACTCTTAAGTAACCCGAATCATCCATAACTAAATTCTCAGGCTTTATATCTCTGTGAATTATATTATTTAAATGAAGATATTCTAGGCACATCATGATGCAGGCAATGAAAAACCCTAAATATTAAATGATAATTTAGTGTTAAATTATTGTTTATAATTGTAATTTAGTTTACTTGTCTATACTTCAGAAAATCTTCTATGTTTTCCTATGTGGAATCTTAAGTCTCCTCCTGTTAACAAATCCATGACTAGATATAAATTTTCTCTATCTTAGAAGGCAAAGTTCATGTTAACTAAAAATCTAATTTAAAAAAAATAGATTATATTTTCGTAATTATTATGATTTTTAATAAATATTTAATAATTTTGATAAAATTTTTTCTAAAAATTAATTTTTCTTTTTAAAAATATTTTTTTACGGGTTTTTTAATTAGCTAAGCAATTATCTTTCACTCATAACAGAATTTACACTTCTTTTAGTTATAATCCTAAATTTATAAATTTTTAAAATTGATTAAATAAAAATTAACATTAATTTCAATAAAAATCAAAAAGATTTATGAAATATAAATATTTACTTTGATTTTGACATTTCTTTCATCGCGTAAACTTTCTTAGTTTTTTTACTATCAACTTTCCACACCTTTTTTATTTAAAATTAAAACAATTATATTAAGCTAAATCAATAACAAAATATTGATTTATAAAAAAATATACTTTGCCGAATCCTCCTTTACCAATTACATAGTGAAAATTAAACATATTTCTGCTCATCGTACCAAAGTAGTATGGATCTTTCATGTCAACTAAAATATTTAAAATAGTTACATTTTATCAATATAAATTAATAGACTTACGTGAATTTTAAATTCTCATAGGGGAGGGTTCTTATCTTTCGTTTTAGCGCGATTCATTTCGGGATTCGACTCCTCTTGATGAGTTTTTAGAAACGCTTTTAGCAGGCATTTGATCATTTGTCTAGAAATTATTAAGGAATATGTGATTCATAAATGGTGTCCCTTTATATTTCTCAAGTAGTTGTTGCTCTTATTACTTTAAAACAAAAAGATGAAATAAAATTTGAATGATTTATGATTTATATAATAAAAAAATTAATGGTAAATTTGATAATTTTATTTTTCCTTATCTTAAAATTGAGGAAATAAAGTTAAGGGATTTCAGAATGAAACCAATTTTTTTAATAAAAAAGATTCTTCTTATTTTCCATTTCAAAAGGTGTTAATTTATTATTTTTTCTTTATTTCCATCTATTTTTTGGTAGTTTTAAACCTATAAATAGATAAAATTTCAAAAAAGTTTCCATTTTTTTAATTTTTTCTTATTTAACATTTATGTTTATTCACTTGCATGCATATAAGTTAAGTAATTTTTCTAGTAAATAATTAAGTATTTTTACTTTTAATTATATATTTTTTACTTGGCGATAGGATTGAGCAGGAGGTTAAGGTGGATATTATTGGTTAGATTTGCTTGTCGAACGGTCTCTATGTGATTCAGGTCTATGAGAGTCTATTCTATCCATAGATTTGTCATTCCTTGAATTATTTCTACTGTAAGAGTGGTGATGATTATTAGGCATTCCGCTTGCATTGTATCCACCAATAGAACCAGCTCCACCAGAAGAATTTCCATATGGAGCGCTGCTGCTACTATGAGGATGATAGTAAGATTACTATTACTACTACTAGAGCTGTTGCTGCTATTACTATAAGTGAAGCTATAATTACTACTATTAATAAATTTACAATTATTGCTATTATTGCTATGAATAACCTTAAGTCTATCCTTATTATTATCCTCCTTAAATTTGCAGAGAAGTTGAAGGCTGGTACATAGAATTATTATACTCTCTACGAGATGATCTGCTAGCTAGATATTAAGAATGAGACATGTGATGAGGAGAAGGAACTGGAGAGTGGTAATTTGAGTGATTTCCTCCAGCAATATGAGAGTTATTATGAGATATTTGTTAGGATTACTGTTATTATTATGATAAATGCAAGGAGATTACTTTTGGTTTTTCAGGTTGGGAATTTTTGTTGACAGGCTAACTATTTCCATAGCTGTAAGGATTGATAACTGAAGTAGTATTGCTAAGATAGCTGCTTATGTTTGTTGCATTCAAACTACTATTATTTTAGTTATTTATATTTGAATTAATATTCTGCATGAGATTATTCACGTTAGGAATGTTTACACTATTGCTACCATTATTAACGTTAGAATTATTACTAACCATTAAACTATTTATCATGTTTGTGTTTGTTCCGCTTAAGTTTAAATTACTATTTGGGTTATTACTGCTGGATGATGCTGCATTTTCAATAAATATACTACCATTCCTTGAGTTAGGCTTGGAGGAGTTTAAAGATTTCTTTTAAGAAACATTTGCTGAATTGGCTATCATAAATTTATTCTTGTTATGAGTAGCAGAGAAGGCTGGAAATTTAACACGAGCAGAGCCAATAGCAGAATTAAATCCGCTTCCATTAGCACTACTTCCTCCTATTAAGTTATTTTAATTCATATTTATGCCTTCTTCTAATTTATCTGAGTACTTGTAATTGTATAGCTCCTTTAAATTTCTTATTCCTTGTATATGAGACATGCCCTTTTTACCAAGTAGCTGAAGATTTTTGTAATTTGATTTAATATTTGTCCTTTTGTGTCTAAAATTGCTTTCAAATCAATGCTCCTTATCACAAAAATTGCTTAAATATCTTTGTTTATTAAATATTTGTATTCGAAAATGTTTTAACTTTTCTTTCTATTATTAAAATGATTCTAATTGTATCTCTGTCTTCTTATTTATTTCAAGCTAATATTTTATAGTTTATATATTACTTCAAAAATCCTTGAGTTAGTAAAAAAAAATCTTCTTTCAATAAGAAATCAAATGCGAATTTTCAGCTATTCTATTTTTCTTAGTTTAATTAGTTAATTAATTAATTAATTAATTTGTTTCTTGAGAGGTGTCTGACTAATTGATATTTATCACTATTTGATTTTTAATCAAAATATATTTATTTATATTTTTTAAAGTTGTTTGTGATAACAACAAACACAATAATATATAAATAATTTGGTTGATTTTCAATTAATAACTAAAATGCATACCAAATTTAATTGTTATTATTAACTTGCAGAATGCCTTTACCAGCTTTTTATTTCCAATCTTTTATTTATTTCATTTGTTTGTTAGCTTTTTCTGTTTACTTTTAATTTTCATTTCTATTTTGTATTCTTAACTTTTCCTTTATAATTTGATCAATTCTAAATGTTTCACAAAATTTTTGATATTTTTATGGATAAAATCATGATTTAGTTTTTAACTACTAATTTTTTACATATTTCATCCTAATAGTTAGAAAAATGTGCATTCCATATTTTTTCTTTATTTAGTTTTTTTCTATTTGTTAAATTTTTGCATTTCTAACTACTCCTAAAACACCATTCGTTTTATTTATAATAAAAGTAATACTTTTATTTTCTTCAAAACTTAATATCATAGCATTTTCTATCATTTATAACCATTTATTTGATATATGATTTAAAAATACTTTATTTTTTTGATATTTTATTTGAAAATAATTATTTTATTTTTATAATTTGAAGTGAAATTAATTTTAACTTAGTTATATTTTAAATTATAAAATTAATATAATCATAAATTTTTTATTATAATTAGCTTTTTCTATTCATATATATAAAAAAATAATTTAATATGAATTTATTTTTTAAAATTTATTCAAAAAAATATCATTAATTTTAAAATTCACCATCTTTTTTGATAAATTAATTTAATTAAAATAAAATATATTTAGTTAAGTAATTATTTAATTAATTTCAAAATCAAAATTTACCTTTTTCTTTTTGTTTTCTTATTTAATATCACAAATAAACAAATATAACTTAAATGTAAAGAGATTTTGATAAAATTTTGAACCAAATTTATGATAAAATGAATCATCGAGAAGAAATGTTTTCTAATTCTTTTCAAGAAAATTATTTTTAATATTTTTTTTTGTAAATTTAAATTTGTTATTAAAAGAAAAAGCATAGCTCTATATTTTTAGTAAATGCATTAAAAATTAATCAAAAAATAAAATAGTAATGGATGCAAATTATTTTCTTCTATTTTTGAAATTACACTCTTAAATATTGAAAAATGTATAAATTACGCTAGTAAAAAAGAATATTTTATTTAATTTAATAAAAAAATTTAATTTAAGCTACTGGAAAACTTGTGATTTAAATTATTTATTAATTATTATATCTATTTTTTTGACATTTTTTTTAGAAATTAATATTGGGTTTCTAAATTGCAAACATTTTTGCTTTCAAAATTAATACAGTAAATATTATTTGGTATGCTTTTTTTATTAAAATATTAGATTATTATAAAAGATATTTGATTAAAAAAGCTATCCGAATTTTAAATAATATTAACATAGTTAAGTTAATATAAATGAATCTTAAGGATTAATATAAAATATTAAATTAATTTAGCGAAGGGAAAATTTTTTCTTAAAATATCCATTATAATAATAATAATTAATATTCTTAGACTTGATTACTTTTTTTATTGATTTAATTAATTGATTGAAATTTAATATACATGCAATAACTTAATAAACAAATAATAATTAAAATTAATAAAACAATAATTATTATAATTAGCTTAAATCTGCGTAAATATTAAAGAAGATTTAGTAAAATAGCTTTCAAAATTTTAAGATTAAAATAATGGACTCTTTGTATACACTTACAATTTTTACATTATTGTTTAAATTATCTCTTTAATAAATATGCCCTTTCGATTTCAACTTAGGGTATACTTCCAGGAACTGCTAAGGAATGGTTACAGAAAATGTAATTTTTGGTGGAGAATTGTTCTACTTTAAATACTAGGATCAATTTATTAATCTCATGGTTGATTATGGTAGCTCAGGATTATTTGGTGTATGGAATTTAACTGATGCAAGTCTTCTTTATACTACAAACTTTTACTAAGATAATAATATTGAGTTTCATTCTATTTATGTTGATAAGCATGTTGGGATATTTGATAAAACTATATCTTAGTCATTTGTATACATACTAGATAAAAATTTAAATGTATACTAGTAAAGTCTTTACTAATAGCAGGGTAAACTGATCTTAACAGGCTCACCTATTGCTAATAATTTCCCTTTATCAGTTAAAGTATGCTACAATATTAAAACAAATGTTCTATTTTATCCTTAAAATAACTAGGTAATATAAAATTTAATGATTAATTTTTCAGAATACTTTTTATTTGATTTTAAAATAGAAATATTTAGTTTATAGTTTTTGGTATATCTTAATTTAATTCATTTTAATATCTAAAGTATTTAAATGATTTTTTTACTTGTAATATTTTAATTGTTTTTAGTAATAAGTAATATTATTATTTTTTTTAAAAGGTCTACTAGAGAAAAAATAATTTAGATTATTCAGTAGAAATAGATTCTGATGGTGTTTAGTGTGAAAGTGATTTTAATTAAGAATATATATTTATTCTATCAGCTTAAAATTAAATCTATATGATTAATCAAAATTCCTTTTAAATAGAATAAAAATTTAAGTTTGATTATGGAAATATCATATATCTACGATTTGATATTAATTAAGGATTAACATTTTTAAGTAAAAATAATACAGGATACACCATTTTTAAATTGAGTTCCAATTTAAATAATATAGTGGCATTATTTTATAATCCAAATTAAATTAATGATTATGGATTTCAAAAAGACAATACTTTAATTGCATGCGGAGTTAATTCTTTAATTACTTTTGATAATTAAATTATAAATCCATCAACTACAGGAATAGATACAACTGATTATGATTATAAAAATATTTAGCCTAGTTTGGATTTAAATTAATTAAACTACACTAATTTAATTATAGGAGATGATTACACAGTATTTTTTGGTAGTTCATAAATTATAACTGTAGTAGTAAACAAAAATCGAGTAGTTTAACTGAATAAATATATAATTTCATAGTAATTTTTTAAAATCCAAATATTTCCTTTCAAAGATAAATATTTAATCATTATAATTTTTATTAATAAAGACTTCTTGTTGGACTCAAACCTAATGCAATTATTGAAGGTTCTTTATTAAAAACATTATCATCAAGTGGTCTTTTATTTATAGAAATATCAAATGGGTAAATAAAAAAGCATACAAGTTGCTTTAAGCACTTAGATGTGTATGAAGAGAAAATAGTTGCTTTATATTTTGATGATGAATTGCTTAGAATTTATGCTCTTGAAAACCAAGGAAAGTTAGGTTACTTTAGTTATCCTAAAGGTGAGTATTTAACCTAGTACTACAACCTTTCTTAAAATAGTGCTGGTGTGTACAATAAAGTAAATAATAAATTCATTAAATGTTTTTTAATTACCCAATTCCTCATTATTTAACACTTAAATTAATTATCGCGAAAATTCGTAATTAAAAAAAATTAATTGTAAAAAATAACCTAGTTTATATACATTTCTAAAATATTAAATAAAATTAAAACTTACATTATTTAAAATAAGTTTAGTTTTTTAAGTATTAAATTCTTAAAAATCTAATATCTAAATAAAAAATCATATTTATATTTATTTAAAATAGTAAAAAGATCAAATATATATTTGGGGTACATAAGGACCTTCAAATTTTGTAGTTGTAACCTCATATATTGATGGTACATTTTTGAGTAAGCTTTAATTTAATGATTAGTTTATTGTTAATAACGTATACTACAATAATAATATCGATATTATCATAGTTGTTGATCCTTCTTAAAAAATATCTATTTTTAGCTCCTAAAAATTTTCACTGCTTTATGAATAAGATATTTACAACAACCAGATCTAAATTTTTTTAAATTAGTAAGGAGCCATTTTTGTATTTTAATCAACTATATAACTATTAACTAAAAATCAAGCTAATGGCTAAATATCAACTATTGATCTAAACATAAATCAGTTTATCTTTTAATAAACTTACCTTGATATAATTTCAAACTCTTTAATAATGGCTAAAGCAGATGAAACAATACAAGTAATTCATTTATTCCTAATATTATTTGGAAAAACATTTTTTTAATTATATTTTATTTTAGATACTAAGTATAAATAGTTAATACAATACAGTGAGCAAAAATTTATAAACATCATTAAAAAATAATTAAATAACTTAAAATATTTGTTTTGGAGAATAATACATAGTAATTTTAATGAATTATCCAAACTAAATTGTAATTGTTAATAAATTAACAAACGAGGAAAACATTATTAACAATTTAACAATGATGCCTAATTAATGCCTGCTTTTGCTTAACGAAAAACTACTTTTAATTATTTCTAATGTAAGTGATCTTTTATTTATCAATATGTCATCATTAAATATTATTAAAACCGATGTTTTAGATGAATTAAGCAGTGTTTCGAAAATAGAAATTGATATATAATAAAATTTGCTCATAATCTTATTATCAAGCTCTAAAATAATTAGCTATGATATAATCAATCTAAAATAAGTAAATTATTTTATATTAATAAATTCACTGAATCATTTTGTATTAGGTTTGTGATTGGACACCGTTTAATTCAATTAATGTCTCTACATTCTAAATTAATATAAAATATAAAATGATTGTTTATGGTTCTGGTTTATAAATGTTTTTTACTGATTACTCTTAGAAGAAGTTAATTAATTAAATTAAAATTACTGAAGGAGCATAGGGAGGAGTTGTAGATTATTAAACTAATAGTTTGTTTGTTTTTACTAATAAAATTTATTAATATGATCTATAAACAAATAATCTTTTACAAGCTTCTTAATCATAAGTAATTTTTATAACATTATTAAATATGTGAAATATTTAAAATTTAAATTAGCATGATAATATCATTACTCAAATGACTATAATTTACGAATGGAATATAATTATAACTTCCTCTTTTGACAATACTCTCGCTATATGGAGCTACCCTTAATTATAATTATAGTAGAGACTCTACCAAGATCCATTAGATTGTGGAAAAGTGAATAATTTTGAAATAGAACTTTAAAGAAATAGAATATTTTCAGGATGTGAGCATGGAAGCATTTATATTTGGAAGAAATATCAATTAAATAATACATTTTACCTAGGAAATAATTTAAAACATATTTTGTCATCTTGGAATGTCACCACAATTATTGTTGATTATTAGAATGATTATTTATTCTTAGTTGGAGTAAATTAAATTTTTAATTTATATTTGAAATTTATTAGGAGCAAAATTTATCCAAATAAGATAAAAAATAAACGTTAAAATTATTTTTTTATCTTTAAAGCATAATTTGTAATATAAAAATCTAATTTAAAATTTAATAAAGTGGAATTGGTATCCATTAATACTTCAGCTAAACACAATAGAGTAATCTGTCAATGCTATAGCATAATTAAAAGGAATAAATGCAGTATATGACAAACTTAATTAATGCATAATACTTTATGAGCAAGATGGAAATGTTTGGAATTATAATATTACTTCAAGGAGTTATATTTTTAACTAATAAAATGCTATTCACTAAGTATTTTTAAACAAATTATGTTAATTAAAAGAATATATATCATTTTTACTTTTTAGGGATGGGTTAGATCAGTTGTAATTGATCCTCAAAATTAGATGTTTGCAAGCATGGGCGATGATTGTACAATATAAATTTGGCCATACAACTCTTAATTAAGCTAAATTCCTTATTACTTATTTAAAAACACAGCAAAAATTTAGGATGGAAAATTAGATTTAGTAGATTATTCACTTTTGTTATTTACTGATTTTAAAATTCTTTTTTTAAATTTAGGACAATTAGGTTTTAATTATTTAGGATGCAAATTTTAGAATAATTTTACTCTAATATCCTTTACTTTATATGCTTAAAATATTTGATTCACATGTTGCTAAAATAAACTCCTTCATTATTAATAAAAATTAATTTCAAGTAAACTTAAATTCACTTTTTAATTGATTATACCTTTACATTTTTAATATATTTTTAATATAGATTTTATCATTTTCAAATGACAAAACTGTTATGCTTTGGGAATATGAACTTGGGATCGAATAAAGCTACTTCTAAATAGTTCATAGATCTACCTCAATTATGAGCTATGTTTATGATGAAGAAGAAAGCTCTGTTTATTATGTTAGATCAGAAGGAAATGTGTAAAAGTGGTAGATAACAAGTGAATAAACAGACAATGGATTTAATCTTTAATATAATGATAGATTTAATAACACAATATTTATGATGAATAATGAAGTTTTTATTTTAGCCACAACTAAGTAGCTTAAGTTGATTAAAAAGAGCTCATTATAGGTATTGTAAAGTATTCGTACATAATGCTCTCACAGTGTTAATAAGTAAAATATAATTATTTGTGGATATAACAATTAACTAATATCTTATTAACTAATTAAATCAAATTCTCTTGAATTTTAAATACAATAACTTTATACACAAAACCTAGAATTACCTTTGTATAAATTATAAAATGGTATTTAAGATTCAACTGAGTTAATAGTTATTCTAGTAAATCACTCAATTTTTTTCATCGAAAGCTCTACAGGTATAAAAACTAAATAGTTTCCTAAAATACACTAATAAGTTATTGTAGATTTGATCATTTTTAATTAATAAACAATGTTCAGTTATTCTTATGATGGTTAGTTAGTCTAATATAGTTTATTATAAACTTAAATTTAAATTGATAGATAAATTCAATTAGATTATCCTATACTCCAGGTTATCATAAATAGTGATTATATTTTGGTGAATCAAAAAATATATAATTATTGCTTAATATATAAAAATGATAATTAAAAAATATTTAAATAACTAGCTCTTCTTTAAACGGCTTCTCGTTGGTAAACGAATTAGTAATTTATCCTTTCTCCTGAAAATTAAACTATTCTTGTGAGCTCTGACTTTTATTATATTTCATATGATTATTAATCTTTTAAAATGTAATATATTTATCAAAGTAGTTCTTTAGTGGAAGCTAACTTTATGAAAAGAAAAGTAACGTTGATCTAAGGAAATTAGTTTTTCATTTAGTAAGGACAATCTTTTATCATTATCGCTTCAAGTGATCCTTCACAACAGAACATGAGAGTGGTCTAAAAAATATAAAATAGAAATTCATTTTATGAAAACATAAAAATTAATGTAAATAAAATCAGTGGGCAATATATTGTAAATGTACTCTCTTTTAACCTTCAAGGGTTTAATCATTTAATGACTGATACACTTGGCTAAATGTCTTGCTAACAAAATATGTAAGATTCTAATTTTTTTGACATCTACAAAAGAATACGTGATTACTTAAATTTGAGAAACAACTTGTAAATTGATAATAATTTATCTATGCCCCATTTGTTTAATTTAGCTATGAGCTAACCTTTTACATTTTATGGTTTCCCTTAAATAAATTCTAAATTCTAAATGTCTGTTTAGTTAACTGTATAGGGTACTAATTAGTAGAATTAAATTCGTGGAAACTTCTATATGAATTAATTGTTATCATCATAGAATTTAGTAGTTATTTAACTAAAAAATTTGATTATTGAACTCAAAGATCAAGATTAACAAAATTAGATAGATAATTAGACATTATAGCAAGTCCAATTTATTTCAAGTTAAATTATTTTTAACAGTTAGCCTTTTTCTATTAATAATTTGGAGTTATTTCTATTATAAAATGTAAGTATATCAAAGTAAAATATTTCATTTTATTAAAATACCTTCATTATAAAAAATACTTAATAATTAATAATCGAAGATTGCTACATAGCTGAAAATTAAATTAATGCTCCTACCTTCTTTACTTTTAATAATTCAATTAATTACAATAAGTCCTCGCAGTTTATTTTTAGAAGAAATCAATTAAAAAATAATAAATTTAACTAAAGCACAATATTTTAAATCTAGTTTTTAGCAAATATTTTGTTTGAGAGCAATGAAATTTTTGATAATTATAGTGAAGAAAGCTCATTTTTAATATAATCATTCATAACTACCAATATTATAATTTAAGCAATCTAATTTAATAACAACATCAATTTAGCAATTATAAATAACCAAAAACTGTTGAAGTAATTGTAAAACTCTTTATCACTTAATATAGAAGTAGGGGATAATAGCCTAGAGATTTCAAAAAGTATTATTAACTAAAATAAATATTTAGCTCCAGGTAGTTATATGATAAAAACTAATTCATCTAATATTTTACTATAAGCAACTGACATAAAAAATCAAATTAGTAATTCACAAGTTAGTTTAATAACATTAATTTCATAGAATATTTCAATGAATTATTTCAGTATTTAAGGAACTTAATCATAAAATTAATCACCTGTTACAATTAATTAAAGCTAAGTATTTATAGACTAATCTTATTTTAGCTCAAATAGCCTTTTTGAAACATAGTCAGGTGGAGGTGTTTTCTATTTTACATCTTCTTCTGTAAATATCTCTAATAGTATTTTTTCTTAAAATTCTGCATAAAGTAATTTAGATTAAAAATTTATTAATTTTTAATAATAATTTAATTATATTACATAGATGGGGGATGTATCTATTTTATTGATGAGTGCAAAGGGTTAATTTAAAATGTTACTTTTAATGACAATATTGCCAGATAAAATGGTGGTGTTTTATTATTAGACAATTCTGATGCTTAAATTAAAAAAAGTTCATTTTTAAATAATAAAGCATTAATAGGAGGAGTAGCTAGGTATTTAACTTTTAAACCTTAATTCTTATAAAAAGGCTAATCTAATGATTTCTTAGATTCATGTGGAACCATTTTTTAAAACATTTGTACATAAAATTAAGGTTAATTATATGGAAATAATTTTTGTTCCTATCCTTAAAGTGCTAAAATAAACAATTAAACAATTTAAAATAACGGAACTTATACTTTTTATAATGTACAAAGTGGTACATAAAGTTAAATTTTAGAAATATAATTACTTGATGAAGAGGGAAATATTGTAAAAATGTAAAGTTCAGAAAAAGATTAACAAGCTATTATATAAGAATTTTAGTATTATTAAGTTGAGCTTAAAGAATTATACCAAATAAAATAATTATAAGATATTAGTAAAAGAAATTTAAAATTAGATGGAACAACGTTAAAATAGTTTTAAACAAACAAATTTCAGCTAAATTAGTATTCATCTACAGGTATTTAATTAGTAGTTATTATTATTTTTTTTAAATAATAAATATTATCTTATTTCTTTCATAATATATTGCAACAAAAAAATATGTTAAGTCTAATATTATTTTAAATAAATCAGGTTAGTTAGGAAATAAAGGAGAAGGTGTTTTATTTTTTTACGGATTTAACCTTCTGTCAAACCAAAGTTTAAGATTTACTGATACTTTAACAATTTATATTGATTTTATGTTTAGAGAATGTTAAATAGGTGAGATAATATAACCAGCTTGCACATAATGCTCATTAGCTAATTGCTAAACATGCTAAAACGGTACTTATTCAATAATAGACCCTAAGATATAGTTAAATAATTTGCAATGCAAACCATGCGATTATCAATCTAGTAATTATTGTGAAGGTAGCTACATTTCTTTAAAGAAAGGATTTTGGAGAATTAATTAATATGATGATTAAATATTACCTTGCTCTAAATCACGTAATTTATGTAATGGATAAGAAGAAACTAATTATTGTTCAGAAGGGTAATTTTGATAAAAATACTTTATTAATTATTTTTTTAAAGATTTCTTTATAGAATATTTAGATTTTATTTATTTATTTAATTTTGATAACAAATCATAGATTAATAGGACCTTTATGCCAGACTTGTGATTATTTAGGATAATTTTGGAATAGCTCATACGGCACCAATAGTTTAGGAGATAATTGTTTTAAATGTCACACAGATGCAGATTTGATAATGTAATAGATACTTCTGGCTCTTGTAACAATATTATATTTAACATATATTTTCTACGAAACTAAAGTAAATTTGAACTTGATGGTAAAAACTCTAATTTTAGATAAATTAGGATTGATAAGATTAGGAACCTCTGCATAAATAGGAGAAAAATCTTTTTATAGCAGAATTATGATTAGATATCTTTAGATATTTCTAAGTATTTCAACTTTAAGTCCAAAACCAATATTCAATGTTCAAATAATTTCAATTATTTCACCTGTAAGCTCTAATTAAAATTTACTTGATTGCATGCTAGCTAAATTCAAAAACGATATACCTATTTATTACTATAAAGTTTTATTTTTTGTAATAATTCCCTTCCTTATCATTCCACTAGGATTTTTAATCTATACTTTGATCTTAAAGATTTTAAGATGCTTTGTCCATTAAACTAAAATTTCTTTTTATAATGAATTTTAGGTAACTTTTATTATAAATTTCAATTAATAACTCATAATCAATTTTTAAATATAGAAAGATTCCTCTATAGTTTGTTTCATTTTTCTTTTTTTCTTCTTGTAATAAAGTTCTTTCTAATCTTTGATTCAGCCATTTACTTGTAAGTAAGTAGGAAGACAATATTTAGTGAGCTTTTATTTATTAGAATAATGCTATTCTAGATAGCATATATTTTTGATTGTCGCAGTAATACTACCAGCAGTATTTTTATGGATAATATTGATACCAGGAATATTAATGTGGAAGATATGGACTAATTCTAAGCAAAATAATAACTTTTCAAATGAATTTTATCTTACAAAAAAGGTAAAATTTTTCCTAAATATTTCAAAAATTCATTTTCCTTTAAAAAATAGTATGGATTTCTTTTTTATGGCTACAAGAGAAACTTTTACTTATGGGAGTTTTTGGCAATGAATTTAAGACTTATTTTAGTATTTTTTGTTTAATATTTTGATGAAAATATTCTGTGTAGGGCTTCACTTATGTTAGTTTTTCTGTACCTGTATCTCCTACTTTTGTAAAAATATTAAGTAAATTCAATTTTATAAAGACTTAATTTAGAAATCTAATTAATTTTATTTAAAGCCTTATTAAAAGGTAAACTACTTTCATATTGATATGCTCTTTTCATAAATATGTTGTCTTCTAACCATAATAAATATTTTAATGAATGTGATAGATTCAGATATATTTCTGTACTGTGGATAAGTAATAGCTTATATTCTTTAACTAATAGTATTTATGAGGATATTGCTAATGTATTTAAATGCATAAGTTAAATTAAGTTATCATGGATTAAAATAATCAAAATTAATAAAATGTTTTAAAATAATATTGAAAAAGGAATTAATGAAAATATTAGGTATTGAAACATTTTTAAAAAAATACTTATATTATTTTTACTTATTAATATATCATGATGAAGATAATTCGTTTAAGAAATTTAATAATTTTTAATTGTTGAGACTTTGGGTAAAGGATTATATTGAAAAAAGGAAAATAATTGGTTAAAATAGTGAGTAAGAAAACTTGTTAAAAGAGGATTAACCATAAAGCAATTCATTAAGAAAAACTCTACTTTATAGCAGAGCACCTAAAAATTATTTTCAAAGCTAAAGTACAAGTTAAAGAGAAAATAAACCTAAAATATTTAGCTTTCACAAACATAAAAAATTAAATTTAGCTATACCTGAGGTGGTAAATACGAGCATTATTTTAAATATCAATTCACCAAATTAAAATAAATTAAAACAAAAAATGTCTTAAAAATTGCTTTAAATGCAATAATCTGACTTTGAATCTTAAATTACTGAATCTTAAACAGAAAATAATAAACAAGAATCAATTAATAATTAGAATTTTTATTATTTCAAAACCAAAAGTAATATTTTCTTCTAAAATAAATAAAATAAGTATTATTATTTATTTTAAAAATAGATAATTCTAAGAATGGAACCATCATAAATTTTTTAGAATATAATCAAACAAATAAAAATGACATGGATTTAGAATTACTTTCTCCAGATTAATAAAATACCCAAAGATCATTATTCCCTGAAATCAAGGATTAAGTAAATTATTTTCAATTATTTCAAATTATTAAAATAATTTTTTGTTAGACTGACTAGAAAAAATTAGAAATCAAAATTTGAGAATATAATCAAATCTAAAGTGACTACACTTAAGCAATCAATAAATTACTGAATTTAATGATTATCTTAAAATCATATCTAATATCAATATTAATTTAATATTCATTTTTACATGAAAAATATGTACTTTTTAATTAAAATTTTTCTAAAAAAAATTATTTAAAAAAATTTTCATTCAAAAAATGAATGAAAAAAAAAGTTTTATTAGGCCATCATATCTTTTAAAATGAGGAATTAAACTAATCTATATTTTACATTTTGTAAATAATTACTCACTCTACATGAATATCAAATTAGCTTTTAAATGCAATAAGATCATAATTTTTAATAAAATAAAAAAATTTTTTAGACATTTCTTTGCTTTTTGTAAATTAAATAAATTACATTTCCAAACAATATCTATTTCAAATTTTTAAAAGTAAGCTAAAGTGAATTAAAGCATCAATAAAAAAAATTATATGACTGATATCAAATAAAGAATAATAATTTTTCATTATTTCACTTTATAAAACAAATTTATTATAAGTAAAAAAAATTTAATTCATTTAAATATTGATTTTTTTTTATTTTGTTAAAGAAAAAGCAATAATTGCTAATTAAGATTTAAAGCTAAGTATAATAAGTAGATGTTTACTTTTCTAAAATAAATAAATATACTGACAACCATAATTTTATATTTTTACAACATAACTTTAACTAAATAGTAGATTTGCCCATTTGATTTTAATTTAGGATACTAGATAGAGAATTGTTAAAGTTATATATTAACTGACAGTGTGCTTGGCGGGTAGTTATTTTACTTAGGATAATAGAATGAGTAATACTAATTAATGGTAAATTATGGATAAAAAGGTATGATTGGAGCATGGAATCTGGATGACGCTAGCCTTTTATTCAGTAGCAGCTTTTATTCATAAAATTATATTGATATCCACTCTATATTTATATTGTAAAATCAATCTTTGGATTACTAAACTTCATCATAGCAGCAATACATTTATGTAGTTGATACTAACTTGAATGTTTATGAATAAAGCATATATTAGCAGTAAGCTGACTTAATATTACTTTCTCCTTCTAAAATGTTAACATATCCATTGGGTACAAAAGTTTACTATAACATTGAATAAAATGTTTTATTCTTCGTTCTTTAAAATTAAGTAATATTAAAATTATATTTATTTATATATTCTTAATAGAATCATTAATTGACATTCAGTTGTTAAATTTTATAAAGCATTATAACCCTTTTGATAATATTCTATAATAATACTAGTAATGAATATATTTACCTTTAATAATCTATAATAATTTTATTTAAATTGGCAGAATTTAAAATTATTTTTTAAATATTATTTAATAAGCTAACACTTTAATTTAAATTATAAAAATAGGTTTACAAAAGAATGCAAAAATTAGAATTAAAATTAGATTTAAATTCTGTAGGGATTTAATGCGAGAGTGATTTGATTGGTGAATATATTTTTGTTTTAACCTCTTTAAATACAATTTACTTGATAGATTAGGAGAAGTTTTAAATTGTAAAATAATATAATTTTAAAATTGGCAAAATAAATTTATTATACTTTAACTAAAATATGGGATTAACTTTCTAAAGCTAGAATTTAGATTAAAAATATTATATTTATCAAATTAATTCAGATTTTTTAGATGTTAAATAACTGTTTAGTAATTAAAACTAAATAAATGATTATGACTTTTTTGAAGATAAATCAATTGCTGTTTGTGGAAATTAGTCTCTTATCTATTTAATTTCTGATGTTATTAACCCATCAACTGCAAGTTTAAATACTAATGATTATAATCTTTAAGATGGGCAGAATATGAATAATATAAGTTATACTTAACTTATAATTGATTAGAACTTTACGATATTTTATTCTAAATATCTTATCACTATCATCCAAAATTCAAACAGAGTTATTGTCCTTAATAAATGCATTTATGAGTAAATTTACATTTTTATTAATTAACCATTATAAAATAATAATTTTTCATTAAATATTCTTTAACAAATTATAAATAATAAAATATTTTTTAATTAAATGGCATAAAATTTACAGTTTAAAAATTAATTTATTTTATTAATTATTGTTTTAAAATAAATAAAAGCCATTTTAAAATTAATTAAATGAGTGCTTTAGTAGATGGCTTTACACTAAAAACTTTATCTTCAAGTGGTTTATATTTTTTAGATATTAAAAGTGGTTAGATTATTAAAGATACAAGCTGCTTTTCCCACTAAGATGTTTATTAGGAGTTAATTAATAATATATACTTTGATGATGAGTTATTTAGGATTTATGTCATAGAAAATAAAGGAAGATTAGGTTATTTTAGTTTCCCATAAGGAAGTTTTCTAAAATTAATTTACTACTTAAAACAAAGTAGTAATATGGTAGTTAATAAGGTAAAATTAAATTTTTTACTTTTTCCAAAAATAATTTTAACTATATTAAAAGTAATCAAATTAAATTTATTTATGGGGAAATACTAATTTCAACTATTTGGTAGTGATTTCTTACTATGAGGGGACATTTTTGTATTAATTTAATATGCCTTCAAATTACCATATTGGGTAGGTTTATTATGATAACTCTCTCAGTATTATTGTAATTGTTGACAATACAAAAGGTATTTACATATTAGATCAAAAAACTTATCAGTAAATCTAATTACTACAAGTCAATACAGCTTAAGTAAACATATATTTTAGTTTCAAAGGGATGATAATTGTGCTTAGTGATAAAAGTTATTTATTCTCTAAAAATAGTGATGGTATTAGCTATAATTTATCAATATAGAATGCCAATAATTATTTATAATAATATATTTTTTTTGACTCTAATTCACAATATTTGCTGTTGGTGATGAATAATCTATCTATATAGGTAATTATTTTATTAATAAGTTGTCATTTTATAATTTTAATATTTATTTAGATTTTTGATTTCAGTGGAAGTAGTAAATTTTAGGGCAAAATAGTAAGCAGTCTAATTAAAGGTTAAGAAATTTAAAATATTTGTTATAGTAATTAATATTTAATTATTTTAACATCGTCGCCTAATTCAATTTTAATTTACAATAAAAATACTGATGAAATATTACATTTAGATAATTTAACTGAGATATTAAGTAGTTGTTATTTAATTTTAAATGAAAAGTATGTAACTGTGTTATATACAATCAGTTAGTTTATCATAATAGAAATAAGTACTCAAACAATTAAAAAGAATTAAATATTTGACAATTTAAGCAGTATAATATCAGTTTAGATCGACTAATAAAAAAATTTGTTTATTTTTCTTCTAAACAACTCAAGAATTATAAGCTATGATTATTTAAAATATGAATAAGTAAGTTAAAAAGATGTTATTTAATTTTAGAGTTATTTATAAATTTTAAATAGGTAAGTGATTGGGTAGCATCCCTTGCTCCTAGAGTAACAACATTTTAGATAAATACTAAATATAATGTTATTATCTATGGCGCAGGATTATAAATATACATAATCGATTACTCTTAAACAAATTATATGAGCTAAATTGTGGATAATGATAAAGTATTAGGAGGTGTAATAAATTATGAAAATTAGAGTTTGTACACCTTTAACAAAAAAATTTAGTAGTATGATTTGTCAACAAATACTTTAATTAATACTTCTAATTTTTAGGTGAATTTAAATTTATTTAAAATTGTGTAAAAATTTATATATTATTAAATATAAGCATGATGATATAATTAGCAAATTATAAATTATTGAAGAGTGGGATATGATGATAACTTCTTCATTTGACTATACTATTATCATTTGGAGTTATCCATAAATGTAGTTTTTACAAAGATTAAATCATAGCTCCATAACTTGCAAAAATGTCACTAATTTTGAAGTTGAGATAGGAAGAAATAGAATACTATCTGGATGTAGTAAAGGAACCCTATATGTTTGGAGAAAATAGAATAATGGAACCTTTACTTTATCAGTTGAATTAGATTAAATCGCAGGTATATATAAAATTACTCAAATCATTTTAGATGTAGAAAATGATTTTTTATTTTTGATGACAGTAAATCATTTAATTAATATTATTTTGGAAAGTAAACATAATTTAATAAATATAGTATTCGTGGCATTCCCCTATGATTTAATTGAGTACGATTGAAAATATTCCGAATATCTTTAATTAGTTAAATGGAATAAATGGATACTATGATTAAATAAATAAATGCATTGTAGTTTCTGATTAAAATGGGAATGTTTTAAACTATAATGTAACCTTGAGTATCTATGTTTTTAATATAGGATATAATATACATTAAGTATTTTCTAGTTTATTGATAATGAAGTTACTTAAAGATTTTTAATGTTTTAAATTAGGGTTGGGTTCGTTCAGTTGTTTTAGATCCAGTAAATTAGAGGTTTGCAAGTATGGGTGATGATTGCACAGTTTAAATATGGCCTTACATATCTGATGATATCCAAGCACCATTATTTGAATTCTAAAATAAAGCAAAGATCTAATCTGGTCTATTAGATTATGTAATGATTAAAATTAATATATTTTTTTCCCTTATTTAATTTAAATAATTTAATAGAATAATAATATATTGATTATTACTGATAGCAACAATTAAATAGTTTTGCTTTCATTTCCGTTGTTAAAAGTAGTAAAAATTTACGATTACCACACAGATAGTATAAATCAAGTATTGATTAATTCATAAAATATTTAGGTAACTTTATTATTTTTTTCCAAATAGTTTGAGTTTTTAATTTTTTTTATTTATAGATTTTATCTTTTTCGAATGATAAAAGAATAATATTTTGGGACTATGAATTAGCTATAGCTTAAACATACTCCTAAATAATTTATAGATCAACATCTTTAACAAGCTAATCTTATGATAAAGAAAGTAATACTGTTTATTATGCTAGATCTTTAGGATAAGTGTAAAAATGGTAGATAAACAATAAATCCCCTGATAATGGTTTTATGTTAAGAACTGATGATTGCTTTAACAATACTATTTACTTAGTAAATAATGATATAGTTTTATTAGCAACAACAAATAAAGTGGTGGTTATTAATAAATAGTCTTTGGCTATAGAAGATTCAAAATAGGTATTTTGTTCTTATAATTTGTATATCAATTATTTGATAATCTGTGGATACCATAATCAGCTTAATACTTTTAGAATAGTAAAAAATTAAATAAATAATAATTAATATTAACTTCAGTAGATATATTCTTAATTATCAGCTTTACCTATAGTTAAATTTTATTAAGGTTTTCCAAATTCAAATGAGTTTTTAGCCATATTTTAAAATAATATCATAGCTTTTATTGATATTACTTCAGGAAAAATTACAAAATAATTCCCTTAAGTTCACTCTCAGTTGATAATTGACCTTATTCTATGTGATAAAAAATTGTATAGTTATTCAGTAGATGGAAAAATTGCATAGTATTAATTAAATATATCTGGTATATCCATTTAGAAAACTATTTAATAATCAAATTAAATTTTAACGATAAGTCTAAATTCAGAATATATAATTGTAGTTATTAAATAAAACAATTATTGTATAGTCTACTAAAACGATGATTAGTCATAATTTAAAATGATTCAGCAATTATTAACACCTTCAAGGTGGCAGAGCAATTTATAAATTATTCTCTCTCCAGAAAATGGATGCATATTGCTAAGTTCTAACTTTTACTACATTTTATATGATTATAAGACTTTTGAAAAAATTTCAGTTTTTCAAACAAATTCAATTGTTGAAAATAACTTTTTTATGAGGAAAGTTACTGTAATTTAAAAAAATTAAATATTTGTCTAATAAGGATAGTCTTTTTTTGTATTAGGATAAAAAGATACTAATTCCTAAAACATGATTATTTCCTAAAAGTTTAAAAATAGAAATTAGTTTTTTGCAAATATTGATTTGTAATTTACAAAAGTAAATGGATTGAATGTGATAAATGTGATTTCATATAATTTATAAGGTATTAATTATATGATGGCAGATGTAACTGGTGTTTTATCGTGTTAGTAAGACTTAAATGATACTAATTTTTTTGACATTTAAAAGACTATTGGTAATTATTTAAATTTAAGGAGTAGCATGACTGTTAATAACTAAATATAAGGAAATCATTAATTTAATCTTTTTATGAGCGAGGCATTTACATTCTATGGATTTCCATAAATCAACTTAAATTTAGATATTCTAATTGACTTGAATATATATGGAGTTAAAAATGATTAATAAGTAGTTGGCTCATTCTTTTTTAATTCTGTTAAAACCTCCAAAAATTTGCTAAGTGTAAGTATTATCAATATATACATGTATTTTGAAAATGAAGAAAATTTATTAGATTACACTCAAGGAACTTTATAACAGCTTTAAATACTTAAATGTGAAGTAAATATTTTAAATCCTCCTCTGTTTTTGAAGTATTTAAAATTATTTAGAATTTAATAATTATAAATATAATCATAAATTATGAAAGAATAATTCAAAGTATTTGAAGTTTAAAACACGCAATAATTTGAATTAGTGGATTCAAATTTTATTAAAAATTAAGTAAACTCAGAAAATGTGATATCTTTTGATAACTCTTTGTATTAATCTTAAAATTCAACTTTTATACTAAGGAATTGCACAATCAGAAATAACAATTTTACTAACAGCTCATTCTTCCAAGCAATTCTAATAAGCAATTTGATAATTGAAAATAATTAAATAGAAAATAACTATTGTGAGTAGAGTTCATATTTAGTTAATTCAGTAGTGTCATAGAGTATATCTATAAAAGGCTTAACATTTTAGTAAAATACTAATTTAGCTCTAATGAATTGCGAAATAAAGCTTAAGTATAACAACAATTTGCTAGAAAACACAGTAACTGCCAAATATACAAGTGTTAATATATTTTTGAGTACAATAAACTCAAATTTTTACAATGATGAAAGCTCTTATTTGATAGATTTTAATGCTACTTAGATATAGTTATATGATTTAATGATTTATAATGAGACAAGTATATCATAATCTAGCTTGATCAGTATAGTGTCTTAAAATTTAACCTTTAAAAATGTAACTTTCAGTAAAAACTAATGTAAGTTCAAATCTCTGATTAGTTTAACATAGTGTTAAGCTTTTATTAATTCATCTAAATTTGTTCAAAATAGTCTTTTATCTTAAATATTAGGAGGAGGGGTTTTCTATCTTTCTTCTTCAAACATTTCAGTTTAAGATACAATATTTGATTCAAATGAAGCATAAAGTAACTAAAGTTTGAAGTTGTATAATAATATTTATTTTTTTTTATAAATAAATTAGATGGAGGATCATTATATCTTGATTATAATTCTAATGGAAATCTTTCAAATTCTACATTTTAAAACAATAAAGCAAGAGAAAATGGAGGAGTTGCATTATTAAATAATTCTGACATCTTTTTTTCAAAGTGCTTTTTTGTTAAGAACAAAGCTCTAATTGGAGGAGTATTAAGATATTTTACTTTTAAACCATAGTTTTTAATAGAAAGCAAACATTTTGATGAATTTGATAGCTGTAATACCAATTTTAATAATTTTTGTTAGGAAAATAGTGGTTAAATATTTGGAAATAATTTCTGTTCTTATCCAAAATTTGTTTCAGTTAACGATAAAAAACTTTAAAATTAAATGGAATATGATTTTCATAACATATAAAGTGGTTCATAAAATGAAAAAATAATAATTAACTTATATGATGAAGAATGGTCTAAAGTTTAGCTTAAACATGCATTAGATATTCCATAAAGAACATAGCAAGAATTTGATGGGTATTTTGTAAATTTAATGGAACTTTACTAAAAGTAAAACAATTAAAATATTGACCTTATTAAGAGAGATATTAAATTAGATGGAGTAACTCTAAAATAATTTTAAGGAGATTCTTTTACTTTAAATCAGTATCAAGTTACAGGTAAGAATGACATTTATTTATTAAAAAATTAAAAAAATATTAAGGAGTAAAAAAAAAGATCAAGCACAATTAAAATTGAAAAAAAAAATTTTAATAATAATATTTTTTTATAATAAAATGCAAAAGGATAATTAGGTAAATAGGGAAAAGCTGTCTTTACTATTCAAGGATTTTTACTTTATAATGATACTAATAAAGGATTTACTGATTAACTAGTAATTTATTTAAATTACCATTTTAGGAAATGCTAAATTGGGGAAATTTTATAACCTGTCTGCTTGAATTGTACCTTAGTAAACTGCCTCGAATGTGAAAATGGTACTTATTCTATTGTAGATCCTAATACTTAGAGTAATGTTTAATGCTTACCATGCAACTATGAATCCAGTATCTCATGTCGAGGTAGTTAAATTATCTTAAGGTAGGGATATTGGAGAGAAAGCAAAAGTGATGATAACATAATACCATGTGATTAATCTGAAAATTTATGTAATGGAAATGAATAAACTAATTACTGCTCAGAAGGGTAAAATATATAATTTACTATAAATCTTAAATATAGGAAAAAATTATTTTATTTTTAAAGATTTTTATTTTAAATAAATTTTTAATCATGAAAAATCTTTATTAAAATTTAATTTCATATTTTAAACTATTTAATTATGCAACAAATGAAAATGGATATATATTTATTAATTTTTTTAAAATAGATTGATAGGTCCTCTTTGCTAAACATGTGATACTTTAGGAACGTTTTGGAATGATTCTTATGGGAGAGTAAGCTTTGGAATTAGTTGTGTAAAATGTAAAACTAATATCTTAAAAATCATACCTTAAATTATTTTAAGCTTAGTTTTTATACTCTACTTATCATATTTATTCTATTTAACCAAAGTTAATCTTAATTTAATGCTCTAGAACCTAATTTTATAAAAATGTGGCCTGATTAGATTAGGTATAACAGGAGATATAGGTGAAAAATCATTTTATAATAGAATTTTAATCAGATATCTTTAAATATTCATCATTATTGGGTCAATTAATTAAAATGATACATTTTATAATGTAATCATATCATTAATTTCACCTGTTAGATCTAACTAAAACTCTTTTGATTGCATGTTTAAAAGACTTCCTATATCAATTCCAATTTATTATTATAAGTCTATTGGATTGATATTTATTCCTTTTATTATATTTCCATTAATATTCATCATGTATTAGATTATTATCAAGATTATCAGATATTACACGAAAACATCAGCATATTCTTTTGACATTGAATACAAAGTAAATTTAATTGAAAAAAACTTTATTAATTTTATTTTTGTAAAACAGAAAGACTCCCTTATCACATGTTTAAACTTTTTATTCTTTTTCATTTAGTAAAGTGCTTTTGAATCGCTTATACAACCATTAGCTTGCAAATAAATTTAATAGAAGTCATATATCAACTTCTATTTATTAGAAGAGTGTTACAGCAGAAAGCATTCATTATTAATAATTGCTATAATATTACCTTTTTTAGTATTATGGGTTCTACTTATTCCAGGTATTTTAATGTGGAAAATATGGAAAAGATCAAAGATTATTGGACAATTTTCAAACGAGTTTTATTTAACAAGATAAGTAAATAATTTTCTACCTTTAGGAATTTTTTAAATAGTATTTTTAAACAAAAGTATGGATTTTTCTTTTGTGGATGTAAGAGAGATAGCTATTTATGGGAATTTATCCCTATGTATCTAAGATTGATACTAGCATTTTTTGTTGTTTACTTTTAGGAAGCTATTATTACTAGAGCAGTTCTCATTTTAATCAGTTTACAAATATATTCAATTTTTGTTTAGAAAAAGAAGGTAATTATTTTAATAAAAAATATATTATATAACAAGGATATTTAATATAAAATTTATTTATAATAATATATTTTAATGTTTAAGTAAAAATATAATCATTATTTTAAAAGCCTTATCAAAGATTACAGCATCTTAAAATAGATATCTTTTGCTCTTAAGCTTGTAGTATGATCACTACTATCAGTATATTACTGTATAATACAGATGAGTATATAATATAATATTCTGGACAAGTTGTGGTTCACACTCTCTAATTTTTAGTTATTTTTCAAATCATTAAACAGTACATTGAAGTTTTGATAAGACTTAATTTTCACTAGCTTAAAATTAAGAAATGTTTGAAATTCATAAAATTTATCTTATAAAGATAATCATGCTTTTTTATTTACATTAAAAAATATATAAAAAACACAACTCCATCTCTATATTTATTGATCTATTAGGCTAACCATAATCCTTTTAATAAATTTAATCATTTCTAACTACTTAGACTTCATATCCATAATTATATTGAAAGAAAAAAGAAAGATGCTAATACTCCTTTCTTTAGAAATATTTAAGATTATGATTGTAAAATTTCAAAGGAAGATGTTAGTAGCTATGCAAATAATGGAAAACAAACATAATAGAGGTAATTTAAAATAAAATAATTTTAGTCATTGTAATATTATTTTAATAATTAGCCCTTCTCTAAGAAGAATCCTTTTGTCATAACGATTTTAGAATATCAATATTTCTGAAACAAACTCTTTTATTTAGCCTGAATAATCACAAGATAGTAGTTAAAGTCGTAAAAAAAATAAGAGCAAAACATTTAATGGCAGTAATCTCATAAATTTTGATAACAATTTTCATAAATTGAAGAAGAAAAAAAGTAATTTAGCAGTAAAATTCTATTAAGATGCAACTTCAAACCATTTAGGGGATACTGTTAATTCTTTAGAAATTAGTTTACCATAAAATAAATTATTTTAACAAAACTATGAATTTATTACAAAAAGTAAACATTTGCAAAAATATATTAATTCATCATATTTAAATTAAATTTAAAAAAAGGTAATACTAAAAATATTACAAATGATATGGATTCATCTAAATTGAAACCTAATTTAATTGACTTCTCTAAATAAAGTTATCAATTAAGCATAGAAAGTCCTAATAATAAAACAGATTCTGATTCTCATTAAGATAAAGTACTTTTAACTTTTAAAGTAAATTAATTTGTTATACCAGTATATTTATAATTTTCCTTCATAATTTAGGAAAACGAACTAACCAACCTAGTAAAAGAAAATTTATGATTAAAAATGGAAGTTTAAACTCACGTTCTCAAACTAATTTTTAATTTAAATAAATATATTTCTAATAATATTTTGATTGTATACTTTTTTATGTTTTATTTTTGTTGTTATTAAATTAATAAAATATAAATAAAGCACCTTACTCATATATAAAAATGGAAATATACTAACAAATCAGATAGTTTTAATAGAATATTTTCTTTTATAAGAAATGTTTGAAGGAAAATAAATATAAGTTAAATTTACTTTTATATTAATTATTTTTATATAAATATATGTGATTGATTATTGAATCCTTTTTTCTTTTAATTATTTTCAATGATTGAAGTAGAATAAATTTTATTTTAATCTACATTTGATTACTTAAAAAGCATTTGACTCTTTATAAAGTATTCGATGCTAAATCTTATACTAAATATATACGTTATTTAAAGTTTAGCAAAAAAACTTTTTTATGTTTAATCAAACTTCTAACTGCTTTTTACTAAGTTATCTGCTATGATAGCCTTAATTTTCTTATTATTGCATTTATTATTATTTGATATTTGTAAGAGATTTATGATTATCTTAGTCTTTAAGACAGTTTTAATTATAGTGGCTTTTATTCTGCATTTAGATATGAGCGCTCTCGTTTTCGTTTGAGTTATCTTTATCGAATTAAATTAAATTATTATCAATTACATTAACTGTTTGTATGTTATCAGGGCTTTATTGCAAAGAAACATTCTTGTTATTGATCATTTTATTTCTTTCATCTAGTATATCATTATTATATAAAGCTGTCATTTATATTCCTTCATTTACAGCTTTTAATTTGTTAGTTTTTGCATCAGTAAATGATTTCAAGTGCTATTAAGAGCTAGTAAAAATACTATTCTCAGGAGTGTGATTAGTTTTGTTATTTGTTACACTCTATGTAAAATTTATATTATTAGCATTCTTGGAGTTCAAAACAAAATTATTTTGTTCACCAGCTTTCAAACGCTGTTAACTATTTTCTTATGATTCATCTTCTTTCTTATTTGAATTTTAGTCATTGTTAAGAAGAATACCTCTAGCATTCAAAATTGTATTAAATTAAAATTATTGACTGGGCTGATATAGCTAAGGTTAAGTATTAAGACTTGATTATCCATTATTCTAACTATTATTTAAATTATTTTAACTCTTTTTCTAAGAATTAGAACGTGAGCTATTCCTCATTTCTTTTTAAGAAAAAAATTTATTTTAATATTATTTACAAATTCATACTATATTTAAAACATAAATATTAGTAAATAAAACATATCTTACTGATTTCAGTGTTTTCGCAATTTGTAGTAGAGTGTTTGTATTCATCTCTTTGTTTTTTTATTCCTAAATTTTTTTAAATATCAATAATGCTACGTTCTTATTCCTGATCATCATACTACTATCATAGTATATAAAAATGTTTATAAGTTATTTTATTTTAATCATTTTGAATAAATAAATAAATCATTAAATCAGTTAAATATTACATCATATTTATGATTATAGTAGACCTGGTTTTTTAGCTTAACCATACTAGGGACATATACCCTGCATACAACATTCAGCAAATTAATAAGCTTTGAACGTCTATTTAAAAATTATTAATAATAGAAACAAAATCAATTATATTAATTAAGTAATAGATATAAAATATCTCTCAAAGAAAATGCTCTAAATAAAATAGAAGAATTAGTTAAATAAAATTAAATTAGAAGAAAATGTTTGAAATAATGAAAGATAAAAGTTAAAACAATTTTTTTAATTACCTAGTAAAAGGATTTTAGCTTTAAATTTTCCAGATTTTTCTGATGTATTCATGAGTAGTGAAATTTGTAAAAACCAAAAGATTATGGAAAGTGAATAGTCCAACAATGAAAATTGAAAACTTTTTGAAATAGTATATATAAATAGATATTTTGAAGAAGCTTGGTAGATTAAATTACTAAGAAAGTATAGATGATTAATACAAGAGAGACTGGATATTCCTTGGCTGCTTTGCTAAAATTTTCGACCTTTTTATTATTTATTTGGTATTTTTATAAATCAAAGTAATCTATAAAAAGTATTACTTCTGAATCTCTTAGAACTAAAAGCTAAATATTCTATATTACAACTGTAAAGCAAAGAGCACTTAGGTTTAAAAGGTACAAATAGAAATACCTATTTAAATTAAATTGATATTATTAATATAATTATACTTTTAGTATATTATACCTATAATTTCTTTTTCCAACACAAGTTCCTAACCAGGGACAGTGGTGATCAAATCTTTCAACACAATTGTCACATAATGGACAATGGGATGTTCTTGGAGGTCTCCAAATAGCACCTATAAAAATTAATAATTTAAAGTATTTAGCTTAGCTAGTATTTATTTGATTATCTAATTAAAAGTTAGATACAAAATAATCTATATAATATTTTTGATTTAACTAATTTAATTTTGAATGATTTTTTTTAAATTTAATAATCAGTGATAGTTTTTTAGTGTCAATAGCTAACAATTTTTACATATTTATTTACAAAAACTTAAATGAAATAATTTTACAAGTAGTGCAAAATTTAAGTTTCAAAAAGTGAGTCTTATTAGGCATTAAGCTGAGGAGATATTTATATTAATAATCACCCGTTTTCATTATAGGTTTTATAGGTATATCTAAGCATTCTTTATCAACTTCATGTTTACATGTCTATATAATTTTGATAAAAAAGAGTAAAACAATAACATTTAGTCTTAAATTTTAGAATAATTTAATTCAGCCATTAATATCGTTTTTTCAAAAGCTTGTTTTTAATAAAAATGCTATTTACTATTCTTGGAATGATTCCTGGGTCGGTGAGATTCACGCAAAACATAAATATGTTACTAAAAAAATGAAAAAAGCACAAAAAGAATATGCCAGCATCTAAACCTTAGCTATGAAGATACTATATTATTTAAAATAGAAATCATTTATTTTAATATATAAACTTTGAAGAGTTTTTTGCAAGTAAAGCTATATTAATTGCTCTAAAACCTTTTAAAAGATTAAAAATCAATTAAGTAGGCATTATTGAATTTATTATCGAGGTAAATAATCCAAAAATAATTTACAGGCACTGAAAAAATATAGTTTAACACCATTGGCAAATTGGTCAAGAAGAAGGAAGCCCAAAATTTTTTATTTTCAGATCTAATTTTAATAATAAAAATAATATAAAATGAAATAAAGCATTTAATTTAAATTCTATTTGAAAAAAAGAAAGTTAATGCATATTGTAAATTTTAAAAGCTTGATTGAATGATTTACCCTGAAAATATTGCTCCTTTCATAAAAACTTTATTGCTTGTCTGCCAAAACATATAGAATCTTTATATTGTCTATTCAAACTAATTAGGTTCATCATTATGCTTTTTTTCATCATTTGCTTTTTAATCAAATTTAATCTAAATATCTTAATTTCTTATTCCTTCCATTTTATTTGCTTTTTATTCTTTTCAATCAAAATCGATTATTAACCTTTCGTATTTATTTGATTAAAAAAAAAATCTCTTTTTTGATTTTCTTTTAAATTTGCTTTAAAATTAATTAAATTATTATTTCAATTATAAGCTCTCCTTTCACTTATCAACGATTATGGTTTTCACAAGCAATCAATCTTGCGTAGATCGTTCTATCTTTATAAACAAACAATAATCAGCCTCTATAACACTCATTTTTAATCTTTTCTTTTTCATGCTTATCTATCTAATAATCATTACATTCATTGTAGTTTAAATTATAATTTTTGCTTTCTCAATCAATTTTTCCATAGTTTTTTTATTAATGGATTATATCTAGTGCATTTTTGACAAATTTTTATCAGTATTTTTTCTAAAAAAATCATAAAAAAATTTTAAGTTTTTTTTTTCTTCCTTTGCTTAGAGAAAAAATAATCTAGATTTCTACAGAACAAATAAATTAAATTTATATTTATCTATTACAGGATTTATAAATATTTTAATGTAAATGTAAAAATAATTCACTGATCTCTTATTTAATAACTATTCAAAAATTAGATCCAGCGATATTTTATTTTTTATTAAATAAATATATCTAAAAAATCAATAATTAGAATTTAAATTCTTTCAGTTTCTAAACAAGTTATGTTAAAGCACCTATTTATAACAACAATTAGACTTAAAACAATACTTTATTTCTATAATAAAAATTGTTTGGCTGAGTTAATTTTGTTTAAAAAGATAATAAAATTTAGCAAAAAAAAAATGATGTGAAAATTGTTTTATAAATTAGTTTAGAATTAATTCATTCTAATGAAATTTTAATATTAAAATTAAACAAATTTTTATAATTTATTTTAAGATTTTTTTATTGCATTTTATAGAACATAAACATAAAACTCGAAAATTGTGTGTAATTTTGAAAAAAAATGTATTGATTTAAAAATAATTTTATATTTATTTATATATATTTTGTAAAATAAAATTTATTTGTTCTTATATTTTTATAAAAAGCTAATTTAAATGATTTTGTAAAAAAGAAAAAATTGAAAATATTTATTTTAGTTATTATATTCAAAATTGATATTTGTTATTATTTATTTATTGTTTTGAATTTTAATTATTGATGACTTAATAATTTTGCTACTTTGTTATCATTTATTGATTTGCCTTTAAAATTATTAAAATAATTTTATTTTATTTTTGTTTAAACTCATTGATTATTATCTTTTGACATTAATTAGTTCAAGTATTCTATTAATATGCTTGTTTGGACTGGCTTTTAGATATAGTAGTCAGCTCCTGCACTTAAAAATTGATTTTTATCTCTTTCACCACCTCCAGTAACACCAATTATATGGTGTTTTTGTAAATATTATTTATTTTATTCATATTATCTAATTCTTTGAATAAAATCATATCCACTCATCACTGGCATGCTGCCATCAACAAATACTATTTTGTAATATGATTCAGGTTTTTTTTCTATCAAATCTAATGCTTCTTGACCATTTGTTGCATAATCAAATTAAAAATGATAGTTTTGAGATATATTTTTAAGTAACTAGGAAAAAATTACAAAGTGAACATACTCATCATCAATAATCAAAGCATTTGTAGTATTTGATTGTTAATTTTACAGAGATATTTTTTAAGATTGATATATTGAATCGTTAAACTCCTCACTTACTTCTCCCAAAACTGGAACAATGTAATTTTGATATTATTAAGTACTTTTAATGATAGATTGGCTAAATTACTATGTAATAATATTATTTAACTTTTACTATGAATTTTAAATATTAAAATTATTTTAGTTAATTGCGTTTGAGAAGTTTTAAATTTAGTTATTTCTATTTGTATTGCTAAGGTTTAGTGTGGCTGATTTAATGTTGCTTCTTTAAGGAGTAATTTGGGTATTTTGATTTGAATTAATAAAATTTTTCTTTGAATTTATTGGAGTTTAGCTTGTATAAAATTTGCTTAAGTGATTTAAAGGAGTGAAAGCTGAATAGGAATTGATATTTGTAAAATTGTTATTAGATGGAGAATTATTATTGTAGAACTCACTATTAGTTGGAGAATTGTTGTATTAGTTATGTTTTTCATTAATCTAATTGTTTGATGATTTTGGGGAATAATTCTATTCAGCTTAATATGATTATTATCTCATAATTTTTTACCTAGCTTTATTCTCAAATGTTGGTTTTTTATGTATAATTTCAATATTGTTGTTTTGTAATTTTTGAAATTAAGCATCATATCCATTATTATCTGAACTTTGAAGGGTCTAAATAGCATAAACTGTATCTTAATTTTTATGGCTTGATTCGTGGTTTAGTAAGTTATCCTACTAATTTTGCTCACCTTAAATGTTATTTGTAATTATTTAAATAGATGGTATATGATTTTAGCTTGGGTTATTAGTTGATATTAAACCTGTATTTTACGAGGAGTTAACTTGAGTAGAAAGACAATCGTGATTATTATTAGTAACATGCAAAAAATTAAAATTACTTATTCTGGGAGCTAACTTATTATTGCCATTGGTGTGGTTATTATTATCAATATTTAAAAGAGTTTAATTTTCTATTTATTCTTGCTTTAAGCTGTTACTCTACTTTCCTGAAGAATGTATGTGGGCTTCTGAATGATTATTAATCCCAAAATCTCCTTATGATGGAAGTGAAAGCTAAGTGAATAAATTAGTTGAGGAAATTGGTTGCTTAGTTTTAACAAGTTAAACAACTGGCTCCTATTCTTAATAATCCTTTATAACACAGCTAGAGTCTTGCTTATCATTAATTTTTATTTGATTTATTCTTTTATGAGGTGTATTTACTTCTTTTTATGGCTTTTTATAGTCTAAATCTAAACCTACAGGATCTTCTTCTTTATTAGCCACTTTGAAGACTGTCGCTTTGCTGATCTTAGGAGAGTCATTTTTCCAATTTATCATAGGGCATTTTTAACTTCGTTCTGTATTATGCTCAATTAATAGAGCTTCACAAGATTATTTTTAAGGAGAAGAATAAATGGTCATCTTCTTATCTCTCATATTGAAAAGGATAGTATTTTTCATTTCATTTTCTGATAAAGTTGTATTCTTTCTAATTATTTAATTTAAAATCATATTAATGTAAAATATTATAATCAATTACCTTTTAGGACACGGTTAAGGTTTATCATTTATATTTCTGTAAAAGTCAAAGCAAATTTTAGAGCCAATATTTTGTTAAGTCTTTAATCCTATTCTCTATTAAGAAGGTCCTAATTGTCTGACTAAAGTCTTACAGATAATTAGACCCAAGCCTACACCTATGGAAAAAAAATAATATCAATTATTTGTATGAAGTGAAATAAATGTGAAGCTCATATTTAAATTTCATAAACTTCATAAATAAATAAATAAAACTAATAATAAATTGACTATTTTGCTTTTAAAGGATGAAAAATATAAGTAATATTCTTATACCTTGAGTTTTAAGGCCTTCTGTATGATTAAAAGTCTGAAAAGGTTTAAATATTTAATCAACATATTACTAAGGAATTCCTACTCCAGTATCTGTAATTGAAATGTGTATGACATTTCTGTCGTTTGGGTTTGATTTAAATTTTATATGAATCGACCCTTTTACAGTGAATTTCAAACTGTTTGCAATCAAGTTATTGAATATCTAAACAAGTCTGCTAGGATCAGAAACAATATCTAACTCTTAAAGAAACGGATCAATAGTATATTTAAGTTCTATATTTCTTGATTAGGCATGGAGTTTGAATAGTTAGAAAATTTACTTGATTAAATCTGAAAGTCTGAATATTTCTATGTTTAACCTCAAACTTCCTTTGTTTAGTGCTGAGTAATCTAAAATATCTTTGATTATATTCATCATTTATTTTACACTTACGCTCACTAATTCTAATTATTCAGAGATATTTGTATTATCTTATCTTAATTTCATGCTCTCCACAGAGCAGATTATATTATTTAGAGGTGTTTTTAAATCGTGAGTAGCTATAGCCAGAATTTAATCCTTATATTAGTATTGCTACTTGTTTTATTCATTTACTACTTTCTCTGTTATATCATTTAAAATTATCATAAAGGATTTGTCCTAATCATCCCATTCACACTCAATAATTTTTGCTTCAAAATACTTTTCCTTATAGCTTAGCTAATTATATGTTTTAAGGACTTGGTTTTTAAAGAAATTATGACTCTTTCTCTAAGTTTTAATAAAAAAAGAAATTAAATAAAATAAAATTCAATGATATTTCTTAATAAATGCGATATTAATTTTTTGTTAATTGAAACACAAATAAAAATTTTAATTCAGTAAATTTTAAGTATTTTTATGCTGATCTATCTACTTGTTAATTTTAATTTAATTAATTTGAAGTAACTAAGAAATTCAAGCTTACATTACATCTACCATCGCAAAAAATCAAATTTACAAATAAAATTTTACCTCAAACTCACTAGCCAAGCTATTAATTAAATCCACTAAATTTTTGTAGAGCGAAATATTTTAATTATCCTTAATTTCTTCCATCAATGTCTGTAATTCATTTTAATAAAATTGAGGTGGATTTTGAGTAATGTTAAAAGTATTGTAAAATTGTTTATTAGCATCTTTGAATTGAAAGAAAGAGCTATGATCAATCTGCATTCCATTTTCATTAGTGAAGTGATTTTGGAAGTAAGGATTGAATTTAAATTGATCATTTTCTTTATTTAGCTAATCTATTTCAATATTAACTTTTTCTTCTTTTTGAATAATATTTTCTTCATCTTTTGTTGGCATAGCAAATACGCTATTACTATTTGCCTATATTTTATTGCGGTCTGTTATCAATTACGAATTCTCTTTACCACTAACCATATCAGCTTTTTTACATTCTTCTGATAGCTTTTACTTTTACTTTTCTTCAGGTTCAATTTAAAGCTGATTAATTTGATTATTTTACATGTGCAGTTGGATATTTTCTCTACTTGAAGTTTTATTATGATTTACTTAAGGGGTTTCTTCAATTTAATTTTATGTTACATTTATTAATTTAATATCATTCATTTCTAGCAATTGACCATGAGTTGTTATATTTTTTTATCTGTTGGAAGGCTACTAATTGTTTTGTATAGATGCTTATATCAAATTATATTGATTTTCATCTTGCATTTATGGAAATGGTTGTGTTAAATTTTCTTTTTCTTTTGGATTTTCTCTAGATGCTTACATATGATCTAGCTTATTATTTATCATATCTCCTTATTTATAGTGCCTTTCATATTCTTAAGCATTTTAATTAATTGTTTATTAGTCATTTATTTACTTAGGTATACCTAGGATAATAATAGGTGTGGGTATTGTATTTTTCCAAATATCTTTCCACTCAGAAAGTAAATTATTTTGCCAATAATTGATAAAAAATTTCTACCTCCTATTTTTTTCTGTGAGATAGATAATAATAGTGTAAATGATTAAAAGGATTAGCATTTAAGTATAAAACTAAGGGATAGAAAAGATTCCAGACTTAGACTAATCGCATAAAGATATGATCCATTAGATAATAGCCTTTTCGTACCAAGTAAATATGTAAGATTGTATGAGCATCATTACTATTATCAAAGAAATACCAGTGTTAGTACAAATAATAGGATATACAAAAGAAGAAGGTCCTTAGGCTCTAGGAGAAGGTACATCTTCATTGATCATTGGTATGATATCGAATATAAAATACAGAAAAAAATGCAAGATTTACAAATAAATAAATTATCTTTTGACTTAATAAGAGTGGATAAACTTGAATATAAAAGAGATGTTTATTAGAGTAAAAACAATCTAAGCAATCAGATTCAGGTATGAAGTTTTCTAACTTATATCAAGAAAATGAATATAAATTAAAACTAATATGAGCAACGATACGCTGACGATGCATTCTGTGTAAACAGGCCATTTAGATCTCTGAATGCTATCATACAATTACTAAATTTGAGTATCTTCGAAAGACAATGTTAAGGGAGATATATGAATATGTTTCAATATTTCTTCATCATTCTTGTCCATAATATTGCTCATTAAAAAAAATATAGGTGATATGGTTGTCAGACTTATCGAAGTTTGGTGAGTCAGACTAAAAATACGTTTATTATATTACCTATTTGAAAAAAACTGCTACTTTTAAACAAAATAAGATAATACTACTGCTACTTTATTTTCTGTTAATTAATGTTAATTAAAATTGTAGATGTGTTTTTGGAGCTGACTCACTTTAGATTATTATAATATTTACTTAGCAATCAGTTCCCCACATTATTTTTTATTAAGAGATTTCTATCCACTTGATTATATTGTTATCTTTTCTTTTCTGAGTGAACATTTTCACAATCTTCTAAATAACTTTATGATAAACTGCTTTTTGTATTCTAAAAAATCTGCTTTCACTCAATTACTTTTCTTTTTAATAATACAATTTTTTTTATTTCATCTTTCGTTCTCTTTTTAACTATTCTTTCTTTTTTTTAAAACTTTATTAAACCTTATTTGTTTATTATTATTTAAGATAACTCATGTTAAATACTATAAATCCTCTTAGTTTATTGCTTGAATATTGCTTTTTTTCTTTCTTTATTTTTATTAAAATCTCTCATCTAATTTTTTTTTTCTTTTTAGCTACTGCTAATATTCTTTAAGTAATCAATTTTCTTGCTATAATTTTAAATCCTCCTTTACCTTACTTTAAAAATAATTAAATAAACGTGCTAGATATCACATACAATAATTAAATATCAAAATATCTGAATTAGACTTTTACTAAAATGAAATGAAGTTTCAAAAAATGTAAATTAAATCCTTACTTTCATTAAATTCATATCTGTTTTATGCATTTATTCAAAATTTAATTTTAATGATATCAAGCAATCAATCCACCTAAATTAAAGTAAAAAATACTCTATTATTTTTAAGTAAATATAAATTAAAGAATTTGATTTAACTTGAGTTTTATTTGATTTTGCTTTTTATAAAAGAAAGATATGTAATAAAGGCAGCTTATTTCGTTTTAATTACAATGAACAATTTTCAATAAAGAAGCTATTTTTTTCGAATACTTAAGCAATCATTTTTATAAATATTAAATATATGTTTGTCTATTTAACAAATTATAACAATAGAAAGCGATTGAGTTTAGTTTAAAATTTAAAAATAAAAGATTTTTTTGAAAGTCTACTCTAATAATTTAAGATTTGATTTTATATAAATTTTATATTTTTTAAAATTATTGTGAATAAAATAGAATTTTAGGTATTTTAAACTGGAATCTCAGTCATGTTTATTAGTATTATTTTATTTTTGATAAGAAAATACGAAAATGCTTTAAAAATTTTATATAAACTTAAATATTTTTCATTAATTTCTGGATTATATTTTGCACAAAATCTAAAATAGATACAGACCGTATTTATAAAGATGATTCAAGCTTTAAGTTCGATTTAAATAGATATATTTTGTTATTTTGTTGTAGATAAAAATAAATAAATTATATATATATTTGTTATAAGTATTATAAAAATCAATAAAGTTATATAAATATTAAACTGAATAGTTTTTTAACTTTATAAATAATTCAGCAATTCTTTTTATGATAGCATTTTGCCATAAAATTTTTTGTATTTTCCCACTTTTTGTTTTCTCTATCAAAAGATTTAGCAGATTCTATAAATTAAAATAAAAATTTTATTAGAATAGACTTTGATTACACAATTTCAAATACTATAAAATTTCTTTGTGTACATCATTATTATTTGTTTTAATTGATCTAAACATTTTTTTTCTATATCAATAGCACCAGCTTAGACTTTGAATCCTATCAATCTAAAATTTGATTTCAAATTATAAATAACTAAAACAGAAAGTAAATTTCTTGTTCTTAATGAGAAAAAGATGATATAACTTTATATTTTTTTGTTTTGGGTATATCCTTAATACCTAAATATAAAAAAACTATTTAATATGATTATTTCGTTTTAAAATTAATGATTGATTATAAACTCATAAAAAAAAAATAAAAAAAATGAATGTTATTTTATACTTTCTTTACTTTTAAGTTAAGTTTCCATCAATAAATATTACAAAAAAAGTGTATTTTTTAATAAAATTAGCTCTAAAAGAGAAAATAAATAGTAAAATATAAATTTTATTAATTTATTTGAGGTTTTAAACTCTTTAAAAAATACTTAAATAATTACATAGATTTAAAATTAATAAATATTCACTAATACTTTAATGTTTTCAAGCTAAAATAATAATTTAAAATAAAAAACTAGTATCAATTCTAAATTATTTAATTTTTATATGTTATTCAAATAAACACTTAAATAATTAGATCCAATTTAGTGGTAAAAAATATAAAATTTGTTCAATTTTAGCTCAAAAATGTGAAATTAGCTCAATAATTTATGTTTTTTCACTTTATGAAGGGGATTATTATTAATAAATAGCACCTTAATTTTTTTTTAATTTTAATATTTAAAGGTTTTTAACTATAAGTTTTGGCTAATTTAGATTATGCGTTAATATTTTAAAGAAAGCTCATTAACTATTAAGAATTTAATTTGGATATTGTAATGACGATGATATATATCATCAAGGTTATCTTATTTTATAATAATTAATTTAATTTCTAAAAAAATTTTAGAATAATATTTAATATCAAGATCTTTCTTTGTGTTTACTCATGATTAAACTCTTTAAAAAATTTCATTAACTAACTTAAAATTTAAATAATATTAATAATTTAATTATTAATTAAATCCAAAATTTATACATCTTCAATCTTTGATCACCTAATCACTTTAAATTCTGTATTAAGTACAAATTTTAAGATAATGGAATAAAAAATTAAAATTGTGCCTTATCAATTTTTAATAAGTGATTTGTGCAATTAAAAAACTAAATCTTACTTTTAATACTAATTACTTGAGATCAAATTATAT